AAGCTGCAAGGGAAAGATCGCTCTACAAGCAAACGAGCACCCATCGAATGGACAACCGAGGATGAAAAGACCAGACAACACATCTATCAGCAAATTGAAAGACAAATCGTATTAGCAAATCCGAACCCAAATGAAGGATACACGTTATTTACGGATGCTTGTAATACAGGCATTGGAGCTGTGCTCACGCAAGAGCATAAGATAATCGGAATATACAGCAAGAAACTGTTACCGGCGGAAACTCGTTATACTACTGAAGAGCAGGAACTGTTCGCGGTACTGTGTGCGTTAAGACATTTTAAGGCATTTGTACTAGGACGTCCGGTGAAAGTATTTACGGACCATAAGAACCTACTAGCCTTCAGAGACTTTAACACGTCTCGAGCAGAGCGCTGGAAGATGGAACTGATGGAATATGATGTAAATTTACATTATGTACCCGGCAAGCAGAATTTATTAGCGGACTACTTGTCACGAGCAGAAAACAAACTGTACGTGATGCAACTCTTACCCGAGCAACAAATGAAGATTATCCAGCCCAAAATGTCCGAAAGTGACAAAATACATGCAGCACACGCCAAAGTCATGAAGACGATGGCATAGATAGAAGATCCAATGGACCAGCTAGCACAGCTGCATCACCACCTGGAACATCCAGGTATTGAGAAAACCTATTACACGATTAAGGATTGGATAAAAGTCCCAAACCTGAAAGAAGTACTCAAGAAAGTACAAAAAGCCTGCAACGAATGCCAACGATATAAGAAACAGCCTACCACGAGTAAAGGCAAACCACTAGGGGTATTGGCCACTACAGAGCCATTCGAACACATATGCACGGATATCGTGGGACCGTACAATACCTATCTCAACAAACGGAGGGAGGAGAGCAAGAAACTCTTTGTAATTTCTATCACCGACCGCTGGATCAGATGGACCAAACTAAAAGTCATACGAAAGATTTCGTCGCGAACAGTTGTTCAAGCCCTACGTGAATGGATAGAGGAACACGGAGTTCCCAAGGCCATCCTACACGATCAAGGACGGCAATACGTCTCGACCATCACGCAGACATTCCTACAGCAGCACGAAATTAACTCCATCAAGACAACTCCGTTTAATCCAACTGGAAACGGAATATCGGAACGCCTGAACAAGGAAATTACCTTTGTTCTAGCAGTAAACCAAGAACTCACTCAGAGAGAAGCAGCGCGACGCGCTATGCTCAGATTGAATTACACCTACCACAAAGGACTGAGGTGCACCCCATACGAGCTGGTGTATAACTCCCATCCTATCGATAAGGACCAACAGATCACACCACACCATGAGGTGATGAACAAAATTAAGCAGCGTAATGCCAAGTCATTGCATTTGGAAAATTCAATCTTAAGGCCTGACCAGTTAGTGAAACTGAGTCCAGGAAATCCTGTGTACCATAAGGTACCGAATCCGCAAGGAAAATTAAGTGTCCAATGGCGAGGACCTTTCCTTATTCACGATTGTGATCTGACCAAAGGGATCCTGACATACCGCCAAGGTAACAAGCTGGTGCAAACGAACCTGCACCAGGTCCGAGCACCATAACGTCACTTCCTCTTTCCTAGTAGGGGGTGAATGTAGTGAATTCCCACACTATCGGAGACGACCAAGATCATGATCGACTTTTTATGATATGGATGCGAATAACCTGAAATCACTAGCGATCGCTCAAAGCGTAAATACGCGAGCAAATTTAATTCCAGATGCAGAAAAATAAGAAGAACATAATATCAAGTCAATCGATAATCGACAGTCGGGGTTCTCCAAAGGTTAATAAATCTTTACTGGAACTAGCATTTGGCACATGCGCAAGCTTACCCCGAATTTATGACAAAATCGAACTAGTTCTAATGCTAAGACGCTCAAAATATGGGCTCTCCCAGTATACATCCTGATGTTCTGGCTCGCTCGAAGACCTTCCCGAATCCTTCCCCGCCGCTTGCAGCTGCTTCCTTTGGGCTTCCACAGTGCTCAAAAGACCTGTATACTCCTTTGTGGAATTCTCCGGATGCTCTACCCTCTGCTTTGCCTCCGCCTCCAGCTCCGCAATGCGCTCCTCCGCTTTGCTCAACTTTTCTTTATACTCCACTAGCACCGAATTCAAACGCGCATTTTCCTCCTGAATTTTCTCCGCCCGCTCTGCATTCTCTCTTCTTTCTGCTCCAAACTCTTCTTCTCGCTCTTGTAGCACCCCCTCCCGCTCCGCCTGCCTTTTGAGCCCAGCCTCTAAACCCGAATCCTCCCTGCACCCGTCCTTGTCTGCCTCCTGGCACACAAACACGCTCCCGCCTGCACTGCATATCAGCACCAATAGCACCCCAGCACACACCAGCGCCTGCGTTTTTTCTCTTGTTCGAAACATATGTCCAACCATCCCCGCAAAATTCCACGCGCTTATATTGGATGCAAATACATCAAAGTGATGGCTGTACATAAAAATGCTGCCAGTGCGCTGCGCGCAGAGAAGAGCACGCCCCCACGCAAAGGGCCCGACCCCGCCAAGTTTCCATCTCCACATCCACCCTGCCTTCTCCGCCTCTTTCCTCCAATGCTCGAATTCTTTGCACATCCCACGCCAGCCCGCATACCAACAGACCCATCTGCACCTGCGGTGCCCGCACGCTCTCTGCCCTCCTCTCAGGCCGTTCAGCGCCTGCTGCACTGCGCAGGTGTGCTTCTTCTCCCTTTGCCTGCCCGCAACAATAAAAACAAGCCTGCCTCTCTGCCGCCCTGCATGCAGTAAAGAGAAAGAAAGCCATCATACTCAACAGAGCCCCCAAACATGAACCCACGCCCTCTTATGATTGCCTGCTCTCTCGTTTCGCCCCTCTAAAACATGCCTTTCTGTCGTTTCTCTACCATAATACACTGCTATACACTCCAAAAACAAATTCTCCACTCTACTTTTTTCCCCCCAGCCCGCACAAACACACTGCTTTTTCTTTCTTTATTTTCCCTGCAGCAAGACTGCATACGCGCTGCCACGCCAAAGCGCACACTCTCCGCGCTGCGCCCGCGACGGCCTGCAATTCTCTCTCCAAAAACCAGTCTTTGCCTGTGCAGTTTTTATCTTCTGCCTACATCCGAAATCTCAAGCAAAGCTCCCGCCGCTCGCACAATGCTCTCTTCAGCATGTCAAGCTTCGCCCACCCAATGCTCGCAAGAGCCCTTTGCATGCGCGCGTCCTCCAAGGGCGCCAGCGCTTTACTGACCGCTTTAAAGTTGAAGTCCGATACTTCTTCTTTGCAGCCGCGGAAAAAGCCCTCCCGGCCTAGCTCCTGGCACACCCACACAATGAGCTCGCAATGCACCGCTGCCTCGCTGGAGGAAAGTGCCGCAAAAAGCCAAGTAAAAAGCAACTTTCTAACCAGCGCATTGGCCTCCGCCAGCGCCCTCCCTGTATGCTCGGCCCGGACAAGCGTGATGATTTCTTCTAGGGTTTCCCCGGGCCTTTCTGCAGCCAGGAAGCATGATACGTTCTCTCGGCACCTGTAGCCTTTTAGCAACGTGCAGTTGAACAAAGGCCTCCCCGTATACGCAGCACACATTCGGATGTGCTCCATGGCAACCCTTCCTGTGAAAAACATGCACTTTTTTTTGGCATACACGTCCCGATACGCAGTTCTTCTATAGTATTCAAAGGGCGCTGCAGTGCAGCCCTTGGGCGGGCGCGCGCTTGGGCACAGTTCCTCTATAATGCCAACAAACAATGGCACCTTCAAAATACCTTCACGCGTGTATTCTTCTTCAAGCCCCGCGCTCCCTATCACGTTTGCGACCAGGCGCGCGATTGGATGCGAGGCAGATAGCGCCACGCCGTACCGGTGCGCAAACAGAACAATCTTCGCAGAAAGCTCTTCTCTCAATTTTACGCCCACAATCGGCAGCCCCAACAGCGCCCGGTTCGGCCTCTCCGCGCTGCGCTTGGCGGTTTTCCTTGCCGCCCTCCACAGTATTTCCTTTTCTATGTCGAGATCCCGGCGCTGGTTGCACCTCAGCACCATCCGGTCGACGCACTCCGCAAACACAAAGCTGGAAAAAAGCATGTCCTGTCTGTACTGCGCAGCCAGACTGTGCATATTTTTCAGCACGTCGCCGGAAAGAAATGGGTCTGGCAGCTGCATATAGCTCTTTACATACCACTCGCAGGCAACCATCTCAAAGGTCTGTTGGCGCCTTTTGTCCTTGTGCGGGTGCTTTACTCTAACCGCATAGCGACAGCAGTTCAACTTGTCTAGATCTCCCACGATCTCTATCTGCGCCTGCCTATGCACAGCCAGCGAGCGCACAACCGCACTGATGCGCTCCAGCGCCTCGGCATCCAAGATGTTTCCATGCACTTTCGGTTGGCTCCCCGAAAGCGACACCAAGCAATCCACCACGTTTTGCGGCTGCCCGGTTTTCGTGGCAAACTCGCGCATCAAGTCTAGAATGCGCAGATTCCCTTTCTTCCAAATATCCACAAGTTGCTCAACTATGTCAAGTTTAGAATAATAGTCTGTCTCTGTCCAGTCGAGTGAGCTAAATGCCCCGAAAAATGTGCGCTCTTCTGCATGGGCCTGCAGCGCTAGAATTGCCGCTCTAACCTCAGCCGACTCCGCTGTCTGCTTAATGCGCTCCAGCAGGCCTTGAAGGTCGTACTCCATCTCCTCGGGGTCGTACGCCAGGCACAGAAGAAGCAAACACAATGCACGCTCCGGGCAAATGTATCTGGAGCGCGATTCAAGATTAGCTGGGCCACTTATAGTGCTCTGCAGCATGTCTGAATCGTCTGAGCTGTCTGCTTCTTTAAGCCCGCTGTACTCGGGGCATATTTCAGGGCTGAGCGGGTCTTCTCTGCTGGGCTCACCCGAATCAGACTCATCAGTAACCCGTTCACAATAGCTCGGAGAGTTTAGATGCTTCTGCACATGCACAAACTCTCCGAAGATCCGCATCCTCTCCATTTTTTTCTGCGCGCCCAAAAACGGGCCCAGATACGCCCCTGCTTTCGGAAGCTGCTCTGCACGCACAAAGATCCGCCCGACCACGCTGCCGGGATCTCCCACACTTTCTGCCAGGCCCACACCCTCCACAAGCTTGAATATGCACTCCATCACAGACATAAGCTCCTCCGCATTGCCTACGTACTCGCCTATGTACGTGAGAATCAGGAGCTGCGGGCTCTCCAGAAACTCGCCCGTTTTAAACTCTTCGTACGTGCTTGGCAGCATGTGTGTGCCTCTGTACCGCTTGAAGAAGTTCACTACCTGCCACGTCTCGGACGGCGGACTTTCTCCACTCTCCACAGCTGGCACGCTTATATGCGCGTCCACCAGTGCCTCCTCGCTGTCTTTTCTTTTTTTTAGAATTACTTTGTTCCCAGCGGTCTCAATCGGCACGTCCACGCCCTCGCTCAGCAGAACCAGCGCAGCCAGCACGTAGTGCGCCTCTTTTTTTGTTCTGCAGCTCTCCCGGAGAAACTGCGTGAAAGAACATGGTCGCCCTGTCTCAACTGTCAGGCGATCGTATGTTGATCCGCTGTCTTTCTGCAGGCCAAACATATGCACCAGCGCGCGGTGGAACGCCACACTGTACTCTCCGTCTCCTGCAAACACCACTGTGCTTGCAATGCTGTCGGGAAGGCGCGCCCTGTCCTTCTCCGGCTCTCTCGTATGCTTGTAAACCTCTTTTCCGTAGCTTTTTGGTACTTTCCTTCGCACCAGGCTGAAGCTTGTGTTCAGCCCGCACGAGTACGCCCGCATGTTGTACACGTACCCCAGCCACCCTAGCTTCGCTATGCACAGCGGGTGCCCCGCCCACCACGGGCTGATAAGCACGTCTTCCCCACGCACGCAGCCCACAACCGTCCTCATACAGCCCATTACATCCTCATTCGTAAAATGCACGCACCCTGCGTGCCTCAGCGCGGCAACCAGCGCCCATATAAGCCCAACCTGCAACTTAATATGTGCTTTTGGCATGAAAAATTGTTTTTATGCAATTTACACAAGTTTTATGTCTAAGCGCAAGATACTTTTTGATTTATGCTTTCATTGAACGATCAAATTGTTTTCGCACAGGAAAATATTCCTGCATGGTTTGCGGCGGGCCTCTACTCTGCGCCCATCCAGCTCCAGCTTTCTGTTGAATCTGCGTATAAGCCCCCGCAGAACTCCGAACACAGCCACAGACTGTCGCTCTACTGCACTAATTTAAAGCAGCATGCCATGCTGGTGCGCGTGCGGCTTGGAAAAACAAAGCAAAGTAGCGCCCTTTAACTTGCCCGCCCCCTCCAGCAGAGCCTCCTCTGTACGCACCCTGCAGCAGCGTGTCCCAGGCATCTCCCCGAACAACAAAAGAATGTGTGAACAATGGAAAGAAAAGAAGTTTACTTGCACTTGGAAGGCCAACCCCTGCCTTTCCTTGGAGCCTTTCGCCCCAAGCAAGCCTTGCCAACTCTGCACACGTTTCCTGCGCCAAGCCCGCACCACGCCTTTATTTGGGATTCGTATAAGGCGTCCCCTTCCTGTGCAGACCCTCGCTCTCTGCGCCAACAAAGACCCCTTCCTTGCTTTTCTCCAGGCGCAGACTGTGCTTTTTCTAGCTCCAAGCGCGCTTCTACCTCTTTCAGCTCTGCCAAAAGCTTTTCCTGGTCTCCCACTGCAGCACGCAGGCTCTCAATATGCCCTTGCAAGTCGTTCACAAGCCTTGCATGCTTTCTCTTGGCAAAATCGAGCTTCTCTGTGCTCTTCATGTTCTTAGCCTCTACCCGGCCCCACTCTGACTGTCTTCTCCTGCGAGTGTGTGCTCCTTCCCTCTTTCCCCGCCCTCAAAAATAAAAAATATGACTCACTCTCTGCCTCCCTACATAGCATAGAGAGAAAGAATGCCTCCGCACGCGCACCAGCAACCCTCCTACACTCTGCAACGCCGCCAACTGAGAGAGCACGCCTTCCTGCGCCAAACCCTCCTTTCCTGCCTTCTCTCGCTTCATCTCTCTACTTCTGCCTTTCTGTCTTTTCTACTATACTACACCACCATAACACCCAAAAAATAAATTCTTCATTCTAGTTTTTTTCTCTCCAACCTCTCCAGAACACACTATATTTTGTTTGCTTTATTTTTCTTTCTTTTCCCCTTCAAGGCTTTAACCATAAACTGCACTAAACACACAGCATTCCGCAACAAGGCGCGGGCTGATAAGGCGCTTGCCCTCTCCTGCTCCTGACCTTCTGCTTCTCCAAAAAACAACAGACAAATATAGCCACTTGGTTTATTGATTGTTTCCCTGTGCACACCCGCCTCCAGTGCCCGGCGGAACTCACGGTCTTTTCGGGGCTTGCAGACATAGCGCACAAAAGGAAACGAAACGCACCTCCACGTGTTTCCTTCCAAAGGCTTGCAAGAAGGAAAATAAAAGTTCTTCAGCCAGCCGCCAAACAGCAGGGGAGGTTTTGCAGCTCGGGCACGAAAGCGTGTGCCAAGGCACGCTGCCGGGCACACAGAAGAGATCCACAAAAGAGCCCAGTAAATACAGAGTTTTGTCTGCACTTGGCGCTAGGCAGAAAAAGCACAAAAAGAATTTGCCGAAAATGGGCGAGACGCACAGAAAACACGCAAAGCAGCCAAAGCTTTGAAAAGCCCCGGCTCTTCCCCGCGCTGCACGCTGAAAGATGTGTCTAACGAATTATGTTTATTGGCTGCACACCGTCATATTTTAGATAGTGAGTGCTTCTGCAGAGTGACCGCAGAAAAGAGCGCTCTTTGCGTTAGAGCATTTCCCGGCCTACTCATTTCTGACTCAACATGCTTCTGGCGGAAGTCTCACACTGCATTTGCGACAGCCCCTTCTTATTCTGGAAGTATTCCTTCCAGGACTGCTGCAGCTGCGCAATCAGACCCTCAGCCCTCTGCAAATCCTCCCCCGTGTGCTCTGCCCGCAAAAGCACGTAGATCTCTTCTAGCGCTTCGCACGGATCGGCCGCATAAAACAATATGCAATAGATCCCTTCAGCAGCCACTTTCAGAACCTTGCACATGTACAGCGGCTCACCTGCCATCACAGCGTATCCCCGGAAATACTGCATTATGCTTTTGTGTGTAATCCTATCCGCCTCTTCAGCGGGATACGGCCCGTTATAGTCGATAAATTTCTGCGAACACCAAATCTTCCGATGCAGCTTTTCAGACAGCTGCACCCTTGGACACATTTTATGCAGAGTCCCGGTGACTACAAGCACCCCCAAGGTCCCACCATGCCATGCATCCTCACTAACAAAAGCAATGCCCCCTATCACGTTTGCAACCAGCCGGCTTATTGGGTGTTTTGGAGTCAGCGCAATCTTGTTCTGCTCGGCATACAGTACAAGCGCAGAGACAAGCTCTTTTCTGATGTTCTTGCCCGCAACCGGCAGCGCCAAAAGCACCCTATTCGGCCTGTCCGCACTTTGCTCAACAGCCTTTCCAGCGGCCACCCACAGCTCTTTGGTTGCTGTGTCTGAAAGGCTCCGTGCGGCTGCCCCTGTCGCCATCTGGTGCATGCACTCTGCAAGCACAAAGCTTGAGAACCGCCTATGCTGCCTGTATTCTGCGGGCGCCACGCCCAGATTCTTCTGCAATTTGCCAGAGGTGCTAAACCATGCCGGCCAAATAGATATCTTCGAGGAGCTGCTTTCACGGAACGACATATCCAGAGTTTGCTCGATACGCGGACCTAATTTCACATGCTTTACTATAAAAAGATAGCCTTTGGGCTCAGAGCCTTCCAATTGCTTCTGAATGGTCACCTCCATGCGCTTGTTCACTGCTATCGAGCACAGCAGCGCCCGAACGCTCTCGATTGCCTCAGGGGTCAACTCTGTGCTTCCTTCCGCATCCATCGCCGCTTGGTGTGCTGCCAGCTTGTTCACCACGACCTGCGGCCGCCCAGCCATCTGCGCAAGCACGCGCATCTTGTTTAGGAATGTCGGCGCGGCATCTCCCAGCGCCTCCTTAAACTGCGTGTTCATCTTGAGCCACAGGTCCCTGTACCTCTGCTGTTGTGTGACATTGGGAAACCCCAAAGAAGAGCACTTTTTTTCAATGCACGCCTGCAGCTCATCCAAAAACGCCCTGGTTTTCTTCACCTCCTCTGTGTTCTCGGCCCCGCTCAGAAGGCCCTCCAGGCTGTATGCTTTTTTTTCGGAGTCAACCGAAAGAAACAGCAAGAGAAAGCAGTCCATAATAAACCTGCAGTTCGTGCCGCGGTCGTCAAAGTACTCCTCTTCTGCATTCGGGGCATCTTTTTTTTGGACTGCCATGCTTACTTCGTTTTGAAAGCTCTTAAACTCTTCTAAATGCTCCAAGGCCGTTAAAGTAGGAAACGTCTCTAGAAATGGCGCGAGATACGCCTGGGCCTCGGGCAGACGGCTCGCAGGCACAAACAGCCGGCTGACCACGCTGTCCGGGTCTTTTAAGCTTTCTGCCAGGCCCATGCCTTCCACAAGCTTGAACGCACACTCCATCACAGACATAAGCTCCTCTGCGTTGTTCACGTACTCGCCGATGTACGTGAGAATAAGGAGCTGCGGGCTCTCCAGAAAGTCGCCCGACTGGAAGCCCTCATACCTGCTTGGCATCTTGTGTGTATCTCTGTACCGCTTGAAGAAGTTTATCACCTGACAAGCCTCGGAAAGCCGCCCTTCCACACCGTCTAAAGCTGCCCCTCCTATGCGGGCATCAACCAGCACGTCCTTGCTGCCTTTTCTTTTTCTTATAGCCACTCTGTCTTTGGCCAGCTCAATCGGCACGTCGACGCCCTCGCACAGGAGCAGCAGCGCTGCCAGCACATAGTGCGCCTCTTTTTGCGTCTTGCAGCCCTCCCGGAGGAGCTGAATAAAAGAGCCTGGTCGCGCGCACTCAACTGTCAGGCAGTCGTACTCTGGCCCGCTAGATTTCCGCAGCCCAAACATCTGCAGCAGCGCCCTGTGGAACTTCATGCTGTATCCACCTTTGCGAGCAACCACTCTCGAATGCAGCCCGTCCTTCTCCGGCTCTCTCGTATATATATGCTTGTCTAAGTAGTTGTTCGGTTTGCTGTCCGGCAACAGACTGAAGCTTGTGTTCACCTTGCACGAGTACGCCCGCATTTTGTACGCATGTCCCAGCCGGCAAATCTGTGCTATGCACACCGGGTGCCCGCCCCAGCGCGTGTTCACATACACGGACTCTCCGCCCATGCGGCCCACCTCCTTGTTCTGGCACTCCAGCATCTCTTTGTGCGTCATGTATATGCATTTTGTCATCCGCGCTGCTGCAAGAAGTCCGCATAATAATCCTCCAAAACGCAATCTCATTTCTGAATAAAAATTCCTTTCTATTTATGCGTTTTGCTGTGATCAATTGATCGTGTCTTTTGATCATCACAAAACACATTAACATGTCTATTGCGCGCAGCCTCTGCTTCCGCAGCCAAATCGGGTGCTGCTGCGCGCCTCTGCTCTCTTGGATTGCTCAGGCAAAGAAGCTGCAGCACAGAAACAGCCCGGACAGAGCAGAAAGGCTTCCACTTTTCCAATCCGGAGGCAATCCGGCAGCGCTTCAACCCTTTCTCCTTCTTCACCCATTTCTGTTTTTGCTGGCTCCTGCGGCCCAGCTCCTCTTGAATTTCTTCTCTGGGCGTTTCCTCTTCCGCGCTTTGCTTCTCTCTGAATCTACTGCCCGGGCCTGCCCCACCTTCACCCGAAGACCTCGGCCTAGCCCGAGTAATAGCCCATGCTTTCTTGTTTGTGCGCCTTTCACCAGCAAAAAAAGTATTTAGAGGCCTACGAAAAAACTGCGGGTTTTCTAGGCCGAGGATGCCCTTTTCTCCACGCATTAAAATAAAGTTGCCGCTTTCTTGGGCGCGCTCTCTAAACTAACTGTTGTATGCTAAAAGCATAGTTACTCGTGATTGTTATTGTTTAGACAGGCCTAATTGAAAGGCCAATATAATTCGGACGTTTTGAGACAAATTAAATAATGTCTATATAAGCAGGTCGAGAATTAATAAAGGACAATGATTCACATGAATACTTCCCGTATTACAACTAGTAACAACGACAGGGTAAAGAATGCAAATTTACCAAAGATTTATTCCGCAGGCGAAAGAAAGGCGAGTGCGAAGGGTGCATTGAGAGCTAAGAATGCAGATGACGAAGACGAGGAATCGCCACCAGAGCTAACAAGCGAGGAAGACGAAGGGGAAGATTTCCCACCAGGCGACGATGACCAGCTGGAATATCTAGAGAATGTCATAGATCGTTTAGCAGTCCAATGCGATTATGGAAGACCCGTAGCGGAAGTTCTGGAAACTCTGGAACAAATCCTCGGTACGAAGGTCCGGGGCCGAAAGCTGCCTCCGAGCGTAAGAACGTACTGTCTAGCACTTGGCATCACAAGCACCAAGTATCCTATGATGCAGACGGCGAAGCGAACACTATTAGTGCTGAGTAAACGTCTGTTTGCGGAAGAGTCAAGAAACCAAGGAAGAGGATGGACAGAAGTAAAGCCCGACATTATCGAGTGTCTCCAAGAGGCACTGAGATACAAGAAATACCAATTCCCACGGAGACCCGAAAGGGTATCCGACTGGGAGGTTTGGTTGGGTAGAGTCGCCGCAGACATAGGGAGGGAACTTACCTCCTTTACTGAGCTGCAGGCAGAAATCATGAGGTCGCCCGAACTATATCCGGTGAGGTGGGACGCAGTGCAGTTCAACCAACAGCCCAAGGAAGTACTCAACCAACTTTGGAAAACCATGGAGGAGTATATAAGACTCGCTCCTAGGGAAAGGAAGCCGGAGCCGACACAGTCCAAGAACAATAACAAGTCCAAATCCAGTCGATCAACATTAGTTTGCACCAAGTGCAAGAGAAAAGGCCATTCTCAAGAGACGTGCTACGCCAAGACGCGAGACGCGCAAGACAAAGATCGACAAAAGGGGTCCTCTGCAGGCAAGGTCCAACAAGTGAAAGAGAAAGAGCCGACTTGGTAAATCTTAGTCCGTATGGGAACCACAGACGTGACTGGTCTGATAGACACAGGCGCATGCGTCACAATACTGAGTAAGCAAGTGTATACGCAGTTAAAGCGAGAAGCTAGCATACTAAAAGAAATGCGGTCTTCGAAAAGATTCTTATCCGCGGGATATGGGAACACGATTCAGTCCTATAGGGAAATTTTAGTAGATGTGACTTGTGGAGGGGTTCATTTAGGTGCCCATACATGTTTTGTGTTGTATGCTGAAAGCATAGGTACTCCTATATTGGTTATTGCATTGGATGGGCCCAAATTAAGGGGCTACACAACTTAGATATTAAGGGATATACCAAATAATGTCTATTTCGGCAGGCAAACCTAACAAATAAAGGCTGCAGTTTCACTTAGCACTTCCAGTATTACAACCATGTGTGATCAAATTGTTTTCGCACAGGAAAAATATTCTTGCATGGTTTGCGGTGGGCCCCTTTCTCTGTGCCCGAGCCAGCCCGTGCAGCAGCCTGTTGGTGGCTTGGAGGTCTTTAACCGGCTCCGCGGCCAGAGGCGCTGCTAGCAGGATCGCTTTAACGCAGCCACAGAATTTGGCTCTTTAGTGCAACAGCTTTAAAGCAATATACCATTCTGGTGCGCACGAGTGGCTTGGAAAAATAAAGCAAGACAGCACCCTTTAATTTACCTGCCTGTCCTTGCATGGGTCCTTCAGCAGCGCCCTCTCTGCGCACGCCCTGCAGTAGCGTGTCGCAGGCACCCTCCCACACAAACAAAAAAAATCAATGGAGGAATGAAAAAGAATAAGAAGATTTACTTACACTTGGAAAGCCCGGGCCCGAATTTATTGGAGCCTTTCGCTCCCAAATAAACCTCGCCAAGCGTATACATGTTTTCTGCAACCCACCCGCACTACGCCTTCAAACGAGGTCTCATAAGGCGCCTTCTTCTTGTGCAGGCGCACATTCTCTGCGCCAACGGGGATCCCCATCTAGCACATGCATCTCTTCTAAAAGCCTTGCATACTCACTCTTGATAGAATTGAACTGCTATGCGCTCTTGGCCTGCAGCGCCGCATTCCGCAGCCTTTCAGCGCACAAGCTTTCTGCTAGCTAGTGTGCGGGCGCCTTTTCCTGGTCTTGGCCTGCCTCAGCCTGCGCTGCACCCTGCTTGTTCTTCGCATCCGAACCAGCTTCTGGCTCTTTCAAGGGCGCCTTTTCCTGGTCTTGACCTGCCTCAGCCTGCGCTGCATCCTGCTTGTTCTTCGCATCCGAACCAGCTTCTGGCTCTTTCAAGGGTGCTTTTGCCTGGTCTTGGCCTGCCTCAGCCTGCGCTGCACCCTGCTTGTTCTTCGCATCCGAACCAGCTTCTGGCTCTTTCAAGGGCGCCTTTGAATTTTGGTCCTTCTTTGCATCCGCCCCCAAAGGCGCCTGCTTCTTTTCATCTGACGTTTTCGAAGCACCTTCTTCGCACGTGCCCTCACCCATTTGCTTGTACACAAAAATGCATCCACCTGCAGCGCATAGCGCAACTATCAACACCCCGATGCACAACAGCGCCTGCTTTTTCCGACTTGTTCGAAGCATGTGTCCAACCATGCGTGCAAAATCGCGTGCGCTTATATATTTTTGTATACCATCAAAATGATGGCGCCGATCCAAATGAAATATATGTAATACTTTCGCAGAGAATAAACCCGAATAAAGCACACGCCCTCTCCACGCAGCACGGAATGCCGGCAGGAAAGAGGGTAAGGCCGCCCGCCCTGCCCGCGAGTGCTCGCCCTGTTTGTGGCAATGCATGCCTTGCTCGGGCTATATGCTCTGCACTGCCGTTTTGTGTTTGCACTGTGCCAGAATGACGCTTTCAAGTGCCGTTTCCTGATCCATTCTTTGTTTTGCGCCCTTGCTCGCACCTATTTATGTGTACGCTCTCGCACTGACACTTTGGATGCACACCCCGCGCCAATGCGCCCTCCCGGCCCCGTTCTTGCTGTCTTCTCCTGCGCGTGTGTGCTCCTTCTCTCTTTTCCCGCCTTCAAAAATAAAAAGCAAGCCTGTTTGTACATAGCGCAATGAGAAAGAACCCCACACACTCAACAACAGAGCCCCCAGATGGGAGCACCCGCCCCATGCAATAAACCGTCCTTTCCTTCTTTCTTTCCAAGTTATGTACTTCTGTCTCCTCTTCTATACTACCAGCATAACACTCCAAAAAATAAATTCTTCATTCTAGTTTTTTTGTCTCCAGCCTCTCTAGAGCATACTACATTTTGTTTACTTTATTTTTCTTCTTTCCCCCTTCAAGGCTTTAACCATAAATTGCACTAAACACACAGCATCCCGCAACAAGGCGCAGGATGATAAAGCACTCGCCCTCTTCTGCTCCTGACCCTCTGCTCCCCCAAAGAACAACAGACAAATAGCTACTTGATTTATTGATTGTTTCCCTGTGCACATCCGCCCCAGCGCCCAGGCTTCTCGCGCCGCTCTACCTCATTAGATGCCGCAGAAGATTGCATTGGAGCCCGAGCTGCGCACACTGCCGGGTGCTATGCAGCCGCAGAATGGTGTCTTCTCCTTTGCCGCCGGGCACATACCAAAACATGAGCGCAGGCTGTGCACCTTTCTCTACTCTCTTGAAAAACCACAGGAGCAAACACATACCCTGAAAAGCCCAAAACCAGAACAACAGCGATGGCTGCTGCGCTCCACCATATTTTCCTTACCTTACTGCGCTTTTCTGTTCTTATCATCTGCCTTTCTTCCGCAATTTTAATATATACATGGCGCTGCAGAACACTGTGATCTAATATAAGAGCCAAATCCAATCATTTAGATGGCTTGTTTGGGCTTGCGCAAGGGGGCCGGAAGCAGTCGCCTGCATAAGAAGCCAAAAAAGGGGAGCCCTGCTTGGTACAGAGAAGGTCTACGAATAGAAACCAGCTTGATTTATTGAGCAATGTCCTATGCACTGCGGCTTCTAGCGCACACAGGCCCGTTTCCGGCACGCCACAGGCGCTTCCAGGGAAGGGCCAAACTCCGGAACCTATTGAAGGTGCTTTCAAGTAACAAACATCAAAGTGGCTTAAACCCAGATACATTATTCCTGCATGATTTGCTGTGGGCCTCTGCGCCCGAACAGCCCCTGCAGCAACTTGTTGTTGGCTTGGAGGTCTTTAACATGATCGCTTTTAGCAAAGCTCTGAATAAAGCCACAAATTTTGGCTCTTTAGTGGGCAACTTGCGCCATTGCATGCTGGAAACAGCTGTGTGCGTAGGAAATTATTCAATAAATCCAACTAGTTCTTAGTGAACAACTTTAAAGCAGTATATCATGCTGGCGTGCTCGAAGTGCATGCGCTTGAGGAGAGGATTGGAAAAAACAAAAGTGAAGCAGCAAAAGCAAGCGCTGCATGGAAAGCCCGCAGCGGCGTGTCTTTTTGTGCACACACGCTCGCGCGCGCCCCTTCCTGCGCGCAGACACAAGCAAAAGAAAGAAGAAGAGGAAAAAAAAAGCAGAATCCTTTAATTTGGCCCGTCCGAGCTGGGGAGCCCGTCCAGGCTGCAGCCCTTGCCTGCGTCCTCTAGCAGAGCCTTTTGCAGCGTCTGCTCAGAGAGCCCGTCCTGCTCCGAGTCTGTCTCCACGTACGTGTCTCCGGAATACATGTGCTCGTACTCGTCAGACTCTTCGTCGGAGTCCCCGAATTCCACAAAAATCAAAGACGTGCGCCGCAGCGACTCCTCGAGGCACGCCCCCTCAGGCTCCGCCTCCTCAAAGTGCTCGCCCTGCAGCAGCGTGTCGCACGGGCATCTGCTCTTGCAAACAATCGTGTACACACCGTCTGCATCCAGCGCGTGCAGAAGCAGCCCGATGCAAAAAAGTGCCTGGTCTCTTGCGGTATACTGGGGTAAAGTCATGCAAGCAAAAGCGCACGCGCTTATATTGGTTTTTCTGCTTGGAAGAATCTGTGTGATGTGTGCGTCTGTCAAAATGATGGCTGCGTGGGCTGCTGATGGAAGGGGGAAGTTTACCACAATGCCTCCGGGAAAGGGCGCCTTGTGTGCGGCTGCGCGCCGCTCCTGGGGCCCAGCTCTGCCCAAAAACACAAATAAAGCAAAAAGAAAGAAAGAAGTTTTACTTGGATTTTGTATTTGGGCTGCATGCATAAAAGCCGCATCCGCACGCCAAGGGCTTGGCATCCTCTCGAAAGCGCACGTCATCTCCTAAACATTCTTAAAGCTCTAGTGCTGGGCCATCTGCAATAGTAGCGTGGTCTTATATTTTTCATCAAGCGCATACTCTCCATGGCCTTCGACTTTGCAGCCTTTTTTAAGGACGCGTCGAAGACCGAAATCTTTATCTGGGCGGCCTCCAAAAGGCCCGAAATATGCGCATGCTCTTCGCGCAAGCAGGAAACATGCTTCTGGGCCGCGCCCAAAAGGCTCGAAATCTCTTTTAAGACCGGGTGCTCTATAGGCCCGGCGCTTTCTCTGAGTTTTATCCTATAAAAAAGCAGACACACGCCTATGGCGCATACCATGGCTACTATTAGTCCGGCGCTCTGCAGCGCCTTCCATTTCCAACATTTCCGGACTGTGTTTTGAGCCTGCATTTAGGCAAAAGTGCGCATGCTTATATTGCATTCAATCCCATCAAATGATGGATTCTCAGTCTGCTTCGGGCGCTTGCCCAAAGCCCAAAATGAAAAAAGGATTTGCTTTAGAATTTGGAAGACGCAGACGGGCTGCCCCCTGCGGGGCGCAGCTTCCCCGAATCCAGGCGGCAGTCGCGTAAAACATTATCCTTTATTTGTCTTGACCTGCTTAAATAGGCATTGTTTAATTTGCCCGTGGCTGCCCGATTTGTAGCGCTCCTTCACTGGGCCTTCTATATAGTGGCCATTTGCGAGCACCTATGCTTTGGGTGCACAGCAGGCTGCATCCTGCTCCTTCTCTGCACCCAAGCGCTCTGCTTGCATTTTTATGCTCGCACTTAAAGCCATGTTCTCCTCCATGGTCGCCACCAAAGACGCGTGTTCCCTGATGTCTATCTCTTTCAAAATAGCTTCTTTGCAGGCACCCTCTCTGCGCTCTGCATTGCACGCGCCCTGACCGCGCATGAACGTGTTCGCCTCTCTATACACACGAAGGCGCACGAACCAAGCGCCTAGTATGCCCATCAACATTGCCATGCTCAGCAGAGCCCAAATATAAGTCAGATTTCGCCTTCACCGGGCCATTCTAAGTAGCTATACAAACCGCATGTCAATAAAGCGCGAGCTTATATTACATCCAACACCACCAAAGCGATTGCTAGTTGGGGCACTTCTGGGCCCTTCCCAACGCCCAAAAAAGAAAGAAAAGGAATTTACTCTATTTGGGAGGTTTACCCCCAAACAAGTCTTTTATTACTTGCTTTACCAGATTTAACTCACGTTTTAAAGCCGCTTTTGCAAAGAGCAGTATAAGCCCAGCTTTGTTGAACACAGTCTCTGAACCGGTGGAGATCTTCATATCTGCGCCTGGCCGGCCAGAATCTGCGGTTTTTTTGAAGCTGTCCATATCCGAATAAATAGTGCTGTTCCTATGCATGATTTTTGTTTGTTCGTGTAATTTCGCGTTCTTTGCGTTGGATTCTGTGCGATGCGCCTTCTTCTTGCGCAAAGGAGGAATCGGCCTTTCTTCGGCATCCAGGCGCAGGTTGCATCTTTTTTCTGTCTCCGCGCGCACGCTCATCTCTTGCGCTATATCCTGATCTCTTGCACTCTCTTGTGAGGCCGTCTCCGCGCGCGCGTTACTCGGCATTTTTTCTGCGTCCGACTGTTCTTCTTTCTCTTTTGTGGCTGTCTTCAAGCTCACATTACAATTTTGTGTTGCGCCCAACTGTTCTGCATCCTGCTCTTTCTTTTCGCAAAAATGCTCACTATGCTCTTTCTCTACGCCTTGAGCGGTGCTCCCCTCTGCTTCCACCTCCAAAGATACATATCCCTCGTTCACCACCCCTTCCAAAGCATCTTTTTTACAGGCACCCTCGCTGCGCTCTTTCTCGCACGCGCTCGGACAGCACGCAGCCTCATTCGGCTCTAAGCACATAAGCAGAGACACACATACAGCACACATCCCGATCAGCAGCACTCCAACGCCCAGTAGCGCCTGAATTTTTCGGCTTGTTTGAAGCCTGTGTACAAATTTCATGCCAATATAGCGCGTGCATTTATATATTGCCAGAAAGGCATCAAAGTGATGGGATTTGGGTTGTTTTGCGCAAAGAAGTAAAAAAAGATAAAACACACGTTCTTTCTTTCTGCCTCTGCTGAGTACGGAAGGAATGCAGGCAAAGGCCAGAAGAAAAGGCAAGCGCCCAGCGGGAGGGAGGCCGCCCAAGCCCGCCAGGCCCGGGTGTGTCTAGACGTGCCCAGCCCTTTCTCTGAATGTTTCCCAAACAGAAAACAAAAAGCTTACGCATGCTTACTTTCTCCTTCTTGCGCAGCAAGCTTGGATAGAGCACACACGCAACCCCACACACATAGCTCCAACCCGCCCATGCAGGGAAAAAAGGACAATGTTTCACATGACTACTTCCTGTATTATAACTAGATATGGAGAGAGCGTAAAGAAGGAAAAATTTGCTTTCTTCTGGTTGGCTGTGCGAGCATGGCCAAGGCCAAGCATATGGAAACAAAGTGCAGAAGGATAGGCCGTCACAGTTTATTTAAAAAGCAGTTTCCCGCCATTCTAGCCGTTGGCAAAGCCCAGTTCCGGAGAGAGCAGGTGCTTTGAATCGCGTTGCCCAGATGTGCAGCGCAGCTTATACGCCCGAAAAAGTTACTTTCTTGGGCACGGGGTTCGGGATTGGCGCGCTCTTTAGTATGCCTGCAGCGGGCTTGCCTGGAACAGAGGGTGGTTGCCCATCTTTCTGCTTGCGGTCTTTCTCTGAAGCGTTGATGGCAGCGTGTATTGCGCCGCACGCTGCATGCAGGCCCAGCGCTCCGTAAAAGACAGCCCAGAGCGCTCTGTTTTTTCTTCCAGGACAGAGCCCGCTCGCAGCCCGCGCCGCAGCTTTTTTCTCTGTCTCTTTTTGTTTTTTCATGATTGCAGGCAGTTTTTAATTATTTATAGTTGCAGAAAGACAGGCGAGTGTGGTGCTGCATTCGGGGGCTGGCATCTGATGGTATGGAAGCGGCAGAATCAAAGAAATTCGCAAAACTTAAATGTGGCAAAAGCAGACAGAGGGGCCAAAGGGCCGCTGGCAAACCTGCTTGGGAAACAGAAGGTACGCCAGAGCTCGCTTAAGAGAGGGCATTTTCAGCTTGCAGCAATAAAACACTGTGCGCTTTCTAAAGACTTGCATGCTTGGCGCTTTATTTTCTTTTGGGCCACAACGAAAAGCGCTCCTTTGCTGGCCTACGCTCGCGTGCAGCGAAAACTTTGCGCTTTGGCGCGCATTCCAAAATGCAAGAGAAAGGGCGTGTTACATGCTGCCTCTCGCGCATACAGCTCGGGTTGTGTACGAAATTGTGTAGCAGCTGTCCGAGGGCTCGCCATCAAGGGCCGCGGCAGGCGAAATGATGTAGGCCCTGGTTATTTTTAAAATGTCTAAAATGCCTAAGTCTACTGCCATCGCCGAGTGGCCGCTCTCGGGCTTTTCTGCAGGCAGCACCAGCGCGGCCTCCTCATCCATCTCTGTTAGGTCTGCAATGCAGCGTGGAGGGCGGGCGGAGCCCGTTTCATGCGCGCCGCAGTCGGGCAGAGGCACTGGCCCGCTGAGGAAGAGCGGGAGATAGACAACGGGGCTGCCTTGCGCCGAGCCGCTCTCCTCAGGCGGCCTGAACTCCACAAGCGCAAGGCTGGCGCTTTCTGCCGTGCTTTTTGGTATGTAGTAGAAAACCAGAATCTCCTCAGCATCGCTGCACGTGCTAAAGTACTCCGTGCTCTCTGGGCTTGTGTATGTTAGGGTGCGCGTGCTGAGGCTGAACAAGAAAACGTGGATTTGGTCCTGCGGCCTGTTGTGTGTGTCTGCAATGTACCTTACTATCTCAGCACACGATATTTGGGCGGGAGCCTGCGGGATTACAACGGGCTTCTGTCTCTGCTCTGCGTTGTCCACGTAGCACACGCGCTGCATAGGAAGCGGTTCGCGCAAAAAAACGTCAGCAAACCCCACGTAGTTATCGTTGGGCTCTGCGCTGGCCCGGACGTACAGCATTCTCTGGGCCTCTTTGTCGACTTTAAACACGCTTTGGCGCGTTTCTTCGAGAGGAAAGGCGCCGACGTTCTCTGCAGGCAGGGCGCTTCCAGAGACAAAGCACGTTTTGCACAGCACCCAGATGGCCCGAAACACAGACATGCAGAGCCTTTCTATGTAGGACTGGACAGTCACAAGATGCTCTTTTTCCTTTTCTAAATAAAAAAGCGCCTCCAGGTGGGCTACCAGCTTTTCCCCGTGCTCCAGCAGACAGGCCTCTAGAGCGCGGTCCGCATGTGCTTCCATGCCTTTGGCAATCCCATGCAAGCACTCCAGCGCGCCAAAAAAGTCTGTGTGGCTTGAGCCCAAGTCCTTCCCGCATATGGCCATCTCGCGAAAAAAACTCTCCATCTTGCCTGGGTCTTCGAGTTGGCCTTTTAAGGAGTCAAGGGACTCTTTTTCAAGCCCAAGAACGGCGCTGAAAACCCTTGGGTCGCTGAAAAAATGCTGTATGGCGGCAGGAGCTGTGTGGCCCAGGATTGCCCTCAAAGGAGGCAGGCCTTCCAGGCGCACAGCCTGCTGATTCCCACGGGCCTCCTCGGCATTTCCCCAAATCAGCGCAGACATAAGCACGCCCCCGGCGAAGCCCAGAAGGAACAATATTGCGCCCAAAACCGCTAGAAGCAGCACTTTAGTTTTTCGATTTCCTTCTAACATTTCGTCCATGCACTGATAGATACTTTATTAATATTTATCCTGCAGCGCATCACTCTTGAAGTTTGCATGCAAAGCTTAATTTTGTCCGGAAAATCTTTTTGATCTCAGAGCATCCAAGCAAAAGGGGGCAAAGCGCTTCTGCAGGCGGAGCTTTCCTTGCCCGGCCATGCGCCTGGGCGCGAAAGAGCTCAGTTTCGAAAGCATGCAAGAAAGCAAAAGGCAGCTGCGGTTTAGTGCGCACAGAGGCTCTGCGCTTTCTGGGCACCACACACGCAAGAAAGAGCGAGTTGCTCTGCTGGCCCTCGCGCTTTCTGCGTGTTTGCGCCAATGGGCGTCCGATCAAATTGATGATTGTAGTATATAGCTCGATCGAATGCATTGTGCATGGAAGTAGCAAACAGAGACCAAGCAAACTCAAATGCTTGGCTAATCGCCATGATGCTCACAGCAGGCGCGGTTTCTGCGCAAAACAGAAAGAAAAGCATAATGTGGAGCAGCATCTGTGCGCTGCTCGGCATTCTGGGCATTTCAGGCGTGGCCTGGGCCATGTACGCCCAGGGGCGCAGAGCCTCCAAAAAGCAAAACCAGGTGTACCCTTTCCCGAAGCACGCACACAGCCAAAGCAGGCCCAAGGCAGGCCTAGACTGCACACAAACGCCAAAAGAAACAAAGCACCCAATCCCAAATACGGTTGCACGGGCACTGCCATACGCCAAAAGAAGCCACCTCTCAAGCCAACCACGCATTCCTCTGGAGCGGCACTCTATACAACAGGCCAAAAAAAGCTCTAGCGCCAAGGAGCTTGGCGCAGCACAGAACGCCAGCCTGCCCCGCCAAGAGCCAAAGCATGAAGAAAAATGGCAAAATAAGCAGAAAAGCTCCTATGCCATAGGGGAGTATCCTAGCGAAGCCCGCTGTGATGGCTCTATAAAGCCGGGCTTCGCTCCGCCAGTTCCCATTCGCAGCGAGGGTTTGCCCAACAGAAACATGCTGCCAGTCGCCAATCAGCTATCTGCGCCAGACAGTGCTTTCTCTGAAAAAAGCGATGTGCCTGGTAAAAGCAGCCAGAGCCCCGCAAAGGCGCCGCTCAAGACAGGCCCGGACGCAGCCACCCAAATCACGAACGAGCCCCCAACAAAAGACTTGTGCGAAGCAAGCGCCTCAAGCACAGACACAAAGGCAAGCACTCTTTCCCAAAAGCATCCCCAGCCTCCTATGAAGCAAAACCCGCCCCCTCAATATGTAAACCCGCCTCCCAAACAGCCAAACCATTTTCCTAGGTAGAAAAATAGGCCTAGCGCAATGAGTTTTCGTAAAAAAGGAAAGCGATAATGCAGATATAATCCCACCATGTGCGGGCGCTGATTCCAGTGGCCTAGCAATCAGGCCATGCACGCTTTTTGAGAGCGCGGCAAAACCTTGGGCCCTTTGAAGCACAAAGAGCAGCCCGAAGAATACAAAATAGGCGACATAGAGACTGCCCAAGCTTTCCGCTCTACAGAAAAGAAAAAGCTAAAAACTTTTTCCTGCGCGTATGGGAGCATGCTCCCCTCGTGGGCGCCGGAAAAGCTAGTGCTGGCGTTCTGGCCTATGAAAAGGCTGTTGGCAAGACAAAAGCGCCATTCTGCAGCTAGCACGCATGCTTGCAGGATTGCATGCGGGTATATCGAAAAACACTCAAACAGAACAATAAACAGCTGAATGGACAAAGGCATGCATATGTGCGCCGCTATGCGGCCTGTTCCTGCAGACCCTTCGCGCTTGCACACAGCCCCGCAAAGCACACGCATGCGTTTTATTCTTTTTACTTTTATTTTCTTGGGGGCTCTTCGGCCCAGCAGCAGAGGCTCCACTCGCAGGAAAGAGGCGCCCAGCGCTGCACTCCTTTACTTGAAAGCTTTCTTGATTTTAATGATGAACGTGAGTATTTCCTTTCCGAAAAACACAAGCAGGCACCCACCAAAAACAACAAGCAGGGCCACGCCCAGCATCTTGAGCCAGCGCCTTCTTTTTCTGCGCCCAGTCGCCAGCTCGATCTGCGCGTTGACCCCAGCTGTTTCGTTGCTGCTTAGAAACAGCTTGTTAGCCGCCCCCTCGATCTCAAAGTTTGAGCTGCTCACTATTTCGCTGAGCTCAATGAACGCTGTGTTTAGGCTGTTCAAGTTTGAAAGAATCTGCTGTATGCGCACGTCTCCCTGCGGGCTTGGCGCGCGGCAGTCGGAGAGCGCACCGCGCAAGGCCTCGGAGCCTTCTCCAAGAGGCTCCGCCGCGCAGGCCTCAAACTCCTGCCGCTCGTCTATTGCGTCCAAAAACGCCAGCTTAGACTCCAAAAACGCCTCAGACTCCTGCTTCAGGCGGGTGTACAGGCCGTGCGCGTGCTGGCGGATGCTATTCTCCGGAATGCCTTTTCCAGAGTAGCTCAAAGAAAGGCGCTCTATGCCTTCTTTTATCTCTGTGCAGATTTTGTAGAAAGCAGAGCTTCTTTCTCTGAACTGCTCGATAACAGCATGCGCCTTCTCGGGGTTTCGCGCGGCCGCCAAGTACGCGCTCTTCATTTCTTTGACCGCATTTGTGTGCGCGGAAAGAAGAGAAATCTCCTCGCCCTTTTTCTTATAGTGTTCAAGAAGCTCTACAAAGAAAGTCTGTGCCATATACACGCTAAAACTTTTAAAGTGTCAATTAATATTTCTAGAGCGGAGGCTTGGCATGCACGCTGCAGTGCAAAACTCGCCAGAAAGCGCCTTTCCGTGCGCGCCCTGAAATGCATGGAGTAAGAAGAGCTGGCTGCCTGCTGCCGCACATATTCTGGAAATACAGCGCACAGCCCGTGGGGTGCACAGGCGTCCGCTTTCCTTTGAGCAAGGGGCTGGCCAGCCGCCTATTTCCCATGCTCGGAATGCGTGCGTTGTGGGTGCCAGCGTGTAAATGAGATGCAGCGGGCCTAGGCCAATCCACACGGCAAAGAGCAGCTCTGAAAAGCCCGGGTGCGCTCCCAAAGACGCCGGGCCGCAAAGCATGCATAGGCTCTGGCTCGGGCAGAGCACAGCAGCTGCGGGCATAAGACATTAATTAAAAAAATCAACACATTGGCAAGCCTCTGCAGGGGAAGAAACTCTTATTTTAGAGTAGGCATATTGTGTGTTTATTTACAAAGTAATTTTTTTGTATACAAGTGGATCAAGTATGCATGCTATACTTTTAATATGCCTTCTATTTCTAAAAGCGGCGTGGCTGTTGAATCTGAACAGATTTTCGCCAAAGGAGCACGAGGTCGAAATCGAGCTGATTAACTGTAAGGGGCTAGAAATGTGTGGCGGAGGCGTTTTCGTGCAAGGCATCAAGGGGTATTGCAACAGAAACAGACAAAAATACTCGTCTTCCCCAGTGGCGAAGATCCCCGTATATCTAAGCCCCGCAAGCTTTGAAAGAGATTTTTTAGAGCTTTTGAAACCCCATCTCGAGAAAAATCGCAGCCCGCTCTTTCATATGTCCCAAGTCACGGGGGTTTTAGAGAACGCAGACAAACTAACCGGGGAACTCAACAAAGACACAATGGGCCACTACATGGGCCTTCTGCAGCTAAAGGAGGCGGTTTCTAAAATTACGCGCACGCATCTTCTTATAACAGAATACTCCCCCACGCATCTACGCGGCATATTTTCCCTTCTCCACGCCATGCAGCTTGACATGTTTATTTTGGTGATGTGCAAGAACAGCAGCGAAGTCGCGCAGATTGTCATGTCAAAGGAAGCCGAAAAAGCATTCTACATTGCAGTGGCCATACCGTACATAAACGGGCTGCTGTCTGTAATGGAACTTAAAAAAAGAAGTCCCAGCAGCCACATGAAGCTGTATCTAAGCTACTGCCACAACACCCACTACATTCTGGAAATTATAGCGATACTCTGCATCATGGGAACTCTAGGCTTCGCTGGGTGCGTGCTGTACTTTTTTTGGGTGTGTTCAGCGCCCAGAAGGCGCGCTCGAGAAAGAATAAAGCCCTCCAAGCTGCAGCTCATTCCAGTCATGCGGTACTCAAAACTTGCGGAAAGAGCCGAGCTGGAGGCTTCGAGCAAAGAGTGCATGATATGCCTTGAGGCATTCGAGCCAGACTCTGTCTGCCGGATGCTCCCGTGCAAGCACTTCTACCACAAACAGTGCATCGACACTTGGCTGGTCAAGTATGTAAACCGGTGTCCGTATTGCCAGGCGAGGCCCAACCCAAATCAAATTCTCAGCCCGGGCTGAGCCGCGCGCTTTCTTCAGACAGACGCTTCGGTTTTAGAAGCCGCAGAAACGCCGGCAGCTGTACAGCACGGCCTGGCCGCAGTCATGCCAGAAAGTGCCCACCCGAATATGCAGACAATCCGCTGGCTTTTGGCGTGGACTTTCTTTGGAAAAGGCCGCAAACGAGTGCATGGATGCTTGTATATCCTCACAATCCACTGCACACTGTACTGCAGGAAACCGCTGTCCAAAGCCAACACATCTTGAAAAAGGCCCCTCTATGAAGCACTTCGCGCGCATGTATGCGCGATATTATACAAAGGCCTTTTGTCACAAAATGCACACTTTTTGGCTTGGTGCAAGCGAATAAAATGGTTTAAACATAATAGGCGACTTTTATATTCGCGCTGCACGGAGCGCAGAGCCAAAGGCTGGCGCACGTCTGTGCTCTCAAAGCACGCGTGCCCGGCTTTGTAAAAGGAGCGCTATACAGCACGCAAGCTTGGAGTTGCGCACCCTCTATCTATCTTTGGCAGGCCCGAAAGGCGCACCCTGCGTGCCCTTAATGCACTTTGTGCACAGTATCACGGAGACGCTTGCATCCACTTGCTGGTCGCAGAAGATGCACAGCTTGGACAGCGCCTCGCTGCGCGCAGCCTCTGCGCTTGTGTGAAGAGAGCGCACTGAAATAAGAGACTCCACCTGCTTGGGCGCGCTCTCCATCACCTCGAGGAGATTCGCCACTCTGAAAACCCTCTCGCCTCTTTTGTTTCGGTACACTTTAACAGGGCTTTCGGATGCGGGGCTTTTCGAAAAGCGGGCGCCGCCCGGGGCGCCTGTTTGCCCAGCACGCCCGCTCTGTCTGCAGCTCTGTCCTTCCACGCTCATTGTTTTCTCATTGGACGCCAGATAAGAATGGTTGGTGGCTGCAATTAATTTTTTGCATATGCCCAAATTTGACAAAGCAGAAGATTAATGTTTTAAATTGCCAAGTTCATTGCCCATGCACGGCCAGCGCCTGCCCCAGAGAAAGGCTGCAGGGAAGGCTGCGCCCCGGGGCCCTCCAGACTCGCTGGGAGCTTTTTCTGCATTTAATTGCACTTTTTATTTAGCTATTTTTATCGATGGCGACAGCAGAAAGAGAGGTGGCAGAGCTTCTCAAAGAGTCCACAGAGAGCAAAATCAACACAAAAACAACCTGGAGCTCCACGCTCATCGACGACTTCTCTAACATAGAGAGGTTTAAAGAAAAAGAAACAAACAGCGTGAACTTCCAGCATGCAAGCATAGTGCTGGACGGGTGCGTGAAGGTGTACAGCACCCGCGTGGACAGCGTGGTGGACGAGGCCGAAAAGCTAATGGGATCAGTGGGCCGGGCCAAGGAGCCCGAGCGGCAGAGGGCCCGGGCCAAGGCCCACCCAACAATAGAGCCAAACCCAGAGGCGATTCTCATCAGGCCAAAGATAGCCTCTGCAGACGACGAAATACTCGAGTATCTGGCGCGGGAGTCGAAGGAGGGCGACACGCGAGGGCTGCTTATGCACCTTCTGAAGTGGAGCGACGCCAAGGGCTTCCACGTGCTGCCCCCCAGTGTTTTCCCCGAAAAAACAGAGCAGAAGAAAGACGCAAGTGCAGGCGAAAGCCCCCAAGCGCTGCAGGACCCGGAAACAGACTTCAGCTCCCTCCACGCATCGATGCACATGGGAGGCGCAAGAAAGCACATCAGCCCCATGTTTTCTGCGTTCACCCCCGACAAGTCCGTGGACGAGCTGGTTCTCCCCACATACGCATACCACATCAGCTACGACACAGAGCCGCTGGAGTACGCGTACAGGGCGGGGGCCGACGCATTTGGCGAGTATGCAATGTGCGGAGAAAGCGTGCCGGCAGAGGACAGCGAAAGCGGAGAGCGTGCAGAGGCGCCGGAGGAGCACAGCAGCCTGGGCCAGGCGCCTGCAGCCGAAGCACGGCCCAGCAAGGAGGAGCTGCGCCTTGTGTATACGCCGTTTGGGTACTCAAAGGGCTGGGCGGGCCCGTCGCACTGGAAGGTGCGCCCCCAAAGGCGGATGAGGGAAAGAGAAAAGCCGGAGGGGAAGGAGAAGAAAAAGGCGGTCATAGACTTTCTCACAGACACACACCTCCCGATATCCGCGCTTTTTGAGCGGGGGAAAGGCATAGTGATCGACCCGCAGCAAATATCAGAAAGAAGAAAAAACTGCAACACGCTTCCGCCTGACCAGAACGTGCGGGTGGAGGACCTGTACAGGATGTTTATGTATCCAGGAAGCCTGTACTTAGAGGAGAAGGCCGCTCCGGACGCAGCATGCTCTGAGGAGAGCGCGCCTCTGTCTATAAACGGCATGGAGGAGGGCGAGTACCTGGAACAGGACGCGCCCGAGACGCTGGTGAGCGATGCGCAGGAAAGGCCTTCTGCACCACAGAGCACTCTGCTGTCCAGAAGGCTCCTGCAGGGCGCGCTCCGGCGGGCCCGCAGAAACGACATAGTGAAAGTGAAGGAGAACATGTGGAGCCAGATCGAGCAGGGGGAAAAGAAGGTGGACGAAATGTACACCACTCTGGAAGGGCAAAAGGTCTCTGTGCAGTTCTATCTGGTTTCCCTCCTCCACCTGGCAAACGAAAAGAACCTGCGAATAACCTCGGAGTCCGCCGAGCCCCTGCCGAGCATTGCAGACCTTCTTCTGAACACATCTACCATGTCTGCATAGAGCACGCCTGGGCTGCAGCCTCCGTGCTGTGGATCTGTCTTTAATAAACCATAGAAGCACACACATCTGCCCGCGTGGGCGCCAGGCGCCTTCTGATGCTGGTATTTAACTGTAATTATTTTTTTAAAATTCTATGGTAGCTTTGAAAAAGTGCGTAGCAATATATCCACCTATGCTTGATCTGTTTTTCAACGTGAACGCAGACTTTTTGGAAGCGAACGAAATAGAGCCCAACGCCATTGTCGGGTATTCCACCGAAAAACACCAAAAGCTGCATGAAGGCATGATGGCCCTCCTGGAAAACGGCGAGAAACCCATAGTGTTTCGGGCAGGGGGCGCAACCTTCAACACCCAGAAGGTCCTTTCCCAGTGGATGGACTGCTACTTCTTTGGAATTGTTGGGTCCGACAGGTACGGCGAGATCATAGAGCAGAAGATGCAGGGCACTGCCGTGAACATATGCCTGGACAAAAGAGAGCGGTTCTCGACTGCGTGGGCGTACGTCTTCATCTGCGGCGACAAAAGAGCAAACCTTGCGTACCAGGACAAAAGCGTGTGCTACTCCAGCGGCGCAAAGGAAAAAATCTGCTCGCTGATATCAAAAGACACCGTGTTCTACTTTGTCTCTTTCATGTTTTTCCTGGACAACGTGGTCAGCGACTGCATAGAGCTGTACAAGAAAAAGAACGAGATCGGGTTCTGCAGCGTGGTGAACCTCTCCTCGGAGGAAATCGCCCGCATGTTCAGGCCCAGGATACTGGAGATCATAAAAATGTCGGACTTCATAATCGGGAACAAGGAAGAGTACTTTGCGCTGTCGGGCTGCACAGACATAGACTCCCTCCTCGCATGGCTTGACACTCTTGGCGTGGCGTATGCAATCACCGACGGGCCCGGCGAGGTGCTTGGGAAGGCCCCGGGCGGGCCTCTGCGGAAAACCCTGCCCTTCAACGTGCCTGCAGACTCGGTCACAAACGGCGCCGGCGACTCTTTTGCTGCCGGGTTTATAGGGGGGCTGGAGGGCTGCACAAACCCCGCAGGCATCACAGACATACTGCCCTTGCTGGAGAAGGGGGCCTCCGCGTCATACAGCCACATAAAGAGCCTGAAGAAAGGACTTGCCTCCTAGGCGCAGCCGCTGTTGGCGCTGGCCCGGGCCGTGGGCAGGCGTTGCCGTGCATAAAAGCACATGCATTATGCAGTGCTGCATTTGCTGTATTATGCAAATAAACATTCGGGGTTAGCATGATTTTTCTTTCTTTGCAGCCCGCCCGCGCCCTGCACCTGCACCCCGCGCCTCTGCTCTGTTTCCAGCGCCCGACGCCCGTGTTTTTATTATTTACGCATCAGAAAATTTTTAATGGACATAGCTGAAGCAGTTAGGCGCATAGAACTTGCAGAGGAGTTTTCGTTTGACGAGGCAGCGCTCTCCGTTGTGGGGCAGGCAGCCATCGCCACCGAGGAAGACGGCCGAAGGCTGGCGCGCGCGCTGTTCAACAACTACTGGGGGCTGCCCAAGAAAAAGAACCACGAGCAGTGGGCGGAGTTCGTGATGGAAAAGATACAGAGCCGGCCGGACAGAGAGGCCGCCTGCATGCACCTTCTGAGATGCATACGAGAGAGCTGGGCGCAGATAGACATCCGGCTGAAGGAGAAGTTTGTCTTTCTGCTGGAAAAAATCATAGAAGAAGCCATAAAAACGGCAGAAAATCCAATCAGCCAGTTTATTGTTAAGGGCCCTGCCGCAGAGTACGACTTGCCAATAATGCGGGCAGTTATCAAAAGCAGGCCAGTCTTCAGCCCAGAAGAGGCCGAGTACCTTCTAGAGTATCTGCTAAAAACGGCAGACACATACTTTACAAACTTCTTTATACAGAACATCCTTCCCCAGCTCAGAAAGGAAGGCGTTTCCCAAAAGCTTGCAGAAAAAGCATACTCCGAGGGGAGCAAAAGAGGGCGGTCCCCCAAAATGGCAGAGCTGCTTTACGCCATATACGAGTGCAGGGCAAAGTAGAGCACGCCTCCAGCACGGGCAAAGCGGCCTGCGCGCTCACAGAGAGCCTTTCATCTGCTTTATCTTCCCAAGAATGCGCTTTCGGTGCACAGAAAACTCCCGAATCTCCTGGTATATCTCAGCAGTAAGGGGCACGCCCTGCAGATCCAGCAGATAGATAATAAACTCTATGTTCACATTGTCCCATATGCTTCTCTGCACGTGCAGCTCCAGCTTCTCCATGAGAACCCCGGGCGGCTTTGTTTTGCCCAGCTCCTCGGACACCTTGGGAATGTCCTGGGGGAACAGAACCGCTGCCTGGGGAAGCGAGGACGAGGTCAGGTTGTGCGATATAATACTCTGCACGTTTGCACACTTTTTCTCCCAGCTTTTTGCAGTCTCTGCTTCGACTTCTCTCGGAAAGTGCCGGGGGGCCTCCTTTATGTGGAAAAGCAGCGCGCTCACGGCCTCGCTGTCCTTGCTGTGCAGAGACCACCGGGTGCCGTTCTGCTCTATGACAGCAAAGCACTTGCTTCCGACCTCCTGCTTGTACGAAATAAGGTCGTGCGTCATTTCCAAGGTCTGCCCGTGCTCGCTGGTTTCGCCCTTCTTGTGCGCGAACAGAAAGTGCGCATATATGCTCACAACGTACTTCTTGGCAAACATTGTGCTGCTGTTGAACGTCTTTAGCTGGTAAAACTCGCCCACAAACAAGGGCGGCTGCTTGCGCGCAGTCTCAAAGGGACACGTCGGCTGAAGATACACCGCGCCCCCCAAGCTGCACACCGCCTCCTGCGCGCCCACCTGCCGCAGCGTGCCCCTGTCGGAGGATGCCTCCCGGGTGTACAGCGAAAAGCAGGAGAAGTGCTGAAACGCAGGGAAATAAAGCTGCAGCGCGCCCAGAGCCTGCGCAGCCGGGAGATCCTTTGGCACGTGCAGCGGTATCCGGCTCCCGCATGTATTAAGAATGCTCCTTGCAAAGGCGTTCACGTACACGTATGCTGTGTGCTCGGGGCGCGTCAGAATGTACATATGGCTGTTGTTGACATACCTGTCCAGCTGCGAGTTGAGGTGCAGGATTTCCTCCGAGACATACACACACCTCTTCAAGAAAACCTTCACTATTGCATGTGCGGGGATAGAAAGGTTGTTTCGCGTAAAAAACGCGCACACACTCTCTTCTTTGAAGTCCAGACGCTTTCCCGTCTGTATGCACCACACCATTAAACAAACAAACACCGCCACGCATATGTGCGCGCTTTCTGATAGAGCCTTGCCAATCACGTTTTCATTGCAAAAGCCTGCGCATGCTTGCCGAGAGACAGAAGCGTTGCCAAGCAAAGAAAAAACAAACAAACAGAATTTACTAAATCAGCTTTTTCTTCTTCAGGAAGTCCTTGAATGAGATCGTCTGGTAGACCAGTATTCCGGCGAATGCAACGAACATGATTATATTTATACAAAGGATCGAAATAACAATCTCGTTGACGCTGTCGGAGAAGGCAGAGGTTTCCTTCTGCCTGTATGAGGTCTGCAGGGAAAGCTCGTACAAAAGCTTCTCAAACTTGGTCATTTCCGACATGGCTGGATTAATTACCTCGAACTTTGCAATTTCCTTGTTGAACGTGTTGTACTGCGACGTAAACTCGTAAAGCATCTTTATGTTCTTTTCCGAAAGCGGCTCCTTCTCCTCGATCTTCACAACGTATATCTGCCCGGACGTTGTGTTGAACGAAAAGTGCACCTCCTCGTTGTACTTAAGGCCCTCCTTCGTGAAGACTCTCTTCATGTTTTCCGAGAAAATCGTGGCGTTCAGCGAGCCCTCTGTCGGCGTCTCTAGCATAAACACGCCCTTGCAAATCTGGTTGTCAATCACGCCTCTCTGTATCGAGAACGGCTTTGTTATGTCGTTTATGTTGAGGACCATCTTCGCCTGCGCAAGCCCTGCGAGCAGAAGAATCATGCTTATGAGTTTCATTTCCAAACTAAAAAATGTAAAAGTTATGAAGGAGGAGAAGCAAGACAGGCCCGACGCAGAGCTCTTTATGGGAAAAAGCTCTAGATGGAACGTGCTAGTGAGGGTTCCACACATCAAAAAGTACATACGCTCTCTGAACGTGTGGAGCTTTCTAAACAACTTTGAGGCAAACCTCGCAAAAAAACGGTATTTGGTTCTGGGCCTGGAGGGCATCATTCTTTCCTCCACAATAGCGCCCCCGCCGCGCCGGGTGGACCACATAGTGCAGTACAGAGCAAGCGGCAGCCTATGCACGCACTTTGTGCGGTATCGCCCAATGCTGCACGAGTTCCTGCGGGAGGTCGCGCAGTGGTACACGCTTGTTCTCTATACAAGCGCGGAGAAAGAGTTTGCTGACAGGGTGGCGGACTATCTGGAAAGGGACGAGAAGCTGTTTGCGAGCCGCTTCTACCGGAGCGAGTGCGACTACATAGACGGGCGCTTTCTGAAGGACCTGGAGAAGGTCTCTGAGGACCTTTCTTCCGTGGTGTTTCTAGACTATGACTTTGGAATGCACAAAAACACGCTTCCAATAGACATGTTCACAGGGTGCCCAAAGGACCGGAGCCTGCTTTCCACGGCAATAATACTGGACAGCCTGCGCTTCTGCTCCGACGTGCGGAGCATTCTGGAGCTTGCCCATCTGTAGAGCGCCCCGGGGCGCGGCAAGCCGGCGTCTGCCTGCTTTGGTAGAAACAGAGGCCTGCGCGCGCAGACAAAAATACACACACAGCGCGCAGGCCTGCTGTGGAGGTGCCCCTGCTCAACCGCGCGTGCAGCGCCGCCACTTTTCTGGAGCTTGAGCGCTGGCGCGCCTCTTGAATTCTCTTGCTGCTGGCCTGACCTTCTCTACTTCCATTTTCTCTGCGTCTAAGAAAAAAACACGCACGCTTGGATGGGCTTGCACTTTCCGGGCTGCTGTCGCACAGGCTGTGACAGCACACTTGCTGCACAATGCACTGCGCCCACCATGCCCTAGCACAAACAGATAAATAAAATAAATTGCCAGTCTGCCTGCGGCTCGCAGGCAGCACATATAGACTTGCCAGATCCTATAGCTTATTTATAAGCACCCGACTTTCTTCTAGGCCTGTATAGCGCTAATCTGTTCGGGATCGCGCGCCAAATCCCGTGGCAGAACTGAGGATATCCATTCTCTCCAGATCTACTCAGAAGTCCCTTGCTTTTTAAAAAGAAGCTCGAGCAGCAGATTGTGCGCCTGAAGATCCTCCTCGGTCCTTTCGTGCTTCGAATCGCAATCAATGGCTTGCCCAGCGCCCGCCGTCTCCGAAACGCACATTCTCCAGCACTGGAAAGCGCCGCGGGCTGTGCAAATGCAGGATGCTATACACACATGCTCCGGACTTTCTTTTACGCGCAGCTGGCGTCTGCAGATTCTTCAGAAGGGACGCTTGCATACGTGCAAACAGACGGGCCGACAGGCGCATGCACAAGGCTTTTGGCAGCCAGAGCCTACTATGGGCTGAGGCCCTCCACCACATACAGGGCTAAAAGCAAAAAAAGAGCGGAATGCACAGACTGCCGCTGAGGTCTTTCGGGCCCAAGCCTGGCAAACATAAACTCCTGGTCCGCAAGGCTTGCGTGAACACGCTAAAACACCACATTGCCTCTGGTTAGAGAGTTGCATCATGTTTTCCCATGCCGTCCTCCAAGCCCAGGCCCACTTTTTTGTTTTCTTGCTGCACTTTGGCATGCATATCGTGGCCTTATATTTTTTCCGCCTAACTTTGGCCAAATCCCTGGCAATTTTTTAATTGTTCAATTTATTGGTTGATTTCTTATGCGCACATCTGTTTCCAGCATGCAGAGAACTTCATCCCTATTTCCGGGAAAAGTGCATGCCCACAGAAAGCATCTCTAGAATATCGTGTGCGAGTCCCGGTAGGCCTCCTTGCCAACTCCTAGACCCGCCTGCTTGCACGCCTCCACAATCTGCGGGCCTGCAGAGGTTGCAAACGCCTATCTCTGTGCGTTTGGATAGGGGTGCTTCAAGTAGATGCATTTAGAGGATTCTTTGTGGGTACGTCGGCTTGTTCTCTTTTGTACATGTGTATACCAATTTGTGCTTGCATCAAAGGCTTTCTCGTCCATACACATAAAGTCTGCCAGCGCCTCGAGTATGCGCAGGCCGGCTAGAGTTATGCTTTTTGCATCAAACTCAGCTGGCTATCAGCGCCCCGGAAAAGATGCCCATTGGCAGGGTCTTTGGCCGAAGAAATGCTTTCAAATGAAGCTGGCACTAACCTGAGTATGTGTCAGGGTGGCTTAGAAAGAGCCTACTCGTTTTTAACGGGCCCGCTCAAGCTCTTGTCTGTGGGCGCGCCCTCGGCCTGGTCATTCTGAATGGGCATGCTCTCCAGCGGACAGCACTCCTCGCATTTGGCCTTTTGAAAATGCTGCATGTCCGGATTCTCGGGCGCCACTCCTTTATTGGGCTGCGTTTCTATTTCCGACTGAACGTCTGGCTGCACAAACTCTAGGTCCCCTACATACTGTGTCTCCCACGGATCCTGGCATATTCCCAGCTCGCGTAGATCAGCATCGGAAATCACAGGCAGGCTTAAATCGGCATCTATGTCTAGAAAATAAGAATATTCCACAAGGCTGTCAATCTCCTGGCCAAAAAACATGATTTCATATACTTCTCTGTCGCATGCCTTGTCCAAGTCGCTGCCTGAGCAATGCACATTGCTTGACGCCTGCATCTGCATAAGGTTGCATGCTAGCAAAAATACTGCGTGCACTGTTGGATTTTTAGTTTCTCTGGTGTATATAGGCATTTGGACAATGCTTTTCTTTTAAAACTTCTAAACATTTACGCCCAAACATCACTTTGATTGTACGCCCCTACATGGCCAACTGCGAATTTTTCCAGAAATATATATGCAAATATGAATAAAATTTAACAAAATATGTTCTGATGGCTTGGCGTGCCATGCATAAGCGTTCAAGCCAGATTTGTGCTTGGTGGTCTGCACCACGCCATTGCCTGCCCTGCGCTTCTTGCGCTCCCAGAGAACGAAGAAAAGCGCAACAGTTGCAGCTTTCCCCATATGCCAAAACAAACGGTGTGCTCCGCCAGAGCTCTTTCTGTTGTTTAACTCCACCGGCGCAGACAAAAAGCCTGCTGGATCCAGGCCCAAGCCCACGCGCAGCTTGCTGCGCCAGCAAGTATGCAGCAAGGCTTTACTGCGCATGCTGCCACCCCACGCATGAGCATTCCAAAATTTTTGCTCCAGCGCCTTCAAAAAGAAAATGCCAGCATGCATATTTAAACATCTCTGTTCAGGCATAAATCCAATAAAACCGACCGCATCACTTTGATGGGGCATAAATCTATAAATACGCAGGTATGAATTGGCACATGCAAGAGAAAATAAAGAACAAAGGATGTACCTATACGTCAGAGCCTTCTGCGGTGTGCCCTGTAGAGACCTCTGCCGCCGCCAAAAGAACACGCCGTGTGCATACAACCCGTGCAAAAGCAGTCCCTGGCCAACACCCTCCAGCCAGGCGCATGCACACGCCAAGGAGCCTGCCAGGCCCTGCTTTTGCCAAAACACGGGGCAGAAAGCCTTTCACCGGGAAAGGAAGTGCGCCGACGCCCATTCCAGAAAATGTGTTTGACAGAGCTTTTAACAGATTCGTTTCCAAGCTCGTCATGCGATTTTTTTCCAATAACCAGCCAAGCAACTGCTTTAGTGTGCTTTATCCCAAACTCTTTAGAAAAAAACTGAGCAGGACATCCGCGGACAGAATATGCAATCTTACCCAAGCTGACCCCAGGGACCTCTCTGCAGAAGAAGTCCCCGAGGCTTTTGACACGCTTGTTTCTGAGCTTGTCAAAGGAGCCTCCAGCGAGTTGTCTAAAGCAGAGGCCATGGAGCTTTTTGACAGGTTTATTGAAGAAATTTGCAGACATGCTCCGACTGGGATTTCTAGCGAACAGTTCGACAGGCTCCTTATGGGGCTTTTTGCCAACCTTTTGGGGGATATATGATGCATGCAGACGGCCTTGCCTATAAACTTCCCGAAAGTGCTCTGCTTGCGTGCTTTGCCTTTTTGCCAATGCAGTTTTTGCAAAGAGCAAGAAAGGCGTCAAGCTGCTTGCTCGAAAGCGCACGGCGGGCATGCGTGTAAACGAGACGCACCTTACGGGCAAGTAAATAAATATGCATTCTGCAAATGCGTCTAGCTTCGCGCGCGCTTGAATGCGCCGCCTGGCTTTTGTCTTTCCTCCGGGGTCTGCAGCTTCGTCTTGGACCACCTCTCAATGGCGTGGCTGTTTCTTTTGCAGTGTGCAAGCTCTCTGGCCGAGAATACCCTCGCACATAGCTGCTTTCTAAGCTTCACAGCTGGTCTTCAAGCTCCCACCGCAGGGCACTTCTGCCAGGCCATTTCCTTAGCCAGGCTGTGCACAGTTGTTTTTGTTTGTTTGACTCTTAGAGCCGTGCAGCCCATGCTTGGAGCGCGGGTGCTTGTCTGAAAGCAAAAGCCTGCTTCTCTAGCAGCTGCACTGCAAAATTACCAATAATAAGACAAAGTCTTTTTGATTGCCATTATAGAAATACTCTTTGGCCTGCGCCCATCCGGAAGAGTGAGCAAGGCTCCAGGGGCTGCACAATAACTCTTTGGCACGATTTGCCATGAGTTTAGAGACCGGCTTTTGGCAAGCTCTGCTGCTGGGGAAGAAGGCCCATCCGCATTACAGAAAAAACATGGCCTCTGCTCGGGCGTTCCGGGCATGCGCCCATGCGCTGAACAAAAAGCAGGTTGGATGCCATATGCACGGCCCTGGCACATAAACAAACAGCGTGCTTTGCATTTGATTTTGTTGCAAACAGGCTTCCCACAGTTCCCAGCCGCCCAGAGAAAGGGGCTGGCCCTAAAGAGGCAAGGCAGCGCATACGCCTGACAGCTTAAAATGCGCGAAAAAGATTGCATCCGGGCGCATGGAAAAGAAAATAGAAGCAGCTGCAGCCTGCGGCCTAGCTGCGCCAAAAAGTGCTCTCTGGGCGCACAGTAAAATAAGCACCAAATGCAAGTATAAATAATTTATTTTAATTTACCCTATGCAAGCTAGAAACGTAGAGGCGGTTTTCAAATTAGACCAAAAACGGGAAAAGGAGCTAAAGAAGATAATAACAAGAATACGGATAGGAAGAGGCAAGGGAAAAGACATATGGGATATTGTTGATACAATTGAAAGCGAAGAGGTGCAGGAGATAATAATGAACGGGCTGGAGTGCGGAAGAATAGTAAACAGCGAGGGGAGCTGGGACAGGAACATGGAAGTGATAGAAGGCGACATCAAGGCCATGTTTGTGGAGGAAATGAAAAAAGAGCTGACCGGCGAAGAAATCAAGGAGCTGAAAAAAGAGGTGGAGGAAATGAAAAAAGCTCTGGAAAAGGAGCGGCAGGAAATAAGCAAAATGAAAAATGAGCTGGAGAAGGAAAGGAAGGCGTTGCAGGACGAGGCGGAGCGCGCGAGCAAAAGGAACCTGGGCATAAAGAGATGCTACACCTGTGGAAAACTGGGGCACACCACTTCGGTGTGCTATTATGCAGAAAGGACAAACGAAAACGAGTTCATAAATAAACGGGAAAGTTCCTATTTGTGTAGAGTAGATTACAGCCGCGAAAAGGAAAAGAAATGGGGGTTCAGAGAAAGAGAAGAGCTGCAGGAGCAGAAGAAAGCCGCGGCCGCTGGGATGGAAAGCGCGGGGGATAGCGAGTGGACGCTTGTAGAGACGAAGGAGCAAGCACGAGCAAGGAAAGCAAGCGCAGAGGCCTCTGAAGAAAGCAGAAGAGCCGGTAAGGTGATGGAGGTAATTCGGGACATGCTACTGAAAACAAAAGACAACAGCCAAAAAGCGCCTGTGGACAAGCAGCCCATGTGTGTGGAGGAAGTGCCCAGCCTGCTAAGTAAGGCATGCACACAGGAGGAACACGAAGTGTGCGAGAAAAAAACAGACGACTAGCCGGGCACGCGCGCCAGAAATCTGCTGCAAGTATACCATACAATCGTGCTGATTGCATACGCCCATCCGTCTTGGACTATTTTGTGGTTGTATCCTTTCGATTTTTGTGTGCTTGTTTCTGTTGTGATTCGGGTTTCTCGCTTAACATCCGCCCAGGCCTTTAAAAATGCGTGCTGGGCCTTTTCGGAATGCTTGCTCCATGGGCCTGCTGCCAGAGCACGCAGATAATAACGCCTGGCGCATTTGTTTTGAATAAATCAAGTCACATTTTTGCAAACCCACGCCTGCAATTACTATTTTGATTCCAAACTATATTATATGTGCCAGAATCTTTCTGAAAGTGCAAGCCCTGGGAAAAGCCCCACTAGCCTGCCTTTTCTGCACGCCAGCATAGCGCATGTTTAAGCGCAGAAAAGACGCCTGCACAGGAGAAGTGCAGCCTCAGAGAAAACTTGAGGCCAGAATCCCCAGCGATGGCTTTGGGCAGAACGTCTGGCTAAGGCTCTGGGCACGGCATGCCCCCTGCGCGAAAATGCAAGACAGACTTGCCTGGCGCGCTGCAGAAAGGCCTGCGAGCACCGGGCTGTGGAGCTGGACATGCAATCTGGAACGCCGGCACCCTCCAGCACAAACATGCGCCATGCGCAGCGGGCAAAAAGTTGCATCTGATTTAGAGAAATGTGCGCATCGAAATCAATTTGATAAAATGCGTGTACAAATCCTGGAATAGTTTGTCATTATTTTACATGTGGAAAGAAGAACAAAAAAAGAAACGAGCTATGATAGAGCAGCCGCCCATCCTGTGGAAAAACATAGAAAGTATGCAAGCGGGCCTGCGCCAACGCATGGGAAACGCCCTTGATAGCGTGGGCACAAAGCAAAGGCAAGAGATGCTTGGTGTGCTAGAAAAAGCCATTCGATACAAAAACGCCCGGATGGACAAGGAGAAAACGCTGGATTCTCTGCAGAGAAAAGCTGCTGAAAGAAAATGGGCCTAGTTCAGCCCGCCGCCCACCTACAAATAAATGCACATATTCTCCATTCCCTGCCAAGCTGGGCCTTGTTTTAGAAAGCTGAAAGCTAGGAAATATTTTAGAGCACTTGCTTTTATTTCAAGGCTGGGCTTTTGACACTTTTTTCTGCCCAACGCGACAGCACGCGGCACAGGCACGTAATCGGCGCTTGTCTGCTAGCATGCATGCCTCGAGCACACCCCGCGCTGTTTGAGCTCTCCTCTTTTCGATTTTTCACAAAAAGCCTGCTGTATGCTGAAAGCGTAGCTGCTCGTGGTTAGCTATTGTTTTGAAAGAATTAGGAAATTTAGAACTTGGTCTATCTAAGCAGGTCAAGCTTTAATTGTGGTGAAAGTCACCAGAGCTCACACACAAAAATTGGAAGCAGCTACTTTGATTTTGCTTAAATTAAAAGTGTAAATGCCTGAACGAGTTTTAAAGCCTGCCCAGAAATTCAAGAGACATGAGTGCAAGCAAATTTACTAGTCAACAATCGGGCATCTTCAAAGACGAATAGATCTTTAGTGGAGCTTGCATTAGGCCATAGTATGAACTCAACCCAAATCTATGGCATTAATAAAAATAAAAAGCAATGTGTCACACGGATAGTTCCTGCACCACAGCCAAGCCCATCACTTCTTGTTGACTTGTGAAATGTGGGAAAGCATGCGCAGGCATCCCCAAAATTTGCAGACCTCCTGACTGCTGGATTCAGGGCGTTGGGAGGAAATGGCTCTGCATATTCGGGCCATTCCTTTCAGAGCTCGTCTGGTACAACCGCAGCACAGCCCAGGCCTCTGGCCAAGCGCAGGGCCTCTTCCAGATGCTTCAATGCGGCTTCTTCCAGACCGGCCTGTTCATATGTTTCCGCTTTTTGCAGCGCTCCTCAAACCCGGGAATATTCCAGGATGTGTACAGAGTCGCAGTGCGAAATTATTGCATGGCTATGCTTATCGGCTCTGCGCGTGTAGGGCCTTCCGGCTGGCATGTGAGCATGCCTTCCTAGCATTTTAACAAAGCACCGAACCGGATGTGCCAGCGCCTGCACTTCTTTTTCTACTGCACTTCTAAATAAAAAGAAAGCGTTCACATTTTCTTTTACACACACTTTTTATATAAAAGCTAGAGAAGTGCTCTGGTTTGAATACTTTATTTTCTGCCTCATATATATAAAGGCAGACCCTTTGCGCAAGCAGCCCAGACACCCGGCTTGGCCTATTGGAACCAGGGCTGCCGAGGAAGGCTTCCGGCGTGTTCTATGTGGAGGCATAGTTACTCGCAATTGGTTATTGATTAGAAGACCAATAGAGGTACTCCAGAAGTGGGAGGTCAGGGGAAATACGAAGACCACAAGTATTTAAGCGGGTCGAAAAAAGAATAAAGGGCGATGTTTCACATGACCACTTCCAGTATTACAACTCAGCGCTCTTGCCAAATGCAAAAATGATGGGTGTGCTGCATTTTCATCTGTGTGATTGAAAAAATGTCAAAAGTGTGATTTAATTATTCTGTGCAAAAAGCTTATGTCTGCGCAATAAAATAACTTTTAGCTTAAATGAGCAGAAAGATAGGAATATTCACAAGCACAGTGGCGTGGGCCGTTTGCTTGCTGGAGGCTTCCCCCGTGTACATGCAGGCCCGAAACAAGCCTTTATATGCATGACAGTCTGCTATACCTCCCGATGGGCGGCGCGAGCGAGCTAGAGTCGATTTATAGCGGATGCAGCTTGGAAGAGCTCTTGTCCAGATGCCACAATACCCAGAGCTGGGCGCAGCAGAGAAAATGAGCATTCTGCTGCTAGAAACAGCAGAAGAAGCAAGTTTACCATATATGTTAAGAAGAAAACAATTATGCTGGGCAAAAAAGAGCTAGTGCACCAAGATGCAGCAAGAAAAGAGAGCCCCGCACAGCCTCTTATCTGTGAAAAAGCGCACAAAGCCTTCTCGCAAGAGGTGCCTGGAGACACTTGCGCTGGAGGATGCAGGCTCTCAGTGCACGGCCTGCCCGAGAAAGCTCGCAAAAGAACACCCATAGCCAAGCTGCTTCGGCTCACAGTTGTGCGGAACCACTAAACAATTTGAGGCCATGCCCCGGCATACGTTGTAGGGCTTGCTCTCAAAGCCCTAGCGAGTCTCAGCATGGCGGAGTCACAGGCGTGTACGCGTTGTAATACAGGAAGTAGTCATGTGAAACATTGCCCTTTATTATTTCTTGACCTGCCTAAATAGACATTATTTAATCTATTCATAAAGGTCTAATAATGTAGCCTCTTAATTAGGCCCATCTAAGCAGCAACCAATTTAGGAATAGCTATGCTTTCAGCATACAACAGTATGCATTCCAATAAACCGGTTCTACACTATTTTTCTTTGAAGTCAAAGCCAAAAAGGCTCGAAAGTTTAAGCTTGGAAGTTGGAAAGCGCATGCTGCATTTTGTTTTCGCCATAAAAGCAGTTGCGGGGAGCCAGATTTTGGACGCTGGCATCTGCCGCGCGCATTCAGGGCATGCGGAGTTTTGAGAGCACATGGCTATAAAGCGCTTTAGCAGCGCACATATCGAGCACATAAAGCGGGCCGTTTTTCAACCCGCCTGGAGGCGCTTTTCCACACAGGCGCGCCCACACGAAGCATTTGTGAAAGGGCCTGCGCTGAGCGCTGGCAACTTTGGACAGGCTCCTGCTTGTGGGAAGCACGCCCTTTTCTCTTTGAAACTGCAGCAGCCGCCGGGAGATGCAAAGATGCACTCGGCCAGCAGGCGCATATAATGCCCCAAACCGCTAAAATTTTTAATGGCATTTTCAGCGCGTGAAGACATAAATGACATACTCAGAAGAATTGGATTCAAAAAGAGAACGCCCATACAGGAGAAGATCCTGCCGCTCACCGAGCACAGAGACGTGATGGGGCTGTCGGAGACCGGAACAGGAAAGACGGCGTGCTTTGTCATTCCCCTGGTGGAGGAGCTGGCAGAGGACCCCTTTGGAGTGCACTCCTTGATACTCACGCCCACGCGCGAGCTGGCTCTCCAGACAAAGGAAAAGGTTGATGTGATAGGCAACTACTTTGACATCAAGTGTGAGCTCATCCACGGAGGGATGGACACGCATAGGCAGGTGGCGCGCCTCCAAGCAAAGCCGCACATTGTGATCGCCACGCCAGGAAGGCTTGCAGACATGCTTTGCTCTGAAGAGAACATACGCGTGTTCAAAAGGATAAAGAAGGTCATTCTGGACGAGGCAGACCTGCTTCTGAATGGAGACCAGTCGCTTTCTGTGTACACCATACTGAGCAGCCTTCTGAAGCGCACGCCAGACGTGCAGATGCTTTTGTTTTCGGCAACAGACATTGTCCCGGCAGTCCCTGTTAAGATCCGAGAAAAAGCCAAAAAAGACGCACCGCATCCCGATCTTGGCCAGACTGCCCGCGTAGACGAGCAGGAAAAAAGCGCAGACAGCGCACAGCGCGCCGCCCTGGAGACACAGGACGAGCACCCAGGCGCAGAAAGCCCAGAAAACGCGGACACCCAAAAAGGCTGCCAGGCAGCCCTAGACGACGTGATCGAGAAAACCAAATGCCCTGCTCTTTGGAAAATAATATATGGAAGGGACATGAGAAAAATAGACACGAGGGCTGGCGCAGTCCCCAAGACTATTGTGCAGGAGTACGCAGTGGTCCACCGGCAGGCAAAGGAGGCGCATCTGGCACGTCTTCTGCAGGAGGACTACAAAAACACAAAGGTCATGGTTTTTATGAACAAAGCCGAGCACTGCGCGGTTTTGTCGGAGGTTATGCAGGAGCTTGGAATAAATGCCGTGGGCCTAAGCCGATACACGGACAACAAAACCCGGCACGCGTCCTTCTACAAGTTTAGGTGTGGCCTGGCAAAGGTTCTTCTCACGACAGACGTTCTTTCAAGAGGGCTAGACATAAGCGACGTTGGGTGCGTTATAAACTACGACCTCCCAAACAGCTTCACGGACTATGTCCACCGCATAGGAAGAACTGGCCGAATATCGCAGAGCGGGTATGCGCTTTCTTTTGTGTCGGCAGGAGACATGGCAATTCTTCGAGACATACAGGCGCAGACAGCGTCGGAAATCAAGGAAAGAGAGCTGGAGCCGTTTACCTCGGCCCGGCTTATGAACAAAATCTCAACACAAAAAGAGTTTGTGATGTCGCGAATGAGGCAGAAAATCATGTAGCCGTCTGCGGGTCGGCAGCAGCCTTGCCAAAATGTCCAGTATAATAAGTGAGAATATTGAAAATTCTTTTATGGACGCAAAGACTAGAGAGAAAAGAGAGAAGCTGGAAAAGGTTGCAAAGCAGAGGTTTTTCTACACCCAAAGCTTTGAGTCGTACGGAGGTGTTTCAGGGTTTTTTGACTACGGCCCCAACATGTGTGCCCTGCAAAACAACTTTCTTTCCATTTGGAGGAAGCACTTTGTTCTGAAGGAGAGCATGCTTGAGGTGGACACTGCAATCATCACGCCTTTTGACGTTCTGAAGAGCAGTGGGCATGTGGACAAGTTCACAGACCTCATGTGCTCAGACGCAGTGACAGGCGACGTGTACAGGGCAGACCACTTGGTGAAGGACTATCTGCTAAGAGAGGCCGAGGCTCGCGCAGGAAAGGAGAAGGAGCAGCTTCTGGCGCAGGCGGAGATGATAGACTCGTTCAGCCAGGAAGAGCTGCAGGCCATTGTTGACGCACATGCCATAAAAAGCGAGAACAAAAACAGCCTCACGCGGATAGCGCCGTTCAACCTGATGTTCAACACGATTGTTGGGCCTGGCGGGAAGACGCAGAGCTTTTTGCGCCCCGAGACAGCGCAGGGCCAGTTTTTAAACTTCAAGCGGCTTCTCGAGAACAACGGAGACAAGATGCCGTTTGCAAGTGCATCGGTAGGAAAGGCCTTCCGCAACGAGATCAGCCCGCGAACCGGCCTGTTCCGGGTGCGGGAGTTTTTGATGGCAGAAATCGAGCACTACGTGCACCCGAAAGAAAAAAGCCACCCCGGCTTTGAGAAGTGCAGCGACATTTTGATTCCTCTCCTGTTCAGACAGAAGGATGCAGAAAGCGAGGCACAGACGATCGCACACCTTTCCATAGGAGACGCGGTGCGGGGCGGAATTGTGGACAACGAGACGCTGGGGTACTTTATTGCCCGCGTGTACCTGTTCCTCGTCCGCATAGGAATACCAAAGGAGGCGATCCGCATCAGGCAGCATTTGCCTACGGAGATGGCCCACTACGCAACAGACTGCTGGGACGCGGAAATAGCCACCGCGTTTGGGTGGATCGAGTGTGTGGGGATAGCAGACAGGGCGTGCTACGACCTGTCCGTGCACAGCAAGAAAACCGGAGACAAGCTGGTTGCGAGAAGGCGGCTGGCAAGCCCCGTCACAGAGAAAAAAACCGCACCCGTGATAAACAAGAAGGAAATAGGGGCAAAGTTCCGGCAGAAGGCGCAGCAGGTGATAGAGGCGCTGGAGAGCCTGACAGAGGAAGAAATTGCGCAGCGCCGAGTCTCGGACACTGAGATAGAAATGGACATGTTTGGGGAAAAGATAAAGGCGCAGATAGAGAGCCTGGAGATTGTGCGGCACGTCGAAGAGTACACGCCCAGCGTGATCGAGCCGTCGTTTGGAATCGGCAGAATACTGTATGCGCTTCTGTGGCACTCCTTTATGGTCAGAGAGGACGACGAGCAGAGAACCCTCTTTTCATTTATGCCGGGCATGGCCCCCATCAAATGCATGGTTCTGCCCCTGCAGCAGGACGACCGGTTTGTGCCGGTTCTTTCAGCGCTGAAAGAGAGCATAATTGACGCGGGCGTCAGCTGCAACTTGGACGAAAGCAAAGCGTCGATCGGGCGCCGATACTCAAGAGCCGATGAAATAGGCGTGCCCTTCTGCATAACTGTGGACTTTGACACGCTGGAAGACTTCATGGTGACCCTGCGAGAAAGAGATAGCACTCGGCAGGTTCGGGTGCTTGTTGTGGAAGTTCCTTCTATAATAAGCAGCCTGGTGAGCGAGGAGAAGACGTTCTCGGAAGTAGAGGCCGGTCATCTAGGAAAAGAATAAAATCGCTTATTTATTGTGGGTCCCTTGCGGGCTGTGGCAGCCCTCGTGCTTCGCCAGGACGCTCTCTGCGCGCACGCCTAGCTTGCGCATGCTCTTTCTTGCCGCTGGCTCGTGGCTGCCGAAGAAAAGCTGGCCTCACGCTTTCCAGCAACGCAGGCTATATATCCACTACAGAGCAGGGGCTTGAAAGACAGCGCAGATTTTATTTATAAAGTGCTGCAGTCGCGCGCGCCGCGCTGTGCTTACTTTGAGTATCTTCTTTCAGACTTAAGCCCGGGGCCTATAGCAAAGTACTTTTCGCTGCCAAGATGTATGATGAAGTTAAACATCGCTTTGGGATATATTTTCACAGCGCCTTTGTGCGCAATTGCAAGCGTGTTTTTTGTCTCGTTCACTAGTATGCCCGAATCCAAAGGCCCCGCGCTGCGCTGCCTGCTGGCATGGCTTACTGGAGAAACGCGCGCGCCCACCAGCTCAACTTTGTACACAAGGCTGGCCATCGGGGTGCTTGGGCTCTCGCTTTTCATTCTTTGAATAAACGCGAGGAAAAGCTCATGCAGGTGGGCAGCAGCCTCCTCCGTTATGCGCGTGTATGGAAATCTAGGCTCGCGGGGCAGGGGCTTTTGGCCAGGGTGCACATACGGCGTGTTTCCCAGCCAGATGCGCAGCTTAGACGTGTCCGCTGAGTCTGTGCTGGAGCTTTTTATTTTCGATAGAAAGTGGCCTTCTGCATCGAACATAAAGAAAGAAAATACAGAATTTTCATTTATTTGGCTAGAAGTACATGGTTTCGCGCGCATACTCTAAGAAACAGCATTTGTTTTTTTCATCGAGGTTGCAAACCACCCATTTAAGCGATTTGAACAGATCTTTCAGCCCCATTTTAGGGTATCCGTTGTAATAAAAGTCCGGACCAATTGGAGTGCATGGCTGGCAGGCAAGCAAAGAAGACGCATACTGAATCATTTTGATCATTCTTCGTTTGAGCTTTCTTCGCTGTGCTGCGGGGGCGGAGGGCCTTGATGCTTCTCTTATTTGCCTTCTCAGCGAAGCAAAGAATCTAGACAGCTCAATGGCACAATACTGGTTTTCGTCGCAAGGGTTGTCGCACGGGTTTGGTGGGCATATAGGCGCACACGGGTTTGGTGGGCATACAGGCGCACACGGGTTGATTGGGCATACAGGCGCACACGGGTTTGGTGGGCATATGGGCGCGCATGGGTTGATTGGGCATACGGGCGCGCACGGGTTTGGTGGGCATGGGAGATCGCATATTCGTCTCACAAACGCATCATCTCTGTAAAATCCGCACTTGCTTGAAGTGTGGTCAGCAGCTGTAATGTTCCCAGTGGTGCTGGCTGCGCTGCACAGCGTGCGGGTGGCTGCACAGCCCAGCACAAGCACTAGCATTTTGGCAATTGAGAAAACCTTCATGTGAATGCAAAAACACTGCATATATATAATAATGCAGCCGGGTCTAGACCGGGCCCAAACCTGCAACTTCCATAAAGGGCTAAGTGGCAATAAAGAGGCCGTGTGTACACGTGCAAGTGTGGCGTGGCCCGTTCCAAGAACAAGCACACCGCATGCGCCCTTGCTCGGCTACAGACACGCGCATCTTGCCTAGAATAATAACCTGCAGCCTTTTTATTGACTAGCGTTTTCCCGTCTGCACAGCTATTGGCGCAGAGAAATAGAAGCCACATTGTGTATATTTAGAAGAGCCACAGACAGAATGAAAACCCAAGAAATGCACAAGCACATCTGCATAAGCAGAAACCGGCCGAGTGTGCCAAAGAGGTTGAACTCTCTTCTGTGGGCCTTCCTGCTGGCCAGCAAGGGGTCCTTTTTCTTAATTTTGACAATGATGCACAGACACGTGAAAAACGCAGAAACCGCCAGAACAAGCGAAACTCTGAGGTTTTTGCACATGACGAGGTACATCTTGCTTATTTCCTCGATCACTTTGGGCTTCATCTGGTCGGTTCTTGGGGTTTCCAACAGTGACCCGAACATGCCGTAGTCCGACAAAGATCTCGACATCTTGGTGTAGGTCTCACGCAGAGAAACAAAGCTGCCATCGCTGGTGTGCATCCCGTAGCTCCATATGTTCCACAGCTCATACAGTGCCAGCATGTAGTAGAACAGAAAGGCCACGCCTGCCACATAGACCGTGTGGTGCAGCCTCGAGAAGAACCTGCACATTTTGGCTGCCAGAAACACGCCCAAAAGGCTGAAGACTGTCTGCACTGTGGAGGTTAGTTTGAACAGGGAGGCGCGGTCTAGGTTGACAATGCACATAACAAGGGCCACAAAGAGGATGTGGGCCACTGTTAGGCCAATCTTGATGACTCGCTCAATCCGCCTGTGCTTGGACACGTAGAACACGCAGAGAAGGCACACATACGTTATTGTTATGTCGACAATCTGTGTGTAGAAAATAGGGATCCTGTACAGAACCTTTGGTTCAAACTTGTACTCTATCGTCTGGAAAATGTACATCATCATTATTCTTGCCATGCACATCGTTGTGCTGAACACTGTAGAAAAGTAGAACGACTTTGAAAGGGGGCTCTGCATCTTTTGCACCATCAGCCTGTACTTCAGCAAAAGATACTGCTTCCTGCTGTAGAAGGACCCTAGCCAGATAGGGTGCAAGCTGTCTTTCTCCATTTTCTCGCTCTTCTCCGCTGCAGCTCCATCAGCTTTCACCGGGCCCGCACAGAAAGCGCCGTCTGTGCCAGGGCACGCGCTTTTTTTGTCTGAGAGAATATTGTATTTCCACAACTTTGCTCTATCCACCCAACATCTGGCTACCTTGTATACCCTCTTTCCAAATGCAGGGGTCTTTCTGCCAAACAGGACATGCCCCTCTATAGAGCTCATTGATGACCCCTTTCCTATAGAACAGTCTATCTCCGTGTCGGAAATGTCTATGCTATCTGTCTTAGAGTTCTGATTCATTTTATTTTTTGCATAAGCATTGAATATATTTATCATTATTAAGTAGTGTTAGCATCATGTTTTTGCGCAGCACATATTTCCTGAAAACACAAATTTGGGACACAATAGACCGGCACGCGCTAAATACAGATCAGAAGTCGATGTAGATAGGCTCAAGAAGACGCATACAGCCATAAAAATATTTTATCGTTATTGATCGCACAGGCATTGGCATGCCTGAAAGCTTGCGCCGCGCCCAAGGCACAGGCCCTAGCAAGCTGTGTCTGTTGTTGCTCGGCACCAGGGCGCGCAGACGCGCCGTATCAGTGCGTTTGGGCAGTTGAAAAGCCTTCTATCTTCTGTCTCTGGATATTTATTTTATGCAAATAGTTTCTTACATGGACACAAGCACGACACGCTCAGAAAGGAAAAGCAGGCCGCAAAACCCGCGTGCAAAAGAGGGCAAGAAAGACGGGCAGGACGAGAAGAAGGAAAGGCTCAAGCCGTACACTGTAAAGGACTTTATTCAGTCCAAGTATGGGGCGCTGCTTCTAGCGAAAATGGAGGCACCGTTCAAAGAGCGAACCCAGAGGCTGCTCGAAAGGGGAGATCCTGCGTCTCTGCGCAAATACATGCGGGCTCTGGTCCGCCTCTTCTCCTCCTGGGCGCAGTCCTCTCCTCTGTGCGGGAACAAGAGGACAAAGGCCTATCCGCTCTTGAAAGAGATTGAGATCGCTGCAAGAACGCAGAAAATTTTGCTTGGCAGCGGGGCAGAAGGGAAGGGCGCAGACGAAGACATAGAGCAAGCAGACACGCGCGAAAGAGAGCACGCAGGCGCGGAAAAAGGCTCCGAAAGCGCAGGCAGTTTCTTTGAAAACACGCAGTTTGACACCCAGTCCTTCTCTCTTCTGGAAACGACGCAGACCGAGAACGACACCCAAAGCATGCACATGGACAGCATATCCGACCTGCTAGACGCGTTGGGCGAGTCTTCTGACGAAGGCGTGACAAACAGACAGCGGGCCAGAAAGTAGAAGAGCTGCCGCGCAAGACATGCAGCGGGCCCACTACTCAAACATAGACGTGTCCAAAGTCCACTCGTCAAGGGCCTTCATCTCTGTGAGAGACTTAATGTACTCCTGCACCGCCACGCCTGCCAGTATGTTTATGTACTCTTCCCGGCTTGTTTTTGCGCGCGCTTCTCCAGGAGCCTGCGCCAGCTGCTTTCTAGAAATAGACAGGGTTTCGGTGCTTATGTACATCGTGCAACCTGCAGGCGCTCTCTCTAGGGCGCCGCGCTCTGGCGCGCCGCATATAAAGGCCCACGTTGGCATGTCCGTGCACGCCGCCTCCAAGCACACATTGGCCCCCAGCTGAGACAAAAGCCGGCATATGTGGCGCTGTATCTTGCTTTCTTGGTCTAGCACGTGTATATGCGAGCTCTCTATTTTTTTCTGGGCCTGGCTTCCAAAGAGCTTTATCTGCCTCGAGTATTTCTCGTCGTGCATCGCTAAAAATATGCACAAAAAAGTTTCTCTTTCACGCGAAAGCGAGTGGCTGCTGTTCGCCTGCAAAGAGGGCCAGAAGCTCTACTGTTTGCTGCAGGAAATTGTGCTGGGCGCTGCCTGCTTGGACACTGAGCAGGCCAGCCAGACGCTCGCCTTTGGCCTCTCCAGAATGCGCGCGCTGTACCCCAGAGCAAGCGCCGTGCTGGAGCCGGCGCCGCTGCTTCTTCTGCTTGCTGGCCTGCGAGAAAAAGAGTGCAGCGAGCTGGAAATCCCGCTGTATAAGTACATCTGCGAGATTGGAAAAAACGAGCGGCCCGAAGTATACAAGTCTCTGTGCTTTAGGCGGAGAAAGCTCCCGCACGAGGGATGGGTGTTTTATGCCGTGAAGGACATAGCGGGAGACCGGGGCAAGCAGGCAAAGCAAGCAGATAAAGAACTGAGAGCCGCGCTATGGGAAGACATCAAGGCGTTTGGCCCACACTGGAACGCCTTGCACGGGTATGCCTTTGCCCGCTCCTAGGCAGCTTGGCTAAAACGCGCGCTGGCCTTCTGCATATAAGGCCCCGGAGGGACAAGAGGCTCTTCCTGCACGCCTCAAAGCGGAAAGGCCCGGGCGGGCGCGCTGTTCTGGCATGTTCTACACAGCCATCGCCGCGCTTGCTGTGCCAGCTCCGCCCAAACGGCTGCCTGTTGGAGTGCTACTCAATAAACAAATATAAACACAAAAGTTTTGGCCAAACCGGCACTGGTTGAAAGCAGGCGCCTTTATTTCAGGCCTGGAGTTTGTGCCTGCTCGGCGCTTTTTTCCTCATGCCTCTTCAAAAGCTCGCATATAAACTGCTGGCCAGCCGCGTACATGTTGCAAAGCATGGACATAAGCTTATTTTGCGAGCACTCTGCTAAATACTCGTCTGTGCACACCACACGTTTGCACAGCACACTCTCTAGGTATGCTTCCTGGTTTTTCTTCTGCAGAATGTCCTCAACCAACGTGTTTTCGTGCATTTCAAGTCTTTGAATGTACTCCCTCCAGCAAGACTCGGTCGCAAACTCGGGCGTTCTTGGCTCTATTTCTTGGATGGCCGCAGCATCGGATTTAAAAAAATAGGCCCCCATAGCTTCAAATCTCTGTGCTCTTGTAAAATAGGGGTTCTGCTTCCGGATACACCCAAGCACCGCGGTGTAGTACCAGCGTATGTAGACGAAGTCGCTGATCTCGGGCGCGTTGTCTTTGTACACATCAGACTGCTTTTTGTAGTAGTATACGCACACATCGTGCATGAGCGCTCCCACGCTAATCTTTGCATTGGGATTTTTTTCCCGCATGTAGTCCCTTATGACCTGGTGGTCTTTCGATGGAATCAGGATCTCCAAAAGCTTGTCGGTGTGTCTTGTTAGGCCATGCCCTTTTATCTTGTTGGCAACCGCGTCTTTCCACACGTGTATGCATAGCCTGCTCTGTGTTTTGGGCATCTTTTCAAAAAGAATCGTCCCCACAGAGTTTCTGTTTGTCCCGCAGTACATGTCAGCTTCCACAGGAACGCATGTAAACTCGATTCGTTTCCTTATTTCGGCATCCATGGCCAGCCTGCTCAGCACGTCTTCATCCCTCGGGGCCTGCGAGTTTATGCACAGACCAGCCACTATCGGGTGCATGCCAGCTGGCGCGCTCTTAAACTTCGCCGCGTGCAGAAGCAGACTTTTGTTCTCCTTGGGCATTTCTTCCTTGTTCTCATCGTGCGCTCTCTCCACCATTCCTGAGCGCAGAGTCCCAGGTCTATTTATGCAAATGTTTCCAGATTAATAAAAAAGATTAGATGAAAATATATTGAATTTCCGAATGCGCCCTGCGCGAAGTTTCCCTGAAAAAAGCACACAGCGCGCGGTTTTGGGTCCAAACCGCGCTCCCAGCGCCCCGCACAAGCGCCCCCGCTTTTCCTGCAGCGTGCCGCAGCATCAGACGCGAAACACACTTGGAGCCTTGCCTCAAGTGCCATTTTTTCGCGCATCATTTTGATAAATACCAACAAATTTGAATTGGCTCTCTGCAAAGACAAATCTCCACCCAGCACTCTTTATTGCGCGGCCCTGACAGCCTCTCTCACTGCGTATACTTGTCCAGGAAAAAGGCGTATATCTCCCGCACCCTTTCCACTGGCGGGGGAGACATCTTTATTGAGCTTATGAAGTCCTCTTCCGACTGTCGCGCAACCTTCAAGGGAACGTCCGCAGTTTTTCTTTTTTCCTCAAGAACTGCGTCCATGCACTCCTTCACTCGCTGGAAGTACTGCGTGCTCATGGGGCTGGAAACGAGCCTTTTCGAAGACGTCCGCGCCTTCACAGTCTTGTGCAGTATGCTCCACACCTTTTCCAGAGCCACCTCTGCGCACACGTCAATGTTGCCCGCGTCTGCAGTAAAGCACGGGGAGTCCCACTTGTCTGCCTTCCGAGGCTTCTCAAACACTCTAGACACCACTGCAAAGTCCTCTACAGCGCCTCCTCCCACGTGTATCTCGCAAGCTGAGCAGGCGCTGCCAAACACGGCTTCAACGCTTTTGGCCGAAATGTCTCCGCCCTCCCCATATGCGGAGGCGCAGTAGATGTGCGCAGCGTCTATACCCATGTTTTTGGCCACAGACGCGATTTCGTACCGCAGGCCCTTTATGTGCAGAGGGGCGTATATCACCACAAGAACTCTCTTGCTGAGCCTGTTCTGTATCACAGACCGCAGCCGGGCCGTTTCCTCCTTGGCCGAAACCCCGACCGAGTTCTGCAGCACAACCAGTACCGAGTCCACACCCGCCCGTTCAGCGCAACTTTCCTCTGTTTCCTCTTGTTTGTACCGCCCAAGAACGCCTGCAAGAAGAGACTCAAAAAGAGCCTTTTTCTGCGGAGACGGAAGGCCGGAGAGCATAAACAGGGGCATATGTTTTAAAGAGACGCAGATTTTTTAAATAGCAAAACATGCGGCTCGGGCCCGTGCTTCATGTAGTGCTGCCATCCTCTGCTCTGCATAATGCCGAGAGCGCGCCACTCGTGCTCCTCCAGAAGCCGGTCCCTTGGCACGTGCAGCGACAGCTCCTTCGGCAGTATCACGTGTCTGTATATGTTGCTGTTTGCGTCTGTGTATGTTTCGCTGTAGTATATTCTTTCTGCAAGCTTCTTCGCCTTCTCTGGATCGCTTTGCATTGCTGTGCAAAAAAACAAAAATATATGACAGAAGAGGGATTCGAACCCTCGCCCTCGGAAGGACTAGAACCTGAATCTAGCGTCTTAGACCACTCGACCATTCTGCCGCCATCCACTGTTCCGGCCCGGGCACTCCAACGGGAACTTTGTTTTTGCAGGCATAAAAGGAAACTTCCGACTTGGGGGAACTTAGAAGTGTAGGAAACTATTCAATAAATCGAACTAGTTCCAAACTGGTTCTAAAAACTTGGAAGTGCTTCTCCATCTTCTTTTTCTTTCTACGTCTGCAAATCTTGCAGAAGGCCCCGAAGTGAGCCTTTGCGCGCCGGGTGCATGCGCCGTTAATTAGCAAATCAAACTAGTTTCTAAAGCGGGCATGCCGCCTCTGGCAAAGCTGCCTGCTCTCAGCAAGGCCCCTGGCAGGGCGCTAGATTGCATAAAAGCGGGCAGAAGGATGTAAGTTCGTTCATGAGTTTTGTCTCTTTATTTATTTCTTGGCAATGCTTCTTATTTTGTCTCTCTTGTTGAATCGTACAGAGGTTGTCTTCTCTGCAGGCTTGGTTGCCATCTTGCTCTTGAGCTCGCTAAGCGACAGCCCAACAAAGGCTCTGACAGACTTTGTCACCTTTGGCGCTGTCATGTTGGACGACTTGAAGGCAACGGCCTTCTTTCTCACGATTCTGGAGGCAAGGGTCCAGCTGATCTTCTTTGGGTTCATTCCCATGTTGAAGTGGCTTCTGCACTTCTTCTTTGCCAAAAGGAACGTTGATCCGTTGTTTCGCACCAATATCCTTCCTTTTCCTCTGTATATGGCCTGCCCACTAAAACTGCACACTCCAAACTTCATTCTGGGGTATAAAAGAAAATAAAAATAAATGGCACTTTCTGCGCATTTTGCGCCGTTTGCCAAAACAGCGGCGTGCAGGCTGGGCTTGTCCGCGAGAGGGGCGTATACGGCCGGGCCTGTTACTTGGGGGAGTTTTCCTGTCTTCTCTCCTCTCTTCTTGCCTCTGCCTTTATGTGGCTGTATCTATTTTTCATGGCCTTCTTGAGCTTGCTGGGGACAATTTGGTGCCGCTTCACTTCCACAATCTGCTGCACGTTCTTGTACTTGTTCTTTATGATGTTCCCCAGCGCGCGGGCGTCCTCCTCTGTGCGCGTGCATATTTTTGCGCTTGCGTTCGGGTCCAGCTTCCAGATCCGGATGTTTGCGTCTATGCTCCCGGAAAGAATGTGCGCGTTGTCGCTTGTGCAGCACACTGCATTGACTGCCTGCATTCTCTTGTTGTGGTAGAGCGCCTCCTGCCGGTGCGCGGTGTCGTTTGAGAAGATTCGGACGGTTCGGTCCACCGACCCCGTCACTATCCGGGTTCCGTTCGCAGAGTGCTGGATGTCGGTTATGGCGCTTGTGTGCCCCCGAAGCACGCGCTCTGTCTGCGACAGGTACGACTGGCTGTTGCCCACGTAGCGCGTGTTGTATATCCCCACCTCTCCGCTGTTTGTTCCTGTGGCAATGAGGGAGGGGCACGAAGGGTCTATCGACAGGGCGTTTATCTCGGACCTGGCCACAATCTCAACCTCTCTTCTTCCCGTCCGGCTGTCGTACCCCGCAATCTTGTTCCCCTCAACCGTGTACAAAACATGCTGGAAGTCCTTTGCCTTGTATATCCGCTTTGCCTGCCGCTCTGCCTTGTACACAGAGACAGCTTTTATCCGCTCGCTGTCAAATATTTCGATCCCGTCAACGGTTGCTGCGTAGAACTGGCTTGTGGCGTCTCCGATGATGTCCAGCACCCCCGACCCCGCCACAAACTCTGCCTCGTGCACGGCGCCCGGCTCAAACTCTGCGCCCGCCGCCGTTTCTGCATACTTTGCCGCCCGGTGCACTATGTGCGCGTCTCTGCTGTACAGGAGCGCGCTGTCCGAAAAAGATATGGCCACAGGCGTGGCCTGGCTCAGCGAGATCGTTTCTATTTCCCTCCGCTTGCTCATGTCCCACACCTTAATGGACCCGTCGTAGCTGGCCGACGCATACAGCGCGACCTCCGTGTCAGACTTTACTATTCTTGTCACCCCTTCGGAGTGCCCGTCCAGGCAGCCCACAAACGGCTTTCGGAACAGATGGTCCATCTTCACCTCCTTTATTGCTCTAACGTACTCCTTGTGCTTCTCGTTTTGTGTAAGCTCCGCGTCGGAAAAGACCCGGGGCTGCACGCTTTTTTTGCTGCCTCTGTCCAGAGTGCTCATGCGAAGTATTCCCATTGAATAAAAATTCTGCACAGGCCGTTTTTATATTTGCTTGCACAACGCTGCTTTCCAGGCAGGCCTGCGCTGCGCTTTGCGCACGGGGCTGCGCAGACGCTAGCCATCTTCCTTTGATCAATTTTCCAAGTGACAGCCCTCTTTTGTTTTGCCCCAGCCTTGCCGGCGCTTGGACGGGGCCATATGCGCTGCCGGCGCATTTAGCCAGCGCCCCCCTCCGGAGAATGGAGTTTAACATAAAGAGGCCGCTGCTTAACGCGCCCGGGGCGATTCTGTTTGCTTTGCATGCCTCAATCCTCGCCACTCTCGTGTACGAAAGAAGAACAGGCTGCGCTGAAAGCCTTGCGGTTGTTTCCTTCTCCTGCATGATGCACGCAATGCTCTGCTTTCGCTGCTTTCTGACCCGAAGCCTAGAGTACCTTCTGTGCCTGTTTTTGTCAAGCGCCCTCCAAACAGCGCTCTCTGCCCGGTTCCTGCGCGAAAACAGCCTGTGCATCCGCCTGCTGTTCCTCTTTAGTGTAGGCCGAGTTCTTGCCTTCTCTGCGCTCTTGCGCTTCCACTCCGCCGTCTTCTGCAGCACCGCATACTTTCTGTATACAGAAAGCAGCACGTACAGCAGGTCCGTGTGCTTTGACGCCTCCCTGCTCTGGGCCTTTGTTGAGATAAAGTTCGTGGGCCTCTTCTTGGCGCAGTTTGAAAAATGCTACACCTATGCGGTGCTTGACAAAAGCTCCTTGCCTCACTGGGCGATTCTTTCCTCGAGCGCCCAGCTGACGGTGTGTGTTTTCTTTCTGCTCTACAGAAAGGCCAACAGGCTTCTGATGTACGCTCTGGCCACCATATGGATTTTCTATGTGATCTACTACAAAATTGTGCTCTATGTGATATGCGCATGCACGCACTCCTCCGATATGGCGTGCTTCCGCGGCCCTTTGTCCCTGTTTTGGCAGGAGTACTACATTCTGAACCTGGCAATGCTGGCTTTGTGTGTTCTTTACTACGTGCTGAAGCACGGGCTTAAAGGCGAGGCGCCCATACACAGGATTTCATACGCGCACAGACGCATGCTGGTCGAGGAAAAATAAGTGCGTGTTTTTGCACAGCCTCAGACATGTGCTTGAGCAAACAAAAATACAATAAGTCAAACTAGTTTTCAAACAAAAATAAAGCATGTACAGTTTTTTTTTGCATGCCCCCCTCTGCCGGCGCGCCTCCAAAAGCCCTCTTGAAAAAGCGCGCCACAGAGCACGCAAAAACAAAGCGCCGCGGGCCTGTTGCCTGCTTGCATCTTCGGGCGCGCACAAAATCTGGATATTAATGTTTCTTTATTATTAGCATGAACGAAGCCAAAGCCTTATTTCTTTATGCAGGAGCATGCCTAATAATGTCGTCTATAGCCATGTCTATGGCAAAGTCATGCCGGGCAACAAACGAGTAGATAATGGCGAGAGTGAACACAATGCACACAGTCACTGTGGTTTGCAAGGTGATTGCCCACGTTCTTAGTGGTTTTCCCATGACTGGCTTTTCCAGCATTTGGGTTTCGGTTCCCAGCCTTTTGTTTACTCGGTCTATCATGTGCATGATAACAAAGGCCACAACAATGGCCAGAGAAAGAGTGGCGAAAAAGACAAGAGTCGCATAAAGCGACGTGGACATGGTCTTTTGGCTGCTGAAGAAGGCCTCTCTGTTTCCTGTCCGAAGATACTCCAGCGGATACATTCCCAGCTTAAAATACATAAACGAGTTTGAAATCCCGGTGATGAACCCGAAGAACACAAAAGTTATCGAGCAAACGCCCTCCCAGATAGGCGCTAACAGATGTATCGGCTTTCTCTTGAAAACAGCAACTCCAACTGCCGCCATCATCTTTATCAATATGGAGGACAGGAAAGCGGCCATGCTGCTAGCAACTCTGTAGAACGACTCCACCGCTATTTCAATAGACTCAAGCAGGGTTTTCACCATGCTGTCCAGAAAAGCCTGTGACAAACTCTTCCCGCACCGGATCTCGCCCACAATCGACCCCAAAAAGAAGGAGCAGATCTGAACAAACGCTGCATATGCGTGTGCTACCCCTAACGCGCTTGCGGTAATAATAGCATACTCGCCCACGCTTATGCCGCCCATCCTAATGCTTATGTTTGTGAACGCATCCACAAACCAGTCTATTATGCTGCTGTCCAAGAAGAACACTATTCCGCTGAATGGAAAGGTCACAAGGATCGCCCACGCCGCCAAAACAAACGGCATAATGTACTTTATCCTCTCCGCGCTCACGCCTCGCTGTTTCACAAGATCTGTAAACTTAGAGAGCTTGGTCTGGGCGACGCGACCATTTTTGCCGGCTGTCTCCTGGCGGTTGCTCGAATACTTTTGTATCTCGCTCTCATACACACTCTGGTACTCATTTTCTTGGTTGTTTCCATCCTCATCTACGTTTGGCCGCTGGCTAACTATGTACGGCGTGTCTAGCAAAAGAACGCTGGATTTGACCGGCACAAAGAAGTGAACTATCTTTTCTCTTGTAGCCCACCCAATTACGAAAGAAAGCACCCCGCCTATTGTGCTAAGCAATAGCCTTCTCTCAAACTCCATTTCGTCTAGGAACATGCATATTCCAAAGAAGAAAGCAAGCATACCCACCAACGTCGCAAAGCTCAACAAAATGACCTTCCCCACTGTTTTTGCTATTATTATTCGCCTTGTATACAGAAGTTGCATAAAAGCCAAAGTGCCACTAACGTACATGTAAAGAGCCCCCTCCAGAAGCACAAACATTGTCAGCTTCTGCCCGCTCTTCATAGCGTCGAGCAGCCGGGGAAGCTCCAGTCTCTCCAGAAACCGGTAGATCTCCGACATGCTTCCGTTCGCGTAGCTTGCCCAGTAAAGCAAGAGCCCGATGTTGATCAGAAACATCAGACAGAACAAAAAGAGCGTGATTGTTCTCTTAAACAGCGTGGTTAGTTTTGCTGGGTCCTTGTTTGGCAGAAAAGCCCTCTCGTTGAGGATATCAGCTGCCTCGTTTATTCTGTTTAGCTGCATCATTTTTATGTTTTTTTTTCATCTTTTACATATATAGGAGAAAATTAAAAGTTTTAATGGCTAGTTAATTTCTCTGTCTAAAAACCAGTATATTTCGCGCCCAAAGCCGCCTACACCTGCCGGCCTTCCCTGCTCTTGCTCCTGCTGGGAAAGAGCGCATGCTGGGAAACTTTTGCGGCCTCGTGCTGCTGCGGGCCAATGGGGCTCTGGCCAGGCCAGAGCTTTCTATCCACAGGGGTAGAGATGGCGCATCCATCAAGAAGAAAACAGTAAACACAGAAAAACAGAATAAAGCAGCGCACAAACGCCACAAGCCATTTAATTGAGTCAAGCTCCTCTAGAAGCGGCATTGAGCACGCATGCGCGCATTGCGCGCCCCAACCTTCAGCAAAATTCAGGTTGGAGGCCCGCGGCCACATGCACCCCTCGCAGCTTTCACTTGCTTTCTGGCGCATCCACGTTGCGCTTTGCAGCATGAAGCGGCTATGAATTCTTGATTTCTCTATTGAATATGTCGCAAACGCACGCAAACTTTGTGCGCGTGCCATACCTCAGAAGTATGGGCTCTATCTGGATTATGCGCTTTAGAATATACTCTGCGCAAGGCAGGTTGCACGCGCTGCCCGCCTGCTCGTCCTCTGTCCGTATGTACCTACCATCCTCCTGGACCAGAGTGTACAGCTCCGTGAGCAGGCTGTCCCGCGGGGCTTTCTCGCCGACCGAGCATGCAAACCATGCAATCACCAGATTTTTTTCCATTTCCAAAATGTCTTGCAGCGAGGCTTTTCTGTCTTCCAGAAGAATCTTTGATATTTCTTGGGAGTTTTTGGCCGTTCCATCTGCAAACAGGCAGTCAAACGCGCTTTTCAGTACGTAGGAGCACTTTAGGGCAGGGCAAAGGACCAGCGACTCGTTTGTTTCCGCGCTGTATATTCTAAGATGGTTCATAAAAAGGGCTGCCAGGTGCGAAGGCTCTTTGCTGACAAGCCTCTTGTGACGAAACATGAGCGCAAAGTTCCGGAACAGCGTGTTGTGTGCGCTGTCCGCTATTTGGACATTTGGATACAGCGTCTTCACTCTGCCGGTGGCTTGCAATATGTGCGAGACAGCTTGCTGGGCTGCATAATCGTTGAAGGGAAAGCTTCCTAGCAGGTTTGAAATGAAGCGCACGATAGAATGGGTTGGCCCTGCATCAATGCCCTCGCCCACCATGTACTCTGAAAGGTACTGAATCATTATTCTCCGCATGAACGGGCTCGAAATCCACTCCATCAAGCACAGCTTCACTATGTTCTGCGGGCTGCTTCTCACAACCTCCAAAACCTTCTTTCCTATTTCACTTTTCTTTCCTGCAATATTTATTTCCCTGGTGTACTTGAACCCCACCCGTTCTATGTAGTGCATAAGAATGCAGTTCAAAAACCCTGTCTGCCTGCTGCACAGCCTGTTTTTCTTCTCGAAGGCCCTGCACTCTTCGAGCACCTTGTCCGAAAGGGAAGCGGGCAAGAGGTTGATGTACGACGCTCTGGCTGTCACGCCTATAGCCACTCCCGCCACAACACTGCTTCCTTTAAACTGGTATTTCACCGTGATTTCCCCGTAGACATCGCGCCAGCCCGTCTCTGGAGCAGCGTCATCTGCCGCCTTGGACAGACAGGCGTTTCTTATGCTAACCGTCAAGCGCTTGTTCACGGAGAGCAGCGTGAAAAGGTCTGTTATGCAGCGCTGCACCTCCTCGAGCAGCTCACAGGACAGCGCGCCCTGCTCTGTTCTGCGCACGCGGGCCATAAGGCTTCGTATCTTGTCCTTTTCAGTGCGCGGACAGTTGGTGATGTGCGCAAGCACATATGCAATGTTCAGAATGCCCGCCTTTAGCATAGTTCTGCCTTCTTCGCAATATGCAATCTCTTTGCAAGGCAGGCCTCCAACCACCTTGGACCAGACTCTGTGGCAGAACCGGCTATTTGACGTCTTTGCCATGTCCTCCATGAGCCTGAAAAAGTCTCTCAGGTCTTTGGTGTCAGATGTGTTAAATCTCTGCGCAAGCATGCTCTTTAGGTTGTACTTTTTCTCAAGTGGGTCGTGTGCAAAGCATAAAACCAGCCCCAAGGTAATTTTCTCCACAGCTCCGACAGGCCTGTGCTTTTTGTCAAACAGGTCTGTTTCTCTATTATACGCATGCATCTTGCTGTTTTCCTGCAGCCGGCTCAGGTCCATCTGCGGAAACATCATTAAGTCTTCCATGTCGCAGCACGCCTCTAAAAGGGGCCTGAAGTGCTCTAGCGTTTTGTAGGCCTCGCACTCGGGCATAAACCACCGGTTGAAAACGTCGTCGGTATTCGTCTGCGTCGCTTTCAGACATTTAAGAAGCCTGTACGCGCTCCTAATAAACTCCATCATCTCGCTCTTTTCCTTTATGTACTCAGCTATATATGACTGTATGAGCATGTGCGGGCTGTACAAAAACTCGCCGGTTAAAAACTGCTCTTTTGTGCTGGGCAGCGCCACTACGCCCGTGTACGTTCTAAAAAACTCAAAAATCTCATTAAACTCTTTCAGCAAATACTCGTACCTACGGCCCTCAACGCTCACATTGAGCACTGTGTGCTTGCGCGAAGGGTCACTATAAAAATTGATTTCCAGAGGCGTGCTGTCGATGATCAGGTCCACGCCCTCGCAGAGAAGCAGCAGCATCACAAGCACATAATTCGCCTGCTTCCGTACTTGGGGGCACCTAAGGATATTTGTTAGCTGGTTTCTTCTGCTCGACTCGATGGACAGGTTTGCCCCATCCTCAGAAGGGAACATTTGTATGAGAGTCTTGCAGTACCTGATGCGATACTTTGTGCGCTGGTGCGCTTTATTCAAAGCACAGTCCGCTGCTATTATATACGGCCTGTCAAGGGTTGCATATCTTGTGCAGTGCGTTGAGCCCCCGGATGTGCGCAGATCATGCATTTTCACTCGGTAAGCTGTGTGCATTTCGGGCGCGCACAGTCTCTGGTTATGCATCAGGCCAAGATATTTGCACAGTAGGCCGTATATTGGGTTTAGCAGCGCGGTTGGGCGTATATGCATCACCTCGCCCTTTCCTTCCACTAGGGGCGTCGACTGTATGTCCATTATGTCTGCTATTGTGACGTCTGCTCGTGCACAGGCAAAAAGCCCCCCCAAAAGCAAGTAGACTTTCATATGCATGGATAAAAAATTGCTTTTTACTTTTTGTGCTTTTGAATCGAAATCACCTTTTGTGCCTTTAGCATAGAAGTGCAGTATAGAATTTAAGCTCTGCGGGTTCTCGCGCATGTCTCTCTCCGGTCCTGCCTGGATGCTTTTCTATGTGCGCCGAGACGCTCAGCCTATAACGCAACCTCGGCGCCTGCTTCTTCGTCCTCCGGAAGATCCTCGAGCTCAACGCCCTGCGCGCTCGCCGCGCGGTGGACCGGTCCATACAGGTCGTCCGACATCTCCACAACCCCTGCACGCGCTGTTTCGCGGATAAAGGACCCTGCGGGAAGAGAGCTCTTCAGCGCCGCCCAGTCCATGCCTTTGCCCGCCCGGACCTGGATTGCTCGCTTGCTGTACCCCAGCTGGACGGCCTTTTTTATTGCGTCCGAGATCTGCACCTTCATGGGCTTTGTGCTTGGGGTGTAGTTGATCGTCTTCAGCACGGCCTCGGCCTCCTCCTGTGTCAGCCGCCTGTTGTTTTCCTTTCGAACCCGCTGCAGGAGGCCCTCTGCCACGGCCTTCCTTGCGCTTTCCTGCTCGTACTCCCGGGTGGCGCTGTCCTTCCGCTCGGTTCCTTGGCTTAATATTACCTCCAGCGCGCCTCTGTTGTCCTTTTTGAACTCCTCGCTTATGCTTTTCCTGCTTGCAAGCCTTCCCCTGCTTATGTCGGAAAATATGCTTTCTGTGCACAGGACATCCTCGAGAGAGGCCGTTTTTCTCCGGTACTCGTACAGCCTCTTCGGGTGGGCTGCCACCTCGTATGTTCCGTGCTTCCCTTTGTACACAACAACCACAATGTCCTGCAGCTTCTTCACATTCTCGGGCGTAAAAACCATGGCAAAAAAAGACAGAGCGCATATGTGCGCTCTCGAAAAAACGCAAAAGAAAAAAATGCTGCACGGAGTGGCGCAGCTGCACAAGTCAAGAAAACTGTTTATTTCTTAAGAAGCGAGGCAAGCTCTGGCATGTCGTACTCTGCCGCGGCCGCAAGGGCCATGATGTTTCTGGCGCCAATCTGCACCTCCTGCGAGGCGGTTGACTCGGTTACGTATCCAGCTCCCAAAGCCATGGCGGCCAGCGTACTTACGGCAGACTTCACCATGTTTTCGACAGACTCGGTTGTCATCTTCAGGTACTCAACGTCAAAGAACTTTCCGTCTGAGTATGCGTGCACAACCTTCATCTTGTACACGAACGGGGTGACTCCCAGGAGAGACAGCAGGGCTGCCTCAGAGTGTCCAACTCTCTTTCCCTCGGTCAAGGCGCTGCACCTTGATAGAATCTCGATCTTTCCCTTTGTGATCTTTGTTGCAATTCCAAGAGCCTGGAAGAACGAGGTCTTTCCCGGGTCCAGCCCTGTAAGCACTGGCTCAATCCAGATGTCGCACTGCGAGAGGTCCCCAGGCTTTGCAACTGCGTGCAGCTTGTTCTTTTCAAAGACGTCTTCGATCTCGCTCAGAGACCCGTTGGTGAACACAAGGCCCACGTTGTTCTTAATAACGTTCTCCACTCCCTTAAGCTCTTCGCGCTCCTCGGAAATCCTCTTGAGCGCGTTCTTGATTGTCGTGTTCTTTCCCATTAGGAACTCGCCCTTCCCCCTCAGATCCTGTCTGATCTTCTGGCACTGGTTTGACGAAATGTTGGTCATGTCCACCACCAAGAACTTGCTGTACGATTTGAAGAAGTCCTGGGTTCTGTCAAACACCAAGTTCTTTCTTTCGGATTTTACTGTTGTCTGTTGTTTCACTTGCAGCATCGATGTTGTTGAAATGTCAAGGGCGTAAAAATAAAATATTTAAATATTTCTAGCAAAACCCAGCACGAACTGGCAGTTTCTTTGGCCGCAGGCCCCGCGGGAAAACGGGGTTTTCAACTTTCCAGAGCAGACGCCTTCCCTCTCTTATCTGGAAAGCAAAAGCGCGGAGCGCGCTCCCGCGCCCAAACGGCGCTTGCAGACACATGCCTTTTCTGTGATGCATGCGCCTCCGACGCAGCAAGCCAGAGCGGCAGACTCAAGCAAAGGCTGCGCAGCGCCAGAAGGCGCAGCAAACAGCGCCGTATGGCCGCCTCGCAAGAACCGCGAAAAAATCGCATTTCTGCGGGGGCGCGCGTAACCCCGCCTTCTCAAGGCCAATGCCCCAGGCGGTTTGGGGCGTGCCTCCGCAGCCGCGGGAAGCTAGAGCCAAAGAATAGTGCGCATCCGCATTATTTATTTGCATTTTTTAATGCAAACACAAACAGAGATGGATCCGCCAGTGGCTAGCATAAGCACAGAAAGATTCACTGCGCTCTGGGAAATTTTCCAAGTGGAAGCAAACAAGCTGGCGAGCGGGATTTCGTGCAGCGGCATGAAAATATACACGGCTATCTACCAAATTGTAAGCGGCGGAGACATATCCTACTCTGTGCGTCTGCACTGGTGTATAGGGAAGTTCTTCTTCGCGTTTTGCGTGAGCCTCCGAGAGAGGATACAGGGCGACAACTGGGTGGAGGAGTACGTGCGTGCGTTCTGCAAGTACGAGCGGACCGTTGAAACGATAGACCTGCTGTGCCTGCACCTGAACGAGGCCATTATTGACAACAAAGAGTGCAAAAACGTGAAGGACCTGGGGTATGTTATATGGGAACGGTGCATTCTCCGGCAGCGATACGAGAACAAGCTCCCGGCCCTCTTTGAGTCGCTGCCCGAGAGACGGGAGTTTTCGGGGGTGTGTCTCCGGTCTCTGAGCAAAATAGTGACAAACTCGAAAAACAGGCTGGAGTACTACAAAAACAACTACGAGGCAGGGCTGCTCGCAGGCGTGGTAAGGAGGTTCAACGAGAACATTCGGGCGCAGAAAGAGCCCAGCCTGGCTGCGCATCTGGCGAACTGCAGCAGGTGGATAGCGATGTACAAGCAGGAGTACTCTTCTCTCCTGCTGCCTATTTCCTTGCCTGTGCTTGAGGAGGTGCTGGAGAAGGTCGTGTTCACCAAGCACGCGCACGTCCTGAAGGACGAGATTCTGCGCATTTTGAACCGAAAAAACCCGGCGGAGATAAAAGAGCTGTGCAGTGCTGTGCGCCCCCTTCGTAAAAAGGTGTTCCCGGCGTTTCTCCTGTACATAGAGGAGTTCAGCAACAGCGTCTGGCCGGAGGGGAAGAGCTGCGCAGTGTCGGGCGCCGCCTACAGGGAGATTTTGGGGCTTCTTTCCTCGAGCGAGTGCGAGCAGACAGAAAAAATACTTGCAAGCACGCTTTCTGCGCGGATATCGCGGGCGGGCATTGGAAAAGAGCTCTCCGACTATGTGGAGGCGCTTGTTGCGCAAAAGAACCTGGAAGAGATAAAAATAGCAGACGTGCTCCTGAAAAACATCACCATAAAGGAGGAGCGGGAGATGTTCTGCACGGCGTACGTGCAGAAGCTGTCAGAGCGGCTTTTCTCTCTTAAGTTCGACCCCTCAACAGAGCGGGTTGCTGCTGAGTCGCTGAGCCTCCCCTGGGTTCTAAAGAAGAAGGTGCGCAGGATCTTTGACGACATGGTGCAGAGCACAAAGGAGAACGAGCACTTCAGAACGCTGTACGGCATGGAAAACTTCAAGTACATCACCCCCGCAAGCAACGAGATCTTTTTCTACTGCATTGTTACAACAGCCTGTGTGTGGCCAATCCCCGAAGAAGCTATGATGGGCATGCGGCTCCCGCCGGAAATGGACGCAATTTTGTCTGCGTTTTCGGGGCAGTACCTGGAGAAAAACCCAAAGAGGCGCCTCTCGTGGGTGGAAGCCCTGTCCACCATAGAAATTGAGTTTGAAACCGACCGGAGGTACTGCATGGAAATGCCGCTTGCACACTACACTGTTCTGGCAGCAGTTGAAAAGGAGCCGGCTGCGCTTGAAAGTGTGATGGCTGCGGTCGGCCTCAGCACCAAGAGCACTGTAAACATTCTTGAGTCCTTGCAAAGCATCTCCATTGTGCGGCACGCTGCAGGGCTCTACTTTTTCAACGACAGCTTTACAAGCACCCAGCAGAAAATAAAGCTGTGTCCAACAGAGAGCTCCTCAAAGCGCGCGGGGAACCGAAAGCCGTACTACCAGGCATGGATATCGAAAACCCTCAAACACACAGGAGAGTGCGCGCTGGATGCCCTGATGGCGGCGATTCAAAACGCGCACACAACCATCTTCGACTGGAACATGGAGGAGTATGCAGACGCGCTGAGGAGCCTAAGCGAGCGTGGGCTTGTGGAAATAGTGGACTCAACTGTGCGCTATCTTCCGTAGAGCGCATTTTCCGCCCTGCGCTGCCATGTACACACAACTGCTTTAAATAAATCATCTAGTGATATATCAGAGAGCCTTAGTTGGCCAGCGCTGGCGCCTTTTTGCCCATAAAGGCTCGCCCTGGCATAAAGCGCGCAGAGGCGAAAGGGCGCAGGGCAGCCGCAAAAATGCACAACTCAGCAGAAAAGCAAGGACTCAACTCTCTTCTTTATTTTTGGGCTCTGCGCGCGCCTAGAAGTCGTCAAAGCGCGCGTCTAGGGTGGGGTCTATTTCTTCTGCAGGGCTCAGAGAGGGGTCTTCGTCGGTTTCAGCAACCTCAAAGTTCCTGCCCTCGCCCGAAGGCCTCCACTCCACAGGAAGCTCCAGCGCCTTCATTTTTTCCCAGTCAAGGCCTTCAAAGTACGGGTGGCTCTTTATCTTTCCCACGGAGTCTGAGCCAAGCCGCTTCTCCGGAGACTTTTCGAGCAGCCCAGCTATAAACGACCTGGCTGGCTCCTCGATTTTGCCCAGCTCTGCCGGCGGATCGTTCTGGATGGCCTCCTTTATCTGCTTTATGCTAGACCCCGAAAAAGGCAGCGTCTTGAGCATAAGCTGGTATGCCAGCACCCCAAGGCTCCACCAGTCGGCTGTTTTTGTGTAGTGCTCGTCGATCACCTCGGGCGCTATGTTTGTCATGGCCCCGCAGAGGGTGTGGGCCACGCCTCTCTGTGCGCCAATAGAGCACAGCCCGAAGCTGCCCAGCTTTACATACCCGGTCTGGTCAAACAGCACGTTTTCCAGCCGAAGGTCCCTGTATATAATGTTCTCCCCGTGCAGCCACTCAAGGCCCAGGATGATTCCTGCCAAAACCATCCGTATCTCGGCGCTGCTCATCTCCCTGCAGTGCAGATTGAAGTACAGATCGCCCCCCGGGAGAAACTCCGTCACAAAAAACAGATGCGTTTTTGTCTGGAAGCACTCTTCTAGCTTTATGATGAAAGGATTTTCAGACTTTTTCGCAATTTCCAGGCACGTTTTCTCCGCGTCCAGCAGATCCATGCTGTTCTGCACAATTATCTCTTTCTTTTTCATGACCTTCAGCGCAACCGCGCGGTCTCTCCACATGCACATGTACACCTTGCCCAGAGGGCCCTTGCACAGCAAGGACACGAACTCAAACTCCTCAATCGAAATCTTGCTGTGCTTGGCCCGCTTGTGGTGCTTGGGTATGCAGGTTATCAGCCCCTCCAGCAGCTCATGCGATATTCCGCAGGACTTGAACAGCATCCCCCGGCACTCGATGTGGTATGTGTTCTGGCACGTCGAGCAGACCAGCGCCATGGCGAGCATGCCTATTTTGTCTCCGCAGTGGCAGCACCATGTGACGCCAAGCATTTTTTGCTTGCTCAGCGCGTGCTCCACGCTGTACCGCTTGGTGGGCGCGCGCGGCTCTTCCGAGGAGTCTTCGCTTTCGCTGCCATGCGAGCTTCCGCTTTCTCTGCAGCCGCCCCCCTCCCTGTGCATCTTCTTTAGCGTTCGGTCTGCGATGCCCTCGTCCTCCCGGGGCTTTTCTCGAATGTCTATGGCAGCTATAATGATGTTTATCCGGTCCCGCTTCATTTCGTTTAGGCGCTGCTCCAGCTCCATCTTCTCGGCCTCGGCCTCTTTCTTTTTTTTGAACTCAACACACTCAAAGAATATCAAGTATGCACACTCTGTGTGGCACGTGAACTTGCACAGGTCGCACCGGAAAAACTGGCTTTCTTTAAGCTCTTTTTTGCTGTCTCCGCACACGCCGCACCTGTGCATGGAAATGCTGCCAAGCCTCCGCAGAAGATGCTCGGCCGACTTCTTTGTGGATATGCTTTTTGTGCTCCGCTGTATGCCGCCCGAGTCAAGCACACACTTTCCGAAGGATATAGAGAGCGTGCTTTTGTCTACAATGTTGTAGTAGAAAGACCGCACGCCAAGGTCCTCTGCATCCACAAGGTCCTGCACGGGGAAGTACACAAGCCCAATGACAAGGTCGCCCTTGGCCTTTATCAGAAACTCCATCCGGCTTATGTTTTGGAAGTCTATGCTCACAGACTTTCCTTCGTTTACCTCGCTGGCCTTTATCTGCCCTATGCAGATGTCGTCTGTGTATATATGCACTGCTATGTCTTTGTGCAGGGGGTTTTTTGTGTCTATGCCCACTATGGACAGGCGCGCGTGCCCGCTGTGCTTGGGCGCCGCCTCCTGCTTGGCCTCCTCCGTATAGAACAGCATGCTCAGCGCCGTGTTTTTGCTCGCGAGCGTTGCGTCAGCCAGAAGCTTTTTCATCTGCGATATTTCTTTTTCTATAAAGTATATCACCCGCTGCGCCTTGTCAACCCGCTCCAGCAGCAGGTCGGTGGTGTTTTCTTGGAGAATCACCCGGTACCCCTCCAGGAGGTTTTTCTCCAAGGACAGTCTTTTCTTGAGGGCGATGGCTCTGCTTGTATCCCGAGCCTCCCAGCACTCCAGCACGCTGCCCGGAGACTTTTCCTGTCCAGACATAAACGGATTTTCGTTTTTCAGCTGCTCTATTTGGTACCGAGCTGCCTCTGCCTCCGTCTCCGAGAGGCGCGGAAGCATCTCTGTTAGTTTTTTTATTATTTTTACAGTGTTTGGCTGTTTATCAGGCATGTTTTTGTTTGTTTTTATGCAGGCATCGCAGTATATAAGACAATTGTCGGCTCAGATAAAACAGCACTTGAAACAGTGCGAGGAAACAGGCAAATTCTCTTCAGAAGAGGCAACTAAAGTTCTCGAAAATGCCCTTCTTCCGCTTGCAGGCGTTTCGGTCGGAGGCGTCAAAAAGCCTCCCCGCGAATTGATTGTGTCTCAGCAGCTTCCCGAAGACCCGTACATATACGTGCTTATTTGCAAGTACCTGTGCAGCCAGAACGCGCTCGAGAGCGCCAGGACTCTGGCTGAAGAAATGGACGAGGCGTTCCCTGCGCGCGAGCAGTATGTGGCCGTGCGGGTTTTGAAGGAGTACTGCCCCTGGTCTGAGGAGCTGGGAATAGACACCAGCGAGAGCGTGCCCCGGACCTCTCAGGAGTACATGCGGATTGCAGAGGCAAAAAAGAAGTGCTGGGAGGCCGTGCGCATGCACAAAGAGCACGCCAGCCCAAACGACGCCGTTTCTGCGATATACCGGCACATTGAGGGCGCGCTGGAAAAGATGCAGCAGGCGGGCCCGCAGCAGGAGCAAAGAAAAGAGGCGCTGCAGACGTGTCTGTCGGAGATCAGAGCGCACTTTCTAGAGGAGCACGGCGCACTGATATACTTTGATGGAAAGATAGCCCATGTGTACTCAAAAAGGTCCACGAGATACCGCGAGATTTTGATGGTTCTGGGCCTGCTTGTGCACCCATCGCAGCATAAAGAGGCCAGGCGGCTGGTTAACGCCCGGAAAGTCGCGAAGCCCGAAAGCCGGATTTCCTTGGAGACATTCTACTATGTTGGAAAAAAAATGGAGGCCACGAACATATCCCCGTACGAAAACGAAATCGAGGTGGAGTCCGCAGTGCCTTCTGTGCTGGCGTTCCACTCAACATTCTTCTGTCCTATTCTTAGATGCGAGTGCTCTGTGGACAACGCGCCGTGCGTGCTTTTCTGCGGACACATAATAAGCATAAAGGCGCTGGAAAAGCTGGCTGCTCTAAAGGGCTCCGTTTTCAAGTGTCCATACTGTCCGAAGGACGTGGACATAAAAGACGTCTTCAAGGTGAAAATGTGCATCTAGGCCGGCCCTCTGCGCTGCAAAAATAAATCTCGTGCCTTATGCGCTTTTCCCTGTGCGATGTTTGCGCTTCCCAACGCTGCGGCCTCTGCACGCCAGCCCGTAGACCAATGGCTTATTTTTAGCGCGACCTGTCTTTATGTGCAGAACACAGCATAAAAAACAAACTGCACTGCCTTGCCCACATGTGCGCCTTCAAATCCATCCACGCGCCTGCCCTGCAAGATTTTGCCAACAGAAGCCAGGTACGCCGCGCTTTGCTGCAGGAAACAGTGTGCACAGGGAAACCGCGCAGCATTGGAGGCGCGCCCCTAAGGGGCCCCTGAAAGCCGAACCGTATATACGGAGCAGAAACCGGCTACTTACAATGCGATCCAGACGGATGCTCATAAACGGGCTAGTCGCATACTTTTTCTTGGCCATAGGAACCATCCAAATGTGCGGGGTCTCCCAGGAAACACTCGGCCTGCAGCTCGCCAGCTACAAGGACGCGCTGGGCACATACACCCCAGCATACATCGACAAAATGTACGCAGAAATGCACAAGGCTTTGCACGAAATAAGAACCAAAATACAGAAAGCCCCACCAGCGCCCGATCCCATCATAAGCTCGGCGCGGCTTATAGAGGAAGCAACTGCGGTTCCGCCCGGCCTTATAAAAAAAGCTGTAGAGCACACAGTGCAGAAAATACTGGTGCTGGAAAAAGCGGCAAAGGCCTGCCACAGGAAGGGGGGCGCAAACTCTTGGAGAAGCAGCAAGGACTTCTTGGAGGCCGTTGAAATGCAGGCCTGCGAGTCTTTTCACAGTGTGCAAGAAGAGTTCCAATACATTTTACACACAGATGCGACGATCCGGATAAATTTGGCAGTGCTTCAGGAGTTTACTTCTTCCCAGTAGAAAAGTGTCTGCTGCCGGGCGCGCGTGCAGAAAGGCGCAGCATGCTTTCCAAAGAGCCACTTGTTACATAATATAAATGCTGGAACTATGATTGCTTTTACTTTATTTTCAAGAATCTGCATGTCCAAGCAGCTAGATGCCACATAGCACGCTTTTAGTACGACCCCTTTTCAAACCCGCAGGCATTGCATATTGCTGCAGTTGGGGCGTTTCGCAGAGTGCACACATTGCAGTCCCACTCTGCGCACATTTTACAATCCTTTGCAATGTCTACAAGCTCTTTGAATTTATTATTTAGCACACAGTCGTTGAACTTTTCGCCGTCCTGCTGCACCACGCACTCTACGAGCTCGTCTTGGAGAAGCCCCAGGTCTTCCAGCTCCAAAAGCACGTTCAGATCTGACACAGCGCCCAGGCTCAGCTTGCACACCGAGTTCTCTGTGAGCTTTTTCTGGAAGTGCTTTTTCAGCTTGCTTAGCCCGGTGCCGCGCCTAAACTGCTCTCTTTCGGTGTCTATGCTAAATATTTTCCTGTTCTGCGTGAGCCCGTGCGTTGGCCTCACCACCAGATACTCCACAGGCATCCGGTTTCCCGTGTGGGACCCCTCTTTGTCCCGCCAGACAACGTCTATGGAGCGCACAGCCATCTCCGCAGGATTTGAGGACGCCTGCAGAATCCCGTCCATGGCCAGCTCCATTCCCAGGTGCGTGGCCATAAACTCAATGATTTCGGAGGACGTTTTGGTCCCCGCCAGCACCAGCGAGACAAACTTAGACCCCTTTCTCTCGCCCCCTTCCCACTCTGAAAACACGTTCTGCATCTTGGCCATGAAGTCCACCTCAAACGCGCTGACAAAAGGAACCGGGTCCTCGCTTATCCGCGTGTACACCATCCCCACAATCTCCATCTTCAAAAGAGCCAGCACCCGGTTTAAAGAAGAGTCGCTCCTGTTGAGAATGCGGTCGCTTGGGTCTACTATAAATCCGTTTGCCAGAGACCTCTGCTGCGGCGTAACCCGCCCAAACACCTCTGCCCTCCTCCCGCCAGGCACCTCTGTGTACTCAGAGTATCTTCCAACAAGAAAGTGCACACTCTGCGCGCCCTTCTCCCTCTGCTCCATCAGTATCTGCTCGAAAATGGCTTTGTCGTGCACCTCGACATGGTCCACGGGACGAAACGGCTGCCGGGCCAGAAATATCTCCTTTGGCATGCAGTTGTTGCATCTGTGCTCTGCTTTGTGCGATCTGCACGGGTCTGGCAAATGTGTTTCAACTCGAAGAATCTTTTCCTTTGACCGCAAGTAGTCTTCGTACGCGCCCTGCGAGATGGAGCGGCGCTCCTTGAACTGGGTCGAGACCCAGGAGTCCTCCGCCATGCAGTTTGCACACATTCCAGACGGCCCGTGCTGGCACGCTGTGTTTTTCGGGGAGGCCTCCTTTGCGGCGCCTTCTTCAGGCGCGGAGCTGTCTGGCCGGACAACCTCATACTCTGCTGTAAGCATCTCTCCGTTCTCCAGGCTGTTTTCCTCCACGCTTCCGCGCAGCTCCTCCCCGTTGCGCAAAAGGGCAGAGCACTGGCTGCCTGTTCTTTTGTCAATCTTCTGCTTGATCTCCTCCGCTGTCGTGGCCCCGGAAACCTCAATTCGCATTGTTCTGTCTCTCCCTTGGACTCTTATAATCATAAAAAAAATAGCAAACAAATGTTAAAGTACTTTAATGGATATGCCACGGAGCTGCATGCGCCTCTGCCACGTGCAAGCTTCGGCGCGCCCACCAGTGGACGCGCTTGGCCCAAAATAAACCGCACCCCTACCTATTGCGTTTTTTCTTGGGGGCTGCAGCCATTTCCTCCAGCCGCTCTATCATCTGAGAGTAGCGCGCCTTTCTTTCTTCCGCCCGGCTTTCCAGGTCTTTTGCCAGCGCCTCGGCAGCCTCCTTTTCCTTCTCTCTCTTTGCCTGCCTTTTTTTATTCGCCATCAGAGGCTTTGCTCTGTACTTCGGGTACTCCTGCAGCGCCTCCTTCTTTATGCAGGCGTCAAGTATTTCTCTGTATCGGCTCTCTTGCTCGTCCTCTCCCAGAAGCAGGCTGTCAATGATTTTCGACATCTGCCCTTTGTGCTTTTTGTACAAAGCCACCAGCTCGTTCTTTTCCTCTTCAGAGCCCTCGTACATGCTTTTGAATCTTTGGAACGCGTCTGCCGTTATTGCCTCTCTTTCCACGCCCATTTTCTCGGTAAGCGTGTTGTACGCCTCGCTCAGCCGAACAAACAGCTCCTCAGAGCCCCCAGGCCGGTCCGGGTGCATTTTCATAGACAGTTTCCGATACTGCGCCCTTATCTCCTCGGGCGCGCTATCCACCGCGCACCCAAGCACCTCAGCAGCTTCCTCTCGTCGCATGCAAAAATATTATGTTTTCCATATAAACCGGAAAACCCCGGCCAGCACAGCCGATGGGCGCGCGCTCCTCTAGCCCTCTGCGCGGCGTGGGCGCATGAAGGCAAGCACGTGTCGATGGTCTTTATTTTACTTGTCCTTCCCGGGGTCGCTGGCCTGGGCTTTTTGGTGGCTTGCAGACGCCGCTCCTTCTTCCCCGTCCGTGTCCCAGCCATAGAGGGGCATGAAGCTTTCCAGAATGCCACAGTCCGCATATAGGTTGGGGAATAGCCAGAAGTGCTTCCCCGTGGTGCCCCACACAGCAACATACAGAGCCGCCCGAGAAACTGTGATCGAAATGAGGAAAGCAATCAGCCCAATTAATAGATAAAAGATATACCCCGTTCCTATCTTCACGCTTCTTGGCCAAATGGGGAACATGGCCAAAGTCAAAGCAATAAGAAGCGCTGCCACGCTGAAAAGATACAGCATCACCCGCGAGCCCTCCTTTATCCAGATGTACTCGTGGTTTATGTTGAACTCGTACGAAAGGTCGAGTATGTGCTGATCGTCCATTGGCCGGACCCTCACTATGTAGTGGTTGTCGAGCAGCACGGACATGATGTCTTTGGCCTGCATAGACAGAAGGCCCTTTTTGTTCATGAGGTACTTCAGCGCGTCTGACCCCTTGAAAACCTCCACCCGTTTTGCCTTGTTGAGAATCGACTCTCGCGTGGGCATGTCTCTTAGGCTTTTTTCTGCATAGCTTACAGAAAACTGCACAGCCTGAACTTCTTTTGCCATTATTTGTTTTAGCAAAAGAAATATTTAATATGGAGAAAAGAGCGCATAATGCGTGCTGCTACCGGATGCTGTCAATTCTCAACGTGCTGAAGGAGGGCTCTCTCCGCAGGCCCGAGCTGGAGGGCCTTCTGTGCGAGCTGGACAGGCTGATTTTTCTGGTCACCACCTGCCAGCCCCAAGCAGAGGTGTGCGTAGAAAGGCTTGGCGAGCACGAGTACCGCGTGAAGAACACACGCATAGCGCAGCGGGGCGGGGAGGTCGAAATTGTAGAGACAGACGTGCTGGGGCTGAAGGCATACTATGCAACGCTCCCCCTAAAATCGCAGCCCATCAGAGAAACTGTGGAGTATGTGCGGGCAGTTAGCGAGCACAGGGTGTGCATGCGGTGCCTTAGGCGCGCCAGCCAGGTCACGCTTCTGTGCTGCCTAGTGATCAGAAAAGACCCAAGCGGAAGCTCAGCGTACCACATAGAGTGTGCAGAAGGGGCCTGCGAGTGACCTGGCCCCGGGGGACTCGGGGTAGCCCCGCGTGCAGCAGAAAAGAAAGATGACATGCCGCAGCGCCTCCTAGAAACTGAAACAAACAAAAAAACACAACATATCTGCACATTGTTTGTGCGAAAATGGGATTTATACTGTCCAGGCTGTACAGAGGGCCCGCCTTCTTTATTCTTATACTCAAGCCAGGATCGGCCAAGACATATGCAGTTGTCGACGAGTTTTTCGGCCACTTTCTGTCGAGGTTTAAAGTCACATACCGGCACACAAGCGAGTACTTTACATACAACAAGCTTTCCTCGCGGGGGAAAAGTCTTTCGATACTGGAGATGCACGACGAAAACTACTCTAGCCTGTTCTGGGACTGCGTAACGGGGATGCACTCCATCATGTACTTCATTGACATTCTCACGCGCGAAAACATGCTGGAAGTAATTGGGCAGCTGAAGTGCATAAAAGATGCAAACCAAAGCGCGTCCATCCTCCTTATTATTATAAAAAATAACGTGGAAACGGAAGAGTACGCCAGCTTCAAATTAGGCCTGGCAAAGGCCCTAGACGGCATAAACTACAAAATTATAGAAAGCTCTCCTGTGATGCCCATGGGCTCGCCTATGATGGCAGACCAGATTTTCCAGGGCGTCTCTTGGGCGCTCAACCAGACGGAGTAAGAGCCCGGCCCTCGGCCGGCCCAAAAGCGCAGTTGCTCCGTGTGGAGGGGCTAGCCCGGGGTTTCACCACGAATAAACAGAAAAACATTATGATTGCATAAACACCCGCAGATGCCGCAGAGAGGGGTGTAGTGGGCGCGCTTTTGGAATTTTTGGCTTACTTCCCTGCCCGGCCAAGCATGGCGGGCCTTTCTCTTGGATTCTTCTGTTCTGCAATAGCAGCATCTCCTGGCCCAGCCCCCTTAAACGCCTAATCTATGACTTGTTTTCTCATAGGCTACAGACAGCTGTCTATGCGCTTTTGTTGTGCGCTGCCCAGACTCTCGCTGAATAGCCCTTCTCCGCAGGGGCTGGCGGACAAAGGCCTTGGAGCCACGTCCTGCTGTTTGCAGAGCGCCATTTGGCATAGAAAAGAAAAATAAAGCAAGCAGAATACATTTTTTCTGTACGCCTTTTACACAACAGTATGCTGTTAATGGAAGCTTTTTTTTCTGTAACAGTATGTAGGAATAGAGTACAACAAACTGCCCACGCAAAACCCCTGCACGATCTGATCAGAAATTAGACTCACCCGAAAAGAACACCAGGAAGACAGCAGCAGAGACTGCAATAGAACCGGGACTAGATATACGTTCTGGAAAACAGCCAATGGGCAGCACGGCAAAGAGCTCAAAGACAGCAGCGGAAGGGGCCAAAAAGAGGAATAAAAACGAAGAAAGCAGCAGGCATTTATTCTTAACAGGACAGGCAGCAGAGCTGCTGGTGCAGATTGTGCAAACAAACAACCACATGCAGTTTATTGCAATTAGTGCTGGCATGCAGCAAGTTTTTAAACCAGGGTTTGAGTGCAGCGGTTTATTGGCGCCCCTTGTATTATATACCGCGTTGGGGCCATGCATATCGGCTGTGCGGAAAAGCGTCGTGTGCTTATATTAGGAAGACGCTGCAAGTGGCCTCTAGACGTTAAACCGGTACGCCACAATGAAGCCCTCCTTGTTGCAGGGCGGCACAAACAAAGCCCCGCTTGCAGGCCACACATAGTAGCCGGGCGCCTCTATCGTTCCAACCTGCTCGCCGTGCTCGTCCACGATGCATATGGGGCCTTCGTACAGAGACAGAACTGCTAGCGCGTCCGACTTCTCGTTGAACGGGTCATTTAGCAGCAAGTATCCGCCAGGCGAAACCTTTGCCACCAGCACATCAACTAGATCTTTCCACATGATTGCCAGCAAGCCAATGGGGATTTCGCTGGCCGTGTCTGGCTCCTCCAGCGACGTGTATATGCAGTTGAGTCTTCGCTTCCACGACAGGCTGTTCAGCACGCGCGTTGCGTTGGACACCCACTCCTGGTCGTTGCACGTGTCTAGAGCTGACAGCTGCGGGCTCTTGGGCAAGTCAATGCTGATTGACTCTTCTGCATTGAAAACCCAGTACCGGTTGCGGGGGCACGGCAGCGTGATGCTTTCCGGGTTGCACTTTTCCGACATCAGCCACCCAGTCAGCGCCATTCGGTACCCCTTTGTCATCATCTTCACCTCGTGGTAGGACTTCCCAGACACTTCAAAGATGACAAGCCTGTTGGGCCTGGGGGCTATTTCCTTGGCCAAGGCTATGCCGTCTTCCTCATACAGAGCCAGCTCTCCGTTTGGGCCCTTTGGGGCTTCCTGCTTTTCCTCCTTTTCTTCGCTCTCCTCGCTTGGGTCGTTCAGATAGAACGAAAAAGCAAGCACCCGCTTCTCTACACAGTCGTCGTGCGGAAGAAGAAAGTGGCCCGGGTTGTAGAAAGACCCGAACAAAGTCATCTCTTCTCCGTGCACCGGGCGCTGGATACGCTCCAGGTCCGCGCTCATGCTCTCTCGGAGTATAGACAGAAACTGCTTGAATTTTGCGTCATCTTTCAGCTCATTGGTCTGGTAGAAATGAAAAAGATCAGAGTGCTTCTCAAAGTACCTGCTGTTCTTCGCGGACTCAACCACCTCCTGGAACACGCTGCACGGCAGGAAGTCGTCTACGACTCTGTGGTAAAAAGGGGCGGTGTGCACACCCCTGACAACTTTTTTCTCCGGGACTCCGTTAATTTCAATTTGGGGCATAAAAATAAAATACGCACACGCATATATAAAAATGCGCTGATTGGCCGACTGCCACGGGGCGCCCAGGGGTAAAAGTATATATATGCAAAGCACCACACATCAACATGCCAATACAAGGAGGAGAATTAAACTACAACAAGGACAAAGATGATAAAAAAAAGCCTGAGGACGGAAAGCCGGCTGGCGACAAGCCAACCAGCACAGAAAAGCCAAAGGCCGACACACCCAGGCCCGGCCCAAGCAGCGCCGAGCGGCCCACAATGGGCGCGCCAAACCCCGAGAAGAGCGCTGAGAAGAGCGCGAACCCCTTTTCCGGCGAAAAAGCCGCCCAGGAAAAGAGGCCGGACCCTCTTCTCCCAAAGACACAGCCTACAGCGCCCTCTGACAAAGAAAAGATTGAGTCTAGCAAGCTGTCCAACACAGCCGGCCCAGACTCCAAGGTGCCCGGCAGCGTGCCTGTGCCGCCCAAGCCCTCCGCCAGCAGCGGCCAGGGAAACAGCAGGCCGATGGACCAGAAGGCTCCCATGGGTGGAAACAGCAGGCCTTCAGCAGAGCCAAGCAGGCCTGGGGCTGGCTTAAAAGAAACTGGTGCTGCTGCATCATTGTCGTCTGGTAACTCAGCGCCGAAGAGCACAGGCAATTTAGACAAGAATATATCCCAGAGCTCCCAGGAGGAAGAAGAGCCAAACCCAATAGTAAAGTTCTTTAGGACCATTAAGAACGCCATCATGGGATTCTGCTGCCAAACAGAAGACGACATAAGGCACATAGCTTAATAAAAGAGACGCTTTTACAATCCGCCATCTACGCTTCAAACGTTAAAAAGCTCTTCCAGAGCCTTGCAGATTTTCCGGCAGTCCTTCTTATGCGCGCCCAGCCGCGCTGGATATGCTTTTGCACTTGGGGGTTCTCTGCCCGCAAGATATTTTGCAGTTTTTTGCGCCTTTTTCCTGACTGGCCGCCACTGCAGCCCATGTGGGCCAGAAAATGAAAAAACACACTTGACTCGAAACTTTATTTCTGTAATCCAAGCTAGTTTCCAGCTATGAAAGTCTGAAAATGTGCGGTGCGGTTTAGACACCAAGCGCGGCTGCACAGAAGCCAAGGCCGGCCTGCCCGGGCCCACAAAAAAGAAGCGCACAGCAGTGCTGCGGCGTGGAAGCAAGTCAGAACACCTTGCAGTTCGCACACAGTTCGCACAGCCAGGTTCCTCCAGAAACACACGCTGGCAGGCGCCTACTTTGGCATCTCTTTTGCTTGGCTTTGCGCCTTTTTCTGCTTTAGTACCAGGCAGTCTTTTGTGTTGTGCCGGCCTGTCTTGTGGTATACACAGTATGCGTCGAGAGTGGGCTTGCGGGTTTCCTGGGCCTTGCTGTCTTTTTGTGCGCAGTCTCGGCTTTTTCCTTTCAGAATGTTTGTCTTGGCGTGTATGGCCTCCTCCTCGTTCATGTGCTGCAGCGACCTTTCAAGCGCGTCTGGGTTGCTCTGGATGTAGCACAGCATCTGGCTGGCAATGCTTAGCTCCTTTCTGCCGATTTCCTTTATTATGTCCTCCTCGGCCTGCCCCTCCTCCATCCTCTTCGCAATGTAGCTGTAGGTAAACATGGACAGGCCAGACTGCATTTCAGACGACCAAGCCGCGCCTCTCTCCTCTGGCTGCACACCGCCTAGGTACACCTGCGCGTCGATCTTCACGTCAACTGCCCCTAGATAGTTCCGGAAAAAGAGATACTCTTTCTGCTTGTGGCTCTCCTCCTTCACGTGCGCAGACACGGTGTGTGCATGCTGCGTCAGAAAGCCCATGCTGTCATCGTACGTCACAAACCGGCCTACTGCGCCCAGAAGGCTTGGCTCTAGACAGTACTTTAGTATGCGCAGGCGCTCCGTAGGCGGCACGCTGTATATCTCCATGCTTTTTATAAACTCGCACTTCCATATGGAAAAAAAGGGAAGCGTTTCCGACGTAAGAACCGGAAAAAGGCCGGCGCCAAGCGGGGGCGGCGCAGCCTCATCCGGCGCAGGCAACTTCCACTCCACGCGGACTTGCAGGTCCTTAGGGTGCGTTTGTCTACCTTCGCTGATTTGGTTTGCGCTATAGTGCCGATACAGCGTTATTATTATAAGAAAGTTGTCCACGGGAAGCTCCTCCTCATGCATAAGATAGTCCTCAAACAAGCTCAGGTTTGGAGGGCTCCAATGCTTCATGGATATTTTTTCCGGCATTTCGTTCTTGGCAATTTCGCATCTGTATTTAAGCATCACATTTCTATCTATATCAGTCTTTCCCAAATAGCATGCCAACATAATCACCTAGAGAGTCCTCGCCACAAATCGATGGAAAAGGCAAGCCACAGTGCCCGGCATGCGCGCAAGCACGCCTGCCTAGCAGCTTTATTTGGCTGCAGCGCAGGACCAGCAGAGCGCCTCGCCAAAGGCATGCAGCGCTGCGTGTTTTTCAGGGGCGGTCTTTCGTCCGCCTGCTTCTGAGCACATATGCGTCTTTTGGCTTTTATACGAGGACTCGACGTTTTTGTTTTTATAATGAGAAGCGCTGTAAAACTATTGCTTTTTTTGACAAGCTTGATTATGCAGTGCAAGGGATTAGAGGGCGAAGACGGTTTTTACTCGCTGCGCGATAAGACAATACAGAACGAGCACGTGGACTTCTCTCAGTTTAGAGGAAGCGTGTGCCTAGTGGTGAACACAGCATGCAAGTGCAAGCTGGCTGAGCTTGGATTTAACATAATAAAAAGGCTTCGAGAAGAGTATCCAGAGCTAAAGATCCTCCTGTATCCCACCGCCTTCAATCGGTTTGTTGACCAAGAAATGAAGACTCCCGCGGAGATACTCGAAGAAATACGCAAGCGTGGGGTGGTCCCGTCAAATAACACGCTGGTGTTTGAGAAAAGAGTGCTGAACAGCGGAGAGGGCCTTTTCCACTGGCTAACCACAAAGAGCATGGGTAGCGGGTTCTTTAAAATAAAGGCACTGAAGTGGAACTTTACGATGTTTGTGGTAGGAAAAGATGCAGCCAAAGTGGTGCGGCACGACCCGATGTCTCTGGAGTATGCAGGCGTGTCTGAAAGCGTGCGGGCCCTCATGAACGAATAAAATGTCAAAAAGGCGGATCTACAAATAAGCACTCGTGCCAATTGGCCAAAGAAAGGAGAATATATTGCCCAAATGTTTGCCCCGCATGGACAAAAACACAGAGCGAAAGACAGAAAGCCCAGCACAGGACAGCGCACGCAAGGACACTCCTAAGAAAGAAGAGACACCGGCGCAGGAGGGAAGCAGGGGCATGCAGGAGGAAAAGCCAGACTACAAGGCGTCGGAGAAAGAAATGCATGCGCGTGCAGAAAAGCAGACGGAGATGGCAACTGCTAGAATATCTGGATTTTTCCAGTCGTTCACTGCAAAGATAAAAGGGGGCGCCGAGGGCGTGCGATCAGGAATAAACAAGTCTCTTAAACCGAGCAGCAGCGAAGCTGGCAGCGCCCAGGCGTGCAAGGAGAAGGACTGCAAGAACCCAGAAAGCTGCAAAAACAGTGACTGCAAAATAAAAGACTGCAAGAAGAAGGAGTGCAAGGACGGAACCTGCCACGCGGCAGAGTGCTGCTCTTCTGAAAAGTGCAAGCCCAAAGAGTGCGCAAAGCAGGAGAGCTGCCACTCTGCAGAGTGCAAAGAGCCTGCAGAGTGCACAAACAGCGCCTGCCATGCTGAAGACTGCAAAAAGGAAAAGTAAGAAGGCCTCTCAGAGCTATGCTCTTACAGCAATAAACCAAACTTACTAAACAAGGGTGTCTTATATTGTATGCTTTCCACTTAAGAAATGAAATGGACAGTGCGGACTCTTTCTAGGAAAGACAGCGGCGTCTGGGCGCACATAGAAGAGGCTCCGTACCTGAAAATAACTGCGGTTTTGCAGCAGGACGCTCTGCGAATATACCTAAAGTTTTTCGGGCACGAGGAGCTTGCCGAAACCGTGCCCGTGCCCGGCATCACACTCCACCCGCAGCCGAAAAACTGCTCGGTGGCAATTTGCACGGATGCGCGGAAAATACAGCTGAAGCTGCCAAGCGACTGCGCCTTAAAGGACATGCACCGGACTGTGCTGTATGCTGCAGAGGCCAAAAGGCTTGCAGCAGGCCTGGCGTCTATCACAGACTCCATGCGCAAAGCCCGTGCGCCTCGAGCTGCCCGAAAGGCCAAAGCTAACCACAGGCACTCTCACAGCAGGCTGCACTGACAAAAGGCTTTAAGGCCGAAGAGCTTTTCGCACGAAGAAAATAAACTGCACTATTCAACACTAATATAAAGTCTGCGAGCTTGGCCAGACTTTCAGAAGGCCCAGCCGCCATGCCGGATACGCCCAGCGCTTTTTTGTGCATGCCTGCTTTTATATAAACATCCGGCCCGTCTGGGCCACGCTGCTCTGAAAAAGGCGCTTCTTAGAGCACCAAAGCACTGTCGGACAGAAAGCCGCATGCCATTCGCAGCTCAGGCTTGGGCTAACTTCTCGAACAGCCAGAGGGCATTTGTTGCGCAGCACGCGCGCCAGCATTTGCCAAAGAGCCCGCTGTGCATCTAGGAAGCCTTGGGCTCGGCAGCATTTACAGTTTGGGATAGAATAAGGCCTACCTCCGTGTGCTTGTGCGAGTATCCGTCGTTCATGATCAGCGGGTATCCCTCCGTGCAGGGACACTTGAGCCACTTGTGCACAATCGACGTTTCCTGCGGGGTAAACACGCTGGGCTCTTCGCACTGCGAAAGATGCTCCTCTATTTCCTCCGGCGGAAGAACGCCCTCCAGCCGCCTCTGCAGGTCTATTTTTTTCATCTGCACCAGAAGAATGTACTCCTCCACGGTTCCCATCAGAAACAGCCGGTGTATCACAACCGGCCGAGTCTGCCCCAGCCGCCACACACGGGCCATGGCCTGCAGGTCGTTGGCTGGGTTCCAGTCCGAGTCGATGATGATCATCCGGGTCGACTTCACAAGAGTAAGGCCCTCCGCGCCACACTTTGCCGACAGAATAATAACCTTCTGCCCGCTTTTCTGGAACGACGCCAGCGCGTCCTCTCGCTGCGCAACCTTCATTTCTCCGTGGAAGACGCAAACATCCCGGGCAGAGATCGGAACCTCTCTTCTCAGAGCAAGCCCCTTTATTTCGTCCGACGCCTGCCGTATGACCTCAATGTACCGGGACACCACAACAAGCGAGTTTCTCTCCACCAGAATCTGCTTGGCCAGCGTAAGAAAGACCGCCCACTTGCTGGGCGACGTGCAGGCCTGCATGCGCAGCCTCTGTATGTCCTGTATGCCTCCGCGGGACGACGTGCTGTCGTGGTACTCTCGGTACTCCGCATACTCCTTGTTTCGAATTATCCAGACAAGCTCGTCCTTTTGCGGCAGCCGCAGGCTTGTCCTCTCTATTTTTCTTCTGAGCACAGCCTCGTTGGCTATGCCCGACAGCTCCTTTATCCCCTTGGCCGCTTCGGCGCGCCCGTCCACAAGAGCCAGCAGCGTCTTGTACTCCTGCAGCGTGTTTTGGAAGGGCGTTCCTGTGAGAAGAAGCTTTTTGCTGTCCATTTTCTTGAGCGCCTGCAGCGCCTGCGACGTGCTTGTCCGCAGCCTGTGCGCTTCGTCGCAGATAACCAGCTGGAACCGGTGCTGCTCTGTGTCCAGCGTGGCAAGCCGCTCGTAGCTCACCAAAAGCACCTGCTCAAGCCCCCGGTACTTGTTTGGGCGCTTTACTGCCCCGTTGTACACCTTCAGGCTCCCCGCCCACTTGCTGATTTCTCTCTCCCAAACGCCAACCAGCGAGCAAGGCGAGACCACCAGAACAAGCCCGCCCGCGCGGCAGAAGATCCGGGCAATTGCAACCGCCTGGAACGTCTTCCCCAGGCCCATTTCGTCCGCCAAGAGCGCCCCGTTCGACGACCGAAGCCGCTGAAACATAAACTGCACGCCTTCTATCTGGTAGTCCTTGAAAAACCGCAGATGCGACGGCTCAATGTACGCGCGCGGCGTGAATATCAGCGACCCGGGAGGGGGTGGCGCCACCCTCACCTTTCTGTGCACCGGCTTGCTCAGCAGCTTTGTGCTCTCGGGGGCGCTCCGGACCGTGTCTTCTATTTCGTTTTCTGTGTCTGTTGAGGCAAGATACATAGAGCCCTCGAATGCAACAGCGGTTTTTTGCATAACCTTGTCGATTGCTGCCCCGGAAGACGACAGAAGCGTGTACGCGCCGCCCGTTCTCCGCAGAAGCCCTCTCGAAGAGCCTTCGGCCACCCCTTTTCTCTTGTACACACACTCCATTGCGTTTTTCTCTGAAGAGTTTCTACTTATTATTAAAATTAAAGCGGCTCGGAGCTTCTCCAAAAAGCAGCGCACGAAGAGACAGCCCGGGTATAGAAACACGCATTTATTAAACAGACTTAAAGAAGATTGTTACATGCAGCAGCGCGCCAACTATGCCGCCCACGAACTGCCCAACCCAGTATACCCAGCAGTCTTTCCAGACGCCAGAGAAGAGCACGCCCGGCAGCGTGATGGCAGGGTTGAACACTCCTCCGCTGGACCCGATCCCAAGAAGAGAGAGAAACCCAAGCGTGAAGCCTATCGCAATGGGGGCGAACGCGGACCTGTTTGGGGCCTGCGAAGTGACCACCCGCAGCTTGTCGTTGTCCTCCGCCTCGTCGGGCACCTCTATTTTCACCTGTGTCGGCGGGTTGAACACGTTGATGGCCACGGAGAACGCAACATAGGTGAGTATTCCGGTCAGCAGCATTTCGGTGAGGATCGCCTGTCCTATGTTTGCGTCTGCCGCTATTGTCGACCGGGTGTACCCCAGAAGCTCAGAAGAGGGCCCTGGCTTGGTCAGAAGCATGGCTGCAGACCCCAGCATGGCGCCTGCGCACTGCATAACAATGTACCCCAGGCCCATCCAGATGGGAAGCTTTCCCGTGACTATGGCTGCCAGCGTAATGGCAGGGTTGAAGTGGGCTATTGTTATGTCCATAAACGAGTATATAATGGCGACGCTGGTGAGCGCTATGGTCAGCGTAACAGCAATGTTTCCTACTCCGTCCGCAACCGGAGTTATGTTCACGCCGGTGACCACAGAGTACACTGCGTATGCGAAAAGAGACGTGCACAGGCCCTCCGCCAGAAAAGACCTTAGTATCATCCAGTTAAATGTAAGAGCCATTGTTTTCTGTCCCAGAACAGAATATATATACAGGTGCGTATATTAAAAGAAACAACAAATAAACAGCTTGCTCCTGTGTATCGCGCACCAAGTGCACATAAAAGGCAGGCCCAAACAAACAGAAGCTCAGCTCCAATCATCTCGCGTGTGTTTATTAGTTTGAGCTACTCGTTTGCATTGTCTTCGTCTGATATGCCTGCTGATATCTGCCACACCTGAAGTATGTTGTCGTTCGCCACGCTGGCTATTTCCCACGGCTCGTGCGGGTTCCAGGATATGTCGCTTACCGCGTCAGTGTGCCCACCGTGCATAAAGAGAAGCTCGGGCGGGCCGTCTGCCCTGTCCTCCTCTGTCTGCTCCTCCCCTACCTTGGAAAGGTCCCATATAATCACTCTTCGGTCGCTGCTGCACGAAGCGAGGACCGTCTCCATGTGGGGCGACCAGTCCACCTGTGTTACGTCTCCTGTGTGCCCCTTTAGCGTGTACAGAGGCGCAGCCTCGTTCCGCACGTCCCACACCTTCAGCTCGCCGCCCTTCGAGCCTGTCGCCAGGAACGAGCTGTTTTCGAGCGAAAACTTCACGCTGAGCGTTTCATCTGTCTGGATTTTCTTTTGCTCGAGCGACCGCTTGTCAACCAGAACCGTTCCGTTCTTGTCCAGGCCCAGCGCCAAAAGCGCGCCGTCGCACGAAATCGCAATGTCGTTTATCTCCTCGTCCTGCGTGATGGTCTGCACTGCAGCGCTCCCCTTGTCCATCTGGAACACGCACACCGCCCCGTCGTACCCGGCAGTGCACAGCTCTCCCTCCACAACGGGGTTCCAAGCAAGCCCAAACCCGCCCTTGGTGTGCCCCTCAAGCACGACTTCGGGCACAGACTCCTTCCCGAACGAAGGGTGCTTTGTGTAGTCGTACACGTGGACCTCCGGGCTGTCGTACCTCACCGCGATCAGGCTGTTGTTCGACGGCATGTACCTGGCCCTGTTTACCTCGTAGAGCATGGGCATTTTCTGGACCGTCTTTACCTTGGACTCGCCCAGGCCGTACCCGCCGTCGTCCAGGTCCCGGACAGACTCGTCAACCACAGAGTCTGGGAGCGTGACGGAGAGAACCTGCAGGTACTCTTCCTCCTGGCCAGACGTCTGGGTGGACAGCAGCAGCCTCTGCGTGGTGGTCTCGGTTTCCTCGCTGCGCACCGCGTCGGGAAACCACTGCACAGTCAAGGAGGGCCAGGTCAGCGCGTGCGACAAAAGCATGTCGTACAAGTACGGCACGTTTTTCCTCCACGTTTTGAACTCTTCGCATATTTCGATTTCCTGTACGTCCATTTCGCTCAGTGACATTGTGGAACTAAAATAGTTTTTCCAGAAATTTCGATATTTATAAATAAGAAAAATTTAATAAGTGCAATGGATTTCAAAGGATACTATAAACTACTGGGCGTGGACAAAAATGCGTCGGAGCGGGAAATAAAAAGGGCGTACAGAGACCTGGCAAAAAAGTACCACTCGGACGGGTCCGCAGTGGCAAACGCAATGAAAGAGTGCAAAACCGACCAGGAAAGGGCGGAGCTAAAGAAGTCAATGGACAAAAAGTTCTCGGAAATAACAAATGCGTACGAGGTGCTGTCGAGCCCGGAGAAGAGGCAGGCATACGACCGAGGCATAGACGAGCAGCAGGGACCTGGCGGGTTTGGCGGGTTTTCTGACATGGGAGGAAACTCGTTTTTCTCGTCCTTCTTCGGAGGGTCCATGGGCGGGTCCATGTTTGGCGAGGACCGGAGGAGGAAAAAGAACAACCCAAAGGTCGAGAGAATACACATCCGGCTGCAGGATGTGCTCCTGGGCGGCAAGGTAAGCAAAAAGATAGCCCGAAGCGTTGTGTGCATGCCGTGCAAGGCCACAGGGTCGATGAACACGAAAACGTGCGAAAAGTGCCGAGGAGCGGGAGCGTACGTGGAAATCGTGAACATGGGCGGAATAAAGCTGCAGCGAGAGGCCGAGTGCAACCAGTGCGAAGGGCAGGGAATCGTGAAGACCGGGCCAAGCTGCAGGGACTGTGCAGGGCGGGGGTACGTTGTCAAGACGGAGACCGACACTATACACATCCCCAAGGGCGTGATGGAGGGGCACAAGATATGCAGAAAGGGCATGGGAGACGAGCTGTATGGCGTCGAAACCGGGGACCTGATATATGTGATCTCGATAGCGGAGCATGATACATACACGCGGGTTTCGCAGGACACCCTGTACACCGAGATAAAGGTCCCGATTGCAAACATTCTAAAGCAGGCGCCAATATCTCTGACGACTCTGGACAACAGAAAGATAAGCATAGAGTGCCCGTCCTTCTGCGGCAAAGACGTGGGCGAGGACTTCCTGTGCGTTGAAAAAGAGGGGCTGGCCGTCGACAACGGGCAGAAGGGGCCGCTGCTGATCCGGGTGGTGCCTGAGTTTGTTGGGGCCAGCAAGATGCAGGACCTGGCCAAGGAGATTGCAAGCCCTGCGGCAGCCGACGAAAAGGCCACGCACAAGGCGTTCTTTGTTTCAAAAAGCAAGGTGAACAAGTCGAACAGCGCGCGCCAGGGAGGAAGGCACCAGCACGAGCAGTCTTCAGACTTTGAGGAGGAGGCCAACACACGGACATGCGCAACCACATAATTGGCTAATATTTGCGCATGCCTAGCCAAACACATAGAACACTCTTCTGGGTGCACACGCAGTAGGCTGCACCAAGGCAGCGTCTGTGCGAAATAAAAACAAAGCTAATAGCACGCCCTGTTTTGTGTACGCAGGCACGCTGCCCGAGAGCGGCCGGCTTCGGCGCAGGGCCTCCTGCAGAAGGCTTTGTGCGCGCGTACATTTTCTTGTTTTTGCTTTTATTTATGTTATATGAGCTCTTTTTTACGTCTCTTATAGGAGCGTCGTGGGGTGCGTTTTTCTTTCTAAACGAGCTGACGCAGCACGGAAACAGGCCGGGCAGGCCGCCCTGCGGGCCCATAGACAAGGACTGGTTTGTGGTTTTCTACATCAACGGCGCAGCTTTTTTCGGGCTTCTGTGGGCTCTGAACACCCCGTCTGGCGCCACCGCTTTGCTGGGCATCCACATTTTCAGAAGGCTTGTTGAGTCCTCCATATACTCCTACAACCACACAAGCACGATGAGCCTGCCGCACCTTGTCACAGGCCTTGTGTACTATCCGCTGATACTGTGCAGGAGCGTAGACAAAAGCGCCGCGCACGTGCCTCTTTTTGTGCTGGGCACGCTGGCGCAGACGGTGCTGCACTACCTCCTGTTTGCGAAGAGAAGGCCCGTGAGGCACCTGCACTATCTGGCAGAGCTGCTGATACACAGCTCCATCTCGCTGGACGCGCTGAACATCTCCTGGATTGTCACGTTCTCTTTGATCAACATTCTGAACAGGCGCAGGTAAATAAAATGCACGTGTGCAGCTTTATTCTTTTTTTTTTGTGCTCCCCGGGCAGGTGGAAGCTTTCGATAGAGGTAGCAATATCTTTAGGAAGGTCTGAGAGTAGCAAGCACAGATCGAAATGATCAGGAGGAAACTCCACGTGGCAGCTGACCAGAAACGTTCCTGTGCCTGCTTCTGCAGCGGCTTGCTGCTGCAGGAAAGGCGCAGTTGAGACGGCTGTTGCTAGCAGGATAGTCAAATCGAAAGGTGGGCCAAAGTGCACGTCCATAACACAATTCAGACTACTCTTCACATGCCCGCTTATTATTTAATCACTTCGGAGCGCGCCAGCACTTTCGGGCTGCACGCGTCTTTTCTGCGGGGGCGGGCGCGCCTTTAGCAAGAGAACGAGCGCGGGGCCTGGGCGCGCCAAGGCTGCAGGCCAAAGGGCTGATCTCTGCTTGGGCAATTTCTGCACAAATATTTTCTTATACTTGGATTTTGTTTAATTCTTTTCATGCGCAAGGGCTACACACTACTGCCAGAAGAGGAGCTGGAATCTCTCTGCGACTCAAACACATCGCACGTTTTGGCTGTGAACAGCATAGAGCTGGGAAAAAAGACGCCTATTGCACTGCCGCTTTTTGTGGCCGACGAGGCTGCGGTAGATATGGTGGCTGGCAGCGTGCCTATAGACGATGCGCTGTGCGCCTTGGCGCAGGATGTCGCTGGCGGAAGCGCGCAGAAAGGGTACAGCAGCGACGAAATAGAGTACACGCTGGAGATAGACCTGGCCAGCATCCAGGAGAGATATGAGATGATAGGCATTGAGAAAGAGGAGAGCGAGGTCGACAAAATAGACAGGGCGGGGCAGTACATATACGAAATCACCGCGGACAGCGCAAAGTACATAGCGAAGTGCGCGACAGTGGACAACAACTCGTACATAGTTCTGTCGGACGAGGGCAACATATACAGCATAAACCAGTCGTGCACCGTGCGCAAGCCCAGCGACAAAAGGCTAGAGGAGTGACTGGCTGCTGGCGAAAAAGTGCTGTATGGCAGTGTAATTAGCCAGAACATCTGAAAAGAGCCAGACCGCACACGCTCAAAAGCCAGAGCTGCAAGACACGCCGCAGAAGGAGCGCTACTGTCGCATAGAGCCGCGTGCATCCGGCGCGCGGCGTCTGGGACACACACTTGCTAGAAAGCAGCCCGTTTTTGCACTGCACAGTAAATTAAATCCAACAGGTTAATGTACTCAGCCTTTTATTTATATTTGGGCGTTTGCAGGCTCCCACCCCCCACCTGGGAGCTAAATACCTCTAGCAGGTCTCCTTCCTTCAGATTTATCGAGCTTGGCGTTTCGTCTCCGCTGAGCGTCATGCCTTTGTAAACAAATCTGAGCTTGTGTGCGTTGAGCTGCGATCTGTCGGAAAACTCCTTGAAAAGCTTCTTTAGCTTTGTGTTTTTCTTCATTACGAACTTGGAAATGCGCTGGCTCTGGTCGGCCACTCTGATCTGGACGGTTGGCTTTGCTGGCTCTTCTGTTACTTCCTGCACGTGCATTTATATATTTTTTTTCTTCAACCCATGTGTTTAATGATGAAAAGCTTAAACTCGGCCAACGTGGGTAAAGTAGTCATAGTTACACTGAAAACACTTAAATGCGAATCTCCTGCGCGCCTGCTCTATTTCTGGTAGAAAAGACACGCCACTATTTTTTTAATTCTTCTCACAAAGCCGTATTCTTTCTTCTCTTTTTTGGTGGGCGCCGCGTCCAGCTTGTCCATGAGCTCGTCGATCGAGGCGTTGCTCAGCTCTATTCTGTACTCAAAAACCTCCAGGAGCCTGCGCTCGTACTCGTTGAGCAGCTGCTTTTCAATCATCAGAATGTTTGCCCACGTTCTGTTTATGTACGACCGGTCTATGAGGTATTTCGACGAAATTATTAAGCATATGGAGAAGAGCATGTACGTGCTGTTGTACAGGCTCAGCGCGCTCTCCAGCTTGCCCTCGGCGCCGCTGCTGGGCTCGCCCTCGGCCATGCTCTTCCTGAGGCTCTGTATGTACGCAGGCAGCTTCTCCTTCCCTTTTAGAAGAAGCGACACCGCCGCAAGCACCACAGTGCTGGACAGGTTTGCCCGCCGAATGATGTATGCCATCTGGCTGGTGTGAGCAGCGTCTATGGATTGCAGCTTTGCAAGGGTTGTGCACAGTATCTCGTTGCGAACAACCTCTTCCTTTTTCGTAGTCATTATGCTCTGCTCTCAATCGAGTATTTACTATACCCCTGCGACTCCGATTGGTCAGCACGATCAGAGGCCGGGACCAATAGAAAGCCCAGCAGGGGACAGGGACCCGCGCCCTGCAGCAGCACACCTACAGATTACCGCCCACCACAGCACCTGGCCTTTACAGGCCCCGGCACAGATCCTATCAAAACAGAAAAAAACATGCAATTTTTAAAACCTATTTACTTCATCCTACACCTTCTTGTAGTCCATGCGCCCTTCCAGTTTCTTCTGGTCTGCAATCTTGCGCACGCTTCTCGTGAGGTCTTCCTGCACTATAAAGTCCCGCTCTTCCCGAATGGCCAGCATCCCGGCCTCGCTGCAGATGTTCCGAATGTCGGCCCCGTTGAACCCGTGCGACATCTTCACAATTGTGTTGTAGTCTATTTCGCCCCGTTTATCCATGCTGTCCGAGTGTATCTTGAGAATTTCCAGCCGCCCTTGGCTCGTTGGAAGCGGTATCTCTATTTTTCTGTCCAGCCGCCCAGGCCGCAGCAGCGCAGGGTCGAGAATGTCCGGCCTGTTTGTCGCCATTATCACCTTAACTCTGCCCAGCTCCTCAAACCCGTCCATCTGGTTCAGCAGCTCCATAAGGGTGCGCTGCACCTCTCTGTCTGAGGACGTGCTGTCTGAGGACCGCTTTCCTCCAATTGCGTCTATTTCGTCCAAGAATATCACGCACGGCTGGTTGTTCTTGGCGTACGTGAACATCTCCCGGATCATTCGACTGCTTTCTCCAATGTACTTCTCAATAATAGCAGAGCTCACCACCTTCAGGAAGTTCGAGTCCAGGGTTGCAGCCACTGCCCGGGCCAGAAGAGTCTTTCCGGTCCCCGGGGGGCCGTACAGAAGCACCCCCTTTGGCGCCGAAACCCCCACCCTGCTGAATATTTCAGGGTTCTTGATGGGCAGCTCGATCACCTCGCGGATTTCCCGTATCTGCTCTGCAAGCCCTCCGATGCTGTCGAACGAAATGTTTCCAGGCTTTTCTATCGACATGGCGTGCACTGTTGGGTCAACCTCCCTGGGAAGGTGCCTCATTATTGTGAGGGTTGTTATGTCCAGCGCCACGCGCGCGCCCGGCACCAGCAGCTCGCGCGGAATGCACTTACGCGCGCCCACAATGTACCGGGGGCCCTGCGACGTCTTCACTATGAACCGCTCCTCGTCCAGCTGCTTCAGCACGTCGCCCACCATCTGCCCTACGCTCTGCAGGGTTTTTATGTCGCGCTCGGTCTTGTCGTGCTCCAGCGCCTGGTTCTTTAGAGACTCGTTCACCGACCGCATTGCCTCCATCGAGTCTGCGTGCTCTTTAAGGACTTTCTGGTACTTTACAAGCACCTCCTGTTTGTTTGGCTCCATAATAAAAAATAAATTGGACGCATTTATGCTTTAATGCGTTATCTCAATTAAACACTGCCCGCATCTAATTCTATTGCGCACGCCTTAAATTGCACACGCAGCTTTGCAAGCAGCCTGCATGAGCCTTGTGTCGGAGTATCTCTTTGCCATCGACCAGTGGAAGCTTTTGGAGCAGTGGAAAATGCACATCCTGGGCGCACTTCCCCTCTCCTCCTCGCAGGAGTCCTCCTTGGTGGCCAGCATAGAGGCCCGCTCCAGATACGACGCCCACATCAACGCATACTCAAGCCAGACATACCAGCTTCTCATATCTGCCAGCGGCCACCTGGGCTGCGAGATCGTGGAGTACTCCAGGCTTGAGCAGAAGATGCTGCGCCTGCTGAACAAGCTGCGCGGCAAGATGCTGCCGACCGTGTCGCACGACGTTGCGTACCTGAGGCACTTCCTGATGTGCAGAGTAGACAGCGCGCGCGTGTTCGCGCCCACTATGTCCCGGTACTATATGCACATCATAGAGCTCATCCTTGTGGGCGAGCTGTTTCCCGTCCACTTTGACACGTGCGAGAAGAAGCTGCACGTCCATCTAAAAAAAGCCCCCTTTGTCGGCATAAACATGCGGCGCGCACTCGCCCAGATCACCGAGGTTGTTCTGGTCCTGTACGAGGGCAGGCGCGTGACCGAAAAGCAGGAGCACATGCTAAGAAGCGCGTTTAGCGTAAAGGTGACGCGCGTGCTGAAGTAAAAATGGTCCTACCGAGGATCGAACTCGGGTTACGGGATTCAAAGTCCCGGGTGCTACCGCTACACCATAGGACCCACAAAAACCAAACTACACGACCGCCAGCTCGCCTCTCGCCCTGCGCTGCCTGCCAGCAAAGACGCGCTCTCTCCAGAGGCAACCGGTTGCGCTGTCTCCCTGCTGGGGCCTTATGCCGTGCGCGCAGCGCATCTGCCAAAACAAATAAAGTAAGCCCAAGCAACTCCAAGCGTGGCTGCCGTCTAGCCACAGCAATAATGTATTCGTGTTTGTCTGTGCAAAGACTTTTATATTTAGCGCCCTTCTGTGCGCACAAAAATTGAAAATGCAAACGCTTGGCCTATTTGCGCTTCCAGAAGCTGCCGCTCGCCCAAGAGCAAAGCCCCTGCACCGCCTGCCAGGCTTTGCCGCTGTGCTACACTATGGCGCGGGCTCGATGCGCAAGCTCTTATAGCGCTCCTTTGCCCTTTCATAGTAGGCTGCGCCCTCTTTCTCCAGGGCTTGCAAAACAGCGTGTGTTAGGCCCTTTCCAGGCATCTTCATATACTCGAGCACTATGCACATCTTGGCAATGCGCAGCGCAGCCTCTTCGCAGTTGTCCTGCAGGTTTTCCCGCAGGCACATCAAAAGATACTCCTCCATCTCGTCGACTGGCTTCTTTTTCATCATCGCCTCAAACACTTTTATGTACTCCAGCACGCTGTCCGTCTCCACCGCGGCCAAAACAAGCTTGAACAGCTCGGTGCACGGCGTTTCCACAGCCACGATTTTATCCAGCTTCCGGGCCTTGCTCACCGTGGTGACAGACATCGTGTCTACTATTTTCTCTTTCAGCAGCGCTCTGATCGTCGCTGCCTCGCCCTCGCTGGACGCAGCGCCCTCTATGGCCTTCAGCCGCATTCTTAGCTCTTCCCGGACTTTTTCTTTGGCTTCTCTTTTCCACGTCTTCAGCGCGCGCCGGTCCACGTTCGGGTGCCCGCCCTCGTCGCTGTCCTCCTCCAGCGTGCGTTTGCACTGGCTATAGTACTCGTCCATTGAAAATATTTCAAAAACTTTATCTTTATTTTCGCTGCAGCCCTTTCAAAGGGGTCTGCGCCAGCGTCTGGGCCACTCTCGCAGAGTCTCCTGCAGATCCGCCTGCAGCTGGCATAACATGCTCGAGCAGCCAGCACATCTGTGCAGCCTATGAGCTGCTGCGCCCGTTCAACAGAGGCGCGCTTCCGCTTGCGCAAGGAAGCAGAGCGCGCGCCTGGGCTGCGTGACCTGCCTTTCTGTGGCGCGCCTCGCTATGCATGCCACTCTGCATTTATATTTATTTTTTTTGTCGCGCATGGAACACACTCCTTCCTTCTCTTGCATCCAGCCAATAGAGGGCATCCAGACGGCAAACAAGAACGTATACAGCTACTTTATGAAAAACGACAACTCGTACTACGTGGCCCCGCAGCACAGATACACGGGCTACAAAAAAAGCACGGACAAAACATACGTTGTGGTCATATCAAAGTACGAAAGCGCGACCGGGGACTACGCATACACAAACAACAGCAGCGCCATCCAGATGGAGTGCCTGATTGGGGAAAGCAAGAGCAATGTGCAGCAGAAAAGCGTGCATCTGTCAAATCTTTTCCACGCCATCAAGGAGATTGAATACTCTCTGCCTGGCACAGAAGAGATACGGCCCGGCGACATATTTGTGGGCCTTGTGTACCCGGACGGCATGAACAGAGTGAGCATCATGAACATGGTGGACTCAGTTCTCCGGCACGCAGGGTTCAAGGGCATCCTGGTTCTCCCCATGGCGCTTGCGCTCAGCCTGGGCCTGGGCGTGTCCAACTCGGTGGTGTACAGCCCGTGCGACCAGACCTTTGCGCTTATTGAAGACAACTGCATGTTTGACAGCTTCACAGTCGGAAGAAAAAGCAGCAGCACGCTCTATGGAAGCGACATTGTGGAGGAGTTCCTAAAGAAGGAGGAGCCCCCCAAAAGCGCGCTCCCCGAGCTCACGTGCTTCATGTGCGGCGCGCACTTTGAGATATCGGAGTTCAGCATGCACTTCCTGAACAAGCACATGATAGACATATACGAAGACCAGGCGAAAAGCGACGCCATGCTAAGCAAGTGCGCGCTGCGGGAGGAGCCGGCAAAGGAGGAGCCCGCGCCCGAAGCCAACCTGCAGGTTGTGGCCCGCGCCATGGTGCGGCGCCTGTCTCCGGCAGAACGAAGCAAAAAGGTAACGGCAACGGTGATTTTGGTCACAGAGAAGCACATTCCCGCAGAAAGCGCGGGCCCTTCTGCAGAGGGCGAGGCAGCAGCGCCTGCAGAAGGCGAGGGCACAGATGACCAGAAGGCTGTGCCTGAGGACGTGCAGGACATAGCTCTGATAGTTGAAGATCTGGCAGACTCCACCCTTTTGTATGTACAGGAAAAAGCCAGGGCGCAGACCGCGTGGAACGGCATGTTTGCGCTTACAAAAATCGAGCCGTCAAAAGACCTGTGGCTTACGGACAAGGAGTGGAAGAGCGTTGGCCTGCGGGTTCTTAAGGAGAAAGTGCTGTTCTTTATATAGGCGCCTCCACGTATACAACACTGCGCCAGAACAGACATGAATAAATGCGCGCGCTCTTACTCTGGCTTTATTTCAGCGCGCAAGCCGCAAAAGCTGGCGCGCCAGCGCAAGGCCCTCTGCTGCGCATATTTCATGCGCTGGAGCGCACTATTTTTTTATGGCAAAAAAATACATGGGCATGGTCTTTTCGAAGGACCGGGCATTCACAGCAAAAACGAAGGAGGAGGAGGAGGTGTTTTCTCTGTTCAACCGGAAAATACACAGCAACGATCTGGAGGACGACTTCTTTGACCTGGGTGACGGCGCGCGCGAGGCGTTTGCCGATGAACACGCGTTTTCAAGCGACAGCAGCACGCTCGATATGTCAAACGAAGAGGACAGCTGGGCAGAGAGCGCACCCCCTGCCGAAAAAGAAAGCAAGCCGGCAGCCCTTCCTGCGAAAGAGCCCGAAATGCTGAAAAAAGACTGCTTTGCCTCTCTTGTTGACCAGATAAACGCAAAGAATGGAGGGGCTTTCAACGCTCTTTCGAAAATACTCCACAAGCCCCGGAAGCCTGTAAAAAGAGAAAAGAAGGCGTCGGCGTCAATAGACGAGTGCAACGAAATACTCAGCCGGATGGGGGGATACATTCCCCAGACGCCCGAGGAGGCGCCCGCGCCAAAAAAGCAGAAAAAAACAGAGGACAAGCAGGACCGGTGCGAAAACTGGGAAGACCAGCCGGCTGCAGCGAAAAAGAACCAGCCAAACATTATCTAACAGCAAAATAAAAATCGTAGAAGCACGCTTTATTTCTGCCAGCTATGCAATTGTGTTCGGGTCCCAGCAGGTTCTGTTCTGTATGGGGAAGCTGTTTAGGTACTCCTCGTCCTCAGGGTCCAGCGCCTGCTCCAGCGCCTTGAAGTTTTCAGCGATTCGCGCAGGGTGCACGCTCTTTGGGATCACGCAGCAGTCTTTGTTCATCGACCATTTGAGGATCTGGTTTGCCAGAGAGCCTTTTTCCTTCATCCGGGAAAGCTGCGCAGAGCTCTTCAGATACTCCTCGGAGAGAAGAAGGCCCCTGGCCAGCGTCGAGTACGACTGCACCACCACGCGGTTGCTTTGGCAGTATTCCACCACGTCCTTTGGATAGCATGTGGGCGAAAGCTCTATTTGGTTCACCTGCGGCTTTTTGTCAAACTCTTCAAAGAGCCCTCGCAAGTGGCTGCACATGAAGTTGCTCACGCCAATGTTTTTGACCACTCCTTCCTCCTGCAGCTCCAGAAGAGCCCTGTACGACCCGTGCCTAAGCTCTTTGTTCTTTGGGCTCTGCAGGTCCACCCCCTTCGCGCCTGGCCAGTGGATCAAAACAAGGTCAACATACTCCTCGCCCATCAGAGAAAGGCTTTCTCGGACAGACCGCATGGCCTCGTCATATCCTTGGTTGGACGTGCTCACTTTTGTGGTTATAAACACCTCTTTTCTGGGCATGCCGGTTTTCTTTATGGCGTCGCTTACCTGCTTTTCGTTCTTGTACACCTGCGCAGTGTCGTAGAGCCGGTACCCCGCCTCCATGGCGGCGCCCACCGCCGTGTCTGCCTCTTCGCGCTTTGTCTCGTATGTTCCTAGCCCAAGTATATCTATTTCATTGTGATTGTTCAGCGCAAGCTTTCGCATGTAAATAAAAACTTTTCCGAACACACTCCATTTATGCGCTTCTTTCTTGGACATAGCAAAAAAGCACAGGCCTGAAGCTGCGCCTTCGGCTGGCGCAGAGAGCGCAGGCTCTGCCCGCGCCAAGGCGCCCTCCTGTGCATTAGGCAGGAGCTGCCGCAAACATTTTCCTGCAAGTCCCGGGCAGGGCCAAAGGCCTGCTGCCAGGCGGAGCTATGGCGCGCGCGGCACACGGCGCCAGGGCGCTTCTGTGGAGATGATATAAAGCGCCTTCTTTATTTTTTTTTATGAACGAAAACACACTAAACTTGCATGAGTCTATGCTAGAGCTGTATGTGAACGGCCTAATTTCCGGGTTTCACCAGAGAAAGAAAGAGCTGGTTATTTTGGTAACAAACATGCCTGAAAAGCACTCCATGGTAAACCATATCTGCGAGGAGCTGCTGGCCAAGTACACACAGCAGGAGATTCTGGAGCTCGAGCTTGAAATGCTAAACTACGCATCCAAGGACTATTTTCTCCTGACAAACGCGCTGCTGTATCTTGAGCGAAGATGGAGCACGGAAACAATCAGGCACATCCTAAAAGCTGCAATTTCGGACGAAGAGCACTACAGCATGGTGATTTCGCTGGTCACAGATCCAAGAGAAGAGGACGCGCCGGGCCCATGCGCTGTGGAGGCAAACATAACCGTGCCTGCAAACTGCACTGCTCTGGCGCACATACACGGCATACTGCACAACATGCACAAGAAAAGCATAGTCTCCTCGATGCGCGACGCCTTCACGGCGTACAAGGTGATTGTGTCCTGCGGGGCAAACGTGCCCTTCATACTAAGCAAGCTGGACATGCTGGAAAGCTTGGAGTCGGTTTTGCTCAGCGACATTCTGGGAGGCGCCCTCGTTGTAATGCTCTACGAGCCCAGGGAAATCCCGCACATGGCCAATGTTCTCCACAGACTCCTTAAGCGGAACCGGCTGCAGCTGCAGTCGTTCATACAGCTGCTTATCACTGCCTACAATCTGAAGGACGAAATGTGGGAGACGCTCCAAAACTTTGTGCCGCACTTCTACATGCGCCTGGGCATAGAAAGGAACTTCGCCGCATGCCTGCTCCACACCCTCAACCTAAAAAATACAATCGTTTTGTACGAGCTGCTTAACGGAGAAGTTCCTGCGTTGGAGATGTTTGACCGGTGCGTGCAGGCAAGGCATGCCATGTACGACAACGAGCTTAGGCAGTGCCTTCGAGAACTTCTGGCCATATCCGATGAGGAAACATACACTGTTCTGCCGGCGCCCCCCACAGAGGCTCCTCTTTCTTTTGCAGAGCGCCCCCCAACCAAGCACTCGGAGGTTGCAGACATGCTGTACTTCTGCCACTTCTACGCAAAAAAAAGCAGCCCAAGCATAACGCACATGAACAATACCACAGTTGAGTACCGAGACGTGATTGGGCACATGTCAGAGCAAGAGCGGACATTGCTTGTCCAGACCGTGCTGTCCTACACAAACTCTCTTGTCCATAAAGAGCTTACTGTGAACAAGATATACACTATATGTTCGCTTACTGCGCGAAAATGATGCGTGGCGCCTGCCTGCCCCAGCTCTTTTCTGCTTGTTTGTGCAAAACCCGCGGCGCCCTGGGCGGCCTCTCCTGCCCGGCAGGCACCCGCTGCATGCAGCCGGCGCTCTGCACAAACAAGAACATGCCTAGGCATCTAGCTGGCACTTGAAGCCATAAAAATATTTTTATTTTTCCCCCTGCATATTATGGATTGTTTATTAGCATACAGATTAGTAGAACTCGCCACCTCAAAGGCACCAACGTCTTCGGAAATTGAAAAGATCATCGAAATCGCCGGAGGAAAGGCCGACGCAGCAAAGGTGCAGGCTCTTCTTAAGTGCTTAGACGGAAAGAACTCCGACGAATTGATTGCAAAGGGCGCGTCTATGCTCCAGTCAGCAGCCCCCGCAGCTGCATCCGGCAGCGCAGCCCCCGCAGCTGAGGCCAAGGCCGCAGAGGTAGAGGAGAGCGAGGAAGAAAGCTCTGGAGACATGGACCTCTTTGGTTAAGCAGCATTCTTTGCAGTCTCCCATCCTATCTGGAATAAATCCCGTTATTTTCTTATTTGGCCTTTTTGCTTTTCGAGCGCTGTAGGCCGTATATTTATTTAAATTTAATTTTCATGCGGATGATTGAAGTGTGCTTTATAGACATCTTTGCAAACGGAGGCAGCGCAGCGGACGTGTTCAAGAAGAAGATGATGCCAACCGTGCGTGTTTCTTCAACAGAGGCAAACGCCTCGCTAAAGGTGTGTGTTGTGTACTCGGTCAGCTCTGCAGACACAGACTATGATCAGGTGCTTTGCAGCGAGGTCGTTGAGGGAATAGATGCCGGCATTGCCGAGTTTGACCTGGAGACCGAAATTCCGGACCTTGAGAAAATACCCCGCGAGCACCTCATTGGCTTGGGCTCTATACTCTTCCTGTTTTCCACAAAGGATGGCCAGCAGTTTGCCAGAGTGGGCTACTTCGTGAAGGTGGACTACCCAGGCATCCATATTATAGAGGAGCCCCGGAGCTCCCTGGAAAACGAGGCTGTTTTCGAGCTTGAGGGCCTGGACTGCACAGGGTCCAGCGAAGAAAACGAGAGCCAGGAGCGCGCAGCCAAGAAGAAGCTTGAGGGCGCAGAGGGCGAAAAAGACCAAGAAGACGACGTCTCTATTGAGGCAGAGGAGGCCGAGGAAGGAAACGAGGAAGGGGAGATAAAAACAGAGGGGATGCATGACGGCGTGCTTTTTGTTACCGAGAAAAACTTCATGAAAATGGAGTTAGACGCGTCAAAGATCGAGGGGACTGTTCTGTGCCCTCCCTTGGTCACCGTGTTTACAGAGGCCTGGTCCGACGCACAGGACGAAGAAGAGGAAGAAGAAAATAGTAGTAGCGAGTAGACATCCAACCTCTGCAAATGCGTTGCATTTATTTATAGTAATAAACAGAGTCGTCTGCAAGCTGTGTGGTGGCTGGGGTCTGAGCGCGCCGCTCTACAGGCTCACCTCCCCGCTTTTGGTTCTATCTGCAAGCATCCAGAACATCTTTTTTGTTTTTGCGTCCTTTGCGACTTTTTTCGAGGTGTGCGCCTGTATGCGCACAGAGGCGCCTGCGTACTCTATAACAAGGTCGTTGCCCAGCGCCTGGATATCGTATGCGTCTGCGCTCTCCTTCACCTTCACAAGGTCCAGATACTCCCAGCTGAACGCAGCCTCAGTGTACAGCGTGCAGCCGTTGTGCATAAACGGAATTCTTGCGCGCAGCGGGCTAAAAGAAACAACGGAAAAGGGGCTGCCAATGCACCTGCCCAGGCACAGCTCGATCTCCTTTGTTTCGCTGCTTTCCAAGAGCCCTGCGCCCGGAACTATAGATAGCCTGTGCGACAGCACCTTTTTCGAGAGTGGCACCTCAAGAACCTCAACCGAAACATGCACCTTTTTGCTGTACGACCGCCCCTTGTAGCTGAGGTACACCTCAAGAATCTTGCACGTCGAGCTTATAAAGAACGTGGCTTTTTCGCCCGCGTGCGTTGGCGCCAGGCACTGCAGCTCTTTCGGCCGGGTGTGCAGAGGATGCGCAGACACCACCGTTGTCTCTGACGTTGGCCGGCCCAGTAGAATGCCCGTCACAGCCACGTCCGGCGCGCCCACTTTTAGCGACACTTCACCCTCTGTATAGATGGCGCGCCCAGGCGCCCCGGCTTCTGTCTGCGCAAGCTCGCTAAGCATGTGCACGTCTTTGGTCTCCGTGCTTTCTATTTCCTGCTTTGTCTGCGTTATGTACTCCCCTATTCCAGTCGTGATGTATATTTCGGGATCTGGAATCACGCTCTTGTTGTGCATATACTCGGCCAGCACAAGGTCGCACGGCGTTTTTTCCACCACCAAATCGCTCTCAAGCGAAATAATTGACTCGAGCGTTTTTTTTGAGCTCTTCATTCTGGACGGCGAGCACATGGAGCACCCAATGCGGTCCACCGCGAGGCCCACCAGCGTGTACCGCGTCGCGTATTCCGGGCCTATGTACAGCGATAGAAGGTAGTAGAACATGGACGCCTTGTGCGGGGAAACCGCCACTCTGGAATACATGTTAAGAATGCTGGGGGGTCTTCTGCACGAGGTCTTCTGCAGGCCCACCAGCACCGTGTTGAGCACCCGGTTTTCCTCGCTGCTGGGCTGCGCGCCTGTAAGCGCTGTGGAGATGTATGCAATGCTGTCCACAATCGACGGGTCCTCTGGCGCAAGAAGAGCGCCTGCAAATATTTCGTACGTCAGATACGGAATGATTTTCTCAAGCGAGTACGTGGTTGGCATGTTTTCCCGTATGCACTTAAGCGCGTCGTCTAGCTGGTTTATCTTGATGAAGAACACGGCCAGCCGCAGGCACACCGGGTTTTGTATGCCGAACTGGGCCGCCTCGGACTTGCGCATGGCGCTTTCCACAATTGTGTCTATGTTTTCCTCAATGCATGCGGCAGTCCTCTCGAGCGTAAGGCTGTCGTTTGCAGCCACAAGGTCAAACCAGTTGGGCTGCACAAACCCGTCTGCCCCGCACGGAGCAATGCAGGGCTTTCCGTCCGTGCAGCCTATGTAGCCATCAATAAAGAACACCGGCTCAGACCGTGCAAAAACGCCGACCTCGGAAATCGGAAAAACCTCCACATTCACGGAAATGGAGGGTGGAAGGATAAAGGCCTTCCGAATTTCGCCTGCTGGGACATAGACCACACTTAAAGTGTGTCTTGTTTCAGAGGACAGAATCTTAAGCGAGTTCAAAACAACCATATATTTGTTTACATTTTCAAATAAATATGAAGGTAGGCATCAATGGCGCAGGAAGAATAGGGAAAATGGTTGTGCGCATACTTCTGGAAAGAGGCATCGAGGTGGGCTGCATAAACGACCCCTTTGTCGACGCAGAGTATCTGGCATATCTCTTGTACCGAGACTCCACGCACGGGACTCTCAAGAACACGGTAATCACGCACACCGAAAGCTCGCTGACTGTGAAAAGAGAGGGAAAGCCTGACATGCTGATTGCGGTCTCCAACAAAAAAGACCCCTCTGAGATCGGGTGGAGCCAGTACGGAATCGAGTATGTTGTTGAGGCCTCTGGCGTGTTTAAGACAGTCGAAAGCTGTCAAAAGCACATACAGGGCGGAGCCAAGAAGGTAGTCATCACCGCGCCAAGCAAAGACGCCCCCATGTTTGCTGTTGGGATAAACACTGGCGAGTACAAAGGCGAAGCTGTGATCAGCAACGCCAGCTGCACCACAAACTGCCTGGCTCCGCTGGCAAAGGTGCTGGAGGAGGAGTTTGGCATCGAGGAGGGGCTTATGACCACGGTGCACGCCTTGACGGCAACGCAAAGAATCGTAGACGGGATGTCGATGAAGGAGTACCGGGACGGGCGGGGCGCCCTGCAAAACATCATCCCTGCGTCAACAGGCGCTGCCAGCGCAATCGGCCAGGTAATTCCGAGCCTCAAAGGAAAGCTCACAGGGATGTCGTTCAGAGTGCCCGTGGCAGACGTAAGCGTGGTTGACCTGACTGTCCGGCTAAAGGCTGGCGCGTCCCCTGAAAAGATCAAGCAGGCTCTGAGGGCCGCCAGCGAAGGCGCTCTGCAGGGAATCCTGAAGTACACCGAAGACCCTGTGGTCAGCACAGACTTCATCGGAGACAGCGCAAGCAGCATTTTTGACGCCAGCGCGTCTATCTTCCTCTCCGACCGGTTTGTCAAGCTTGTTGCGTGGTATGACAACGAGTGCGGATACTCGCACCGCGTGGTTGATCTGCTTCTCCACATAAGCAAGTTCCAAGAGTAAATGCGCTTTTCTATTTCTTTTTGTGTTTTTGCGTTTGTGCTTGGTCCGCTGCAAAGCCGCAGGCCTGCCACAGCCGGCAGCAAGAGTACACCGCGCACGGCTGGGCGCTGCAGAACCGGCCCGCCGGCATGCGCAGCTGGCTGGAAGCATATGTGTCCTAAAAGCGTGCTAACCCGCATAAATTCCGCTGCTTGCCACAGCTACACCACGCCCACTTGTTTGTATTAGCTAATTTATTTCTTTGTGCTCTGCTAATTCGCTATGCATCTTCTACGAGATAGCCTACTCTAGCCACTCTATGTGTTTTCTTTCTATCTCTGTGTGCGTTTTGGTGTGCTGCACCTTGGTGGAACATAATCCAGAGCAGCGCTCAGTTTAAGCAGTACAGGTTGTACCCAACCCATATAAGCAGCCTGCCCACCGAAATGTTGACTGCAAGAAGCGCAAATCTTGTGACCCCCCAAGCATACATGCACGCCACAGCGCACACAGCTACCGTAGCCTCTATCATTTTGTGCTGCTGTCTCTTCTGGCTATATATTAATGCAATTAATTAATATATATTGCTGCCAAGGCTGCATACGGATCCTCAGCACGAGCGCCTTACTCGCGCAGATTCTGCCACCAGCATGGAATGTGCTCAAGATGCTTCTTTATGACCAAGTACTTTCTGTTTATAAAGAGCTCCTTTACTTCTTTTCCTTGAAAAGACTTTTTTATGTGGTATATAATGTCCCAGCACGGAATTATGGAAACAATGGCAACTCCCAGCACAACTCCCCCTGCCACGAACGCATAAAGAAGAAACTTACTGTTGCTTGTTGGGTCGTTCACAAGCTTCTGCGGCTTTATCTCAAGCCTGGGCTGCGTGATTTTTTTGTGCGCGTACGAGAAAAACGAGACCACCCCCATTATAACGGTTATGAGGGATATAGAGTACACAACAATCATGAAGACCCCTGCTGCTCTGCTCGAAAGGTTCTCAACAAAAGCCAAGGCCAGCAGGCAGTAGAAGGCCGTGCACAGCAGGGTGATCGTCGCTCTGATCGCGACCGACGCCACTTTCTCTTTCATCGTGCTTAAATTGGATATTCTGCTGCACAGCATTCTGAGCAAAATGCACCCATACACCACCGCATTTACTATGATTCCCGCAAGAGTGCATATTTTGAAGGCATGCGTGTACTTTTCTGGGACATACTCTCTGTTTGGGCTTTCATATAGCGATCCTATGTTTAGAGCTATTAAGAAGAACCCAGTTGTGAGAAGAATCAGATATGGAATGTGTCTGGTGCCAAAGCCTTTGATCGACAGCGAAAGAGTGTTCCATGCCACCTCGTTAGACCGCCGGATTCTTCTTACCTCTTCATTGCGTGTATTGTCTGCGCTTCTATTCATTTGTGCAGTGTGCTGAAAAAATTTAAAACTTCTCTATATATTCGCCCGTTTGATTGTGCCAAACAAGCCCGCCCGCCCAGTTTTCCAACTTGCAAAGCTTTTTCAGAGACTTCGCAGAGCCTCGCCTGTGCGCCATTGCCGCAGAACTCTTCTCTGTGCGTTTCGAAAAAACTTCCTCTATGATCATCGGATCTTTGATGATAAAAAATTTAATCACGTTGATCCAGCAACCCGGTATCTGCCCTTGAGTGCTGAACTCCAGATGCGGCCTGCCCGCCCTGTGTTCAGCCTTTTTCCCGCTCTGCAGCTGCTCCTCCTCGCGTGAGTCTGCTTCGGCTTGCTGCAAGTTTCCCCTAGAGTAAATAAAAAGTGTAAGCATTATATTTTGTACAGATTTTATTTAAAGTCGGCCTGGGCACAGCACTCACTCCCCAGCCCTTGTTTGCATGCAAAGACGTGCGGCAGGCCTCTGAGCGTGCAAGCATCGCATATTTGGGAAAGCACTGCACACTGCATGTGTGGCGAAACAATCTGCCAAAAAGCTAGATCTGAAATCATAAAACCACGCCAAACTTGAGAGCTTAAACAAAGCACACAGCTCTACAGGATTTGACAGCCCACATGTGCGCAGCGCTGGGAAAAAGTTATATAAAGGTACCCCTGCATGCGGCCAGACAATGTTCTATTTCCGTGTAGTTATAATGCTAGAAGTAGGCGTGTGATCCATTGTCCTTTAGTTTTTTCGACATGCTTAAACACTTATGCGTTCAATCTATCATAATCATTATAGCGTGTGTCAGCAAAACATAAACAGTAATTGGTCGCGAGTAATTATGCCTTCACCATACGGCATGTGTGATTTCAAAAGAACAAAAAAAGATCAAAGTAAAGACATTAATACAGAAATTTGGAAAAAAATAAGAAATGACCAGAAGAGTAGTAGCATTGGTTTTAGCAGCAGTTGCGTTTATAGCACGCACAAAGGGAAGCATGCTGGAATCTATCGGAGTGCCTGCGCCGCCCTCGCGCATGGAGGCAGCGCCTGGCCATCGCCCGCATGTCCAAACAGAGCCTTTGGCGCACGTGGCCCCCGAAGATATAGAGCACATAGACAGCGCTGTAAAGTCAGGCCTGGGTGCGGCAGCAAGAAAATACAGCAGCAAAAAGCAGGAAAGGACAAAACGAGAGGTCGGCCTGCACCATCCAGGAGGTCTGCACGCCGAGAACATAGCAAACATAATAGACGGAAGGCTGAAGGCTGGAGACCAGAACTATTCTGCGAATCTGCGGGAGCTGCTTGGGCGCATAAAAACCCACAGAGAAAACGAAATAGTGCAGATCAAAGTGCATATATCCAGCATAGTGAGGAGGAAGCGCTTGATAGACAAAAACGGCAGGCTTAACTGGGGGGCCATTCTAACAGCTCGGCTGCCTGACAGCCTGTCCGAGGAGTTTTCCAGCCTCCCAGCCATAAAAGAGCAAGGCCTGCAAAGTCCTTTGGATAGCGCGGCCAGCTCCGCAATAAACAGCGCCAACATAAAGTACATACAAAGCTTGTGCAGCTCTGCCAGCGCGGCAGAGCTCGAGGCGGAAATCAAGGAAATCGAAAAGTTTATGTTCCACGAGCTGAAGTTCCTTATGGGCGCGGTGTACTTGATTGAGGAAAAAATTTCGGATGTGCATTTTATGCACAACACGCCAAACACTGTGCAGGCGCTGAAGGAAAAGTATACAGAGCTCATGAACAGCGTCAGGCGCGAAAAAAGCGTGGTGTTTTCAAAGATCAACACGGCGGCTGCCGAAAACAATCTGCAGAGCTCTTGCACAGACGTAACGAGCTACTTGATACAACTCAGCCAGAAAATAGCCGACTTTATTGGAAGCCTAAGAAGGTCGCACAGCTGGCTGGTTTCTTTCTTTAAGAGCCAGCTTACAAGCTATTTGGAGAAGCAGCCAACCCTATCAAGCCAAGGGAATATGTACAACCAAAGACACATGCTGGACGTGAGCATAAACTATTTGCAGAGCGTGAAGAGCATGCTAGAAGTGGATCTGCAGCAGGTCTTGTTTGCAGAAAGCTTTCTAAACGCACAGGAAAAAGCCGGCCAGCGCGCAGGGGCTCCCCTGAACAGAAGCGAGCTAGCAGCATATCACTCAACAAACAACATGAACACGGGCTTCATGAGCACATACATGTTCAATGACCCTGGCTTGAGCTTCTTGACTAGCGACAGCGATACAAGCCACAAAAGCCCGATAGGCAGCCCTCCGCATAGCAACCACCGCAAACCGGCCGCGCTGAGCATGCCCCACAGGGGCCCAACAGCCCCTTACCCTACCAGCACCCACGCCACAACCCACGCCAGGCCCCAGCTAACTCCGCCGCAGCCTGCGCCCGAGCCCTACATAGAGGAAATGACCAAACTGCGTGAAAGATTTTACCGGGCTGCGGCAAAGCTGAGGGCCGATTTTGGTGAGAACAGCGAGAAAAATGTCTTAAAAGACTTTTTGGAGGAAATAAGCAAGCCTTCGCACGGGATTCAAGAAGCGCAGAATTTTGTTTCGCTGCTAGAAAACGCGCTGGGCCTCGGCCAAACGGAGCGCGCGCAGGACCTGTATGCCGCGCTTGTAAACTGGGAGACTCTTGCCGAGGAGAAAAAGCCGGAGGATCTTCAGCAGAAAAAGGCGCTCGAGAGCGAACTCCAAGCCTATGCAGCGAAAAAGTTGGAGGCGGAAAAAGCTCTGCAAAGGGCGATTAAAGCAAACGAGGCCGAGGCAAACAAAAGGAAGAGCGCGGAGATATGGGCAGAGGCTTTTCTCAGCGAGAAAAGAACCAAGCTGGCAGAGTTAACTGCAAAGGAAGAGAAGGCAGCCGTTCAGCTGAGAAGCAAGCAAAGCGACCTTAAAAAAGCGCATGACACAGAGGCCGGGCTGGAAAAGAAAATCCAGGACATTACTAAGCAGATGGAGGCGATTGGTGTCCAGCAAAGAAAACCTGCTGCCACAAAAGACCTGGACAAGGCCCAAAGCGACAGCCTCGATCTGAGCATCCAGAAAGAGAAGCTATCTGAAAAACTAGAGAAGGCTGTGGCCGCAGTGAACGCATACAAGCTGCTGGAAAAAAAGCTAGAAAAGCACACCCAGCTTGTAGATGTGCTGCAGCACATGCTATGCACCTTTGAAAAGCCTTTTGAAACGGCGGTGGGTAATAAGAAAAAGCGCGCCGAGTGTGCAGAGGCCGCGCACAATCTGGCAGAAAAAGGCGATTTGCTGAAGCAGGCACAGGACTTTGTTGACGTGCTGTGGAAGGGCAGCTCCAGCAAGCCGTCCAAAGAAAACATAAAAAGCGCGCTAAACCTGTACGAAAGCAGCCAAGCCTATCAGCAGCACGCCGAAAACGTCACAAGCCAGGTGAATGACTGCACGCACAAAAAGCAAGACGCCAAGCAGGAAAATTTAGTGCTGAATCTAAAGCTGAAAAAAAATGACGCAGATGAACTTTTGATGAATTCGCGAATCTTGAATATGCAGGTAGCCATAGAAAGCATAGAGAACGAGAAGAGTCAGCAGAGAGAGCTGAACGAAGCACAGCAAAAAGAGCGCACTGAGAAAGAAGCGCATCAGGCCGAGCTGAAAAAGCTGCTCGAGCGTGTTGCGGGGCTGACGGGGGTTCCTGCTGAGCAGCTGGGCGCGTGCGCCGGGGAGCCGGTGGGCGCTGAGGCGCTGGCCACGTGCACAGAGCATGTGCTAAGCCAGATTAAAAAAACAATGCGCGAAATTGACCAGCTGACAGACGACACAAAAAGGGCAGAAGACGAGCTGGCGGCCTGCGAGAAGAAAAAGGCCTTGTATGAAATGAAGTCCCTTTAGCCAGGCTTCTTGTGCAGGCAGGAAGTGCCGCCAAAGCACAGCAGAGCTGAATGATGCCATAGGTCAGGCTATCTGGGGCCGGCCTGCTCTGGCTAGAGGCCTTGCAGGGGCGCCTGATAGCGCAAATAAATGACAATATGCAAGCACGTTTCGCTTAACCAAACCTCGGTGTATTTATTATTATTCAGACTCTGCCTCGTAGTCCGCGCCCGAGACGTGCTCTGAAGCCTCTCCAGAGCCCTGTGTGGAGGCCGCTCCGCTTTCATCGGTTGGCTCGTCGCTGGTCTCGTCGCTGGCTGTTTCCTCGTCCTCGCCGTCCGACTGTGCGCCAGCCCACGTTTCGCCCACCACCTCGTTCAGGCAGTGCACGTTTTTCTTTGCAAGGTGCATCTCCAGCGCATTGTACTCTACCTTCTGCAGGCTGTTGAACATGTACTCCTTCTTGTCCTCCATCACAACCCGGACGTCAAAGGTCTTCGCGGTTCTGGAGCTGAGGTTCACTCTGCTAAACTCAACGGTTTTTATCAAGTCGTACTCAATGTACGCAATCTGGGGAACAAACAAAAACCCCTTCTTCAGGGGATACAGATATCCTTCGTTTGCCTTCAGCGAGCATCTCACCGCCTTGCCGCCCGTTGACGTGACAAAAGACCCTGCAGGCATGGGCTTGACGCCCGAGAGCTTCTCAATCATTCCAACAACGCACTCCGACAGAGCCCCCTCCTGCACACATTCCAGCCCAAGCGCCTCCATCTTGGCCTTCTCCTCCTCCGCCACAGGAAGCTCCTCGTTTTCCTCTGCATACACAATTGCGGAGTTCTTCCCCAGCGAAATCTTCACCTTGTCCTCTGGCAGAAGCATGCTCACAAAGTGGTACCGGGTCTGCCCCTGGCGCACAGGCGTGCTCAGCTCAAGAATGAGATACGACATCTCGTCTGCGCCCTCGTCTGCGCTTCTCTCCAGATAGAACATCCGAGAAATGCTCGAGAAAAGCACCTGGTGGCTGTACCGCTTTCCTATCAGAAGCATGCCGGTGGCTGTCAGCGTCAGCTTGGACTTTCCTCGCGGGAGAATGCACGCCACCTCGTCAATCGAGAACACCTCCTGCTGGGCGCTGCCGGCCGTCGAGTTCTTTATACGGTCAATCAGCTGGAGCACGTTGCTCTCCTCCTTCAGGCTTCCAAATCGAATCTCGGACACCCCAAAGTACGTCCCGTCCACGTCTATGATGCCCTCGCCCTTTCTTTCGTATGCGTTCGAAACGGCCTCAAGAGGAATGTCGAAAATCGACTTGTTCTGCGCCTTGAACTCCACAGACACGTCCTGCACCTCGATGTCCCCGTGCACGTTCCCGTCAACAGACAGCGCCTTGTGGTATATGTTGAGCTTGTAGTGCTTTTTGGCATACTGCTTTATGTTCTCCAGAGTTTCCGCGCTGACCCCGTCGATAATGTGCACAGCCCCGCTTTTCACGACTATTTTCACAGTGTGCGACACAACACCATAGTGTTCCACAATTTCCTTTATCCCGTCCGCGGAAATTGTGGTGATCTCCGACACCCCGTGCACCTTTATTCCAATCCCCGAGACAGCCATCTTCACGACCGCCTTCTGGAAGCCGGCCTTTCGCACATAGAAAGCATTCTCTAGTGTAAGAACTTCCATTATTAAAAAATATTTGCAGAGTGTTTTTATAGCTGGCCTGCCGCGCCTGCGCAGCGCTGCTTGCAAGGGCCCTGACAGACAACAAGTGCCAGCGAGAACGTTTATTTACTTGCGCGCCGCGGCGCCGGCTACACTGCAGCGTCTTCGCTCAGCTTTGATATAAGATAGTCGATTGCGCTTTCTATCTGGGCCTTTTCGCTATGGATTGTTTCCTTCACGCTTTCGTCAAAGGGAGGCTCTTCATGCTCCTTCAAAACCTTGTATATATTTTCAGACGGGCTTTCGAAGACTATGGTGTCCAGCCGCTCATTCACAATTTCGCCTTTGTCGTACTCTATGTCCCCAATGACCCGGTTTCCTGCGTCGTTGTGCAGCTTCAGCGACACGATAAATGCAAGAGGCTTTTCATGCGCATCTATAAAATATATCTTTCCAGAGATTGTAAACTCGCCCCAGCCGCACTCCTCGATCTCAAAGGGCGGCGTGTCGACGGTCCGGGTTGGGTTTGTAAATGTTTCGTGCGTTTTGAAAGTTACACTGCGAATAAAGTAGCTTATATCTGTGTTTTTGTAGCCTCTGATGTACACCTTCCATCTGTGGGTTGCCTCCACTCCAGGCTCTGTTATGTGCACAGCAGACGTGCCATATATTACTGTACGCGAGAGGTTGGCGTGATTTATTCTCATGCGTGCAAAAGAAAATGAAAAAAGAAACACACCAGCTGCAGCTATATAAAGAAAACAGCATGCAAAGAGTCTACTTCGCAACAGGCGCTGGGCTTGTGCTGGGCAGTGTTCTGGGGGGAGTGCACGGGCTGGCTGAAGGAATGAAGCGGACGCTTGGAAAAAAAGAGGCGCTGAAGTATTTTTGTGCAAGAAGCGCAGCGAGGCTCGCAGGCAGCATGGGCATTGCCAGCTACTCCTTTGCGCTAACCGAGCTTCTTCTTTCCAGAGTGCCTGCCGCGTCGCAGAGGGCGCTTAGGATGCTGCAGTAACGGCACTTCCCCAGCCGGCGGCCGCGCTGGCGCTGCAAAGCACCATTTGGGCATATCCAATAAAGCGCATATTTTCAGCCACAATATGTGCATGTTTGCTTATATTAGAATTTATTTATTGGCTTCGTCCTCCCACATAAAAAACGTGCACTGCTTATAGCTTTTGTTGCATTTGAAAAACCCTCGGTTGTTGTTTTTTGCTGTCTTCGAGAGAAAATACTTTGCGTCCAGCCCGCACGCACACTGCACCTTGCTGTTCGCCTGTGGGGCTGGGCGCGGCCTGCTTCGCGCAGGCGGGGCTTCTGTTCGGCTTAGGCTGCTGCTCTGCGGGCGGGCGGCGCTGCTCTTTTCTGCGCCTTTCCACAGGAAGTAGTTGCACTGCCCTGCCGCGCAGGAATAGAACTGCTTTCCTTGGTTCGGCCCGTCCTTCTTTACTGTTTTTTCGCCTGCCTCTATGTTGCAGTCGCACACCACTGCACCGGGCGGCAGGTCTGCCAGAAAGGAGCTGTCGCGCGCTTTCTTCTCACTCCCCAGGGTCTTGAGCCACTCCGTTTTTTGCCCGCTCTTGGGCCCCACATCTGCCAGCATCTGCTTCTTTCTCTTTACATATTCATTGTCCACGCACTCAGGCTCTTCTGCCCATGCACCGCTCAAGGCCTTTTCTGGCGGCGTGCCTTGCCGGCTCTTTCCGCTCTTTCCGCTCTTTCCGCCGTAAGACGAGCCCGGGCTATTCGCAGTGGCTTTTTTTGGCGCGATGTACGGGTGCTCTCCAGGGCGGTCTTCGCCCGGCCCGCCTGTAGCTTGCTTGTTTTTTGCAAACTCTGCCTTGAACTTGCCCATGTTCTCCTGCATCTCAATGTATATGCCCCTGTATTTTGAGAGCTCCTGCCTCACTAGCTCCTGCGGAGGATACTCGCCTGCACAGACCTTCTTGAGGTTGGACTCAAACTCCTTTCGCAGATGCGGCTTGCTTACCTGGAGCCCTATGCTTTTGTATCCGTTGATGAGCGAGCGCCCAAGCCACGTGCTTTTAAGAGCGTTCTTGCCAACGACCTCGACGTACGCCCTTTCTTTTATTCGCTGGATGTGGTCGTGTATTGTTGCGTCTGTTCCTATCCCGTTTTTGTCCATTTTTGCAATAAGCTCGGCCTCTGTGAGCAGATGCGGCTTTTCTGTGTGCGACTCTTTCTTTGCCACCTCCGAGAAAACCTCCTGCCCCAGGCAGACGCCCAGGTCCGCTTCGGTGTCCCCCCACTTTTCATATATAAACACCTCCAGGTAGTTCTTTTTCAGCACCTTTAGCGTTTTTCGCACGAAGCACTCGCCCCGCACCAAGCACTCAATCAGCTCCTCCTCTCCCTCCGCATTCTCGCTGTAGCAGGCCAGAAACCGCCTGGCGACATACTCGTACACCATCCGGTCTTTCCCCTTCAGGCCTGTCCCGGCCTTAAGCGGGTATATGGGGGTGTGTGCCTGGTCGTTGTTTTTCCCTGCCAGCGGGCGCACAGGCTTCAGGCGCGCGGCATAGTCTCTAAGCACCGGGTCGGACTTTAGCATGCCAAGCGGCTCGCTGTAGTTGAACCCCTGCGGAAACGCGTCTGTTTCCGTCCTTGGATAGCTGATGTATCCTGACGTGTACAGGGACTCGGCTATGCCCATAAGCTCGTGCGAGCTGCTAATTCCCTGCCCCTTTGCAAAGAACTTCTGCAGCTCCACTGTCCGAAGAGGATACGGCCGCCACTTCTGCACCTTTTTCTTCTCCAGCTTGCTAACAGTCATCGGAAACCCGCTCACCCACTCGTGCTTGGCCCGCACATACTCTTCGTCGTATATCTTCCCCCGGGCCCAGTCGAACGTGCCGCGCTCCCCGTTGCTCTTCACCTCGGCCTGCAGAGTCCAGTTTTTTTCCTCCACAAACTCCTCCATGCTCTCCTCCCTCTCGCACACAAACCCAAGCGTTGGGATTTGGCAGCTTCCATAGCTGATCACTGCCTTTTTTTCCAGAATGTCCTGCAGCTGCAGGGTCTGCAACCTGGTTATTGCAGCGCCGATCCGCAGGTCTATTTCTATTCGAGACGCCACAGCCGTTGCCTCGTTTTTGTTGATGCTGTCCAGGCTCTCAAGAGCCCGGAGCACCTCGTACCTGCTCAGCCCCGAAAACCTGGCGCGCCGGACAGTGCCTATCTTGTCCTTCACCAGATTTGCAATCTGCATGCCTATGTTCTCTCCCTCCCGGTCGCAGTCTGTCCAAATGACAAGCATGCTGCACTGGGCGCTAAGCTCGGACAGCGTCTTGGACACGTCCTGCATGTTGGCAGGAATCTCCCAGCACACCTTTTCGTCGAACAGCTGCACCGGGTCTATTTCGTGCCACGCGGTTTTCCTTTCAAACTGCAGAGAGTACAGGTGTCCCAGAACGCTCGTGAAAACCATCTGCGCCTCCTGCCCGGCAAACGAGCACTGGAACTTGTGCACCCGGCAGTACTTGTTGAACCCGCTGCTGGACCGCGCGCCGCCGTTTGACAAAATCTCCGAGAGCGCCTTTGCAACTGAGGGCTTTTCTGCTACATTTAAAACACGCATATAAAAATTCTTCTGCTTTCTTTATTAAACATATCTTCTTTTCCTGTCGCCCCCAGGCAATTCAGACCGGATTTGTCCGCCGTTCGCGCCTCTTCCAAACTGTCTGTTCTCCGAGAACCCGCTGTCCAGGTCGATGTATATCGTGCTTTGGTCCAGCACGTACTTGGAAAAGAACTTTCGGGCAAGCATGGGCGCGTTCACGTCGTAGTACTGCACAAAGGCAAACCCGCACGGGACAAACCTCTTTGCGTCTAGCCCCATGGAAATCCTCCGGATTTTCCCGCACTGCGAAAAAAGCATGTGCAGCTGCGCCTCTGTGGTGTTTCTAGAAAGGTTTCCCACGTATATGGTCCCTGACGTGAGCAGCTCTTTGAAGTAGTCGTCTTCTGTCCCCGTGTACTTTCTGTCAATGTACATGGTTTTTCTTTCGTCCTCCTTTAGGAAGTTCAGAAGCTCGAACGAAGACTTATCCATAAAAAAAGTAAATTTCCGCATGCGTATTTATGCAGCGCATGCCTGCCAAGATCCGCGGCACGCGATTGCATATTGTGCGTGCTGATGCATGCAGGGCGCCCGCGCGTCTGTCCCTAGAAGAGCGCGAAAGCCGGGCGCTCCTGGAAGCTCAAAGGGCAGCGCCCCTGGCTGCTGCGCCCTAGTCGACGTGCAAAAAAAGGCAGGCCTGCTTGATGCACCGGCTTGCCATAAGCGCGCTGCCCCACACAAGGAACTGTGCATACTCTCGCGCAGAGAGCTTCGAGCACCCAGCCTGCCGTTCGTAGAACTTGATGGGGATTTCCTGCACCCTCTTGCCGCAGTGGTGCAGCACCTCCATCTGGTATGCAAAGCCCTGCGCCTTTACGCTGTTTATGGCACAGGCCAGCACGTCCCTTTTGTACAGCCGGTAGCTGTTTGTCATGTCTGTGCTGGCCTTTCCCGTGAAAATGTGCGCCAGAATGTTTGCCCCTTGGCTTGTCAGCTTCCTGAAAAAGGGCCAGTTGCATGTTCCGCCCTCTCCTGTGTACCGCGACCCAATCACGACGTCTGCCCCCGTCTCCTTTGCTTTCTGCATAAACCTGGGTATTTCTCGGGGGTCGTGGCTGAGGTCTGCATCCAGAATAAGAACGTATTTCCCTTGCGCGTGCTCTGCGCCTCTTTTGTATGCGTTTCCCAGCCCGTGCTTCTCCGCCCGAACCAGGATCTGTGCCTGCACGCCCCTTGCCCTTACGATCTCCCTGCACGCGTCCGCTGTCCCGTCGGTGCTTCCGTCGTCAACCACTATGATCTCGTACTCTGTGCCCAAAAGAACCTCTGAAATAAGATACACCAGAAGGGGCGCACTCCCTCTTTCGTTGTGGGTTGGTATTATAATAGATAGCTCCATGTAAACAATAAAATTTATGAAAAACATATACACCGATTCTGGGCACATGCCGTGCAGAGGCAGGCGCACAGCGCGAGGTCTGCGAGCCGCCACACACAACAAAACAGGAGCAGGCCTTTCCAGGATTTACTTTATTCAAAAGGTTGCATATACGGCATGGGCACGCTATCTCTCTTCCCAGGAAAGCCCGCAGTTTTTTATGACTTTTGCCACCTGTGGAATAGGAAGCACGCCGTTCTCAGCGCTCAGCTCTTTCTCCAGAATGCTCCACTCCTGCAAGGTTACTGCATTTTCTCCCCGCGTGAGGCTCTCTTTCAGATCAGACAGCGCCACCTTCCCGGACCCAGCTGGGTCAAGCGCCTGCAGCGCCTTTTCTGTCACGTTAAGCGCGTCCAGGTTTGCAAGCTTTTCGCAGAGAGACGTCAGGAACTGCGTGAAGTTGAACCGGTCCCCCATTTCGTACATCATCTCGTCAATCTCCTCCTCGGTGTGCGGAGACCCAATGCTGTCCAAGAACGAGACAAGGTCCTCCTTTGAAATATACCCGTCTGCGGTGCTGTCGAGCATGTTAAATATCTCCTTCAGCTCCAGTATCTGCGGCTGCAGAAAAGCCTGAAACACGTTTGAGCTCTGCCTTGCAGTCCTTCTTCTTCTATTCATAAAATTTTCTTTTGTTTGTCTATATATCTCTGCTTATGTTTCCAAAGAAAAGGCCTCTTCCGTGAATGTGCATGTGCAGAGTCTGCTCTATCTCCGAGGCCAGGCAGTATATTCTCTCCTCCTGCTCAACACACTGCAGCGCCTCCTCCAGCTTTTCGCTATTTATCATTTCCATCGGCTGGCTCAGCACGCGGTTCGCCTGTTGCATTGGTAAAAATTTTCAACTTCTCAATATTTATGTGCTTTTCCAGCTCCGCCAGCAGCCCGCTGTCCGCCCCCTTGGCGATTCCTTGCGAAATTGGCACGGAAATTGCCGGGACGCTCCTGTCCAGATTCAGCCGGGCGCTTCCTCTGTCCTGCGCCGACACATGATGGCAGTTGCCGCACTTGTATCCGCTCATGTTCTCCACAACGCCCACTATTTCCAGCCCGGACTTTTGGCAGAACGAGATCTGCCTGTTCGTGTCCGCAACGCTCAGCTTGTGCGGGGTGCTCACAAGCACCACCTTTAGGTTTGGGACGTGCTTGGCCAGCGCAATGTGCACGTCCGATGTCCCAGGGGGCGTGTCCATCACAATGACGTCGTACTCCCCAACCTGGATCTTCTCCAAGTACCCCAGGACCTCCGCCCCCTTTCTGTATCCGCCTTTCTCCTCCGGCGTAAAAACGTCGAGGCTGCCCGTGCGGGACGGGACCAGCGTTTCCGCAATCACCTGCGAGCACTCCACGCCAGTCACCCGGGCAATGCTGGGCCCTGCAATGTCCATGTCTATTATGCACGTGCGCGCGGCCTTTGATATCTGGTGCGCTATGCAGGCAGCGATCGTGCTTTTTCCGACTCCTCCCTTTCCGCTCATCACGCCTATTACGTTTTTCCCTGCAAACTTCTTTTCGATTGCGCTGGGCTCGCCCGGCGTGTTCCTTATCGAGCACTGCGCCCGGGCCGGGCACTCTCCACAGTTAGTTTCGCAAGACATGTGCAGGAGGCGCAAATTTTTCTATTTATTGGAAAGCACGCGATTTTTTTATGCTAATACCAGTTCGATGCTTTACATGTGGAAAGGAGGTTTCAAGCAAGTGGGACGAGTACATGGAAAGATGCACCAAATCTGACGACAAGGCGGGAATACTCACTGCGCTGGGCTTCAAGCGGCCCTGCTGCAGAACAGTCATGCTCACGACAGTAGACATAATGCAAAAGATTCTCAAGTTTGAGTATCCACAGGAGGGGCTTTCTATGGACGAAAAGCTCCACTAGAAGGCTGCGCCTTTGTACCGGGCCCTGCCTCTGCGGCAACGCCCGGCGTGAAATAAATTGTGATGAATCTACGCGCCTCAAGCGATGTGTTGGCCTGCAGAAGAGCTGGGCTCCGCGGCTTTATTTCCAAATATATCAGCCTTCAATGGAGCTTAAAAGCGCACAGCATGCTCGGGCTTTCCTTCAAGCACCTGTGCTGCAGGGAAACGGCTGCCCAAGCATAGGAAAGCACCAGATAAAAAAGTACCGCCCATAGGGCAAACACGCGTGTAAAGTTTCAATCCGCCTATAGAGTTTATTTGCCTATAGAATTAAAATGCACGCTGGTTAATTGTTCTGAATGCACTGCTGTCACGGATCAATGGATAAATATAGTCGGGGACAAACAGAACACTCACACAGGTGCCACAAACAATTGCACCCTTCTGGATAATCCAGCCCTCTTCAAGAGTTGCATGCGTGACTTCGTTGTTCTTTGGAGACTCGAGCGCCTCCTCGGACATTGGTATTTCGGGGGACAGCACCAAAAACACCCCTGCGTCTGAAACGTCTATGAGGTCTCCTTTTGCAAATTGCATTAAATGAGTCTGGTATAGAACCTTGTTTTTGTCTTCAGGAGAAAGAGCCATGTATGTCTTGCTTCTTTCAAGAGTCTTGCTGATGAACTCCCTGTTTCGTCTTTGGTCCACCATAAGAATGGCAGTGTACGCGTCGGACGTGACAACCCACACGGTGGCGTCTATTGTGCACACCACGCTTGCGGTCCTTGGGCAACTGTAGAGCAGGGATATCTCGCCAAAGAGCGAGTTCTTGCGCAGCGTGGCCTTCAGCCTTCCGTTCTGCATAATCTGGAACTCTCCGCTCTCGATCAGATACATGGTTTTCCCATACTCCCCCTGACTAATTAGCCTGTCGCCTTTTTTTACATTCTGCATATACATGGTGGAAACCAGCCTCTTCATCTGCTGCGCATCCATTGTTCCAGCCACCAGCCTGGTGTTTGCCAGAATCTCCTGCAGCATTAAAGACACGCTTTCAGGCTTTGGATAGTCTACTAGCATGGCAAAGGGGTTTCCTGACGCGGTCACGCTCCCTCGCCTTTTTCTCTGCATGGGCGTGTCATACTCTATGGAGGACACGGGTATCTGCGCCATCACCTCGGGCTCGCTGCTGTTGTCTGTGGTGTCAGGCGTCAGAATATCTATAATCGAGTCTCTTAGTATTTTCTCGGAAAAGCCCACCACGTTTTCGTTCTCGGCGTTGATAAGATACAGAGAAAAGCTGTCGATTACGAACTTGAATACATCGTTCACTCCCTTGTCCTTGTCTTGCAGGTAGTGGTTTACAATATCTATTGCTTTGCGCAAAGCCTCACTCATAAAAGAAAAATTAACAAAAATCGTTTATTTCTACTGCCCTATTCCTTCGTGCAAAACTCCGAAAAATTTTCAGCGTATGTTTCATTGCACATTTTGACGAAGTTGTCAAGCGGGCAGTACTGCCCGCTCCCCACCTTGATAGGGCGGCAGCCAGGCATGGGCGTCTTCTTTCCGTTGTACCGCATCTGCACATACCTTTCCTGCGTGTCCTTGTCTTTAAGCAGCTCAAAAACCAGGTTGGCCCCAAACTTGGGCCATGCCTCTGGCGCATTCCCAGTTGCCATCAGGACAGGGTACACCGTCACGTCGTGCGCCGAAAACACAGACGCCTTCAGCGGGCTCTCTGGGTCCAGCGCCTTTGCAATCATCTGGTCCGAAATTTCCTTCATCAGCCCCCCCGTGTTCAGAGAAAGCGCCTCCCGGTCGTTCAGGTGGTTGAACCACAGCTGGATGGAGTACTTCTCCAGAGCGTGCATTATGGCCTTCGGGACCCGCGAAAAGTGCGAGAAGCCGTGCGCGTTGGCGCTGGCCACAAGGTCGTATATCGCGTACGGGCTGAGCGAGGCAAAGAGCGAGGAGTGCTTGTCTGTGAAGTACTTCTGTATTTTTTTTGCCTCTGGCTCAAAGGCCTTTTTGACCTTTGTGTGCGAAATGTCTTTCAGCGCCTTGAGCTTTGGGCAGTATCTGTTTATGGTGAGCGTGTCCTGTGTTATGTCAACCACCTTCACGTCCATCGTGCTGGAGTAGCTTTTGAACATGCCCTGCATCAAAGACTGCAGGCTTTCCAGAGTCCTTTGGAAGTTTGTGGACCTCAAGTGGAACTGGCTCTTGTCAAAGGACGGCTTGATCAGCCCCTCCTTCAGAATGTACTTTTGCCGGAACCACTCTCCAAGGCCAAAAAGGTTCGCGCGCCCAACGTCTGTCAGCTGCCCCGGCGCACAGTTGAAGTCTCTCCCCGAGTCCTGCGTGATCCTAAAATGCAGAGGCTTGGCCTCTCCTATGTGCACGTAGCTCAGGAGGCTCCTCACCCTGTCCATTAGCGTTGGGTTTTTCTTGGGGATTGTGTAGTCTATTTTTGACACGCGGTGGCACATGTTCCACTTTGTGTTGTCATGCGGCCCAAACATAAGGGGCGTTCTCTCTCCATGCCGGTGCACAAGATGCACGTACTCCAATTGTAATCTCATAAAAAAAGAAAATGTGTTGCATATGTGCTGCCTACGTGTGGCGCTGCGCGCCTGGGCAGGCCGTTCGCGCATTTGCTAGGCCAAAGAAAAGGCGCCTGCGCCTCTGTGCGCCTACCCGGTCGCTGGGCGCGGCGCGGGATGCATCTGCCGAGCGCTTTTGCGCTGCTGTCGCTGGGACATGTGATAGACCTCTGCGCAAAGCCCTTGGCCAACCTTATTTTGGCAGGGCTGCAACATCTGACGCATTGTGTGAGGTTGTATGTAAAAGAACGCATGTTCTGAAAGGGATGCCGAAAAAAACAACGCGAAACACAATGGATCTTGTTTCCAAGCCAAGCTTGCTGGAGGCAGACAATACAATCCGTCTTAACCTAATGGTGCAGCTCATAACCGCGGCCGTTGTCCTTTGCGTCTTTTTGGCGTGCCGGGCAAAGATCCCCTGGCTGTACTCTACCAACCCGATGCGGTGCAAAAAGCACCCTGCGGCGCCGTACACCGGCCTGTTCAACTGGGTCGTTCCTGTGTTCACCATCAAGGACATGGCGCTCCTGGAGCTGATAGGCTTTGACGCGTTTCTGTTCATCGAGACCCTCAAGCTCCTGGGCATCGTGTTTCTGGTGCTTTCGCTGGCTCTTATGCCGCTTTTGGGAAGCTACTACTTTTTTTTCGCCAAAAGCGAGATGAAGCTGCAGCTTATCATGCGGCTTTCCCTGCTCTCCATGCCGTACAGCCCGCGGTATGCAAACTGCATTGTCCCGTGCCTTGCCGCCTGGGTCATCACGCTGATTATCGTGTACTTTCTTTTTTCTTTCTACAGGAAGTACGTCATACTGCGGCAGATCCACATAAGGGACCGGGTCTTTTCGAAGTCGACGCCCTCCATCAAAAAGTCTCTTGACGAAATGAAGTCTCTGAGCAGCACGCTCGAATGCATAAACATCTGCACAAAAACCGTGCTCATCTGCAACCTGCCGCACTTTATCAACAACAAACAGGACCTCCAGACGTACCTGAACACGCTGGGCCTGAAAGAGCCGATTGAAAACGCACACATCATTTTAGACACAAAAAAGCTCGAGATGCTGGTGGAAAAGAAGAAGAAGAAGCTGCTGGAGCTTGAGGCGGAGCTGCAGAAGTTTTTCATCCTCTTAAACAGAGCGTCAATCGACACCGAGTTCTTCTCCGAGCACATTGACCACTACGACTCGTCCCTCGACCTCATCTCCAACGCGATTGTGTGGAAAAAGGAGAGCGCTGCGGGGCGCGCGCGCAGGAAGGGGGCCACGGACGCGCTTATGGAAAAAGCGCTCTGCGGAAGATTTTTTGAAGTGCTTGACCGCATATATCCGGGAAAGGCCAAGTTCAACATATCTGAGTGCATGAAGCAGATCAAGGACCTGACAGACTTGATCGAAGTTGAGAGGAAGAAGTCTGCCCACAGCACCCTCTCCAGCACCCAGGCGCTGGAGAGCCTGTCGGAAGTCGCCGGCTGCGACGAAAACCCCGAGCTGCACGACAAATACAACCTGTACGAGCAGACGTCCATATTTGTGCAGGCTTCTTCTGTTTTCAACATACGGCAGGCGTACACAAGCCTGTCCAAGACGATCCCGCTCCGGACCAAAAGCGGGTTTGTCACGTTCAAAACGTCTGAGCAGGCGTCGATTCTCCGCATGTCCCTAATCGGCTCGGGCGCCTTTTCATGCCGCGCTCTGGAGGCGCCCCCTCCGGACCAGATCGTGTGGTCGACGCTCACCGACAGTCCCATGGAAAGAGCGCTGCGCAAGCTCGCAGCCTCCATCGTGACCGTTGTGTTCGTCTCCGTGTTTATCCTGCTTGTTTTCTTTGTCTCAACGCTGATCAACATAGACGCGTTCTACTCCATTATCCGGGCGATAAATCCGGAGCTCAACGTGATTGCCGAAACCCCAAAGTTTAGAAAGGCCTTCCAGGGAATTGTTGTGCCCACTGTGTACTCAAACTTTCTGTCGATTGCGCCCGCCGTGCTGAAGGTCATCTGCACGCTTGAGGGAAGCATCTCGTACATCGAGTTCCAGAAAAGCTTTGGGAGGAAGTACTCGATTTTTCTGTTCATCAACGGGTTTTTGGTTCTCATTTTTGGAACGACGATAGCCAGCCTGGTGTACAACAGACGGCAGGCCACTATCGACATCATGGGGCTGGTCTCCACGCCGGTCGTGTCGTCGTCTGTTTTCTTCTTCAACCTGCTAATCCACAAGACATTTGGCGAGCTGACCATGCAGCTTCTGGACATTGGGGGGCTGGTTTCGTGGTGCGTGACCTACGTCCTGGGCGGAGTGTACACGCGAAGGCAGGAGGTGCAGCGGTTTGAGTCTCACCCGGCAAACTTTGGGTCTATGTACCCCCGCGTGTTTCTGCTTTTTCCTATGGTTCTCATATACTCAATCATATGCCCGCTGTTCATGCTTCTTGGGTGCCTCTACTTCTTCGGGTCTTTTGTCGTATTCAAGTACCTGTTCATATACTCGTATGTGAGCGACGTGGAGAGCGGGGGCGAGCACTGGCCCTCGCTTTTCATGAACATTTTCGGCTCCCTCGTGTTTCTGCAGACCATCACCGCAACGTACTTTGCGTCGCAGAAGCAGTACATTGCGCTCGGACTGATCCTCCCCCTGGTCATCATAACGGTCAGCGTATGGAAAAGCTTTTCCGAGCTGATCCAGAAAAACTGCTACTATCTGCCCAACAACACGCTGGAGTCCAAGCAGAGCCACACCTCTATCAAAAAGCTGTTCCTGTCGCGGAAAGACCAGATTCTCAACTGGACGGAGTCCTCGGCTGTGAAAAAAGACACGTATTTTCTGTACAAGGAAAAAGTCCTGGCAAACCCCGACGAGCTTCCGTACATATACAAAGACTTTTCGTTTCTGCCCTCCATCGCGTCCATCATTGTGCCAAACTGGTTCTACACGACTCTTATGTACATACGCGAGAACGGAGACGATGCGCTGTTTGACCTCCAGGGCAGCCAGCTGTGGTATTCTTAGTAATGCAGCCTTTCACATGGCGCCTGCTGCAGAAATAAATAAAGAGTAGAAACTACAGAAAAACTGTACATTTTATATTTTTAGAAAAGAAAAAGACACAAGCATCCGCAAGCCGCATGCAGGCAGCACGCAAGCAGCACGCAGCCTGTGCACACCGCTTCTTCGCGCCGGGCGGAGGACTCGCGCCCCTGCGAAGCACACGGCGCGAGAAGAAAGGCCTTGCACTGCAGGGGAGGCGGAGGGCGCTACAGGGGGAAAGAAAAGTGTGGTTTGATGGCCGAGCGGTCCAAGGCGTTCGACTTAAGATCGAATCTCAATAGAGGCGCGGGTTCGAATCCCGCTCAAACCATATTTTAGCACCCGCAGGCGCAATTTTTTACAAATGGCTGCAAAGAAAGAGAGGGACGCCGCGCATGAGCACTCGGAAATATCGCAAATCATTATGGAGGGAGAGGGCCTGCTCAAGACGTCCACCGGAATGGATGTTATCCAGCCGATCCACAGCTTCAAAAGCGCGCCCGAAAACGGGCTGGACGGGTCCTTCTCGCTGGAGAACAGAAGCTACCAGTTTTTTCTGGACAACAACGACTCTTTCTATGCAGACGCAAAGAAAAGCCCCTTCCACACTGCAGAGCCCATAAACAAACAGCAGGCAGACAAAATCCTCTTCAAGGAAATCAAGTTTGAGGAGCCTCCGCGAAGAGGCGGCAGGCACCGAGACATGCTCTCCTGCCCGCAGCTGGTGGACCCCGACGAAAGCCTGGACATAGGCACGGGCGCTTTCCAGAGAAAAAGAAAGGCCAGCGACTCCCCCGACCACTGCGCCCTGCCCTCGAAGCCGATGCTCGAGGGGAGAACCTCGGCTGACGTGTCGTTCACAAAGCTGCCCGGGTTCAAGACTGCAGAGGGCTCGCATCTGTACATAAAGGAGGAGTTTGCGGACAGGGGCAGAAGAAGCCTCGACTTTCTGCACAGCGGAAAGAGCAAGTGCCCCCCGCCTGCCCCCAAGGTGGTTCTCCCGCGGGAGTTTGAGATGCAGGAGGCAATGGAGGCGTACAGAAAAATGAAGCAGGAAATATTTCCCCTCACGCGGTCGGAGGAGGAGGAGTTTAACCTGTTCGAGCTGTTCAGGTGGTCGTGGGTGGCAGTGCTTCCGCACATCCGGGAGATCAAAAAGCGAGGCTCTGAAGAGTGCGGAAAGGAGATACAGGCGGTGGTGCTCGAGGAGGCAAAGCGGCGGTGGAAGCTCAACCCAAAGTCCGTGCTCAAGAGAATAGTCGAGCACGACGAGCACCCGGCCGTCTACATGAAGGTTCTTGTGGTAGAGGAGGGAAGAGAGTGCATAACCATAACAGACGGGGTGCACTCGGTGAAGGCCCGGCTGGACGCACAGCTCCAGAAAATCTCTGGGAAAATACGCTCTGGGCACGTTCTGCAGGTTGCGTGCTCGGTGCTCCTCAGCAGCTGCCCAATCTCGATATACGAGGCGCATCTGGACAAAAGGCCCGTGATCGAGCTCCGGTACAACGGGGTGAAGCCGTGCCTGTCCGGGCCGCTGGGATACCAGAGCACGCACGGGTACATTCGGGAGCTGTCTTCGATAGACGCAAGCGGAGGAGACATCAGCTGCCTGATGCTCAACGTGACAAAGCACATAAACACAAACTACATCATAGACATCAACGGGTCGAAAACCACAATAGAGGAGGAGCGGCTGGAGAGCACGCTGGAAAGGATCGAAAGAAGCATAGAAAATCTTGGCCTGCCAAGGGACGAGAAAATGCGGGCAATTGACAGCGTGAAGGTGCACAAGTACACCCGGTACAACGTGGTGTGTGACTACTCGAGCAACAAAACGCCCGGGATACTGTCTGTGTGGGAGCCGGCGTTTACCGACAACCGCCTGAGCATCCATAAACGGTACCTGTTCTTCATGGTGCGCCCGCCCACAAAGGCGCTCTCCAGCAGCACAGTTCTCCTGACCACAACGTCGAAGACGTTCTTTATCAAAATATAGGCGCGGCCCTTCGCTGTGCTGCCAGGCGCCCGCCGCAGACACGCTTAAATAAACGCAGAGCGCCCACACACGCATGGCAGTGCGCGGCTGCCCAGTCAGCATGCGCCTTTGCCCGTAACTTTAGTGTTCTACTTTTGAAAGTATAAATATATTTTATTTTTACTCCCCCTGTGCAGTGAAGATGATTTTCATGGCTAGAGTCTCTGAGCATGATGATTGAGAAGTCTGAGCGCGTTTAAGACAAACCCATAGCAAAACAAAATGATGGAATTATATTAGATGACGAGTATGAGTAATTTATTTTATTGTGAATATAACATTTTGCTGATTGTTTTGCACATGTAACTACTTGCGTATGATGATACTATTTTTCACGACGGTCGTCTGAGCCATGATGATTTTAGTTCTGACGCCTTTACTTCTAATCCCCTGTGCAGAGCCTGCGGCGCTGCGCCTCGCCCTCTGGCGCCCAGAGTTTTAATATGCGCGCAGACTTCTCATTTATGTTTGTTTGTTTGGACGTATGTCAATTTGTCAATATTTAGAAATACAAACAGATTAAGCAAAATATATAAGGGGAAAGATGCCAGGCCCCCAATGAAAACCATGAGAGTAAGTAGCATGCTGCTAGCTGCCCTGTGCGGCGCGGCATCCGTGGCGTGCAGCAGCACGTGCCAGACCATGTTCCAGGACAGCGACTCGTCCTCTGAAGAATTTTCAAGCAATGAGTCCGAGGACCTATTCGCACTCCTCATGAAAAGAAGCATTCCAAGCACAGTGATACAGTCTGAAGTGGCAGCTGTGAAGAACCCGGCGCTTCCAAAAATCACCCAAAAGCTCAGCGAGTCTATTAACAAGGCCATGGAGTTTATAAAAGAAATGATAGAGGAAAAAACGTACATTTCATCCAAGTCCAAAAAACTCACCGACCCCACCCAAAGCATAGACCTGTGCGGGATATACGCGTACTTTAACACGCTGCAGCTGTCGTGCATCTCCAGCCGGCAGAAGACTGCACTGCTCAAGGCATGCATAGAGTTTGACTTCAAGAAGATAGACGCCGCTTTGAAGTCCATGTACATATCCCTTGTGAACCATGAGTATCTGGTGGACGTCTCCAGCGCGATCACCACCTCAAACAAAAAGAGCATTGTGTCTGAAACCAGCACGCGGCTCCCGTTCTTCCAGATAAGCGAAACCCACACAAAGAATACCTTTGCGTACAGGCTTCTGGAAATACAGACAACAAGCGAGAAAAGCATCATCGACAGCGCGTGCGACTTTTTCAAACAGCAGAAGAAGGCTGAGCTGAAGGAATCTTTCAGGACCATCTTCCTGGCCACCAACGTGGAGGGCCCTTTGCCAAAGACGGAAACAAGCTCTGCCAACCCCGGGGTGGGCGTTTGCAGCAAAAACACAACGATCTCCTCTCAAAGGAAGAAGCAGCAGGTCATGCCCATCACAGTGGCAAAGAACAGCGAGATGAAAGTCAAGTCTATCTTCTCCCCTGTGCAGGAGAACACTTGCGAATTTGAAGAGTGGAAGGACTTCGTGCTTCAAAACGCCTCCAACGCCAGCAAGAAGCTAACCCGAATCCCATGGAGCTACTTGGACTCCAGGGTGTTTGCATGCACGGATCTGAAGCTCGACGTAAGCCTGCTTAAAATGATAATAAGCAGCGTTTTGGGCCTGGAAATGAAAAACGAAATCAATGCGCACAGGCCCACCCTCCAAAGGCATCTGACGGCTCTGAGCCCAATTATGCATGCCTTAATAGAGAAGATTCTGGCGATTATAGACAAGCACGCAGAGGTTCTCGAGAAAACCCACGCAACCACACTGTGGATGAAAGGGCGAATTTACAACATTGTGTTCAACTACATTCGAGGGGAGCTCACGCCTTCTCTGCTGAACTACTACCTTGGGCAGATCTCTGAAGAGGTGGCCGAAGCCCTCAAGAAGCTGAACATTGCCGACGAAGCAAGCGATGTGTATGTGATTCTGAAAAAGCACACTGTTACTGTAAGAGAGATTGTTGCCCTGCAGAAGACGGCAGAGCCAGGCGAGACTTGGACAGGGCTGAAGAGCGAGCTCCCCGCGCTCCCTTACATACTGCAGAATCTTCTTTTGAAAAGCCAGAAAGTGTAATTCCAGAAACAGAAAAGCATACCGCAGCCTGCGGTATAAAATAAATTCATGCAGTTTCTAACCTGTTTGCACAGTTTTCCAATTGGCTGCGCCGCGTGGCTGGCGCACAGCGCGCTGACAGCGGGCTTTTCCAGATAAACAAAGCGGGATGAGAGCGCTCTGGCACTGCAGATTGTTTATTTATTTGCCAAGCGGAGCCGCACATGCTGGAAACATCTGTGTGCGTAGGAAATTAATCAATAAATCCAACTAGTTCTAAAAACAGAGCCGCACGCCCACGCGCACAGAGTGCTGCTACGAAAGTGGGCGCTCCGAGCATGGGCAAACAGGCGGTGTGCATGGCTGCTCTGGTAGAAAGCACGCGAAGATGCTGGTTGGCGCGCGCAGACAGCGCGCTGGCGCATGCATTCTTTGGCCATTTTGGCCAACATGCTGTCATTTTCTGCGGCAGATTAATATGCAGCTTTTTGTTTGCTTTTTAATTTGCAGCGCGCAATTAAGCCGCAACTGGCTGCAAAGCACGCCAAATGAGAAAAATAAAAACAAACAAACAAACACAAATACACGTCTGATAAAGTGGGGCTGTTTGTGTACAGATCAAAAATTGAAGATATAAATAGAGATTCGCCATGCGTCTGCTATGAGAGACCTAAAAGGATTTTGCAAATGCATAGCATCGACGTGCCTTCTTCTATGGGCGTCCAGTGCAGCGGCCTCAACCGCCTGCAGCCCTCAAGTGACCGTGGAAGCGCCCAGAAAGAGCGAATATTCCCAAATCATAAACAGGCTCGGCAAGTTTATCAAGACAGTTCTGGTTGCGAACCAAAACGAAAGCAGCTTAAAAAACTCTATTGCTGTAAGCCAGCTGGCCAGCCAGCTCGGCGGAATCAAATGCCAGACAGAGGAAGGGGTGTCGTTCTACGTTTCAAACCACATTGGAGCTCTTTACTACACGAATAAGAACCCGATGTCGGGCACCACCAGCGGACACAGATTGGCCATGCTCGAAAATCTAGAGTCCGATGACAAGAGGGTGTGCATCCCGTTTATTGACGCCGAGGGGCACAACGACTGGGTGCACAGCATCCTTGATGTAGAGGAAGAAACCGAGGGAATTCGGGACCACATGCTGCTGGCCCAGGGAATTCGGGTTATTCTGCAAAACCTTTACGAAATCCAGAAGAACGCAATTAGCATGAACAGAAAGAGGCAGGCCCAAATCATCACGAAGGAAATTGCAATGCAGGAGATCCAGGAAATCAAAGAAAACTACGACATAATGCTCCAGAACTTGAACCCTGCAATGGCGCAGGTGTTCTTTAGAAGCCTTGACCAGAGCATGCGTTTGTTCTTAGAGAATAGGGCCAAAGAGCTTATGGTGCAGATCATTCATGACTCCATCAGCCAGAAGCCAACAGGCAAGTTCTCGTGCAACGTCATACAGGCCATGGCCAAGGACATTGTGTGGGCAAACACACCCGCCCACTTATGCTCGCACAAGAAGCCACATAGCTCAGGCAGCCGCTCGTGGATCACAGAAAGCAAAATTGAGGGCGGAATCCTGTACATTCGAGAGACATTCCTAAACCCCAAAAACGAAACAATTTCCGAAGAAAAGCACACTGCGCTGATAAAAACCCTCAAAGAGCTGGTTTTGCTCCTTTCCCTGCAAAAGGTTGCATCTCCGGGCGAAGCCGGCGGTATGAAAAACGTGTCCCTGGAGAAAGTGCTGAGCAGAGCAAACTATAACACACCCATGACGAGCATAACCCACTATGCTGAAACAGAGGAAGAAATGGAAGAGGCTATTCAGAAATGCGGCGTGAACACCATGTACGTGCATGAGCCAAAGACGGTTAATGTCTCTTTCGCAAGCCTTGAAAACAGAACCTACATGCTGAACGGAGACTCCATCTACTACCTGCCTGCCTTTGGAGAGGACAGCACCAACACAATGAAAACCCAAGACGAAAAGCATGTGGCTGTACACACAGCTAGGGTGGAGAGCTACTTGAAAGAAAAAATAAGCGCCTGCCCCAATGGAGGCCCTTTGAAGCAAATAGACAGATACAGCCTCACCGACCTGTTCAGCAAAATTGTTGAGGACAACACATTCAAGCTGCAGTCTGGAAAAAACAGCATTGTGGTGACGCCGATCCCCACCAGCATAGGCGTCATAGGCTGCGCCCAGGCAAAAGATGCCGATGCCGGGATTGTAAAGAGAGCACACGTTATGTACAAAAACCCGCTATTCGCCAGCGCCCCGTATGTGCAGTACAACTGTGTGCAGAGAAACACCATACACGGCGAAAAAGTGTTCTCTGTGATTGAGCTAAGCTCAAGCCAGCTTATCCACGGAAACAGCATGCCCACGGGAAGGTCGGCCCTGTTCAACAAAGACGCCTACAGCCCCCCACACACCGTAGAAGAGTGCTTCTCTGCCCGAAAGGATGCAGTTGTTAGAATTTTGAATCATGTTCTAGACGATGGCAGCTATAATCTGGGCATACCCAATGGAATATGCATAAAGGAGGTTATCGCGAAAATCGTCCAGTACTTGGGGACTGCATGCTCTTCCCATTGTGATCTCTCTGTTGAAGAAGCTGCAGACTTCTCAGTTGTGCAGTTTGGCACTGCCATGTGCATTCTGACCAGCGTTCAGAAAAGCCTCAAGGAGGCTTTCCAGAACCTTGATGCACAGAAGGCCCTGGACATGAAATTCTTTAGGCAGACACCAAACATAAACAACGCACCCAATGGCCCTATAGCAAATGTGCTATTCGAGGAAAACAATGTGACAGAAGTGGTTTGCAAAAGCATAGTTGTGGCCTTGTCAACCTTAAATATCGAAAGCGTCTTTAACACTTACAGAAGCGCGTTTGTGTGCAACAAAACAACACATCTGCCTTCTTTAGATATGTACAGCGACAAGCTGGCAGCGAGCATCCCGGTGTTTGAGAAAAGCATGGCCAAGAGCACAAAGTTTAGCGGCCAGCTTGCGTGTCTTGACATGCATGTTATTGAGCTTGGAAGCTTGTTTTGTGGCAACAACCTAGGAAGAAAAATTGCTAGAACCAACAGTACTCTGGCTCACAAAAATCCAAGCCCCTACACAAGCCTAGTGCTGGAATGTGTGACTGCGTTTTTGACCTTGCTGAACAACACTGCCAACCGCCAGGAGTATATCTCGTTCCCGTCCATGGCAATCAGCTGTTCCTCTGAAATCAGGCCGTTCCTGGAAATTCTTTCCAAGATCGCGCCAGTCTTCCTGCTTTAACGAGAGCATGCCGCGCAGGCGCTATGAACATAGTGCAGCGTTCGAATAATTCAGAAAGTGCGCCCTTTGTGGTGCACTGCAAATAAAGGCTATTCGTCTATTTTTTTTCTTGTATTGGCTGCTTTCCTCCAGGTGTGTTATATTCCCGGGCTGGAAACAAAGCATGAATTTCGACAGAAAGAAAGATCTTGCCGAGGAGCAGCCTGCGCTCAAGAAGCTGCTGAAGAGCGGGCGCAAGCCTGCAAAGAGCTCGCTGGCGTCAATGCAGGAGGTGTGTGTGGACAGCCCGGTATTCAACCAGATGAAGGCAGAAATAAGAAGACTTTATGGTGAAAAAGTAAACATGGTAAATACAAACTATATTGTGAAGCCGCACGAATTTAAATGTTTGGCAAAGTCTTTGTCCAAGGCGATTTGGAACAACGAAAAGCCGCTGGAAACAGTGGACGACATTATATACGCGGTCGACCTGCTCTGCAGCAAGCAGGCCGGCACAGCACAGGGCCTGCCCGACGAGTCCGTGCGAAAGGAGGAGCTGGCCACCTCCATCAGATTTGTGGCCTCGGAGCTGCGGGCCCTGGTTCCAACAGAGGGGAGCGCAGCGGCAAGCCCGAGGGCGTCTTCTCTGTCGAGCGATCTGGGCTTTCTGGCGGAGGCCAAGGAGCTCATAAAAAAGGGGCTGGAGAAGTCCGGGCACCCCTCTATTGAGTCTTTGTCTGCGGAGAGAGACCGGAGCAAGGCTGTTGTTTCCAGCATAATGCAGGCGTTCTCGATTTCTCCCTCTGACGACCTTCTGGGCGCGCTGAAGAACATGCGCGCGCAGGAGGAGCGGAGGCACCGAGACCACGTAAGCATGAAGGAAAAAAGCATAGAGTGCCAGAAAAGACACTTTGAGGAGCTCTTGCAGAAAGCCAACGAAAAAATCATGCGCTTGGAAGAGAGAAACCGGGAGGTGGAGAGGCAGCTGAGCGAGAAAAAGGACAAAGACGCAGAGGTCCTGGAGCGGGGCGATGCTCTGGAGCAGAACATTCTGCAGATAAAGCAGGTGCTTGCGGAAGAAGAGGACCGGATCCAGAAGGAGCGGCAGGAGTACCGAGAAGTGAAAAAGACGCTTATAGAGTACAACAAAAAGATGGCCAAAATAGTGCAGGAGCTGGTGGAGAAGATAAAAAAAGAGCAGCGCGAGCGGGACTACTTGATTTCTCTGCAGGAGGACGCCCAGAAAGTCGATGGGCAGTAGTGGGCTAATTGTGGGTTCATTTGTCATAAATAAATCTAAATCTTTAAATGCATGAAAATCGCCGAAGAGGAAGCAGAGAACATCTCCTTGAGCATTTTAGAGTCGTCTTCGAGGTCGCTTCTGGACGTGTCGTGGCTGAGCAGTGTGCAGCAGCCGGAGGCCGAGCTGACCGAGCCTGTGTATCTGCCTGCGTGGCTGGGGATGGAGGCGCCCAGCGCCTCAGATAGCGCGATTCAAATCCGGGTGGACGGCGCGTACTACGAGTTTCTTATCGAGAAATATCCGGAGACAGAGGAGGCTGTGGCCAGAATAGAGCAGAGAATTGCACAAAACAAAAAACCTTCCAGCGGCAGAGGCGAAAAGAAAGAGGCTGGGGGCGGAGGCCCGGCAAGCAGCCTGGACGAGAGCGTATGCGAAATGCTGTGCGAAAATGTGTTTTTTCTGTGGGAGAGAGAGGCGGCGGAGAGAAACATTTCAAGGCAGAACATATATGTCGTGAAGGAGGCCATCCGAAACGCGCGCATGGTCACCCAGCCAGAGAGGTCTATGCACATTGCAGAGTGTCTTATGACAGTGTCCATGCAGCGCGGGGTGTCTTTTGTGCATGTGGGGGCAAAAAGCCTTGCTGCCGCTCTTGAGTCGCTCGAGGGCGTGATTCGGAAAAGCAGGCAGGAGTCTGGGCCTGCTCTGAGGCTTAGGAAAACAAAAAACCCCGAATCGCTTTTGGAAACCGTCCTGCGGTCGGCTGGAGTCAGCGCCGATGAGATAGCGTGTGTGCAGAAGAAGTACAAAAGCCTGGCCGACATCGCAAGCATAAGCGCGTCTGCGGACATAGAGGGAGTAAAGCCCTGCACGCTCAAAAAAATATGCAGCCTTTTTCTATAGCAGCCGCCCAGCAGGGCTAGAATGCTGGCCCTCTGATGCGCGGGCATGCTTTTCCATGTGCTGGAACGAAAGCCCTGCACACAGCTGCGCTCGCCAAAAGAAAAAAGAGCTTCGAGGCTTTTGAGCATAGCAAGGCGCCGCACAGAAAGGCTGGGAAATACACAGTGCGCTTTTATTTTCAGGCCCCGCAGCACGGAGGCATTCCTGGGCAAGCCGGCTTCCAAGCCAAGCAAATAAATCTGCGTTTCTCTGCATAGTGCTATAAAGAGCAGCATGCCCGCAGGGCCTACAATGCCTCTACACCTCCTAAAAGCGCGGCTTGGCAGCAGATGCCGGCGCGCTCTCTTACAGGCTGCCCAGACTCATGTAGCTGCACTGGATGACCGGCGTAGGAACCCCCGCCTCTGCAACGTGCTTCATGTTTTTGCAGACTCTTTCTATGTCTTCTGGCGAGTGGTGCTCGCCCGGGCTTTTTTCTACAATGCTTCCTGCCTGGATGCTTTTCTTTCTTTGCTGCAGGAAAAGCGTGTTTGACATCAGAGTCTCCATGGACAAAACTGCATGGAAGGCCATTTCTGTCTGCCTCTCCTTTTCTCTTTCCTGCACAGAGCACGCAGAAGCGCCAAGGTCGTGCGCCTCTGGGCCTTCTCGGAGGCGCGGCGCGCACATAAGCTGCCCTCTGCTGTTTGCGTGCGCGTTTTCGGCCTTGGGCTCGTGAAGAGCCTGCTTCTGCTCCAGCAAAATGCTTTTCTCCAGCGCATTTCTAACGCACTTGAACACTGCGGAGCAGAACGCAAGCGTCTTTTTTTTCTTTGTGCCGTCTTTGCTCTTCATGAGCAGCACGCCTAGAATGCACTTGCACAGGGCGCTGTATGCCGCCCTTAGCAGAGGATGCTCCTCCACAGCGCGCGCCGCGCTTTCCGACAGCTCAAACGACCTTTCTACCGCATACTCGAGGTCGTAGCGGGTCATGTCTGCCCGGCACTCTTTCTCTGCGGGCTCTGTGCTGTGGAAAACCTCCTCGGCCTTTGTGGCCTCTTTTGTGATGGCATGCCCTTTCTTCTTCAGGTGGAACATGAGCAAAACCGCAAGATATGCAAGGTCCGCCATCAGCCCCGTGCTCTCAACCACCTGCTTCACCTGCTGTATTAGAGAAAGCGTGCCGCGGTACTTTTCGGCGCCGAAAAGCCCGCTTCTTTCTTGGGGTTTGCTGCGAAAAGCCTCCTTGCCGTGCTGCCGCAGAAAGCTGTCTGTGCTTGTGGAATACTCCACGTCAAGAGCGCTTTCCAGCACGCTCTCTTCCGCAAGCAGGCTCTGGTATATGTCTTTTGCAGCCTGTTTTTTCCCGCACGCGTCCATCACCTCAGCGATCCTGTCAAAAGGGTAGTTTGCAGCAGCCGCAGCAAGCCGCCCCGCCCGAGCCAGATGCTTCCCAAGGGCGGAAAACGCCCTCCCCCACCTTGCGCCCGCCGCGCTCTTTTGTGGCTCTGAATTTCTGACTATCTTCTGTCTAGCTGTCATTTTGTGTGTGTGATCTCAACTAAAATTGCATTTGTTTATTTATGTCTAAGAGAGCAAACAAAGAGGCACTCTGTAATTTGCTTCTGTGAGAGGCGCCCCTTAAATGCGCGGCTTGGCGCAGCGCCGCCGATGTCTGCTGCGCGCCCAGGGGCCGGCTGCACTGCAGCTTGTTACAGTGGCGTGCCAGTGTTTATTGCATATTATAGGTCTTCGGGTTATGATGGCGTGAAGGACATGTCCTTTCGCACCATGGTATCGTATGCACGCGTGGCTGCAGATGAGAGGTCGTCATCTGAATAGGTTTTTTCTATGGCTTTCTTTGACGGCCTGCTGCCTGCCTCCTTTTTTGCCTTCAAACCCTGCTTTTTTGGCTTTTTCTCGGGCCTGTGCACAGACTCCTCGCTGTAGCGTTCCTCTTCTTCTGGAGAGGCCGTGTAGCTTCCTAGTATGTTTATAATGCGGCTCTTTTGCCTTTTTTCGGGCAGGCTCCCGCTTGTTTTTAACAGCCTGCGCACCTCCTCAAGCTCCTCCACCCTTTTTTCAAGCGTTTCCAGCACTTTCCGGGAAAGCGGCGTTTCTCTGGAAGAGCCCTTTATTTTGTTTGCCATGTCCAGGCAGACCGGAGGAAGCGACTTTGTGGCCTTTTTGAGTGTTATTTTCTGCTTGCTCTGGCCCCGCACAGCATACATGTGGACAGTGACTGTGTCGGAAAACGTGACGCACCGACCTGTTTCCTCAGACGTTGTGTCGTGCTCAAGCATCTTTTCTTTCCGCTTCTCCTGCTTCTTTTTGTTTCTCAGCTTAAGGGCCTTCTGCACCAGAATGTATGGAAAGCTGACTATTCGGGTAAGCACTCTGAGCGCTTTTTTTCGCATTGTTTTACGGATTGCCTCTTTTGTGCTTGAGGAGCCTTCTTGTCTGCTTTTTTTTCTGGAGCTGCTGGAGAGCGAGGCCCTTGAGGCAGCTTTGGGCTTCTCAGAGCGGCCTCGACTCGATGGCTTGGAAACGCGGCGGCGTGGCTGCGGAGAGTCGCTGCTTTCGTGGTCTGGCGTGCTTTCCTCGCTCTTGTGTTTTATGCTGTTTTTACGCTTTGCCATTGGGGTCCGTGTTTTAGCCTCTATATAGCCTTCAAGGTTTCATGCATCCTGTTTCAAAACCACCAAACGGAGTTCCTGCAAAAACTGACCATCTTATGAAAAGCGGCCTATTGCACTCTGCAAAGCCTTGCAGGCGGACGCCCCATGTCCAAATGCAGGTGTCATATGTGTGGGAGACGTGCGTTTCCTGATGCGCAGAAGGCGGCCGGAAATGCAGCCAAGCCCCTGGCAGCCGCTGCTAAAAGCAGCTTTTTCCTGTATGGCGTGCAGGCCGAAAACGCGTGGCTTTTATGATAATTCAAGCCGTCATGTCGCGGCAACGGCAGAATAGAAGATGTCGTGTTGTATGCTGAAAGCATAGTTGCTCGTACTTGGTTATTGTTTAATTTGAATAATGAATAAACAGCTTTCTGTTATAAATTCGGGCATGTTCGCACTATTGTCTAAGAAAAGTTCCAGTAAAGATTTATTAACCTTTGGAGAGCCCCGACTGTCGACTATCGATTGACTTAGTGCTATGCTCTTTTTGTTTTTGTGCATCTGAAATTAAACTTGCTCGCGTGTTTATACTTTTAGCGATCACTATTTCTCAATTTCCTCGCACCCATATCATAAGGTCTATCATGTTCTTGGCCGTCTCCAATCGTGTGGGAATTTCAAGAATTCACCACACTTTCTAATTTACCCAAAGAGCAAGTTAGCTTTTAGTTTATTTAAGCAGGTCGGAAAATGATAAAGGACAATGCTTCACTTAGCACTTGTATTACAGCCAGTTGCTTACACAGGCTCTCGGCGTTAGCTCCAATAGTTGGGCGGCTTCAAAAAGCTCGCCATAAAATCACATATACCAGCAATGCTAAGCTGTGTGGCTTCTTTTAGAGGCTGCGCAAAAACATTGCGACAAGTGTCTCCGAAAAGGGATAAGCATAGAAAGTGTTCTCGAAAACATTTATTTGTTTTAAATAAGATTGGTTTAAATTTCAGGGCATAATTGTTCCCTAGTGCGGAGGATACGCAAACGGCCATTCAGCGTATGCTTTCAAGGTGCAGCATAAACTGATAAACGCTTGGGCATTATTACGGATAAGTGCCAATAAAATCATATGGTGGGCTAATCTTCTTCCTCTTCCACAACAGACTCTTCAACTGATGAGAGCGAGGACCGGCCTTTGGGCGAGCTTCGGTTGTTGCTGGATAGGTCGCTGCTGACTGCGGCGCTCTTCATAGTCTTGGTCTTACTGGCGGGCGGCGCTTGGTTTTTGCTATTCGACCAGGCCCTGTACTCGGCCGGCATCGTTGTGTACATGGCATCCGCAGAGTCGGCCTGCAACGTCTGAAGCATGTTTACAAACTCGTTTATCATTTCAATCTTTGTGTTAGGCCCGATGCTTGAAAAATTGAAGCCTCCATTTCTAGGCACCCACACAGTCACTCTTATTCCAACCTGAAGCCCAAACTTGTCTGCAACATCATCCGCTTTCTGCACGTTAGCCCAGTTGTTCACAAGATTCATCTGGTTCTTGCTGAGCTTTCTTATTACCTGGACGTCGTTTTCTTGGTCATTGTCATTGTCTGGGGCTTGTGCGGGCCCCACGCCGCGCCCAATAGGGGCTGCGCTGCTTCCCATGGTCAAGCTCTTCTTGCCGCTGGAAATAGCATCAAGTTCTTGATTGAGATACTCAGCCTCTGCCATGACACCCCCAAGTGCAAGTATAATTCCTAAAGAACCTGTTAGTCGCATTGCAATAATCCCCTCCTGCAGGTTATATGCATGTGTGTAAAACAAATTTTCACTATTCACCAATTGAAGAACCCGAAAATCTTTGAAACGAAAAACTTGTTACATGCTTTTATAGTGTTTGCACAGGCGCGCCTGAAGCACGGTCTCTGTCGCATCCTGCCCTGGCCTGATCCGCCCAAGTCATATCCATGATGCCAGCTTCAAATACGCCCGAAGGATCGAGTGCACAGCCCATTTGGCCGGCTGGCTGGTGTCTCCAAGAGACCCCTTGTACCTCCCTATAATATCGTGCGTCTTTTTCTGCGCGACCTCTGCGGCGCTTGGTGGAAGCGTAAGAAACAGGTCCTCGGTCACACTGCAGAACGCAAAAGCGCAGACAAGTATGTCCAGCTTCAAAACGTCGGCCTCCTCGTACACCTCTTCCCCGGTGAGGTACGCAGTGACCTCGAGCGCCACCTTGGCCTTGGCGCCCTTGAAGGATGCGCCCTCCACCGAGCCGTCCCCCCGGTTGGTTATGTACTCTAGAAAAGCCTTTGTCTTGCTCTTGGCCTTTCTCAGTATGTTCTTGGAAACCAGCATCTTGCCCACTCTTTTCCGTGCGTTTTTTATGTGATACTTGTCTTTCATTAGAGAGTACGACTCTCCGTTCAGCAGCAGAATCCACTTGTCCACTGTCTTCTCTTTCGCCGCTTTTCTAAGCTTGCTGTGCACCTCGTCGTGCAGCTCGTCTATCGGCATGTATGTGTCTGTGGGGTAGACAGTGCCTCTGTCGTCGATTCGGAGGCTCCCTGCCAAGGCCAGGTCGCACAGCAGAAGGGCTCTAATGGTAATGGACACTGGATCGTACAGCCCTGGCATGGCCGCACACCCTGCCGACGTGGTAAAAATAACAAGAATCTCAACTATCTTCAAGTCTGTCTTCAGGCGCTTTAGCGACGAAAACGCTGCTTCTCTTTTCACGTCTCTCCGCCTAGGAGAAAACTCTTCCATTCACATCGAAAAGAAAATATTCTTTATTTACTCAAGCGCAATGAAACTCGAGTGCTCCAAAAATAAAAAACACCCTGTATAGAAGACCGAGCTGTCCTTGGCTGCAGATATTCTAACGTCTTTTGCGTTTTTGAGCGTGTGCATAATCGCGTGGTTTATCTTTTTGTCCACCTCGACCTGGGAGTGCGACCTTATGTAGTTCAAGTACTCTATTATGCGCTTGAACTTGTTCGGCGACTCTTTGTCCCCCTTGTTATAGCTGGCGTCAATCAGATGCTTTTCCAGCGTTTTCACGTCTCGTATGTAGAGGAGGTTGGTTGCCTGCATCCCCTTCTCTGTCTGGTGCGAGACTGCATCCGAGGCCTCTCTGAGGATGTCCGATATTTCCTCTTTCAGTATCCTTGACGGGCTGGTTTTCATAATTCCGCGGAACACCGCGCCTATGCTGTTTCTGTTGTTCTTGTCAAGAAGCCTCTTCATCACGTCTTTCCAGTGGGTCTGTGCGGCCGCCGCCTCGCTCTGCCCATGGAACTTTTTCTTTGCGCTTACCTTGTCCTGCGCCTCCTCCATGCACTCCAGAATGCTCGCGGTCACATAGGAGGACAGCCCGTTTGTAAACCTTAGGTATCCTGCAATGGTGGGAGATGCCGCTTCTTCGTTTTCGTAGCTGAACTGGAGTATTTCAACTGGGGTTATGTCCATCAGTATTTTCACTTCCGTGTATGTCAGCTGCTGCGCAAACTCCTCGGGGTCCAGCATGCACAGGTCTAGGCGCTCCGCCTCCGACATCTTGGCCTCCAGCTCTTTCTCGTCTATGTCCGCGCGCTTTTCCCTCTCCTCGCCTTCTTTTTTCTTTCCTCTGTCTCTGCGCGAGGACCCCTTTGGGTTTTTCCTGTCTTGCTCCATCTGCTCTTTCATTTTCTCATACTCTGACTTCATGTGCCCGCACGCCTTTTCCGGTTTTGCTCTTTGTGTTTGAGCTTTGCCCAATGCCTGCGCTCTGTTTGTGCCAAACGCCAAGCCGCGCCAGCGCATCCCGGACCGCAGCCACACGGCCTCGGGCTGTTGGCGTGCGCTTTGGAAAGCGTTTTCCCAGCGGGCCTCTCTGTCGAGCACATCCTAGGCGGAAAGCCCCTCTGCGCGCATTTGGCGAAAGAAATAATGTTTTTATTGAGGCTTTATTGTTTATAGTCGCTTGGCTGCATGGCGATCTTTGTAATACACGTCCGCGTCCTGCGCGCCTGTGCAAATCTTTGATAATGGCCCTCCAGCTGTGCTATGCTTTCCAGACAGCATATGCTTGCAGCCTTTTCCGCTATATGCATGCATACATTTATTTACTGTCGGCTTTTGCCGAAGGCTCGGCGGCAGGCTCTTCCGCGCTTTCCACTGCCTCTTTCCTGCACAGCGGGCACTCGTTTGAGTACTTTAGCAGCCACTCTGTGACGCACCCGCTATGAAACGCGTGCGAGCACCGGATTTTGCGGACTATTTCCTCTGCAATTATGTTTTGCATGCAGATAGAGCACTGCCCCTCGTCTCCGTCCGCAGCCACTTCCGGAATAAACGTCTCCAGCTCTTCCGGCTCCAGTGTTTTCACGTTGGCCGGCCTGTCATCTACATAGTAGATTATTGTGAACACCATGTTTGCCGGCGGGCGCGGGTTTGGGTCGTCGGGAGATGCCGGCGTGATTGTGTTTTGAAAGAAGAATTCTATCTCGGGTGACCCCGCAGGCCTTTCCTCCGCGCCAGAAATCTGCCTTAAGTTCTGCACCGCCATAATAATGGACCGCAAAGCATTGTATGGGAATCCTGGAAAGCTCTGAATAAGAGAGTTCAGCTCCCTCTCGCCCTCCTGAATGCTTGTTATCGGTCTAAGCGTGCTTGGGTCGGTTTCCGGAAGGCTTCCTGCATTTTCTCTAGCGCCCGCGTTCGTTCTTGAAAGCAGGCGCACGAGCGAGCTTCGGGCCGCTTCTATTATGGAAAGAGGCACATTTGCAGGCGAAGGCCGCGCCCTGCTGGACGAAGCTCTGGCTTCTCTTCGTGCCCGCCTTGGCCTTCCTTCGCTCTCTGGAAGAGCTTCCCGGGCCACGCGCTTTCTCTTGCCTTTCTCGGGTGTCTGTTTTTCTTCACTGGCCTTTCGTTTCATGTGCCAATTAAAACGAAATTTTATTTATTCGTGTTTTTTTCTAGAACATTTTTCTCTTTGGTATATCTAAAGCACCCTATGCTCTGGCGCCTAGGCCTCTGGTGGATGTACACGCTCTGCATTTGTATGGGGTCCTCCCGCGGGGGGCCCGGAGCGCGTTTCAAAATATTGCTGGCTTTTTTTATTGGAGCCCTGTCCGAGGCTGCGTCTTCTATCATTTTTATTTTTTCCGAAAACTGCACTTTTGAGGGAGCGTGCCCTGCGCTTTCTTCCACACCATCTGTTTTCCCCCTTTTGGGGCGCATAACGTAAAATATCTTGCAGTGCCTGTAGTTTGCGTTTTTCTCTGTGTTTTTTTTGGTGAGCGTTTCGTCCTGGTCGTCCCAGTACCTCTGCCGGATTTCCGCCAGCAAAAAGGGGTGGTTGTAAAAGGCGCCCGGCTCGCTTTCCAGCATTTTTCTAAGCTCTTTTAGAGAAGACCAAGAGGCCATTTTGCAAAAATAATAATAATAATAAAAGGGTATTCTCGAGAAAACAAATATCCACTTTATTGCATATGAAAGAATCCTGCCCAAATTAAGCACAATCCAGAGACCCTGCACGCTCTTTCTAATGGGTATCTTCGCTTGTCCAATCCATAATAAGATTGACCGCCTTTGTCAGATCCCCCTCTGTGCAGACCAGCGCCACAAGATTCATCTCGACGTTGCTGTATCCTATTTGCTCTAGCTCTGCGAGCTCGGTCTTGTACTTTGCAAGAGCCTCCTCCCTGTCGAAAGAGGGCATGCCCGGCACGCCAAAAGGCGCGCCCGCGGGCGCACGCTCTCTTCCCGCTCCAAGCATGTCTCCTGCCGGAGGAAACCCGGCCATTCCAGGCCCCATGTACATGCTCGGATTGTCCAAAATGTGCGTGACAAAAGCCTCAAACTGCTCAGGGTTGCTTTTTGCCATGTCTGCAAACTTATTTATGTTGTCCATCATCATTTTTTTTGTTGGCTCCGGGAAGTTCTGCATGCTGAGAGAGGCCTCCATAAGGATTTTCATCTGCTCTGGGTTCTTCATAAGCTCCTTTACCCGGTTCTGCATCGCTGCGTTTGTGCCGGCCTGCCCGCTTCCGTTCATGTTTGACAGCGCGTTCAAAAACCCTTGGTCAATTTGCCCACTGCCGCCTGAAAACCCAGACGCGGCAGACTGTGCTGCTGCCCGGCTTGCGCCCTGCGCCTCTGCAGGCCCTGCCCCCGCGCCTGCTGCAGGCTGGGCGGAGGGCTGCTCCCCCGTGCTGGCAGGGCTGGGCTTTTTGTCCGTGCTGGGCACCACCAGATGCACCGTAGAGCCCTCCTCCAGCCTGTATGCTGTGAGAGGGTCGCTGTCCTTAAGAAGCTTTCCCACGTGGATCAGTCGAATCTTAGAGACAGGGACATCAACCTGCTCTGAGATTTTTGTTTTAAGCTGCAATATTGTGCTTTCCGCGCCTTCTACCTCCACAGTGTACACCTCGCCCTTACTTGTCTTTACACTAATCTTCATTGTTTATTTCACAAAAAAAAGGAAATGCATTTATAGCAGTAAAACCGAGAAAATTCCTATGCAAATGAAAGCACCAATCAGCAGGCCGCAGCACCTGAAACAGAAGGCCGCTCGCCAGTTGCCAAAGCAGCCATTCTGTCCAGGAAAACAGTTGCACGCCCCTCTGCAGCAGAATTGTGTGAAAAGCTGTTGTTTTGACGCTTCTGCCCCGCACCCAAGCAGCCCAGGGCACACCCGCTCTGCGGGCTGGTGAGTGCGCAAGAAATACTGGGCTGCGCTCTTCTGTGAAACTCCTGCCCTCCAAAGCTTCAGTCTTTCAAAGCTGGCACAGGCGTATGCATTTTGTTTGTGGTCGCTGTCTCTTTTTTGCAGATGCTTAAGCACACTGCGGCAGACAGCATTATTGCGCGCAGGAATGTCTCCTGTAGGCGCCAGAGCCCAGCCTGTTTCTGGAAGGGCCTATTACAGTGCGCTCTTGCTCTATTCGGGGGGTTGGGGTTTTTCTGTGCACACCATGTATATATGCATCTGCGTGGAGCTGTAGCAGCTTATTTCGTCTGAGTCGTACTCGCTTCCTTCTGCTCGTTGGAAGCTTCTTTTTTTTCTTTTCTTAGACTTGCTTCTGCAGTTGTTTTTGGTTTTGTATCTGGTGTTGAACTGTTTCCATTTCTCGGAGTTCAAATCGTTAGGGCCCTCAGCCTTCTGGGGTTTCTCGGCCTGTCTTTTTAGCACGCGCTTGCTGCACGCGGAGGCTGTGCCGGGCGTTGGCGCCGCCGCTGCTTTCTTCAAAGGCTCTGCAGGGGGAGAAGACTGCCTAGCGCTCTGCTTGGCCTTTCTCCGAGATATCATAGCATATCCTCCGCACGAAAGCGCGCATACGAAGAGAAAAACAGCACTCCCCAGCAGAAGAAACTTCTTTATGGAGAATATTCGGGTTTCTGCAGTGTACATCTTTGTTTTCTTGTGTTTGTTTTTGCGCGTCTTATCTTTATCCGCTAGCTGTTTATTTGGATGTGCACATGTCTGCAGCGTGTCTTTCTGCGCTTAGGGGCTTGATTCCCAGGCTGTCATATGCACATCACAACATCCAAATAGTCGATGTCGTCTGAGCCCGCGGGAAACATGACGTGTTTAACGTCAAATCGCAAGAAAGCGGCATTCCACGCTGGCAAACAAATAAAAATCCTACAGCCAAAGGGCCCAGCTACACAAAAGCCCAGGCTGGCGCACCTCCATTAAAAAACACTGCGCCCAGCTCGTGCGCTTGCCGATATAGCTACAAAAGGCCGATGCGCGTGCGCCACTGGTTAGAACACGTGGTTAGATGGCTGTGTTTTTATTTAATGCCGAGCACACCCGCCCCGATGTCTAAGCCTGCTTGCCTGTTTCATAAAACAATGCTGTGCCAGGGCATCTGTTTTGCAGGATATGGCGGCGATGTGTTTTACCGAATATCGTGTTTGGTCTATATTTTCCCGCAGTCACTTCCTTCATGGAATACTGCATGGATGTGCCCGTGGTTACAGGCTTCTGAGTTTCTAGACAGCCTGCTTCTGTCCCTGAAAACGGAGCCTTCAATTTGAGGTTTCCCTGAATGCAGAATGAATGCTTCGTCTATCTCCTCTCTGTCGCCTCCTATTCTGTTTCTCCTATTGTTTACGACCAAAAAAACTATGAAGCAGACAGCTAGCAGCAGCACAATGCATATTATTATAAATCTAATGAGCTTGCTTTTGTCCATTCAAATGGTAGCGTGTAGGGTATTTATACTTGCTTTACGCCCCCCAAAAGATGCATGCTTGTCTATATCAAAAAGTCTATTGGTTATTTTTTTTTGATGCATGAAGAAGGAACGGAGACATTTGAGCTTATGGACATCATGAGGTATATGGCGCCCACACGACCTGCTGACGATACCCCTGAAAAGGTGCTTGAAGCGCTAAGAGAGTACACTCCCCGCTATTTATACGACATATATCTTTTCGCGCCTGGCACCCCTATTCGGGCGCTGCTGCACCCTTGCATGTACACCCGAATACTAAAAGGATGGCTAAAAATAGGAAGCATTGTCAGAATAACCCACTTGGAGGGAGACATGATTGTGAGCATGGAAAGCATGGGGAAAATCTCAGCAAAGGACCTAACAGCGATAAAGCGGAATGCCTACGTGACCCTCCCAGACCCCATATTCAACAAACGCGGATACTATATGCCGCTTCTGTCCGACGAGGGATACATGAAGTGGGACAGGCGGTGGAAAACCTATCTGGAGAAATACAGCAGCTGCAGCGATGACGTGGAGCTTCTGCTGGAGCTTGAGTCCGACCCGTGTCGGAAAGGGCCTGCCATGGGCTTGGACAAAGAAACCCCGAATAACCCAGGCCAGCCATGCCTGGTCAAGTGCGCTCTCGACACAGAAGAGGGGATTCAGGAGCTCCAAGTAAAAAGGAGGCGCACAGAGGTGGGCTATGTGAAAACGCAACAAAACCTCATACAGGGACAGGTCATACTCAAGAGCAGGCTGTTTACTTTCTCGCGCACTGGGAACTTTCCGCTTTTTTTTGCGTTTGTTCTGCTCACTTCCATAGGCCCAATAAAAGTCTATGTGTGGGAGCTTGCGGTGAGAAAGTTCTTCTGTGTGAAGGAGGGCGACTATGTTTCGATCCGCGGGTTTAAAATAAGGAGGAGAAGGGGCGCGTTGACGATCGCAGACCGGATAAAAACCGATGCTGACACAAAGTATGGAAGCCTGCCCGAAATCAACGTCAACATATGCACGCCTGTCGGGCATATCATGGAGATGGATAAAATCCCAGGCCTCCCTGCCGTGTCCCAGGACCCGGAGTTTACAACAGTTGTGGGCATGGTCGAGTACATGAGCTCTCTCCTCCGGTATGCAGAGAAGGAAAAGATAAAAAGCTTTAAAGAGTATGTTTTGCTGAAAGTGTCTGGAACTGCAGTAAAGCTAATTTCAAACGGAATCCTGCAGAGCGTGCTGGAAATAAACATAGGCGAATGGATAGAGATACGGCATTTGCGGAAGGGCTGCATAGGCGAGTTTGAGTTTTATGTGTCTTCGCTCTACACACAGTTCTACTGCAAGCCGCCCAGCGCTCCGCTTTTCGACAAGCATGTCCTGACAGGCGAGTGCACAGGCTTTGCGGAGGGAAACGCGGTGGGATACATTCCTGTGTGCTTTAGCACGTTCAATGCACACATTTCTGCGTCGATGGAGGGGATTGGGGCGCTAAAGATCAGGGGGGTTCCAATTCCCCGCGAGTCGCCGGACTCCGCCTACATAAAGAAAGACAAAATATACTTCGGCAGCGTCTGCAGCCTGCAGGATGCGTTGAAAGACATCTCCATGCTCTATCTGGATGAGTCCGCGCGGTTTATTGTGTTTGGGAAGATACTTGGAGTCCGGTACAACGCACAGGGGGACCCCGCCATAGGCAACGACACCTTTGACGTGTCGTACATAGCCGCAGACACAACTGTGTGTGCCGAGCAAGACTTGGACTTAGAAAGCGAAGGCTCCTCTGAAATGTGCAGGATTCCGTTCAACGACCGAATAGAAGAGAATGCGGTGATTCGGTTTGGGAGCGAAGGGTGCCATGTAGACATAAAAGTGTTTCAGAACCACCTGGTGCACCGCAGTTTTGAGGAAAGCGTTCTGGACTTTCTGAAGGTCAAAAGCCTCCCAAGCGGCTCCATATACAGCGAGCTGGACAAAAGGGTGGGTGAAAAGTGCTATTTTGTTTTTGATGCAATTAGAATCAATGAAGAAGATGTTTTGCATGTGGGCGTGTCTTTGCTCACATGAGCCGGAGCGTGCCAAAGCAGAAAGGCGAATAAAGAGCAAGAATAAAAATAAAAATAGAAAATGTGGAATGCCAGCGAGAGACAAAGCGCCAAAGAGCATAGCCCAGGCGCTTATCGGGGAAAGAAGGACGAAAAAAACAAGGGCGTCTACATCCCTGAGGCGTCGATGTACGACGAGCAGCCTTCTTTTGCCCCTCTAAGAGACCCTGTTGTTTCGCAGAAGGCAGTTACTGTGTTTGGGTACTCTTCCGCCAACCTGGAGCACATTCTAAGAAAGTTCAAGGGGATTGGGCCAATAAAAGAAATACACTACGGAAAAAACTGGATGGACATCCGGTACGAAGCCGAGAAGTATATGTTTTTGGCGCTGCAGGAGAGCGGCAGAATCATCAACGGCGAAATGATAGGCGTTTTCCAGAAGTCCCGGAGAAACGTCCCCACGGCAAGAGTGGAAAACCCCAACGCGCTTTTGCGAAAAGACACTGGGCTTATCGAAAGGGTGCTTTCCTACTTTTTTGGCTAGTGCTTTCTGCAAGGCCCCTCTGGGGCCCATGCCGCCTATTTATGCACCCTGCTAGGGCCTAAATGGTTCAATGTAATAAAGCTGGCTTCTCTGCGCTCAATGCCGCTTTTTAAGGGCCCTTGGCCGCCAGGAGGCCACCTCTTGCCAACTCTTTCAATAAACAGAATGTGGCTATGTTTTATCTGCGTGCCCAGCCGGCAAGGAGTGCCCGGGCCACACGTTTCCAGGGAAGAAGCATCCTGAATTTCAGAGCCTTTGCTAATGTTCTTGGGCCAGTTACTTTTGTAGGCTTCTCTTTCATGCGCAGCCGCAGAGCCACCTGCCAGCCTGGAATGCTCTCTTGCCAGGATCCGACCATCCTGCTGCATATTGTGCAGGGTCTCCGAGCTTGTGCCAAAAGGCTGCTATCTGCTTTGCTAGTGAGGTTGTGTTGTCTCCCTCTGTGCACAGTTGGCTGCTGTTTATCTTGTTGGTAAGCTTGCGCTATCTGCTTTTGTGCGCAATTGGTTTCTGCATGGATTTTCCACTGTATAGCAACTTATTTAGAATAAAAAAGTCTAAGTGCAAACATTTCAGTACGGATTTTAAAATAGAATATGCTTTATTTTGGCGCTGTACGCCCCCGTGAAGCTTCAAAGGAAAGCAACAAAACAAGGAGAACAGCTCCAGACAAACACACAAATAGAGAGCCTTCTACATATGGCTAGAGACCTCCGCGTCCGGTGGGGAAAAGAGCCCGGCGTAAAAAGCGCCATAGAGACCTGCTGTGGCGCCCAGGAGCGCGTCTATAATATTGAAGGAGGCAAAGGATGCAGAATTTATTTTCTAAGCAAGTCTATCAAGTCTCCATTTTCAAGAACGCTGTCTAGCTCCTGTGTCTCTTCCAAAACAGCCCCATCAAATTCCAGATAGGCGGCTTCTATCCTGGGAAGCGTGGAAAGGCTCTTCTGGGCCGCTCTGAGCAGGTCCCCGGCCGTCTGCATGTTTTTCTTCTCTACTTGTATGCACTCGTACTGACTGTAGCGTATTTTGTACACAACATGCTCTACGCGCGCTGGCGCGTCTTCAGGCACAACAACTTTCAGAACGGGCGCGCCGCAGCCCTTCAGCAAAACCTTCGCCTTTGCATACCGGGACAGAGACACCCCGTTGCACTCCAAAACTATGGAAATGCCAAACCTTCCCTCATAGTGCTCATACACGCTTTCAAATGTGTCCGAAGAAAGCAGCTCGCACTCTTTTTCTGTCCCGCCAAAAACCACCCGAAAAGAAACTGTTTCCTGCTTTCTGGGCGGCGCGGCGGTGCTAGGCCTTCTCAAAAACTCCCAGTCATCATCCATCTATGCTCGGCCGTGCAAAATTAAAATGTCTAATGTATGCGCAGCTGCCCGCGCGAAAAAGAAAGCGCGCAACGCAGCAGACAAGGCAAGGCGCCTGCGCCGAGCCCAGAAGAGGGGCAATCGAGCTCGGCAAACCGCCCGCGCCCAGAAGCACAGAAATACAGGCAGCGCACAAATAATGGTTTTTTTCTAAATCTCCCATGAAAAGCAGCGAAATTCTTGGCATGCTTGGAGAAATCAAGGAGAGACTGCACAATCTGCAGAAACAAAGAATGCACATTCCAAACCGAAGAGCCGCGTGGCTTCCTTTCTGCTCTGCCCTAGACGTGCTGCAAAAAATAGCAAGAGAGGAGGAGTACCTGCACGCCAAGGCAGCAGAGCTGAAGGAGAGGCTGCCCATGCACGCGAAGGGGCTGGGCAAAACATGCTGCTCGCCCGAGGTGCACACAATGATGCGCCCAGACACACATTAAGCATGTCACCTATCTGGCGTTTTTATGTTATACAAACAAATAGCGAATTAGGCCCAAGCATGCGAAAATAGAACACTCGATGGAAAGCCCAAACTCTTAAATACGCCAAAAAGTGTTTCCTGTGCGTATGAAACAAGAAGGCAGGACGAAGGCCCAGGATGTAGACACAAAAGGTGTGCCCGGCGAGGGCTATGAGGCAGTGTCGTCCCCCCAGAACATAAGCGCAGCAAAAGACGACACAGACGAGAGAAAAATAATTGCGCAGACGATGCTTTCCATAAGAAAGATAGAAACAGAGATTGACCGAAAGGAGAAGAACCGAATAGCTGCCAAAAAGAGCCGGGAAAAGAAAAATCAGTATGTGGAGGAAATAGAGCACAAGCTGCGCGCGGAGAAGGCCAGAAACGACAGGCTGCTGCAGCACATAGACACGCTCTATTCGCTGCTGGAAAAGGTTTTGCTGGAAGCTGATCGCTCTTTGCTAGACAGAGAGCTGGGTGCGCAGGAGATAGCAAGCATCTTCATAGGGTACGAAGAATATATTCCATTCCCGGCCAGGCACAAGGAAATAATCGAGAGCATGAAACTCGTTTTATTTACAAACTTAAACTCTGGCATATAGCTGAGCAAATATTTATAATACTTAATGAATAGAAAAAGCGCAGAAATGAAAGATGAAAGGGGCATGGAAAAGGTTACAGAGCAGGAGGAGAGATATCTGCAGGACGGCGGCGCGTTTGGAGACCCATATGCGGACGAAAACAACAGAGAGGTAATTGTGGTAAGAGAAATAATTGTGGTGAACGGAGAAAACACAGGAGCCGAGGTTGTAAACAGCCTCATTGCGCTAGGCATTGTGTTTGTGGGGACTCAGATAGTTTCCTCGCTGTGGAAGCGGTACCACCCGAAGTCGTTTGGGATAGTGAGCGTTGCAACTCTTCTGCTCTTCCCTTTGTTCATGGGAGTGCTGGCAAGGTCCTACTTTTTTATATGCGCGTGGCTTTTCGTGGCTTTTGTGCACCTTGTCGTTTTTCAGGACGTGTTTATGGGGCGCAGGCCAAAGCTTCTCACCACAAACGTGTACAATGTGTATAGAGTCATATTCCAGGCCAGCCTTGTCGCGTCGATTGCTGGCTACCTCATGGTTGCGTATGGGTTTTTCAAGAGGAGCCCGGGCGTGTACTCCCGAGGAATGTCTTCGCTTTTGTACACCCTGTACTTCACCCTGATCACTCGGACGTGCCTGGACATTGTGAGCGACAGAACATCGGGGGCAATTTTGCCGTCCAAGGCTGCAAAAACGCAAAGCACGCAGTGCCCAATGTGCCAGGAGAGCTTGGGCAGCAAAAAGATCACGCTGGAGTGCAGAGAGTCTTTCCACATAGACTGCATAAAAAACTGGAAGATTCTTGGGAAGAAGGACACGTGCCCCTCGTGCAAGGAAAAGGTAGACCTGGGGAGTGTGGAAATGAATCCATGGCAGAAAAACGAGTACCTATTTACAAAGTTTTTGGACTTTACAGGAAATCTTATTTTGGCATATGCAGTTATTCAGGGAATTATTTTATTTATGTAGCTCCATTTGCCAAGCATGCGCGCCGAGATGGCAAAAGGTGCGGCAATGCCTGCTGGCCTGTTGAGCACCTCGCTGGCAGCGTGCTGCAGAAGGGCCCGGCTGCGCATGGAAGCATGCATATGAGTTCGGAGGAAGCAGAAAACATGTTTGCTATTTTATTTTTCCGCTCTGTGGAGGCCAGGCGCCCAGCGCCAGAACAGCTTTGTGTCTGGGCCGCGAAGATTGTACACAAAACACCCAAGGGGTGTGGCAAGCTATCTAATAAAGAAGCGCTGAAAACTGCATGTAAACACTTTATTTTTCCGCAGGCGGCACGCGTTGTTCTGTGGCCCAACGCACATCACTGATGGCCTGCGCGCGCGGGCTTGCTTTCTGCGTGGTTGGAGCATGCCTCTGCGCGCAGAACTGCGGGCCCATGCGGCGAGAGGCGCGCACAGAGAGTGCGCATGCGCCAGATTTTCCGGAATCCAGATGCTTATTAAAGGTATAAATACGATTTATTTTAGCAATGAAAGAATTTAATAGTTTCAATGACAAGCGTAACCAAACTATTTAAAACACTCAGAGACGCTCCCAGCAAGGGAGTCAAAAGACACATAACAAATGAGATAGTGGGAATGTATTGTGCAACGCCTGCGCTGGTGAAAACGCTCTTAGAAGAGACGCTGTTTCTTTCCGAAAGCAGCGCGTGGGAGGATAGAGTAGCAGGCTCTAGAGTGCTGGAAGAGCTTTTTAAGTCCGGCGCAATAGAAGACACGTTTTCGCAGAAAGAGTACGCGCTGGGCATAGAGATAGACCGCGTGCTTGAAATGCCAAAGTTTCTGGCCACGCACTACAGCGGAAAAGAAACAGTCAAGGGAGGGAAAGACTTTATTGATTTAGAAGACCATAACGTGGTGCTGGGGCTCAGCGACATAAGCCTGCCAGGGACACGGAGCGGAGAGGGCGGGCTGCTAAGAAAAAAGAAGCAGGCCCTGCGGGTCCAGAAGGACGAGGAAAAGACAGAGATAGAGAGCAAGGAGCAGTTCTACCAGTGCGTGCTTTCCAACCTGGAGTCGTACGTGTGGGAGAAAAGGCACGGAGCATCGCAGCTGCTGCTCGGCATTTTCCGGGGCATGCGCGCGCGGCCAGCTGGAGCAGCCTCGCTGGGCTTGCTGAGCTCCAAGCGCTATGTGGAGTGCATGCTGAGAGTTCTTATTCTGGACAGATTCAACGACTATGAGATGGACATTGCGGTTTCGCCTGTGCGGGAGACAGTGGCCAAGGCTCTCAAGGAGCTTGTGCCGTTTCTGGCGCCCGCGACAATAAAAGAGCTGCTTGCGCTTCTTACAAAGCTGGGCGCGTACGAAGACTGGCAGATAAAGTACAGCGGGCTGCTGGGCCTCCAATACATCCAAGACGTGGTTTCTCCCGAAGAGCACAAGCCGATCATCGTGGACATAGGAAACACGTGTCTGGCGCTCCTGAACGACCTGGACGAGGACGTGAAGAGGGTGGCTGCGGGCATTCTTATGGGGCTGTTTGAAAGATACTGCGAGTTTTACTCTGGAGCCCCGGAAGAGCGCATCCGAGAGAGCATAGACGAGGTCATAAGCATAGAAGACACGGTGGAGGGGTGCTGGGACGCGCTGGAGGAAGAGGAAGACCTTGCTATCTCCAAAGCCAAAATAATGGGCCTGCTGGAAAAAATTGCGCGGCTCCTGAAGCACGATCTGGGGAAAATAACCCGAAAGAGATGGATGTACATACTGTGTCTTATCCGAAACCCGATAGACACGGTGCGCCTTTCCGTGCTTTCGCTCCTGAGCCTCTTGCCGGTGCAGGACCCGGCGTCTCTGGCGGCGTCCCTTCTGTTCAGCATAATGGCAGAGCAGGAGGCCGAGATAAGAGAAAAAACAGCAGAGCTGTTTAAGAGAGTGGCGGCCGAGGGGAAGGTGCCGGGAATCCAGAGCATAGTGCACGGCTTCCTGCAGGTTGTATGCGGGCCGGCTGTGGTGGGAATGTCTTCGCTGGCAAGCCTAAATCTGTCGGTGATTGTCGGGGAGAGCGACATCTGCTCCACCGACGACGGATGCAAGTCTCTGGGCGAGGGCGCGGTTCTCTCCGGAAGAGTTGAGGTGTTTAAGGTCCTTATGAGCAGCAGCAGCGAAATAAGGGAGTGTGTGTCCGCGTTCTTTATGGCTCCGGGAAAGCAGCAGCCATACTTCGCAGTACTAAAAGCGGTGGCCTCTGCGATTCTCATGGAGCAGGGCGCACAAGAGAGCGGGGCCCGGCTGCTGGACAGCCTGCTGGCTGGCGCTGAGGACAAAGACAGAAACGACCTAGCAAGGGCCGCGCACAGCCTGGCGCTACACATAAAGGGAGCAGCAGCGGCCGAGGACGCCGAGATTCTTGTGTACACGTTCAACACGCCAACGCCAGTCGCGCTTCTGCAGATCATGGCAGCGGCGGTTCGGGCCGCTTTGGGCAAGTTTGACGAGTTTTTCAAGCTGGCAATTGAGTGCGTGTGCGCGCGCGAGGAGAGCAAAGTCATGGAGATGGTGATCAAGGAAATGGGCGAGGCCAAGAAAGCAAAGCTGATGGAAGACATCGAGTGCAAAGAGCCGGAGTGGGAAATGCTAACGCTTTTTAGAGAGGTGGGCGACGCCTTTTTGGACACGCCTGTGTTTGGCGAGCTGAGGGCCAGCCTGGGAAGGTGCTCTATTTTTCTGCAGAGCACAATTGAGTGCTTTAGCTCGGTTGAGAAGCTGCAGTTTATATTTGAGTACGCTATGGAGAAAAATCTAGACAGAATTGTCTCGGCCCTCATAAAGAAGAGCCCGCAAAAGAACGAAGAGTTTATACTGGCAGCAAAGAAAAAGCTCGAGGAAATAGTGTGCCAGGAAAAGACAGACCACACCGAGTTTTTGGCGTTTATTGTGGAGGTCGTTCCACACTCGCAGCTGCACCTTCTTGTGGCGATCGCGTTCCCTTTGGTCACGGCAATGAACACGCCTTTTTATGTGGAGGGCACGCGCGAGCTAGCATCAAAGGCGTTTTCTGCTGTAGCGCCTGCAATGTGGCTGCGCACAGAGAGCGCGGTGGAAAGCCCAGAGCTTGAGAAAGAAGTCAAGGCTGCCAAGGCAAGAGTGGGCTCGCTTATGGAGCCGGATGCGCTGCCAAAGGTGGAGATGAAGGTCGAGCTGAGAGAGTACCAGAGAAAGGGCGTCGAGTGGATGGGGTTCCTCAGGAAAAGCGGCTTGTCGGGAATGCTCTGCGACGACATGGGGCTGGGAAAAACAGTGCAGGTGCTTGCCTTTTTGGCCGGGCAAATGGGCGCAGGGGCGCAGGCCAAGAAAGCTGCGCTTGTTCTCTGTCCTTCTGCGCTGACTGGGCACTGGCACATGGAGATCACGTCGAACTTTCCCACGCTGAAGAGCGCCACAATTGACGACTTTGGCGGAAGCGGAGTGTGCATATCGTCGTTTGACAAGTTCAGGCTCAACTACAGCAAGTTTGTCGAGCGGACGTGGTTCTATCTGGTGCTCGACGAGGGCCACATCATTCGAAACTCAAACACGCTGCTGCACCAAAGAGTAAAAATGGTGCGGGCCGAAAACAGGCTGCTTCTGAGCGGAACCCCGATCCAAAATTCGGTCGGCGAGCTGTGGGCGCTGTTTGACATTTTGATGCCTGGGTTTCTGGGGAAGGAAAAGGACTTCAGCAGAGAGTACATCAAGCCGATTGAAAAGGCCCGAGAGGGAAAGGGAACGCCAAGGGACGCAGAGATAGCAAAGGCCAAGCTGGAGGAGCTGCACAGCTCGGTGCTTCCCTTCATTCTCCGTCGGATGAAGGAAACTGTTCTGTCAGACCTGCCACCAAAGGTCATATCCGACATATATGTGGATCTGGAGGAGGTGCAGCAGAAGGTGTACGACGGGCTGGCCGCCGGAGGAGGAGCGGATGGAGAGTACGGAAAGGTTTCTTCGTCGTCTGGAAACTTCTCGCTTCTCACCCGGCTCATAAAGACGTGCTCGCATGTGTCCCTTCTAGCGGGCAACGAGCTGCCCTTCCCGCTCACGCAGAAGGAAAAGAGCCTCGCGCCCTCCGGAAAAATAAGCGCGCTCCTGGACCTGCTGAAGGTCATGGTGCAGACCAGCAAAATTCTTGTTTTCTGCCAGTACAAGGCAACCATCGACAGAGTCATAAAGGAGGTGGAGGCTGTTCTGCCAGAGGTCAGGTGGACCCGGCTCGACGGAACGGTAAAGGGAGACGAGAGGCCGGCGCTTGCAAAGAAGTTCAACACAGACGCGGAGATAAGCATTATGTATCTAACCACGCACGCAGGCGGGCTGGGGCTGAACCTCACAGGGGCAGACGCGGTTATCTTTTTTGAGCACGACTGGAACCCGATGACGGATCTGCAGGCCATGGACCGGGCCCACCGGATAGGGCAGAAGAAGTCCGTGAGCGTGTTTAGGCTGATTTCAAAGAAAACAATCGAGGAGAGCATAATGTCTTTGCAGAGGTTCAAGAATTACATCGCAAGCACGGTTGTAAACCAGCAAAATGTAGAAATAGAAAGCATGGACACATCAAACGCCCTAGAAAGACTGGTGCGGGAAAAGGCTCCAAAGGAAAAAGAAACAAGAGAGGAAGAGTACCACGACTTCATATAGCTGTGCAACCGCTCTGCAAAGCGCCGGAGACGCCAATAAATCTTATTTATATCCAGCAATTTGCACGAGTCTATTTGTTTTTATGCAGTTTCCAGCAGCACCTGCAGCCATCTGCACAGGCCTGGTGCAGGCTCCGACGCAGCTCTGCCTGCGCCTAGCACAGTAGAAGGGAAAGCACGGCTCGGGCGCTGCTTCCTGGCGCGCAGTCTTCGTTTGTTTACTCCGCGATGGACGCAGAGTGCTTGTTTTGATTGCTCTTTAATTCTAAACCTCAATAATAGCATTGTTTGTTTATAAACAATGCGGAGATTTGCGTTCATTTCCGAACAGCCTCCAATATCCAGCGAGGATCTTCTCAGCAAGTACAACGAGACACAAGAGGCCACCGCATTTTCGGCAGAGTACGAAAAAATACTCAAAGGAAAACTGATTGCAGCAGCCATTGAGGCACCTCTGTGCAGTCTGGCGGCCAAAAAGGGCATGCCCATACGCACCACTCGGGTAAACGGCTTGGCAGACGACTTCTACAGCAGCTTGCTGGACTGGCAGGGCAGCAGCATTGCGTTTGCCCTGGACGAGAGAATTTTTGTGCAGAATTTCCTAACAGGAAAAACGTCACTGCTGGCCAGGGTGAGCAACGCATACATAACATCTGTTAAAATATCTCCGCACGGAAACACTGTGTGTGCAGGCACATGCACAGGAGACATCGCTATTATAGACTTAGAGGGAAAGATCGTTGCAAAAAGGCACGTGCACAAGTCCAGGATAGGAGCCATGGAGTGGAACGGCCGGCAGGCTGTGACGGGAAGCCGAGACAGGAGCATACGAACCACAGACATCCGCGCGCAGGAGGAGACCCGGAGCATTTCCCTGCACACGCAGGAGGTGTGCGGCCTGGCAAACTCGCCCTCTGGAGAGTACCTGGCCACGGGCGGAAACGACAACAAGGTTTTCATAGTCGACAACCGGTCAAACACGCCTGTGCACACTCTTCTGGCACACAAGGCTGCAGTCAAAGCCATTTCGTGGTGCCCCGACAAGCTTGACACTCTGGCCACCGGCGGGGGGACTGCCGACAGAACAGTCAAAATATGGAAGCTGTCGAAGTCCAAAGAGGCTCTGGTGGACTCCATTGACTACGGCTCGCAGGTGTGCAACATCCGGTGGACAAAAAAAAACGAGCTTCTCACAACGCACGGGTACACGCAGAACGACGTGCGCATACTGGACATAGCCAAAAACAAGCAAACACATGTGTTTGAGGGGCACAAAAACCGAGTGATCCACTTTGGGATGAGCGCAGACGAGGAATACTTTGCAACAGGCTCCGGCGATGAAACAATGTGTGTGTGGAGGGCGCGGGAAAACGATCTGGCGGACTTTCTAATTCGGTAGCCTGCAGGCGATAGGTTGTTTGTTTTTGTTTCAGAGGCACAATAAATAGGAGTTTAGAGGCGTATTTATGGACACAAATAAAGACTTTGACGACAGATCCAAGAGCTTCGATATCCTGGACCTGCCCGAATACGACTACCTGTACAAGCCCGAGGACATGCCTTTCAGCAGTGATTTGAGCTTCTCCATCTCAAACGAGCCCAAGTTTTCCCCTGCAATCCCCACCGGCGCGGGCAAGCACTTTCTGAACAGATACGCCGGCCCAAAGGAGAGCAGCAGGCAGACGCACATCGACGTTCGCGCCGAAAAGGAGAAGGGCCTGGACTACTTTGGCACAAGCGCTTCGCACGCAAGGCACATGAAAGAGCCGCCTTTCATCCCGTTTGGCCAGAGCAGGGACCTGCACCCAGAGGCACGGATCGGCTACGACTTCCAGCCGTACGCAGGCAGCGGCGCAGAGCAGGCCGTATACGTCAACGCGAACCAGTACCAATGCATAAAAAAGCGGAAGGAGAGAAGAGACTACTTGGACTCGCTAGAAAAAAAAACTAATGCTGCATACCAGCACGAAAGCAGACACAAGCATGCGATGAAGAGGCCCCGGGCGCCTTCTGGCAGATTTCTCACAAAAGAAGAGGCATTCTTTGAGGAGACAGCGAAGCATACTTAAATAAACTGGCTTGTTTAAATTTTTAATGGCTATTGTGCTAGAAGGCGACACCGTGCAGGACAAGCAGCTTGCGAGCGTTATTATAAGCTACATGAGCACGAAATACTTCAGCAACAACCCGTGGTATCTTTCGCTGTGGAAAAGAGCACATGCGCTGCAAAAAACCGCAGACATTTTGTTTCTCATGCACATGAAGGGAGTGGGCGCGTTCAGCTCGTGGATCTACATAAAGCTGCACGAGCACTTTGTGCAAAAAGGCTGCGCGTCCTGTGCGCACGCAATACTGATCGAAGGCATAAAGGCAGGCGCATATCCCAGCGAAGAGCTGGAGGAGCGCGTTGACTACTCGGTGCCAAGAATGCACTCGCTGGAAAAGCCAGAAAGAATAAAGGCGTTCGGAAAGGAGTGGGTGCACAAAACCACATACATGCACCCAGAGCACATCGTGCGGGCAGAGGGAGAAAACATAACATACATGGAGTACAGGATAATCCAGCACCTTCGGGTTGCAAAAAGGCTGGAGGAGGAGGAAACCGAAAGAGGGCTCAACGAGGTGTCTCTTCTGTTTGGAAGCGTGCGGCCGAGGAGGCAGAGCAGCGAAGCCCCCAAACCCGCAAAAAAGCACCAGCCGAGCAAAGAAGAAGACGGAGGCGCGGACGAGCCAGAAGATCCAAATGCCGCTGTGGGCAAAGATGCTGGCAAGGAACGGCCGGGCCAGCCCAGGGCTGCGGGCGAGTGTGCATACGAAGCCGCTGGCGCAAAACCAGAGCCGCACATGCTGCTGCAGAAAGAAAGCGGGCCACAGGAGAAGGACACCGAAGGCATAGACACCAGCCAGCTGGAAATTGCCCAGGACATGGAGGAAATGTACAAGGACGCTTTTTCGGAAATACTGGCAGAGGAGTGCGGGAAGAGCCATACGGACCTGTCCGTCCGGCTGGGCAGAGACATGTCTGGCAGCAAGGACGAGCTGTACGAAAGGCAGGGCGTGGTTGTCTGCAGCGGAGCGTTTGGAAGCCCGTCTTTCGGAAGCAAAGTTGTCATTAGGGAGATGCTGTACATTGTCAAAAAAAAGCTGGGAAAGGCCTCTTTTTTGGTCACGCGAATTGCCAGCCTTGGAGACGGAAATGTGACGCTGAATGCGCAGGACTATGTGCTCCGAGAAGCGGCGGATGCCTCAGAGTACTCGGTGTCTAGGGCCCTGGAAAGCACCGGGTTTTCCGTTCCTGTGGAGGCGGCGGTCAAGTACCAGGACAAGTTTGTGCTGCTGTCTCCGTACAAGGAGATGGGCGCGCTGGACCGGGCAGTGTCTCTGATTTCCCAGAAGGAGGGCGGGCTGTCCGAGCTTCTGGCCGCGCACTATGTCATGGAGATTCTTCGGGCAAGCGTGCGCGCAGAGAAAGAGGGGTACAGCCTATGCAACTGCAAGCTCAAGGACTTTGTGCTGGTCGTGGAAAACGGAAAAATTGGCCTTCGCATTGCAAGGTACTGCAACGTGTCCACAGAGGAGCAGGTGCCGGTACACCTCTCCAGCATGCTTGCGGAGATACGGGCGGCTGCAAAGATCGAGTACACGCAGACTCTTCTCGTGCACCCTCTGCCGTCCTCGGCATGGGTCTCCAAGATAGAGATGTACCTGGCGCAAAAAAGAGAGGCGTCTGCCCTGCAGAACATGTTCATTGCGCAGGAGGTCTGCATATACGAGAGCGGGCAGATGGACTGACTAGTGCAGCAGAAATCGACTGCTTTGTAAATAGGCGCTGCACAAATGGCTGCCGCGGAGCCTTCTACCGGCCGCAGGCCATCTGCACGCGCACGAGCATTCCCTCTCGGGTGCTGCTACTCATGATCCCCTGTGGTCTAGTGGCTAGGATTTCGCGTTTTCACCGCGACGGCCGGGGTTCAATTCCCCGCAGGGGAACTTTTTGCACGCAGCGAAGCGAACATGCAAGAAGCACAGCCCCGGCGCCCTTTCCCAGGCCGACATTTTGCAGCGGGCGCGCAGGCCCAAAATCTGGCATTAACTTATAAATAGAATGGAATATTTTATTATTCAGAAGAGGCCTTTTTTGCATTCTTCTTTGCAGTTCTTCCAAGCTTTCCTTCCTTGACCAGCGCAGAGTTTTGCGACATTTCTATGTATGCCTCGCTGTCTGCGTTTACCAAAAACCCGGGCTTGTCCACGATGGCCCCATTGACAGTTATGTGTCTCTGGTTGATAAGAACTCGGGCGTGGTGGATGGACTTTGAAAGGCCGAGGGCGTTCACCTTGGTCTGCAGCCTTCTGTCTAGAAGAGAGGTGATCTCTAGGTCAAGAACCTTTTCGAGCTCTGTGATGATCTCCTTCTTGGACTGGTAGTCTACTCCGCTAACCAGGCCCTGCTTCTCCAGCCTGTGCAGAAGAGCTCTGCCCTGCACCATCTGGTACTCCTCGTCGGTGTTTATAAGAAGGTCCTTTGCTCTTCTCTTTACATCGTGGAATATCTTCTCGAGAACCCTCAGCTCTCTCTTTGACTTTAGCCCGTATACACCCACGTACTTCATCTCGTTAACAAGTCTCTGCTTGTCGAATGGTCTTCTTACGGATCCAGCTCTCTTTGAATATGTTGGACTTGCCATGCAGGGGAAAAAAAAAGAAAAATGAAAATACAGTACGTAATTGTAAGAAACGACACCGGCTTCCCCAGAGGCGCCACCGCAGCGCAGGCTGTGCATGCAGTGACTGCGTGCCAGCACGAGCACCTAGACCAGGGCTACTTGGAGTACATTTCTGAAGGCGCAGGCATGCACACTGCAGTTCTTCAGTGCACGCAGGAAGAAATGGCTGCGCTTGTCGAGGCGCTCAGAAAGAAAGAGGTAAAGTTCAGCGCATGGGTGGAAATGCCCGAAAACATGCTTACTGCGGTGGCCATATACCCGTACGAGAAGGCGCGCCTGCAGGAAATAAAAGAGCTAAGAAGGCTAAAGCTGTACTGAAGGCGCGCGGCCCAAGCCCTGCAGAATGCCGTGGTGCACATATGCAAGAGAAAAGAGCACGCGCCTTCTGAAACCAGGCACCGGCTGCCTGCAGCCCAAGGCCAAGATCTGCTAAAATACACTTAGTTTATTCTATTGTGCTGCAGCCTGCGCCTGTGCGCTGGGCGTTGCGCGTTTTTGTGCGCGCGCCATGCTTTTCTCGGTGGAGATGGCGCTTCGGGCTTGCGAATTTCGAGAGAAAACTAAATTTTAAATTTTAGCCCCAGCAATGAGAAGCAAAGGATACAGATCTAACACAAGAAGCGTTTTCAAGAAGGACTACAAACAGTCAAAGAGACCGCAGACAACCACTCTGCTGAACCAGTACCAGAGAGGGGACTACGTCGACATAAGCGTGGACTCGGGTGTGCACAAGGGAATGCCCCACAAGACATTTGTCGGAAGAACCGGAAGAGTATACGCCGTTTTCAAGACCTCCGTCGGAATTGCCTTGACAAAGAAGAGAGGAAACTCCATCGTTGTCAAGAAGGTCATTGCAAGAATCGAGCACGTAAGGCCAAGCCAGTGCCAGAAGGAGAAGCTTGCAAGAGACGAGTACAGAGAGAAGCACGGAGTTGCCCCGCCCAAGCCCATGCCTGAGGGTCTGAGGCCTGCCTTCACCATCTCACTAGAGGAAAACACCCCAGTTGTGCTAAAGTCCAACACACACTACGCCATGTAAGTGTCGGGTGCTTTTCTATGATAGCTGCACCGAATAAAATAAAGCATGAGCACGACGGTACACGTTTTTGTTGGCAGCTCCCGGCCAGGCCGGCTTTCATCTTCTAAACTTGAGAATAAGCACAAGGGCTAGGGTTGCCAGAACGATTGTCCGCACGGAGAGCGCACTCATGAGCTCCTCCGCGCTCTCGCTCGCCATTCGCAGGATGATCTTTCCCAGCTCCTGCCGAATCGGGTCCTGGTTCATGCACTTTTCCCACTCCTGGCACTGGCTCTCCATGGCAGGCACCCTTTCGCCCGGGGCGCAGCGGTTCACCACATACTGCCGCCTGCACTCCGACAGCCGTATTTTCTGGTCTATTATGTGCGAGTCCATGCGCACGCCTATGTCGTTCTTGACCAAAACAATGCCCTTGATCAGGAGCATTATAATGATGCCCATAACCAGCCCGTTGAACAGAAGGTTTAGATACGCCTGCAGCACAAGGTTTGTCTTGAGCAGCCTCTCGTGCGGCTGCTTTGCCGGTGGGCTTGGCGCCGTGCGGCTTTCTGCGGCAGATGGAGGCTTTGCCGGGGGAACCACTGCCGGGAGCGGCGGGCTTTCCACTTTTCTTTTTTTCGGGTTTGTGAACCGTGCAAACTCGTACGGGTGTGTTTTGCTTATGGGCTTCCTTGGGTCCTTTTTCCCCCAGTCTATATCGGACAAAGAGACCATTACTGAAAAAATTTATCCATCCCCGTAAATAAAAAACAGAAGCAGAGCGCTGCCTGCCTCTGCTGCTTTACAGCTAACAGCCTCCAGCGCGCCAAGGCGCCGCATAGCCGCCCGGCATGCCCTCTGATTTAAGTTTGGCCTTTTATAGGGCGGAATGAGTCAACAGAGGAACATTTACATTTTAACATCTTCCTGCACGCCTTTCCACCACCTTCGCAACTTTTGCAGCAAGGCTTTTTGCATAGGCTGCGCCTTTGCGCGTTGGCAGCTATTTGGCAGGGGTGAAGTGTCGGGGCCAGCCCTCCTTCAAATGGCCGCTAAAAGCTTCTGGGCAGTGGCGCCCTTTGCAGGCAAGCCATACTCCATGTGCGCGAAAAGAAACATCATAGAAGCGCCTTCCAAACGAATCTGACAATTTATTGTTTGTGCGCGCCTATGCGTGCATCTTGGCGAATCTTTCTCGGAATGCGGCCAGAGTGCCGCACACGTGCAGGAGAGAGGCCGACGTGGGTCTGTATGTCTTGTAGTACGAGTCCAGCTGCACCAGAACGTCTTCTACGTTTTTCAGCCTGCGCCAAAGCTCGGTCTCTCCGATCCCGTTTTCCTTTGATATTTGCCGCACGTTCTGGTCGATAAAGTATTTCAGAATGTAGCTGTTCTTTTTTGTGTGCAAGTACGGCAGCACAAAGAGCGACTGCGCTATGGGGTTGATGAAGGAGTCCTCTGGAAGCATGGCGTGCCACACCGCCTCCTCCTTGCGCAGGAACTGCCTGCTTATGAGAATAGACTCTTGATGGTACGCGTCAAGCCTGGCAAGTATTTCGGGGCTCAGGCTTGGCAGCTCTGGGAGCGTTGAAAGGCTGGTGAGCGGAATCACCTCGAAGATGGAGGCAACCAAAAGAACAATCTTCCTAAACACCTCTTCCTTGTCCGCGTTTTCCTCGCATATTTTGTCGAGGAACCCTTCGTTCACCAAGGACATAAAGACAAACGACTCCGACCCGTAGGAAAGGGTGTTCAGCCCCATGTCGCAGAGGCTGGACGTGTGCTCAATCTTCTTTTGAAGCACCCCCTTTTCTGCGTCTGCGAGGACCTCGGGCGCCAGCAGCATCTTTTCCACAAGGTGTTTTTTCTGCACTGCGAGTATCCGCTCCGTGAACTCCTGGATGCCCGTGTCTGCAGCCTCTCCAAAGGCCACGGACGGCCAAGAAAGAGACATCAGCGGGTTGTTCACCATGCTATCGATGGCCTCCTTGCACACCGTGGGCCGGGCAGCCTGCACCGCAGACAGGTTTGTGTGCGTGTACGCCCCCTTGATTCTGGGCAGATACGACGTGATAAGGCTTCTTACCTTCTGCTTGGGTATTCCGAAAAAGACAACGTTGCCCTGTGTGTCGTATCCTCTTCGCCCTGCCCTTCCTGCCATCTGCTTGAAGCTCATCGAGTCCAGATAAAGGGAGTCCCCTGCAAAGACAGCGGTTCTGCACGGCATGTTGATACCCAGCGCAAGCGTGTCTGTTGCAAAGACCACGCGCAGCTGCTTCATTCGGAAAAGAATCTCCACCATGTTCCTGTACTTCTTGGGGATTCCGCTGTGGTGCACCCCTATACCTCGGTACAGCGCGTGGATGAGCTTCGGGTCCAGCCTGCCTGTTTTCCTCAGAGACTTTGCATACTCGTCCAGCAGATACGCCCCCGACGAGGCTATCGTTGGGTCTGTGAAGCAGAACCGGGGGTCTTTCAGGTTCGGGTCTATCTTTCTTCCTGAAATTTCCTCTGCAGCAATGGACTCGCTTATCCACGCGTCCTTGCCGGTGCCCACAGCCGCGTCCCTCGTTCTGCGCATCTCCTTGAGGACCTTTTCGTTCTCTCGAAGATCCGCCCTTGACAGCGCAGGCGGCGCACACTTCTCAAACTTGTCAAGCTCCTCTGTGAGCCGGATGGCCAAGGCGTTGCACACCGTCCTTTCCAGGTTGAACACAATGCACGGAAGCTTGTCTGCAGCCTCCAGCTCCACCACAAGGTCGAGAATGTTGTCCAGCAGGTACTGCGTGTTGTACAGAAGGATGTCTGACGATATCTCGGGCCTCTGCTCGTCCTGCACAGACATGCTCTGCACCCTCTCTGCTATCGGCGCTTCTGCCTGCGCGCCTCTTGTCCGGGAAAGCGCATCCGCATGGCCTCCCTCTGGCATCAGCAGCCGGCCGGGAGCGGGCTGTTTCTCGGTGTGCAGCTGCAGCCACTCCTTCAGGTCTTTGCTGATCTTTTGGAAGCCCTCCTTGGCCTCTCTGATCAGCACTTCGTATATTTTCGTGACCTGCTCGGCCTCCAGCGCGCCCGTCTTGATCATTTCTCTAAACGTCTTGATGACATACATTTCGTAGTTCTTCACATCGCTCTTCGTTATGCAGTTGGTTTTGAAAAACCGCTTGGGCCGGTACTCCTTGATCAGGCTCCTCTGGTCCTTCCGCAGCACTGCAAAGATGGCAAAGTACAGGTTGAGAAGCTCCTCTGGCAGGAAGTTCACGTCGTCGCTGAACCCTTCGTCCTTTATGCCTCTGAACGAGTACGCAAAGAGCGAGTGGATGGCTGCAATCGACTGCTCCCCCGCCTCTCGGGTCGACTTGTGGCACGTCTCCAGCACTTTGATGCGCTTGGGCACAAACACATAGTTTTTGATCTCGCAGTATCGCTCCCTGTGCACAACCAAGTAGCACTTTTGGTTCTTTTTCTTTGTCACCACGCTATTCACCCACCCGTAGAACTCTTTCAGATTTCCCAGCGTGGCGCTGAGCAGAAGCAGCGGGCATGGGCTAAAGTGGATGATTTTCTCCATGCTCGTCCCCATCCTGTTGTCTGATATTTTGTGCACCTCGTCAATGACAATGTACCTCAGCCGGCTGAGATATGCCTGCCCCTTCTTCGTCGGGTTGCTTGGCGGCATGCAGAGAATTTTCTCAAGCACGTCCGGCACGGTGATCAGGATCTGGCAGTTGAACGGCGATATTTGGAAGTCGCTCATGCAGATGCCCTGCAGAATGCTGTTCTGCTTGATGTATGGCTTGGACCCAAACCTTGCATACACGTCTGCTGCGACCTGGTTGACCAGCGCCTTTGTTGGCGCCACAAAGATGACCACATTTTCGTTGCTTGCGCGCAGAACAGTCTCCATGGCGTAGTAGCATATGAACGTCTTTCCCGACGACGTCGGCGCGCATATCACCGCGCTTTGCTGGTCGTCCACAATGTCCAAAAGTTCCTTCTGCCACCCGTCCGGCACAAAGAGCAGCCTGTCGTCCGGCGACGCGTTCAGCGACCTTTTCAGCTTGTCTCCCGCCGCGCGCATCAGGAACGAAATATCATAGTCGTTTGGGTCCTTTGTTGTCGCAGGGTCGTAGCTTATGCTCACTGCGGCCCTTTTGCCAAACAGCCGCGTGCATGCGCTGTCCCGCTTGTTCGCATAGCTGATTTCGTGCTTCTCGCACATCTCCAGCACAGTTGACCCGAACCCCTGGTCCAGAAGCGCCTGCATCACATACTGCAGCTCCTCCGCCGAGGCCTCCAGGTTGTACTTTTCAATAAACGACATGCAGTCCATGTACAAAGACACAAGGTCTTTCTCGTTTGGCCGCTTTTTTCTCTTCTCCAGCCCCCACAGCTCGCTGTAGAACTCAATGCGCAGCAGAAGAACCTTCCGGCAAATGAAAGACGAGTGCATCCGCGCCAGGAACGTCTCCAGGTGCCTCCGCTTCTCGTACGTCGCGGAGAAGGACTCATACTTTGCCAAAAAGCTTCTCAAAAACGCAACGTCCTTTTTCTTGGCCTCGGCCTCTCGCAGCTTTCGGTTCTGCTCGATTATCTCCAGCTGCTTCTTCCCCATCTTTGTTTTTTCCTCCTTCTTCTTTTTCTCCTTTTCTGACACCAGCGCAATTGGGTTGTGCAGATGCTTTCCCTCGTGGAGCGACTGCGCATTTTTTTTCAGACTCTCAATGTACATCTGCTCCGTGCGAAAGCTTCTCTCCTGCTCCTCGTTGTAGAACTTTACTGAGGAAAGCGCTGTTGGGATAAACGCCGTCTTCTTTGCTCTGCTCTGCAGCTTTTCTGCGGGCTTGCCTTGCGCGCTCCCCTTCTCTGGCGCCTGCTGCGGGCTGAAAAGACGCCCGTCAATTATGCTGCTCAAGCTGCAAACCTCGGCGCTTTGGATTGCCTTCCCTATCTCCTCAAGCAGGCCTCTGTCAACAGGCGCACTCTCTCTTGAATACAAAGAAATCGGGCTCTCCTGCGAAAGCACAGCCTGGTGTGCAGAAAACCTCTCTTCCCCAAGATGCGACTTCACAATCTGCCCCACGCTTTCCACCGCACGCTGCGCCTCTTCCAGCTCGACGTGCTTGGGCGTGTACTCCCTGGTGGCGTACTTCTCTCCATAGAGGTACATCACAGGGCTTATAACAAACATGAATATTCTCGGGGCTCTAAACGTGCCCTTTTCCAGAACAGCCGCATACAGAGAGAACCCCAGAATCGTGTTCAGGAACACCTGCGACCTGTGATCCTGGTATCCCACCCCCAGGCATATGTGCTCTTCTTTTATGAAGCGCTTAAACTCTTTGTCCTCCAAAGAGTGGAACCACATGACCTTGAGAGAGCTGGTTTTTTCCAGCACCGCAGCAACCTCTCTTGTGCACACCCTGCGCTCCGGCGTTTCCTCCTCCTCCCGGAACAAAACTATGTAGGAGTCCTTGAAGCCCGACACCCGAAGCGCATACCCTATCATGTCTGCCACGCTGTCTATCAGCTTGAGGGGAAGAGACTCGCTTCTAATCTTGTATATGTCTTCGATGTATCTGTATAATGAGTGCCCGTTTATCACTATCTTTCCAATTCCGACAAATGACTCGCTCACGTCTATCATTTGGAGCGGAAGCTTTGCATACCATTCGCTGTACATCGTTTCTTGCGACATTTCTTCTTTCATGGGCAAAATTATTCTAAATAGTTTATGTTTTTTGTAAATAACAGACAGCCTGGCCTGCGCCCTCTGATGCTCTGCCTGCGCCGCCTACACAAGCAGCGCGCCCGCCCAGCAAGCGTGCGGCTCTGCCCATGCCTGGCAGCTTTCTGCAGAAACGCAGAAACGCAGAATCACAGGCGCAGCCATCAGCCCGAACAAGAAAAATCCAAAGCAGAAAAGAATGAGCACAGCAGACGCAGTGCTGAAGACAGGCCTTTCTAGAAGGGTGCTTTGGACGCTTGGCTCTCCCAGCGCCCTTTAGAGGCGGCTGCTGGTCGCGCTGGCACGGGCGTTTTTCTTCAAGCGCCGCGCGCAGCGCTTCCTAGCCCAGGCAGGCCGGGATGGTCCAGGCTGTCCAAGGCGCAAGCGCCCCTCTGTGAGCGCTTGGGCGTTTTCCTGCTGCATACACATGTTATATGAGATTCTTTTTTTTATTTGCTATGCCGCAAAAGACAACACTCTATGTCATATACATGCCATACACGCTGAAAGAGTACAATATAGGGCACCTTCTGACGACGTGCAGGGTAAGCGAGCGAGAGGCCAACAACGGAATGCGCGTGACCATGCTCGAAAACAAGCCAATCGAGTCTGAGGAGGTGAACGGCAAGTGCCAGTACACCGAAAAAACCCTTGACTTCTCGAAAAAGGTCCCTGCTTTTTTCCGGACGATTGCGCCCAGCGGGTCTTTGACCATGAACGAAGCTTCGCACAACGCGTTCCCGGTGTGCAAAACCATATACACGAGCGGGGCTCTGTCTGAAAAAAAGTTTGTCGCGAAGATAAACACTCTCTTCTTTGACGGGCACAAGGCGCCTGTTGACCCGTTTACAGACGGGGTTGTGTCTGAAAAGTGCGAGGTTCTAGACCTTATCCACGGCCAGCAGCTGGCCGAGGGAATAAACCTTGCAGAGCTCACAGACGAAAGTGGCGCCCCCATGTTTGGCAAGGACTGGGAGAAAACCCGCCCTGCCGTCATGACTATATTCAAGCGCGTGCAGATAGACCTGCACATACCTATTATAGGCCGGCGGTATATCGGCGACGTGGACAGCTTTATGCGGAAAATATTCATACAGGGCCACCAGGAGGTAATTAAGTACCACAGCGAGTGGAAGAACATGACAATGGACCAGGTGCGGGAGGAGGAGAGAAAGGTCAAGGAGGAGCTGGACTTGAAATACCCTCCAAAAAAGAAGTAATAATCGCTACTCACTAAAAAACTCCTCGATTTCAATAAAGTCGCCCGGTTGGTCTATGTAAATCACGCCGTTGTCTCCTATTTCCACGTTTTCAATTTGGAATATTTTTCTAAGCGCGTGGAGAAGCATTTCCACGTCCATTGTTTTTCGCGCACCACTACTTAAGTAGGGCGCGTTCTGTGATGCTTCTGGCGGCTTCTTGTTTAATGGAAAGCCCCTTGTTTCCAGAATGCCCTGGCCAGGGGCTACCCCAAGGCATACGGAGACGTGCGCATTTGGTAGAATCTTTTGGGCGCACTTTTGTCTAGCCTCCATATTTCCGTGATCAGAGCACATATCAGCCCAAGGTCGTTTGCCACCAGAGAGACGCGGTCGAGCACACTGCTCAGCGCGTGCACTCCCGTTGCAAACGCCGGCACGTTCTCGTGTAGGTACAGAAGAACCTTGAGCGGGCAGGCCTCCGCCGCCTGGAGAACCTCTGGCGGAATGCTTTCTGTTTTGTGGTACAGTATTTTTCCAACAAGGTGAAACAGAGCTATTCCTGCGGGCTCGTGCTCCAGCAGCAGCCCATGCAGGCTGTCCGGCATCTGCGCAGCCTCAAGCACCCGGTGCATGCTTGTCTTGTGCCTTGCAGAGGGGCACACCTTTTTGATGGCCCGCAGGCCTGGCGGGGGCACCTTTATGTGCACGCAGTTCTGCACTTTGCGAAAAAAGTATGCATTCTCGGTCTCGAACACAATTCCAGCATAGGACCCGGGCCTGACCCGAGTGTGCTCGCCCACCCGCAGCAGATACACTGTCTTCTTGCTCAGCCTGTGGACCTTGTACTCGTCCATGCCGTCTATCTCCACCAGGGTGCGCCCAGCGTCCCTGGCAGCTTTTCTTGCCAGCTCTGTTTTTCCAGACCCGTTTGGCCCGGAAAGAACAACCGCAGCGCTGTCTATGCCGGCCATGGCCTGAAGTAAAACTGTTTCCATTGAGGTGCAAAAAATAAATATATTTATTTCCAATAAGATAAGATTTCCTGCTGTAAATAAAAGTGGCCGCCCTTTTTCTTTTATGGCCAGAATTTCCAAGGAAGATGGGCATATTTTTAGGCTAGGGTCTAGCCGCCAGGAAAAAGAGTGCATATTTGGCGTGGTGAACAACGAGGAAGAGTGCGCAAAGATCATCGACATGTGCAGGCTGGGCGCGCTTTCCAGAGTCAAATCGCGGCTTTCTGATGCGGAGAGGGACTTGATTAGGCCTGGGAGCATCTTTGTCTACGAAGAGGCAGAAAGCAGGATCTTCCGGTGGACAGACGGCAAGCTCTGGTCGTCCTCCAAGATATACGGGCGCTGCCTGGTGTACTACGAGCTGGAGACCTCGTGCGAGCAAAAAATAGAGAGGCTTCGGCTCTCGGACGACCTGGACAGCATTATCAAGAAGGGCAGCGAAATCATCAGCCTGGACGTGTCCGACAAAAAGAATAAAAAGAGAGACGGCCTGATCAAGCTGACAACGTCTGCGGTCTACCAGGAAAAAACATACCACCTGCTCTCCTACTTCACCGAGAAGTTTGCGCGCGATTGCGTGCGGGACGCCATATGGAACATGGTGTGCTCGTGGGAGCTTCCGGAAAACCTTGCGCTGCGCATGAACTACCGAAGAAGACGGCTGGGCAAGCCGTACACAAGGGAGTCGCTCGGCTCGGCAAAGGCCAAGAAGAGGCGAGAGCCCAGCAGGACCCAGTCCTTCCCTGTGTACGAGCCTTCCTGCTTGCTAGAAGACACGCCTGTGTGCATGGGGGGAATTGAAGACTTTATCCAAAACTGCTATGCGGAGGACAACTACTTCACCTTCTAGCGCGCCCGTGCCTCTCGCGCTGTCGATGGATGCAATAAAAAAGCGTACTATCTGTGGAGCAACTCCACTTTTTGTTTGTGCCCCATAAAGAAAAACCAAAGCTTCCAAAGTTTTTCTGAGCTGCTACTAGCACAGAATTTTGACAGGTTGGAAAATAGACACGCGCTGCAGCTTTAGGAATGTTGCAAACGCAAAAGAGAAAGTGCCCGCGAAGAGACTTGGGCTGGAAATGCACATGCTGCAAGCCAGGAAGGCCTGCGCGGCGCTGTGCTGTGCGTTTTTAACTAGTTAGATTTATTCTGTGCTGTGTGTTCTAATGGAAATTTATTTCTTGGATATGCAGAGACTGTGCAGTTTTTTGGCAGGCTCTGCACGGTCTGCCTCTTTATTAGCGCAGCCTCGCCTGTGCGCGTTTTGTGTTCGGATGCAGGCTCTATTCTCTGCCTGCGGAGGGAACTATTTCTATGTAGTGCGAGCAGGTCATGCACTCCACGAGCCCGACCTCGTCAGTGTGTGTGTACACTGTTCCACACCGGCACTTGATGTCTGCCGCTGCGTCCACCTCTATGACCATGTACGGCATGCTGTCCAGCTCTGGCTCTCTGTTCCCCTTCCCTGTGCCCACATCCTCGTGCAGCACGTAGTATGCGCTCTGCACCTCAACAAACTGCTTGGCCGTGTCTTTTTTTGTGATGTCCGGGTGGGTCTGCCGCACCCGCCTGACATACGCCCTTTTCAGCTCTTCTGCCGTGCACCCCCTTGGAACGCCAAGCACTCTGTATGGGCAGCTCATGGAAAATTTTTCATCTGCTTATTTCTGCGCTCTGCAATGTTTGGGAGTCTGAAACACTCGCAGGAAATATGCGAAACATTGTAAGAAAATAGAGTATATAGGCAAGATGCAAAGTAGCTGTATGAAAGTTCTGGGAATATTAATGATAGTGGTGGCCGCCATGGTCAGGTGCTACCAGGACGCAGAGCCTGTTGAGAGCAAAATACTAGCAACAGTCCCCTTCAGGACGCTTTTCTTCCTCCGAAAGCTTACGCCGTACTCCAGCAAGGTGGACGCGCCTCTTCCCATGGGCGCGCACAGAAGGCTGGAGTCGGAGGAGCGGTTCTCGCCGTTCCACTCGGTGCTTGTGATCCGGAGGCAGAAGAGCCCTGCGCTTTCCATAAGATCCGAGCTGCCCGGTGCAGAGTCCGCGGAGTCCTTCATAAAAGACTTCCTGGTGTCGCACCTGCAGCACGTGAACGCCATGGAGAAGGCCTCGCAGTTCAACACCGAAAGGATATACAACGAAATGTACAAGAAGGAAAAGAAGGCAAATGCGAACATCGACAGATATGCACACCACAGCGGAATGCTGGACGATGAGATTGATTCCATCATGGCGCATGCAGCCAAAGAGATCTCGGTTCCTGCAGAGGAAATAGAGAACAACACATCCCTGGGGAAGAACCTCAAGAAGACAAAGAGGCGGGTTGGAAAGAACCTCAAGAAGGCAAAGAAAGAGTTTAGCAAGAAGGTCAAGCTGAACAGCCTTACAATTCTTCTGTTTGTTGTGATTGGTCTGATCTCTGCGTTCGCAGGATACTCTCTGCGGGGAAGGGGCAGCACCGAAAACTACGTTCCTCTAGACAAATAGTAGATGCACGCGCCTTAATGAAGAGCCATATGGAAGGGAGCTATAGGGAGCACCCCGTATGCAGAGCACAGGGGCACGGCATGGGCACGGCATTAAAGCAGGCGACCGCATTTCACTAGCTGTCTGACAAATAAAGATCTATGTTACTACGCATTCTTCCGTCTGCCGGCGCTTGCAAGCGCCGAAGCAGTGCGCAGCAAATGCCAAGCATGCTGAAACTGCACAAAAAGCCACGCCTATTTATTATGTGTTTCTATTTGCCTCAGCGTCTCAGCGCCTCTTGTGCTCCTTTGCCCTTTCTGGGCAGCTTTTTACAATGTGCCCCTTTTTGTTGCAGTTGAAGCACACCATCCGGCTCTTGGGCTTCTTTTGCAAGGCCGGGCGCATGTATCCAAGCGACTTGATGGCATCCAGAAGATAGCTAATTATGTCTTGCCACTCCATTTTCTCAAGCTCCTGTGCGTCCACAATGTAGATGTGCTTCTCAGCCAGCTGCTTTCTTAGCTCGCTTGCCAGAAACATTTTTGCTTTCGTGTTCTCCTCCTGGATGCATGCCAGGCTAGCGCCGTGCGTGTCCTCCTCCTGCGCGCCCGGGCTGCCAAGGGGCTGCTCCTGCACACACGGGGAGTCTGCAGCGCTCTGCGCAGTGTTTAGCAAGCCGCTGTCCTCCTGCGCGTCCTCTACGCTCAGCGGCACCAGCGCGCAAGCCTCTGCGTCTGCAGGCAAAAGCTTTGTTTCTGGGGCGTGACCGAGCCTGTTTGCATTTATTATTTTAAGTCTTAGGTCCTCCTTCAGCGAAGACTCGCCTATGGAGAAGTACACTCTGCACATTTCCTTAAGGTCTTTCTCTGCGGTCAGCGCTATTATGTGAATTTCCCAGTCTCTGACCTTTTTTTGCACCTCTCCCAATGTAACTTCTGGCATAATTATTCTCTCTTCTTTGTGCATTATGTTTCTTTATTTATATCAACAATCATTTAAATAATCAAATATAAAGAGGGCCTTAGAAAGCGCCTGGAGAGGGATTCTTGCAACGCACCCATCCCACGCCAAACCCTGTGCAGTGTCTTCCGCCCAAGGGCCTCTCTGCCCGGCAGCGGCCGGCAGGCTTCTCCGGAGAGTGCGGCACATATGTTTTTAGAACTAGTTAGAGGCACATATTTTTGGCTGCCCAAAAATATTTTGCAAAAGATGCACAAGTCGTACTACGAATTCATAGAAAAAGACAGCAGCATGTCTTTGCAGAGAATGATACACATAATGCTGCAGAGCCTGACGGAAAGGGGCATAAAGGAGGGCCTGTTCAGAACCGGGAAGGCGGACATAAGCATGAGGAGTATATACAATAAACTCTTTCCAAGTATGCAGAACTCATCTGTTCTTATAGAGGCCCACAGGCTTAGAATATACATCCAGGACGGAATGGAGAAGGAAGCGCTGGAGCAAATCCGAAAGATAAAAACATTTAACGACAAAGCTATATTTTCTCTTTTGAACCACGCGTTTCTTCTGGCTGTTCTGCACAAAATGCCTGCGGTGATTGAGGCCTTCTTCAGCAGAGGCTTCCCCAGAAGCATAAACTCGAGAATATTTGGAGGAAAAGAGAGCACGGTTTTTCCCACGTACTTTCTTCTTTCGCTGGCCACGCAGAGCCTGTCCATCATAATGGTCTTCCTCAGGCGAAGCGTGGACTACCACGAGACATGGCACGGCATAGGGCCGGTGCATCTTGCAGCTGTGAACTCAGACATCCGGGTCCTTGACATGGTCCTGACCCACGGGGGAAACCCCATGGAGGTCACAACTTCGCTCCAGTACTCTCTGCTGCACAGCCTGTTCAAGAAGCAGGACGTGAAGTGCGGCATGCAGGGCAGGCCCATATACCCCGTGGACATAGCCGCGGTGGCAAACAACTGGGGATGCTTTCTTCTGCTGATGGACAAGTCGCCCAAGTGCGCAGCATACTCGCAGCACCTTCTCCACATACTAAACAGCCTGGAAATGATCATAAAGGCCATCAACATTGGGGCCCGAATAGACGTTCCCTTGGCGGACCGCTCCACCATACTGCACACAAAAACGCTGCAGAACCGGCCCGAAATTGTTTCCTTCTACGTTGCTCTGAGCCTGCCGCTCGAGGCCGAGAACAGCGAGGGGCAGACCCCGCTGAGCCTGGCCCTGCACATGCAGCACAAAGAGGTTGCGTGGATTCTTGTTATGAGCGGGGCCAAGGTGGAGGACAGCCTGAGGGCCCACCCGGTTTTGCAGGAAATAGAGGCCGGGTGGGCTCCTTCCGACGCGCAGCAGGAGAAGTTCGAGTACTACAAGCACGCAGCCTCCTATGCAGAGGTTGTGAAGCACAAGCCCAAAAGCAGGTTCTCCATCAAAAGAATCATCACGCGGGAGGAAAGCACTATTGAGAGCGCCGTCAACAAGCTGAACCAGAAAATCGAGAAGGTGGAGAAGGACGCCATGAAAGAGTTCAAAAAGCTCCCCAAGGAAGAGCTGTATGAGAAGTTCGTGAAGGCCATAGAAAGAAGGAGCGCGAAAAAAGACTCCGACGACTTTTGAAGCCGGGCCGCTGCTGTAAAATAAAGACGGCGCGCGCCGCATAAATAAACTCCCTGTGCAACCGCTCTGCATGTGCATTTATGTACTATTTATTCCACAAGCGCCAGCGTTTTTCTGTCCTCTGCGCAATAAAAGAGCTTTCCTGCGTCTATCAGGTAGTCCAGCCCGCCCTCGATCTCTTTCTTGGAGTACTTCCCTGAGGAGACAAGCGAGCTTGTGACCATGTTGACCGGCAGGCCCGTCTCCCCTTGGTTGTTGCTGAAGTACGAAAGTATGTCCATGTGTATCTCGTTGAAGTCCCCAATGTGGCGCATGCTGTCCTGCCTTTTCACCGGAATGTTCTCCCTGTGCCCAGCGGCGTCTGGGTCCCTTGCCTTTTCTGCCCGAAGCGAGTCCACAATCCGCATCAGAAGGTGGTACACTGCGTTGTTTCCGTCGCTCACTCGCGCGATGCTGGCACACGTGAACGTAATGCCGTCGTCCTTTTGGTCGTACCGCCCTATGCTTCCCAGCACCTTGACAAAGTCCCCCTTGTTCAGGGAAATCTCCCGCTTCTCGCCCCACACCAGGCACGATATGGTGTCGGTTCCATCTGCAAGCACAAACTTCTTTCCATTGTTTGATATCTCCTTGACAGACTGCACCCAGCCCATTGCCTCAACCATGCTGACCTCCATTCCGCGAAAAAGCGCGTTCTGCTTCAGCTCGTTGCTCATTTCGATCTGCTTTATGTGCTTCACTGCCATTCTCTTCAAAAACTGGGACCCTCTGGTGTCATTTGTTGGTAGAGAGTTCATTGGGAAAAGCAGAATTTTTTACTTTTCTACTTTGTGCTTCCTAAGAAGGGGACGGCTGCAAGCTTTCTAAAGTGAAAGCGTAAAATTTTTTAAGACTTTTCTATGTTCGAATACAAGCGGCCGATTGCATCTATAATAGACGGGCCGAGATTTACCATTGCGCAAATAGGAAACGCATACTGCGTTGTGGCGCCCTTCAACAAGTTCTACAAGATGTACGGGGCAGAAAAGCTCAACACCGTGGGGAAATCCAAAGAGGGGGCGCCTATACAGGCGGTCACCACGCTGAACCGGTACGTTGTCACCGCTGCAGGAACTGAAATAAGCATGTACAACCAGGACGAGCTGATCCAGAAGATTGATCTGGGCCAGCCAGTAGAAAACGTGCTTGCATACGAGACGTTTTTGGTTGCGCAGTTTGGAGGCTCTGTGGCGCGGATAGATCTAGCCGAGATGGAAAAGATAGAAAGCGAAGAAATAGGATTCACAGTGACAGAGCTGGCGAATCTGCCAGAGGGCGAGAAAAGCATGCACCGGCTTGCGCTGAAGAACAAACTGCTTGTGCAGGCGGGAGGCAGTCTGCACATATACTCGATCAACAGACAGACGGTGGTGCACACACTGAAGTGCGTGGCCTTGGACGGGCCTGTTGTGGACACGTCGAACTCTCTTTCGCCCGAAATTGTGGCTGTTGCAACAGCTAGCACCGTCTTTATTCTCCAGCTGAAAAAAGACACTGTGCTCCAGAAGTTCTCGCTTGAAGGGGTGCAGTCAGTTGACTTCCGGAAAAGCATGCACAGCAGAGAGCTGGCTGTTCTGACCCAGACGGAGGTGTGTGTTCTGTGTCTGGAGGAGGGTGTTGTCAAGAAGAGGCATGCGTGCTCTGAGAGCGCCAGCAGGGCGCCCCGGGCGCATCCGCACACGCTGAGGTATATAGGCGAAAACGGATACATCGTGGTGTCGCAGGACAACGAGCTGCGGATCGTTGACGCACACAAAAACAAGCTCTTTGTGGTCAAAAGAAGGGCTGGCATTGTGCTGGGAAAGCAGCACCGCTGCGAGCTCCTCAAGGACGCGCTGGTTGTCTCTACAAACAGCAGAATGTACACGCTTTCTCTGCGGAAAGACGAGCAGCTGAGAGAATTTTCAAAGATCGGCGTCGAAGGAAGCCCAGTGTCGATTTCTGTTGCGCGCGAGAGCATTCTGGCATGCTATACAAAGGGTGTGTACTCGCTGGAAGAAACTGTCGGAGGAGTCGCAGAGAAAAAAAGACGGCTTGCGCACGCCACCCCGAAGGAGTATCTGGGGGCCGTTCTCTCGCTGTGCGGAAACAGCATGGCCTTGAGCGTCCGAAGCGGCGAGGGCGCCGTGAAGATCATCATTGCGTCGAAGGAGTCCGGGTTCATCCTGGGGGAAGTAAACGAGGCTCCATACCTTGCGCTTTCTCTAAATAATATTAAAAAAACACTTACGGTGCTGCACGCTGGGCACGCAGTCGTATACTCGTACGGGGGCCAAGAGCTCTCCAGGGCGTGCTTGAGCACAGGCGTGTCGGGCGGAGACGCAGGCCATGCAAAGCAGCCTATAGGAAAAATAGTTGAAACCCGGACACAGAAGCACTACATCCTGGCAGCCGGCTCGCACGTGCACATTTTCGGGGAGGCTGGGGAGAGAATAAAGTCGATCGAAAAGACGGGCGGAGCCCCGGAAGGGCTCAGAGTGAGCGAGGACCTCGCGTGGATACTGGTTATGTCTTCGCGCGGGTCCGGCGCAGTGCTTGAGGTTCTGGACATAAAGTCTGCCCTCGTTATCTCGAAAACAGACTTCCCCTACATGCCAAGGAGCTTCCTTCTGACAAAGGACAAGAGCAGGCTTGTTGTTGGAACAGACCGCCAGATTCTCCTGTTTGAAAACACATACAAGATTCTGGCTGCGCCAAAGGAGAACACCCCGGCAGCGTGCATGGGGATATCCTTCAGCAGGCTGCCCAAGTCAAGGATCCAGATGCTTCTGGGGTACGAGGAGCTTGGCATCAAAGTGGAAAGCGCAGAGGACGTCTTGGTTCCGTACACCATGCAGAAGGAGAGCACAATGGAGAAGCCCAAGGCCTGGGCGGATGCACAGGCGGGAATAGACGCGCTGCTGGACGAAAACTGCCCCATTTCCTACATTATTTGGTGCATCAAGGAGGCAGAAGACCCTTCAGGGCTGGTTGTGGACCTTGTCCAGCACCTAGAGAAAACATACGATATTGCGGACGCGCTTATAAATAGAGTCATCCACTACAGGAGAAAGGACCTGAAGGTGCACAGCATAGCGCACGCCCTGAAGGCCCGCGAGGAGGTGGCCGAGCGGCTGGTCGTTGCATACATGTCTACGCTTTCCCTTCTCAAGGATGCATAGCCTGCCCGGCGCATGCGCAATAATTCAAGCACGGCTCGCTAAGCTCTGGGCTTGGGCAAGCCAAATAGAATAAATATGAATTCGTCTATACATGCCTGCTGTTTGTGTGTTTTTGTGCGCGCAGAACCAAAAAAAGTGAGCCACGTGGCACGCACGGGCAAAAAAGAAGCCATTCAAAGGCATGCTTTATTCAAACGCCATCACAGCCGCCTCTTAATACCGGCTGAAGGACTGCAAAGCTTATGCCCAGTCTGGCATTTCCACTGAATCCACGAAGCTCATCCCGGACTCTGTTGTGTAGATGAAAGACTTGTATTGCTCGCTTGCAAAGACCACGGGCGAGTCGCCAACTATGTCCTGAAAAGCGGCTCTTGCTCTGTCAACAGCAAGAATGCACTTTTCTGTCTCAGTAAAAAATTGCTGAGAGGCAGCCAGCGGCGCCTTGTAGATGGAGACGGCGACCTTTTTCTGGATCAGCAGCCCCACAATCCAGCCCTCAACGCACCCAGTGTAGATCACAAAAGTCCGCCCAATCTTAGGCTTTTTGAAGATTCTCTCTGTCTTCCTATGGCTGTAGTTTTTCGCTATTTCCCGGAGGGTTCCTGGGAGGTCATTTTTTATGATGAGCCCTGCAGGAATTTTTTTGAGCGCAGGAAGAACCGGCTGCCGCCTCTCCTTCATCGAGGGCATGGGGATGACCTTTGACCTCCTCTGGGGCTTGGAGCAGTCCACTGCTGCAAAGCCCACTGGGTGCTCGTCGGAGTCGTTGTTGTCTGGGTCGTTCAGAACAGGGAAGTGCACATTTACATCCGGCTTTTCTTTTATGTAAATTACTCCTGTAAAATTTTCGGGCAGCTTGTAGCGAATGAACATCTTCTGCTTGAACAGGAAGACCTGCCGAATGATTTCGTCCGGCGAGCAGCTGCTGTCTATCTTTCTGGACAGAATGCTTTTGATGGAGGCAGACAGGCCGTTCCAGAAGTGTGTCCTCTGCATCACCATCCTGTCCTCCTCTGTAACTAGAACCCGCACAGAGTACGACCTAATTAGAAGCGCAAGCTCGTCCCTGTAGTCCTCGAGCGTTTCAAAGCGCGCAGAAACAAGAGACTCGATCTTTTTCTTCAGGAGCGCCACGCTCTCTGGCGTGTACACCCTGTCGTATATCTTGCGCACAGAGTCGCGCAAAGTTTGCTTCTTGGGGTTTCCCACAACCCCGTCCAAAATGTCCTTGGACACAGAAAGCTTAAAAAAAAGCTTCGCCTGGGCCTCAGTCCATTGGTGCTCAACCATCATCTGCCGGTAGGCCTCAACCCACAGGAACGTGTTTCGGGTGTCCAATACGTCTAGAATCGGCAGAGAAATTCCTCGAATTGTTGCCTTTCTATTAAGTATGTATACGGGCTTTTCAGGAATTATTTTTTTTTCCAACTCAATTCCTGAAGCACACGGCCTCTCGCGGGCAGGCAGCCCATAGCCGTCTGTGTATGTGGCCACTTTCTTTGCTTGGTAGCAACAAATAATCTCTGGTTTTCCATTGTCTGCATTCTGGCATCCTTCTGTTTCGATGCTTTCTGTTTTTTGGAATTTTTCTTGCTGTGTAATCATGTATGAAATTCTGCAGGTTTTTTCTTTTTATGCTTTTGAGGAAGGAACTTCCTTATAGGGCATTTCTAAATGGAGAACGCGGGCTCCTGAAGCAGTATTTCCATTCCCGGCGCAGTCCGTAAAGGGACATGCCCCAAACTAGAAGTTCCCAGAGCCTGAGGGCGCATATTAGGTGTACCTTCGCAGAATGCGGGCTGCGTCACCAGAAGCCCTTTTTTCTATACATTCTCGAATTTTTTTATTTTGGCTTTTCGAATTCCATGGGCTACCTCGGAACACAGAAAAAATAAACCCCTCTATCGTCAAAGGGCTCTCCTGGAGAACGCTTGCGACGCCAAACAAAACGCAGTATTTGTGGCACTCATTTTCTAACACCTCTAAAAACACCTCGGCCTCCGTGGGAATGGCTTTTTGTATCTTCTGGGCGCGCTGCGCAAGGTACCTTATTTTCAGCAGAGCCTGGCTTGTGCTCGAGGCCAGGGACAGCGCAGACACAAAGGAGCTGCTTTGCACAGCGCCCTCCTGCGCGCTTGCGCTTTCGACATGCGCATACATGTGCTGCATGAGGAGAGGCTCGGCCTCCTTCCGCACGCTTGCAATGGACTGCGCGCACTCTGCAGGGACGCGAGAGGACAGAGCGTCGAGCTGCACGAAGAGAGAGGAGAACAGGGAAAAAAGGTCCTCCTTCTGCGAGGAGCCGCTCTGCATTTTGTCTATGGCCTGCATGTACAAGGAAGAAGCCTTCTCCACCTCCTCCTTTTCAGCTTTTTTCCAAAGAGTTTTCTTCACGGCCCCCAGCACGCGCACGCCTTCAATGTGGTATTCTTTTTTCTGCTGCTTGCCAGAGACCAGCCGCTTTCTCAGGAGTATTCTCTGGATGTGTGCAAAGAAGTTCATGCTGAAACACGCCCCGCACGCCTTATGCAGGCCCAGTAGCCCAATCACACCGAGGCCAGCCAATGTTGTTGGCCAATGGCACAGTGTGTGGGCCTCTTTGGTTTAGTGGTATAACGTCAGTCTTGTAAACTGAAGGTCGGCGGTTCGATTCTGTCAAGAGGCTTTTTTGCCCGGCGCTGTGCGCGCTGCCCTCGCTGCCGCAGGCGCCCTTTTGCGCGCTTGGCATGCCAGAAGCCATTGGAAAAGGCCCGCAGGCTAATTTTTTCTTTCAGGATAAAACTTTTGTCTTTTTTCGCCCTTTATTTCAGACCCCCTGCAGAAATGCCCCTGCAGAAAGGGCACTTCCTAATCCGGTTTATTGGAAATTTCCTAAAACGTTTTGGGACTGGCCGAAACAGGATCGCCCATTTGGGCATTCCATTTACGGCTGCAGCCTCTTTGGGTCACGGGGGAACATGGAGCACTTGTGAATGTCTGTGCACCCTGTGAGAAGCTTCACAACCCGCTCAAGGCCTATTCCGCACCCTCCGTGCCTGGGGGCTCCATACAGGAAGGACTCTATGTAGTCGCTCACTCCCTCAAGCGCCATTCCCTTTGCCAAGACTCTCTCCTTTAGGACCTCCGCCTGGTGGATTCTCTCCGCGCCCGAGCTTATTTCCTCTCCCTTTAAAATAAAGTCAAAGGACTGCGTGTAGCTGCGGTCGGAGGGCAGCAGAGACGTGTAGAAGGGCCTTGCGCTTTCCGGGTACTCGACCATGGCAAAAAGGTCGCTTCCATACTTTTTTTTTACCTCCTGCCCAAGCGCCTTTTCGTCCTCGGTTCCTATGTCCTCGGTGTAGGACGCCTCTCTTCCTATGGCGCGGAGCATGTCAATTCCCTCCCTGAACGTCAGTATCACGGGCTCCTCGCGTATTACAGTCGCAGGGTCCACGCCAGACATAGCCTTCAGTATGCCCAGCTCCCTCGCGTGCTTTTCCTGCACGCGGTTTGCAACATGCCTCACCATTTGGTATATGAGCTTCACCAGGTCTGTGTACGCCATCCCCTTCAGCTCCATCTCCAGGTCCACTCCTGTGAACTCTGTCAAATGCCGCCCGGTGTTCGAGTTCTCGGCCCGGAAGCACGGCCCCACCTCAAAGACCCTTTCGAGGCCCCCAATCACTGCCATCTGCTTGTACAGCTGCGGGGACTGCGCCAGCGTGGCCGTCTGCCCAAAATAGCTCACTGGGAACACCTCAGCGCCGCCCTCCGAAGACCCTTTCAGGATTTTCGGGGTTTTTATTTCTATGAAGCCACTCTTTTCCAAGTACTCTCTAAAAAAGCTGAGTATTCCAGAGTACACGCGAAAAATGCTCTGCGTCTCGCAGGAGCGGATGTCGATGTACCTGACGTCTAGCCTCTTCGACTGGTTCACAATGGGAAGCTGTGCGTTCTCTTGTCTTTCCGCGTGCGTCCACTCCAAATCTTTTATTTGGATGGGAAGCTCTTTTGACTCGGAAACAACCTCGACGCGCTCTGCCTGGACCTCAATGTGCTTGACCGTGCACGAGTGCACTGGGGCTCGCGTGCTCACCAGAGAGCCCTCGACCTTCACGTATGACTCCTGCGAGTATTTTGTGTTTTCCTCCGGCGTGGTGTTGCACACACATTGGATGGTCTCAAGGCCTTGGCGCAGAACAATAAACATTTTCTTCTTGCCAGCCAGCCTGACGCTTTTGATAAACCCAAACAGAGCAATGGGCTGCGGCCCTTCAAGCGGGCCCTGCATGGCTCCTATGCTTGCAATCTGCTCGTATAAACTGTTCCTTTTTTCTTCTTTCATCTTCTAAAATTTTGTTGTTCTAGAAAATGAATAAGGAATACAATGGGTTTGTGTTTAAATCCAAAGAAAGCACTGGCCAGCGCGCCAGGGCCGAGCCTTCTGCAAAAAAGGAAAAGGAAAAGCCTGCAGGGCGCGCCAGATCCGAGTCTGTTGGCTTTTCGTTCAGAATGAAAAGCGGGGCTGCGTCCGCTGCCAAGCCATGGGCTGCCGCCAAAAGCGCACGAAAGCCCGCAGAGGCAAGAGCTTCAAAGAGCGAGGAAAAAAAAGAGTCTGCACCAGAGAAGTTTGTTTTTAAGTTTGGGATGGGCAGAGCCGTAAAGGCATCCGAAAAACAGGCCCCCAGGAAGGAGGCGCCAGTAGAGGCCAAGCCTTCTGCATCTGCCAGAGGCAAAAAGCTTGCAAAAAAGCCTGCAGCAAAGAAAAGCATTTTGGCGAAAAAAGCGCAAGCCACGGCCTGCGAGGCCCAGAGCCTGGATAAAGCGCTGCCGGCAGGGAGCAGAGAAAAAGCTGTGGAGTCTGCAGAGATGCAGGTCGACCCCACCACTCCGAAAAGGCCTGAAACCACCCCTGAAGAAATGCATGCACTCCCAGAAGCGCCGGAGGGCGCAGAGAAGGAGCAGGCTCTTCGACAGAGAGGCGGCAGAGAGACCTTGGAGGGCGTGCGCCCGTCTGTGATCAGGTCAATCGAGACACAGAACGAGAAGGGCCTGGAGGCTCTGCCTGCAGAAAATGGGGGCGCAGAGGAAGCTGGGCTGGGCATGGCTGTCAGCATTTCGCCCATAAAAAGGCCCGGCAGCAGCACCTCTGTGCTTTCTGTGACGTCCGCAAACGGAAGCTCTCTGGACGCCATTGCCAGCACGCCGCTGGTAAACAAAAAAAGAATGACAATTGGCCCATACGACTTGCTGTCCCCTGTAAAAATCCGCAGGCTGTCTCTCGACGTTTTTGACACGAAGAAGAAATCAGTGTTTCAGACCCGAAGGGAAAGCCTGTTTGGGTACGACCAGCTGTACAGCGGAAGCGTGTCGCCCGAGGACTTCTATCGGCACTCAAACGCCTCGCAGCCTGCAAAAACCCGGATCAAGCAGGTGCTTCTGTGGATTTCCAAATATATATCAAACGGGCACGTGTGTGTAGAGGGCGTGTCTCCTGAGGCTCTGCGGGAAATATGCGCAATGTACATGAAAAAAGTCGGCTCTCTTGTCATACCGGAGAGGGAAAAGAAAAAAGAGAACGCACACATAGTGGAGAACGCAAACACTGCAATCCAGGCGCTTAGAATGGATATGTGCAGGTCCAATGCCGAAATAGAAAAGTGGAAAACCATTTACAGCAGCATGCTGGCCCAGTACTCCATCGCTGTTCCTCTGCACATGCCGGAAGAAAGCCTGCGAAGACTATCCATTCGCCGGCAAAGCTTCAACGGGCTTGTGTCATTCGACGCGACCGTGGTCGACGCGTCTCCCATAGACATCAAGCGAATTTTAGCCAGAAATCTGGAGGAGCTGCACAGCGCTCTCAACTCGTCCAGGTATTTTATGTTTCTCTCGCTGGAGTACACAAAAAGAGTCTGCGGATCCCTGCTCGAGGCTTCGCATCCTTTGGATAAGTCTAAAGCCAACGCTCTTCTGCATGTTCTCTGCCGAATATCTAGAAAGGCACGAGTGTAATAAAGTTGTTTCTATATGTTTCTGCCCTCAGGCGCTGCCGTGCTTCCGCGCAGCTGCTCGCGCGCCCAGGCTAGACAAATTCATTTGAATTTTCTTTATTATGTGAACTTTCTCGTTTATGCGCAGAGAAAGTCTGCGCAGGCGTGTTTTTGGTTTGGCTAAAGCTTTTGGATAATATTTGTTGCAAGCTCTCTTTCCGGCTGAAGGCGTCTGCGCATAAAATACGGCAGGCTTATCGTCGCTGAGACAGCGCCTTTCTGCACCACTGCACCTTGTCTTGGTAGAACTCGTTGAGGGACTTTGCGCACTTCGAGTACTGCGAGCCCGGGGGGTTGTATGTGTAGCAGTTGCTTATAATAAGCTGTATGTCTGCGTCCATTTCGTCAAACGTTTTGTACTGCTCTGTTTCTATTTTCCTCTGAATGGTCTGCAGGTCCATGGGGCGCTTTATGACGGTGTAGTAGTCCTGCACGTCGTCCAGGTTTACAGGCTCCAGGAAAGGCCAGGCGGTGTTGTGTTTGCGCAGCTCGTAGCACAGGTAAAGAAGAAGCTCTTTCAGGCTTCCCTTGCACTCCAAAGACTTTTCCGTCTCCTCTGTAAACCCTGCCTCGGCAAGCCCAGGAATATCCTGCACGCGCGCGGCGTTCTCTGGGAGGACATACTCTTTGTGCATTTCTGGAAACCGCTTCTTCGATATCTCCTGCAGCTCTTCTCTTCTCGCAAGCATGCTGTCGTACACGCACTCGTAGTCTATTCTGGGCAGAATTTTCCCCTGCATCAGAGTTCCGCCCTCGTAGTCCTTTATCCGGCCCCTCCAGTTCAAAAACGTGATGTCCTTTGTAAAGCCCTGCTTCTTGAAATACCCTATTGCATAGTTGTCAGCGTACGTTAGCAGATAGACAGGCCCGTCAAACTCTGTGCCCTCTCCCCTGGCAATTTCCTTGAAGTCCGCAAGAACAGTTTTTTTGAGCATGGTCATCATAAACTCCCCGTACCCTTTAATTTGAGAGTCGCTGTTTACAGCGCAAAACACAATTTCTGCAAAGGACTGGTCGTAGAACAGCCGGTAGCATATGCCTCCAATGACCCGGCCCTCTTTTTTGTCTATAATGGCCATTGACTTGTGCTTGATATCGAACAGCAGCCTGGCCACATACTCCTTTGGCATGTTTGGCAGCTGCTTTTGAAATATGCTGCGCAGCTCCAAAAGTATCTTCATGGAGGCGATGTACTCTTCATCTAGGGTTGAGACCACCTGTATCTCTAAGGCGCGCTCTCTTAGCATCTGTAAAAGAACTTTGTTTCTTTCTATTTTTTGCTCTGCTTCTTTTGGTAGCGCAAACATAGAGGACTCTCCGCTGGGAAGAATGAAAATTAATAAAAATTTAGTGCAAAGGCAGCGTGCACAAACACGTGTTTGACAGCCCACCGCGCGGGGTATGCATGCAAAACCCGCGTGCACGGCTGCTGTCTTATGCACTATATATTGGGTGTTTTTGCAGCCGCCTAAGCACACAAGCAGCGCAAGCTCTGGTGCGAGGGAGCCTGCTTGAGGCACCCCGTGCGCTGGCTGGAAAGAGGAAGCGCCCTGGCTTGAGGCTTCCCATAGGAAAGTGTCTGCCAAGCCTGGAAACTTAAGTTGCATCATGCGCTTTAATTTATTTTCAGATGCTACCGCACAGGAGCAATATCAAGGCAAAAAGTTTCGATTGCTAAAATAATAAAAATTCGGCCATTTAATCTATTTGTCCCAAGCATCTGCGGGACCACCTGGCCCACCCACGCAAGCACGGCCAAATCTGGTCACAGGCGCCCTGCTGTGCTTTCTCGTATGTACATGGAGAGCTGCTGAGTGGCAGCACTGCAAAGCCTCTGGCACCCGCCTCTATGCTCTCCAATCGGCAGCGGCGCGTTTTCAGGCGCGCATGCGGCTGTCCTCCTTTTCCTTGGCAATCCTGTTTTCCACCTCTATAAGCAGGGCGCGCGACTCTTCGATTCCCGCAGCGGATGCGCTTCTACTCGCCATTTCCAAGGCCTCCTTTGCAAACCTATACGCAAGCACCAGCTGGTTTCTTGCAAAAAAGTGCCTGGCCAGGCCGCACTCCATCTTATAGAACTGTGCAGGCTTCAGCTGGGCCAGATAGTTGTTTGCGTCTAAGAATATTTTGTCTGTCTCGCCCTCCTTTATGGTGCGGGGTTTTTTCCTGTCCTTCTTCATCCGCTCCAGCACATACGAGGTTCTTTTGCTTTCGGCCAGGGCTCTGGAGGCCTTGAAGCCCTTGATAAAGTCGGCCATTGTGGCATTTTGGACCAGAAGCCTGTCGTATATGCTTGCCAGTATGACGCCCGTGTCTTTCTCTTTTGTTTCATCTCTTTTGCCATGCGCGTATGAGTAAAACTTGTCAAATGTCTCCATCTGCGCGAATATCACGCTGTACGGAACAGGCGCCTTCGGAATGATGTGCACCGTGTGCATGGCGTCCTGACACACCCCCTCGCACATTTGGTTGTCAATGTACCACAAGTTCTCAAGTACAAATTCCATTTGCTGTGCACACAAAATTTTACTATATGTTGTCCAATTGGAAGTGCAGGCAGACAATAACAGCTGCGCCCCTAGACTGCTACAAGTCCAGCGTTATTATGGACGGAACTCTTGTGCTGGGCAGAAACAAAGGGTTTGTAGAGGTCTACAAAATAGGCCCGGGCCTGAAAAAGAGAATAGAGTTCAAAAGCCACTCGCCCTGCTTTGACTATCTTAGAAGCACGGAGATTTCTGAATCTGTGGAGAACGTAGAGATCGTGCCTTCTGGGACAAAGGAGATTCTGGTGGTGAGTGCAAACCAAAAGTGCCTGAAGCTGTGGAACATACACTCGTCCTTTATTGAGGCAGAGACCTCCTCGCACGTTATTGAGTCGTGCACAGACTCCTCGTTTTCGTACGAAATGCCTGTCGACAGCACAGACGACACCCAGTCTGAAAGAATCAAGAAGATCTTTACATGCGAGAGCAAGAAAAAAACCCGGGCCGTGCTGGAGGGCCAGCGCGCGCCAGAAAACGTGTACAGCATACACAGCGTGTCTGTGTCCAACACCGGAGAAAGCGTTCTTGTTTCGGACGAGCTGACTGTTATGATCATGGATGCAAAGCTGGAGGCTCCCTGGACCGTGCTAAACCTGAAGCCGTCGAAGAACGAAGAGCTGTCCAAGGTGATCACCACCGCGCGCTTCGCAGAAAAGGCAAGCAGCGTCTTTGTGTATGGAACCGCCGGCGGAATGATGTTTGTGCACGACCTAAGAGACTGCTTAAAGGGCGGGTGCGTGCAAACCATCCAGGCCCCAAAGAGACTTGACTTTTATAACGAAGTGGTGCAGCCTATCTCAGACATTCAGTTTATTTCCGACAACACCATTGCGAGCAGGGACCTGCAATACGTTGTCACGCACGATCTCCGCAACACAAGCTGCAACGTGCTGGAGCACGACGTGTATCCGCTTGTGCGCAGAAACATTTCAGAGCTGTACGACTCGGACGAAATATTCTCCAAATTTAAAATGGCTGTGTCTGGCGAAAAAATATATACAGGGTCCTTCAACACAGCGCTCACTGAAGTAGACACAAAGTCGAATGCGGTGAAAAGAATATTTCTGGACGAGGAGCTAGAGTCTGCCACCCGAATAATAGAAGGGAAAAAAATTTCGTGCGTCTCTGCCCAGGAGGACTGCATGGTGACTGCGTATGGAAACCAGTGCTTTATATTCCGAGACACTGAGAAAGCCTAGCGGGCCTTCTAATACATAAAGCGCACGGTGTTTGTTTTTACGCGTTATATCCATCTAAAATACTTAAGCAGCAGCACTGCAAACAGCGCTGCAAACACCAGCAGGATGGTTCTTCTTTTTTGGTTTACCTTTTCTAGCGCCTCCTTTAGCTCGTACGACCCTCCGCGCAGGTTTGATTTTGTCTTTGTGAACAGACTGTCCACCGTGTCCACTCGCTCGCCCTGCATTGAAATGTGCATAGAAACCTCTGTCACCATGCGCCCCAGCTCGCTTATGTGCTGCTCCAGCGCCTCAAACTCTCTTTTTCTAATGCTGCTGATCTCCTCTCTCTGCACCTCTCTCTGCACATACTGGCTGTCTTGCGCGCGGCCGTGTGTGCGGCTCCGCCGCGCCTGCTCCTCCTGCTGAAGCTCGACCGCTAGCCTCTGCTCGTTTTCCCTGTGCCGGCTCAGCGCGCCGGTCAGCCGCAGCACAAACCCTGTGTGTTTTCTTTGCAGGGCTTTTATGATGCACTCTTCCATCTCAGTGCCGCCCTGCTTCTCTGCCTGCTGCTCCTGCAGAGTCTCCAGCGAGTCCTCTATTCTTGCAATTAGCTCCTTGCTGGGCGCGCTCCTCCTGCTCACTGCATTTTCAAGCGTGCACAAGTCTCTTTCAATCGCCTCGACTCGGATCAAAGAGGTGTCTTCAGACTGTCTTGCCCGCTTTTGCGGAATGCTGGCTGTGGCTGCAAGCGATAAAAACTCCTTTGTTCTATCCATAAAAAGTTTATTTTCTCCTTGCTTAAAACACAAATTATTTATGCGTGTATATATGTCTTTGTTCTTTTCGCAATAGACTGCGTTTTCTTTCCGTTCCCCGCCAGAAGCTCCGGCCTAGCATTCTTTGGATGGCCGCTTGGCAGCATGCTTTTCGTGCGGTAGATGCACAAAATGGGCGATGCCGGCTGCTGTTCCGGGCTTGAATCTAAAATATGTGCTCTTTCGCTGCGGGCTGCACGCGCGAGTGCGTGCTATCCTCTGGCAGCACAGCATACCCGGCCTTTTGCTGTGAACGGTGTGTGCATTGGCGTGCTGGCGTAGGTGCGTGCTTCAGGCTCTGGGCCTGCCGATGCTTATTTGGAACGCTGCAGAGCACAGAAGGCGTTCGCCACAAACATAAACATGGAAGCGCAAACAAACCCGGAAATGCGAAGGGAATACGCTACATACAAGGAGATAGTCGAAGAGCGCCTGCAAAGGCTGCATGGCGCCAGCATAGTTGTGGGCATAGGAAGCGGCAGAACTGCCCGAAACTTCCTAGACGAGTGCGTGTCTTTTTCTGCCAAGGGCCCCTCTCTTCTCTTTGCAGCAGCCAGCACAGAGACCGAAATGGAGCTGCAGAGCCGCAAAGCAACGGTGGTAAGCATGCAGTCGGCCGACCGAATTGACATATACTTTGACGGCGCAGACTATGTTGATGGAAGCGGGTGGATGGTGAAGGGCTACGGCGGCGCAGTGTTTCTCGAGAGCATCGCCATGCAAACCTCCTCCCACTCGGTTATTGCGATCCCGCAAAGCAAGTGCGTGGAGAGCTTCCAGGGGATATGCATCCCTGTGGAGGTTGTCAGGCCGTCTCTGCCGCTGGTCAGAAAGCACTTGGAGAAGAGCAGCTGCACCTATAAAATACGGTCTGTTGGAGACACAGTATATACCACAAGCCTAGGAAACATAATTGTTGACGTAATGTACAAAGTGGACCTTCCAAAGATTCTCGATGTGCCTGGCGTGGTGGCCTGCGGGCTTATTCCGCCCAGCGAAAACGTAGAAGTGGTAATAATTAGGAATCCTCTTTATTAGCAGCAGGAAAACGTGCGCTCTTTCTTCTGTCTTTGCAGAATAATCCGGCTGGCCAGAGTGGACACAAGTGCTGTAAGCAGCACGAATCCGTTCCCTGTCATTGTGGACATCATAAGAATCCACGAGCACCCAAAGTGCACTGCGTCTATGACGTACTTGTTCTTTGTGACGCTGCCTATATGGTTTGCTGCGAGCGTAAGGAAAACAATAAACAAGAGAAGAGCCGGGAACCTGTTTTTTGTTATTGCCAGGCCGGGCATAATGTAGGAGCTCATCTCCATTTTCCACTTTATAGACATGCTCATTCCGCAGCAATTTCCCATGTCTTCTTTTGAGGTTTCTCTTTTATAGCACACAATCGATATATTATGCATGGCTAGCGTATTGATTTGCAGACATTGCGCAACGCTTGTTTTATTTGTGCAGAGCCCCCTGGTGCAGCATGTCGTCGCGCTTTTTTGTTTTTAGTTGCATGCACAAAATACAAAGTGGTACATTTTTTTGCATTGACTTCTGCAGTTTTTACACATTTTAAATGTGCGCCTGCGCAGGGCCGCCCCGCGCGCGATGGATGAGAAAAAGGCACACATAGCCCGAATAGAGAAAAGACATGTTTATTTGGCCAAACGAAGATATGCTGCATCAAAAACCCGAACAGCCTAGGTAAGACACGCGCAGAATCCGGACACAAGGCAGGCTCACCGGGATTAAATGGCCCCCCGACGCAGGCTGCTAAGCACAGCAGTTTGTTCAGCAGAAGGCCGCCGCTGCGGCTTGCCCAGACTGCATCCAAACGCACATATGGCGCTGTTTTTACGGGTAGAGCAGCTGAAAATATTTTATGTTCTGTGAGTCGTGCGAAAAGTATTTGAGCGTGTGCACATTACAGTGTGGGTTCTGCGGGAGGAAGAGCGCGCAGAGGGTGGAGTCGATGAAGTCGCAGAGCAAAGAATACACAGTGCAAACGGTGAAGGAAAGACACAGGGGCACAAAAATCAAAGAGGAGTGTCCAGAGTGCAAGTCAGAGAGTTTGTACTACTACACAATGCAGCTTAGATCAGCTGACGAAGGGCAAACGGTCTTCTACGAGTGTGATTGTGGATACAAAGTGAAAGTCAATACATAAATAAAGAGCAAGTTTACTAAAAATATATTTTCATGGAAGAAGAGAAGAAAACAGAAAAAATATCGGGTTCCTTAGAGGTAGAAACAGAAAGCAGCGAGGTCGATGAAGGTTCTTTGCCCGGGAAAGGGGACTCTGCGGGGCCTAGCATTTCGCACGAAGAGGAGGCGTATCTGCCCAGCGCGAGCACCGAGGAGGAGCCTGACGAGGTGCACAAAAATGCATGTGAGGAGAAGCTGAGCGACGGGGAGGACTGTTCAGAGTCTAGCCAGGAGGAAAAGAGCGAGGAGCTCTCCGACAGCGAAAAGGGCGTCCTCTTCGTTCACGAGAACGGGGAAGGCTTCAAAGAAGAAGAGTCCGAGGAGGACGAAAGCAACTCCCAGAAAGACTCTGCCAGCAGCGAGCATTCCAGCATAGCAGAGGAAGGCGACAGCATACCAGTGCCAAAGGAGATGCACATCTACTACGATAAGGACGAGTCGGAAACAAGCGAGGAGGAGGACATTATAGAGGGCCGGGAAGAGACCACGCTTAGCATACCGGAGGAGAGCGGAAAGAGAAAGAAGAAGTCCTCGGACGGGCTGAAAAAGATCATGAAGGAGTGCGCGAATGAGCTTGAGAAGCAGAGAAAGCTTCCGGAGTGCATGGTCATGGAAGACACCATAATAAAAATGCGAGAAAGAGGGTGGAAGCCCAACTGCAAGCCCCTGATTTGGAAGTACAAGGTGGCAAAGTTTGCAGACGAGCCAGACGAGCTGAGCGAGGACTCCGTTCTGGAAAAGTTCAGGTGCCTGATTGAAGCCCCGGAGTCAAAGCTTAGCAAAAGCATCGGAGTAGACTCAAGATACAGCAAGAAGGCGCAGAAAAAAAAGAAGTCCATGGCGCTTGAAATGCTTGGAGAGGCGAAGAGCCAGATAAGCTCAAGCAGGCTGCTGGACATGCAGAAGATGATGAGGCAGCGGGCGAAGGAGGAGAAAGAAATGCAGAATACAGCGCGAAACCTGCATGTAAAGCTGAAAGAAATTGGGTATCAAACAGAGGCTTCTGAAATACTTGCTCTTCTTACGCAGGAGTATATCTGTCAGAAAGCAGACATAGTAAAGAAAATTGAGGCCTCGATAAACACGGTTTCAGCCATAAACAGCAAGAAAGCGGAAAGCATGCAGTACCTTTTAAAATGCATAGCGTTCGTAGAAGAAAAATTTGATGTAGACCAGAAGAATAGGAACATCTGTATTGAAAATGAAAAGAAATAAAAACCCAAAGAATATGCCTTTATATACCCCTCACCATTTATTTTAATACTTGAAATATAGATGAAATGCATCTATATTTTAAAGTCATCAGACATTCTATTTTGATAGAAAATCAGACCACAAGTTCTCACAAATTTGAGAGTCAATCAGATCAGCTCGATCATCTCGGGATTCTTGGTGACTATTCGTAATAAATTCATTAAGATCAAAATCATAACCACTAAACTTATGAAAGTCAATGCTAAAATTTGAATCCCCGGCGTTAGATAAGCCGACTTCGGATTCAGCCACTTTAATATTGTCATGTGAAGAGTCAATGCTAGCGTTCTTACTCGAAAAATCAATGGTTTTGGCAGTTTTTTCATTTTCCTCAGGAGAAATATTAGAAATTGGCCTTTTAAGTAAAGAATTTAAGCTATTCTTTTCAACACAAGCCATATCCTGACTGTCCATAAGTTCTAATTTTTTGTTAAATATGTTAACTATTTCTTTCATTTCACTTAAAACACGCTTTCTAACACGGCTTAAGTACTCAGACAAAGTGCCTATTAGTCGTTGTAAAAATATTTTTTCAATTGCTAAGTCAACTAATGAACTGTCAACTGTATTGAGTTCATTCGAATATGCATATATTTGTGCAATGATCTGGTTGTGAATTTCAATATAGCCATTTTGCAATGATTCTAATGAAATAGCAGTTCTTAACGCAAGCTTCCCCTCTAATGTTGGCTTTTCTTTTTTTCGCAAATTGCTACTTTTTGAATACATACGTCTAATTTTCTTTTGCTCGTTATATACTCCATCCAAATGCGGTTTCCTTTTAATCTTTACTACCATAATAGTTTTTATCTTTGCACTACTTTTATTTTTATATTTTAGCAAATCAGCATCAAAGTCTGGGTGGAAAGCTGTCAAACGTCAAAAAAGCAATTTAAAAAAAAGGCTTCTACGGGAATCGAACCCGTAGCCTCACCCTTACTAGGGGTGCGCTCTACCATTGAGCTAAGAAGCCACACACAAATGTATGTCTCTGACCTGTTCCGCGCCTGCTGCGTTAATACGCGCTCGCGTGCAAAATATTTTTAGATGGACCGAGACAATAGAAGCGACAGAGGCATTCTCGAAAAAAGAGGGTACAGAAGGCCGCACGACCTGGATCCTTCCAGAACGGTGCTTCCGCTGAATGAATATGTTGGCGACAAAGAGATCACCTCCCGCCTGTCGGTTAGAAACGTGGCGCTGCTGGACCCTGCAAGCCCTTTGGATGCAGGATACTCCAAGCTGCGCCAGTGGATTGACGACTCTCTTGACGCCTTCAAAAACGATCTGAACAACCTTCTGTTTCCTGTTTTTGTCCACTTGTATCTGGACATGATATCCATACGGAGAGAGGCCGACGCAGCTGCGCTCATGAGCGAGTTCAAAGAAGACTTTGTGGAGGTGCATGCAAACGAAATACGGCAGATAGAAATGGTCCGCGACATCTCGAACCTCAAGGAAAACCAGCTGGCCATGGCGTTTTTGTCGAACAAGTACCACCTAACCATGGGAAAGTATGCGTTTGACCTGCTGATCGACTTTCTGGAGCTAAACGGGCTGCTCAAAATAGGGAAAATTGTAAACCAGTTTTTGAACATAAAGGTGTTCACGGGGAAAGTGGGCGACGAGGTGGTGGACATAGGGCTTGTTGGCGTGGCCGACTTTGACTTCAACAAGAAGGCCATTGCGAGCGGAGTCCACTACATCTCCCCAAAAGTGGAGGAGCTTGTGCTGACAGAGGAGCAGTACAAGTACGAGTACCTGGACCAGTTTCTTGGCATTTTAAAAAAGAAGAAGCTGGAGAACATGCCGCCTCCCATCGACCGCGTGCCCGTTCCCAGCCCCTCAGCCTCGCAGATCGCGTCGGAGATCGACAAGCTGAGGGACCTTGCAAAGCGGATGAATGTGGGAAAGCACCAAATGCCAAGCATCTGCTGCTACACTGTACATAACACGTTTGGGACGCTGTGCTGCTCAGACTACTCGGCCGACCTGAAGCTGGCTGCCTTGGGGTACTCCGACTCGTACATTGAAATCCACTCCCTCACCGACGAAAACCTTCTGAAGCTGAAGCAGAGCATATACCTGAAAACCCCGGAGATGCGAACAGGGAAGGCAGACGACGCGCGCGACGACGTGGGGAAGGTTGTGCGCCTTATTGGGCACTCTGGGCCCGTGTACGCGGTGAAGTTTTTCGCCAGCAAGAGGTTCCTTCTCTCGGCGTCCCAGGACAGCACCATCCGACTGTGGTCTCTTGACACGTACTCGGAGATAGCTGTGTACCAAGGGCACTTTTTCCCGGTCTGGTGCGTGGACATTGCCTCGAACGACTACTATTTCGCGTCTGGCTCCAGCGACAGAACCGCCTGCGTGTGGAGCGTGGAAAGCTCCAAGCCGGTCCGGCTGTTTGCGTCCTCTCTCAGCGACATAATGTGTGTGAAGTTCCACCCGAACTCGAACTACCTGTTCACCGGAAGCTGCGACTTTAAGATCAGAATGCACGATCTGCAGGACGGAGAGCTTGTGCGCCTTTTCGTGGGACACAAGGACGCAGTCACGTGTCTGGATGTGTCTGCGTGCGGAAAGCATCTGATTTCGGGAGGGAAGGACAAGACTGTTATTCTGTGGGATATTGGAACCGGAAAAGCGCTGTTCAAGTTCACAGGGCACGACGGATTTATTTTTTCTGTGAGCTTTTCGTACTTCTCCTCGCTCATTGTCTCTTCTTCCAGCGATTGCACTGTCAAGCTCTGGGATAAGTACAAGGGAGAGCTTGTTTCTACGTACTACACGAAGTCCACGCCCATCAACAGGGCCGTGTTCGGGCACAGAAACATCATATCCTGCCTCGGGGCGTACACGCCAAAGAAGTAAATAAAATTCTTTCTTTACAGCGCGCCGCGATGCACGGCCTCTGGGCGTGCCCAACTATTTAGATGTATTAAAAATACTTTTGCGGAAATGAAGATCATATTGGACAGAAAAGCATGTGCTGCAATAGATAAGGGAGTTGCCGGAAAGTTTGAGCACCTTTCCATGGCTCTGAAGGAGTCTGGCATGTACGTGCAGGCTGTGGACAAGTCCAAAAGCATTGTGGTTGACCACTACATAGACAAAGTTCTTCTGGAGTCGTATACAGAGGGCGAGGGCGTGACCGTCCCGCACGTCAAGTTTCTCCTGAACGGAATGGACCGGCTGTACATATCCAGGGTTGGCGCCCTGCTGAAGCTTCTTTGGACCGGCGAGGGCGTCACCCTGGAGAAAAACTTGTACACGCTGGACTTCGAGTGGACGGAGGTGGAGTACAGCCTGGGCTCTGTCGTCTTTCCGCTGCCATACACAGGGCTGGCCCTCATCAGAAAGGTGTGCGGGGGCGAGCTGGAGATGCATGTAAGAGAAAGCGCCGTGGAGATCCGCGCGCTGTCTGAGAACTGCGTGACGCTGACCGCCGCCCTGGACACCCCCGTGGGAGAAGCATGCATGTTCACGCTGCTTAAGTACCACCTGGACAGGCTGCCAAAGTATGCATACACCACGGCAACTTTTAGCGTGTACCGGCAGGGGCTGGTTGCTCTGTCTTTGGAGGCGCTGGGGGTCATAACCACGGTGACCATAGCAACAGAGGTTGTGTTTTTCAGCTAGCGGCGGCTTTGAAGCGCGGATATGTGCAAAATATTTTTAGCTGGCATGCATGTTGAAATATACAGCATAGACTATGCAAACGAGCGGGGAAAGGAAATCCAAGAGATTGAAAGAAGCATAGCGGAGACAAAAAAGAACAAAATGCTATTTCAGGCGCTTCCGTTCCACAAGCGAAGGAGGACCGCGTCCTTTGACGAGAGAAGGCTTCCCCGGGAATGCCGGAGAGGGGAGAGAAATAAGCGGCGGCGGATTAAGCAGACGGTGAAGGACCAGGAGACTCTGCTGAAGGCGCACACGTGGTACGCAAAGAGGTTTTTCATGTACAAGCGATCAGACATGGCCGTTCCTTTCAAGCGGCACTCAAAGAGCGAAGGCTTCATTGCAAAGGCGCTGAAGACCAGAGGCGTGCTTTGCGACGCTTCCTACAACAAAGTGTTTGTCTCCGAGAAAGCGCGCCCGTGCGGGGCTGTGTTTGACGGAGAGTATGCCCGGACTTTTTCCTGGAGCGCGCCAGCAGAAGACAAACCAGAGAAAGACGGCGAAAAAAGCGTCATTATTGCCGAGAGGCCAGCGCGCCTGGGGGACACGCCAGAGCTTAAGGAGGTGAAAGGGCTTTCTGTGTTTGAGGTGTTTGGGGCACAAAGCATGTTTTGCAAGGATGCGTTTATTAACTGCACGTCTGTGGAGGCGCTCCTGGACGCAGAAAAGCTTGCGTACGTGTGCATGCGAGACAGAGACAAGTCTTACGTGCTTGTGCCCAGAAGGCACTGCATGGAGCTGCTGCAGAAGGCTGTCGTCGCGGGCATTGTCCCGTGCAGCATACAGGAGCTTCAAAGAATTGCAACAGAAACCGAAAAGGTTGTGTATCCGTACGACATTCCGCAGAATGCGGAAGGAAAGGCCTTTTTAGAGCACATGGCGCAGACGCATAAGGAAGAGCAGGAGAAAAAGCCAAAAGGAAAGCGGGAGGTTGTTTTTGGGCCTCTCTATGAAAAGCCTCTGGCAGAGCAGAAAATGCTTTTGTTTGTGGCGGAGAAAGGAAGCTTTCCGCGCCGCTCGCCTGTTGCTGTAAGCACCCGCACAGAGGACTTTGTTATGGACGGGAGCGAGAACGTGGTGGGCGAGGTAGGGCGGTCGTCTTTCTGCTTTGCCAAAGGCAAAACCACGGGCGTAATGTACGTGGACGAGGATGTGCACGCAGAAAAGCATCTGTTTGTCCGCAACTTAAAGAACAAAACGTTTCGAAGGGTTGAGTGCACGCCCGTCACACACGACATGATTCTATAGCCAGCATACAGCCACAGACTTCCTACAAGCGCCGCACACATTTGCCTGTCTTTCCACAGAATGCCCTCTGGAACACAGAAGAACTCAATAAATTCATATGTTTATAGCGCTTTGGTTTTAGAGAGCACCGCGCTGTTCTTCCAGAAACAGCAAACCCATGCTCCTCTACTATGCTTGCTCTCGCCACTCTCAAGGCCTGCCTGCCCGACTTTATTTTGCAAGTGCAGAAGAGTAGTTTGCAGAAGCACCCAGAAGCAGCAGGAAGCAAGGTGATGATGAGAAGAGGTTAAAACATAAAGGAGCAGCATCCTACTAACTCCTTACACCTAGCAGCCAGCCAATCAGGCTGCTGATGATTTCTTTATCGGGCTGTGGACGGGGCCCACGTGCAAGTGAGGACAAGAAGTGCCGAGTGATCGGACACTCCGACTAGTAAATATAGTATAGGAGTGAGGAGTCTCTTACACTTCCTGCCTGAATGTAAAAAAACATTCTGTATTTATAGACGAGAATTTACCATACTGGGACAATGCCTGCATTTGGAAATATATTTCTTCCAGAAGCTTCTAAAACCTGCTAAATGCAGGAAATGGGGAATTTCCGGAACTTTTATTTCTCCAAAATTCGAAAAAATAAAGAAAAAGTCCCCCGCAGCCGCGTTTTCAGGCACCCTGCACCAAATTTTTTCAATTTGTTTTTTCGAGACCACGCTCCGGGCAAATGCGCGAAAAGCCCTGTACAGTGGCACACGGCGGAAAAACAAACTGTGAAAAGCCTTGCAAGAGCACGCCTGCGGCAGAGGCCGACTGGCTCGGGAAGGGGCCAAATTTCAGGATTTTCTGCTGATTTTCTGCAGGAAGGCACAGGCCAGGCATGCAGCAGTGCTCGGGAAGGGCTGATGTGTGCAGCGCATGCTTTCTGAGCACTGCCGCGTCGTCTCTGGTGCTGAGACATTTTCCATAGAATGGCATGCATGCAGAAGGAAGAAGAGGAAAAGGAGAAAAAAGAAAGAGGCTGCACGCCAGAATAAAGAAAACAGCCCGCGGGCAGAAGACAAAGGTGTTTGCACTTGCTTTTATTTAGCCGCAGAGATCTGCTGTTCAGGGAATGCGGGCCACTTTGTATAAAACCCTTTTGTATGCTATTACGTCCTCGAGGTGCTTTTTGTCTGGGAGGTCGACCAAGTGCATGAACTTGTTCAGCATGAACTGCTCGTCCGAGAAGGCAGATCCTGCCTGCTGGATGCAGCTCTCCTTGGACAGGACTCCGCGAACATACATGTTCAGGAGGAAGTACAGGTACTCCTCCAGGTGCTCCTCCGGCTTCTCCCTCTCCTCCTTCTTTCCGTAGAGTATGCCGTGCGCTGCGTTTCGGATTCTCTTTATGCGGTTCGCCTCGTCTGGGACTTCGCTGAGGTAGTATCCTGCCAGGAAGAGGTACGCCTCCTTCTCGGAGACATTTGACATGTTTGCAAGTGCAGTCCGCACCGTGGGAGAAAGTTTTTCTGGGAGCGGGTGCTTGGTATAGAGCGCTCGCAGCATGCTAGACTCGCTGCAGCGGAAGCCCTCCCGGACGTCCTCCTCCCGCAGCGCATCCATTTCCAGCAGGAGGCATGCAGCATTGTATGTGCAGTCTCGGTCTCGCAGGCTGGAGACAATCTCCTCGAGGCCCTCGCTGCTGTTTATGCGGAACAGAATGTGCATCTTCAGAATCTTCTCCTTTGGCGTGTCTTCGCTTGTTGCGACAAATGGGTCTGTTTCCAGCTTTATTGCGTGTGTCTGCAAAAGAAACAAAATGCACTCGAGAGCTTCGGTCTTGCTGCGCGTCCCAATGTAGCTGCTCATGCTGTTTGCGATCTTCTCCACGACCGGAAGCGCGAGCAGCTCCTTGCGCATGCTCGCCAGCTCCTTGAGCGCGCAGAGGGGGAGAAACTCCAGCACGAGCGCTGCCGTCTCCAGAAGGCTGCAGTTGACAGAGGCCTGCAACAGCCTGCACAGGCGCGAAAAGAGAAGGGGGAAGTTTCCGTGCGTCTCTTCAATGCCCTGCCTGTTTTTGCAGAGAACTCTAAAGCAGTGCACCAGGTCGCTCTCGGAAAAGGTTCCTGCAGCCTGCCTCTCTATGGAGACAAGCGCAGAAATGGCAGCGCCAAGAACGACCGGACTCTTCTCGTCGAGGGCCTGCCGGATTGCGCATGTCTTTGTCTCCCGGAACGCGGCAAACAGAGCAGGCGCTGCCAGGAGGGCGGACTTTCTGATGATGTCGGAGCTCGAGCAGAAGCTTTTTTCAATTTCGTACGAGAAGTGGTTCAGGAACTCCGGGTCCTTCACCTTGGATATAAAGTCAAACGCCAGGGATGTTTTCAGCGCGTGCAGGGGTGTTCTGTACTCGAGGTCTCCGCTTATTTCCTGCTTGACTGTGTTGACGGCCAGGATGAGGAGGCTCGAGTCGCTCCGCAGGGAGCGCAGAACAAAAGAGTATGCAAGACACTTCACCTCAATGGCGTCGTGCCCGATCAGGCTGAGAACCTGCGGGAACAGCTGGGCCTTTTCCTTGTACGAAATGCTTTTTGTGGACATTATGTGGAAGGCCTTTATGATCAGCCTTTTCTCGCCCGAGGATAGGCTTTCCTTGGCTCTCTGCAGGGGCGACTTCTCTGCAGAAACTGCATTTTCTATAAGGGCTCCTGTCAGGGTGTACATAAATGGCC